GATTGCAGTTAGGTAACCTTGGACACCTCACTTTCTCCCAAGGTTCCTCCATTCATGAAGACCGGACTCATGGATTCTATTGTCGAACTCATTGTTGCTGTTACAAGAACATCTTGATGCTTGGGCCCCTACTATTTTTCTCCTGATCCTCCTTGTATCAGCCCTCGCATCACACCCTTACCCTGACCTTACTCTCGTCATACTGGTCATCCTCGCATTCCCCTTTGCCCTCTACCTGTCGCTGCAGCAAAGCCAGTACATCTGGCCGGATCCTTTTGCTGATGAAGCATACCCATGCTCCATTCCACCTCCTGACTGATCCTGTGGACAGTCCCCTTACCATCTGGATGGTAACCTACGATACAACGCATGCCGCGTCCCCTATGCCCAGTTCCCTTTCTAGATCTATGACTCGGTGCGCAGTCGCACATGTTACTTATATTTAGCTCCACAGCTGCACGGTCGTGCCCCTGCGCGTTTCACTTCTTATTTCGATCTTTGACTCACTTTCTTATCTGCACGTTCAGGATCACCCGTGTATCACCTCGACCGTGCCTTCCTTTTATGGTCTTACCCTTCACCAGTTCCCTCTTCTGGTAGTACAAGTTATCACCCACTAATACACTTCCTGTCCTCTATATAAACTCGCTACCATGTACCATATTCCTTAACTTGAATCTACTTGGTTCTTGACCTCCTACTCTCACCAGAGTGATCCTTTCCGCCTAGCCAGCAGTCTATATTCTATCTTCTTATCTGCTCTTCGCGGATAAGTCCTTAGTCTCGATCTTTACTCATTGACTTCATCGACAAGCAAAGCCCCCTGTTAACTAGTCGGACTTCTGTCCTTCTAATTAACTACGATCTTACAATTAACCTTTGGGTGTTGTAAGCCTTGGCAGATACCGCTTATTGTCTAGCATCCGCTTGACATAAGCTACCCGATTTGGACATAGGCGTTAAATCTTACTTGCCAAAACTCGCCAAGTAAGACCCCTAACCTTGGGCTAGTCCAAGGACGTCCTCGACTGTTGACGACACATGCTCTGTTTGAGCGTCGCCAACAGATACCATCCAAGTCGTAACAGTTGCAGAGGATGAGGTGAGTGACTAGCGACTTTTATTTTTGATATATTCTAAGAAACTTATACATTTAGGCCTTTCAAGTTGTAGACAAGGGACCATTCCACCGCCTTCTTCAGTATCTTCGTCCATCACTCTCAGACCGAGATATTCCCCACCATACAAAAACTTGGGATGAAATACTTGAACGTGCAAATATGGCAGTTGAGCACATGAAAGAGAAGCTCAAGCATGTTGATAGTAAAATTTCTATGACATTTGACTCATGGATGTCTTTACCTGGTCACCCTTTCTTATCCATCACAGCACATTATATAGATTCCCCAGCTGAAAAGCCTCAAGAGTGGGAACTCAGGACAGAACAGCTCACATTCACACCCATCCATGGCAATCACAGCGGCGCAAATATTGGGAAGATATTGATTGAGAATATTGACAAATATAGTCTTCGCACAAAGCTTGGGTGGTTTACCGCTGACAACACTACTAACAATGATACTGCCATCGAGACAGTCACTCACGCTGTTGACCCTTCTGGTGACAAGTGGAGTCCAGTTGAGCATTGAGTACGGTAAGTTTGTCCATTCACTACATAGTTCAGATTGCTGATGATTATTCAGTTGTATGGAGCACATGCTCCACTTAGCGGCCAAACATTTTGTCAAAGAGGTTGTGCCCACACCAGTGAGCATCTTACACAAGAGGGCAGCTCAGCAAGCCAAAGACGAGGATGATTATGAGGAAAGTGTCAATTTTGAAGTTGGCAATACTGTTGGCAAAGCACTTGCATTTGTTGTGCAGGTAAGTTCTGAATTATTCTATCTGCTATTGTATACTAACACAACACTTTTTCAGGTACGAAAGTCACCTCAGGCATGAGTTTTCCTTCAGAAGTGTTGCAAGGAAGTCAATGAGCCCCCATTGGAGCTTTTAGGATGGGTTCGCACACGTTGGGCCTCCCTTTTCAGTATGTTAGAGCACATTTTCCAATTGTGCAAGGTAAGTCGTTTACTAATATTACATGATCACATCACTAACTACATGATTTTACATTGTTCAGGGCATGAACAGATTCATCCAGCTTGCTGATGACAGCGATGAGAACCCGAATTTGAAGGGCAAGTTATATACAGACTTTAGACTTTCAGCACGAGAATGGACAGAGTTGGATTTAATGTGTGAAGTCCTCCAGGTTCATCATTTCTCCCTATCTTTCACAACTATATGCTTATGTTCTGCACACCCAGGAACCTGCAGATGCTCAACAGAGTTTCTTGGCAACTTGTGAGCCAACAGTATGGCGAATGATTCCAGTTCTCGAATGTCTTCAAGAGACACTTCAAAACATGGCAGGTGCATCAAAATTTGACCGCTTCTCAACAGCTATTGAGGCTGGTATTGTTAATCTATGCAAATGGTATGGTAAGATGGACGACACAGACATTTATTTCATTTGCCTTGGTATGTAACTTATTTATATTGCTTTGAATGACACTGACTGTTTTGTGGTAGCGCTTGATCTGAACTACAAGATTGCATATGCCAAAGATAAGTGGGCCCCTGAGTTTTTCGAAACGGGGATGCAATGCCTTGAGAGAGTTGTACATCACTCATTGTCACTCAGCTCTGTGAATTGTATACTAACCAATCTTATATAGTTCAATCTATATCATTGAACTGGTACTTCCTCACAGGCTCCTGCAGAGCCGTCTGTCATTGTGCCACCTTTGCTCGCACATCAAGGCTTGTATGGCCATAGTTGGATGCACAGCTCTATTAAATCACACATCATGAATGATGCAGCCACACAAAGGCCTCATCAAGAACTCGAGGACTACTTAGATGCACCATTCAAGGACATTGATAGTGTAGTGGCCTGGTGGGGGGTACATCTCATTTTTATTTATTCATGTTGCATGTATACTAATACTTTTCAAGCACCATTCTATCCAGTACCCAACTATCTCCTGCATTACAAAAGACTATCTTGCAATCCAGGGATCAGCTGTTGCATCTGAGCATGCATTCTCAAGCAGCGGCATCACTGGGTCCACACGTCGCAGCTGTTTGCAGTGAAGGTGAATCAACTCAGCTGTTGGTCAAATGATTAATCAAAGGGGGGGGGGGGGACATAAGAAGCTGATATAGTGATCTATTGTGATGCCTAGTCTGCTATGCTTGCAGGGACAAGCGTGTTCAATCCAAGAGGAAGCAAGGAAAACAAATCCACAGTCACACAGCGGCTGTGTGAGGCGGGCGACGTAAGCATGAAGCGTGGGAAACTCGCGCATGATTAGTGTGGGAATGCGAAAATGCGAAATGCAACTAGCAATAGACGAGGGCTCAATGAATGACAACTAAAAAGGACTGTTAATATCTTCTAACTCTAGCTATGGACATGATGAGGGAACTCCACTAGGGTAAGGTGTGGTGTAATAAAGGGTAAAAAATGCGGTCCTATATATGTATCTCACTAAGTGAGCCGAGTAGGAGATAATGTATGTAATAATGTATGTGAGTCAGGGTCCATGCTCTAATATGGTGCCATATTGAATAAAATGCAAAAATATGTACCAGTGAGACTTGCTGGACAATGGATGGATGCTCCTGGATGATAGGGTGATAAAAGCGTGGGAAAGCATCACTTGATAAGGAAATAGCTGAGGAAAGGTCAGGAAATGATGCTGCAAGTTGGTGCTGCGAACCCGGATGGTATGGACTGAAGTATTACATGTTGCAAGCCTGTAATTATGTGAATCTCTACAGTGGCCAGCAACATTTGAGGCCCTTCAGTTGCTCAAGAGTGCATATCATTAAGGCCATATTTCTGCAACAGGCCAGGCTGAGTTTGCTGATCCCCGCGTTGTTGTGAATGAGAAGTTCTAGTAGCTATTGATATTTTACAATTTGTTGTCATTTCTCTAGCAATTCACATGTTTTTTTTGGCAATTGGAACAACAGTTTGAGGGTTCAAACACGTTCTGAACCTAGACCGAACCCTTGCAAACATGTTCGCAAGGGTTTGGTCCAAGGTTCGGCCACCATACCTAAACCTAACCAACGGTCAAGTTTGGGGTTCATAGATATAGGGCCATGAACCTGACAAAACTGAACTTCGGCAGTACTACCCAGGACTCTCTGTGTTTTCTTGGTCTAGCACCTATTTTCCTTGCACTTTAGATTCCTCTTCTTCAGTGGATCATTCCAGATCATGGATTTCAGCCTGAGTTCATTTCAAATGGTGAGTGTTGTGTTGACTCTGAACTTGCTATGTTGATTGCAAACTCGAATGCTGGCAGCTTCAGCATCCAATCTCTTTGGTTTGAGGCGATACATGCTTTCAACATCTGATAATTACTTGCAATCATATGCTTATGTTTATACTCCTGTTCAGAACTATTTCCTACTTATATTGAGCTTCTCATACTCAAGCTCAACCTTGTGAATCTCTGTTTCAAGCCTAGAGATCATTCCCTAGGCTGAACCTTTGAATTTCTGAACCTCTGTCTGAGGACTAGGGATTAGTTTCCTAAGCTGAAACCTTGCTCCTCCACTCCTCCAACATTCCTGCACCTGTAACCCTCCTGTCCTGCTCCAGACTTTGTCCTGGCAGTCATTCCCTCCTCCATATCTACTCAGAACTTGTTTTCATGTAGTCCATAAACCTTCCCCCACCTGGTGGATGAATCTCCACTAGAGTTTCTTGCACTTTTCCAGAAGTCATCTAGTGCTCTCCTAGAGAGTAGCCTGTTGTTGATCTGAGTCAGCCGAGGCATGAGGCTGACACATATATTAGTCTAAGTGCAAATTAAGCGAGGTGGCACAGTGCCTCTTGCTCCTGCCCACCTCGCAGTGTCCTATGCAGAGTATTTAGCTACTCCTCCCTAAGTTTGTTTGCACCAACCTTATCCTCAGCCATGGCAGAGAACAATCCTAATTTAGCTGTTAGGCCAGATTTCGAAGCACCCGAACACGAACCTCCCAACAGCAGCTCATAAATGAAGGACTCACCAAAGAAATGGCAGTCCATTCACTAACAGCACTGTGGACATTGACCAACAATGCAGAACATGAGAGGTAGAACACCCGGCAAGAACAAATCCAGGAATTGAGAGAAAGGGAAGCCGAGGAAGAAGAGCAGCATCTCCAGCTGCACACAGATGAGGAAGAAGCAGCACGCCTGGAAGATAGGAAGAAGAACAAGAACAAGTATGTGCCACTCATATGTGGCAAAGTTCCATCAGACCCCACCATTCTTCCAGCTCAGTACACTACAAGGAAACTCAAAGCGGGAGACTATTGCGAGCTACACTACTTCACCAACAGAGGCCTTGAAGATGCCAAAATATCCATGCTCATTGCAGAACCAGATGTTATGGTCATGCTACCTTTGTCGGATGGAGTCCACTCATGGATTCCAGCGGCAGTGGTCAAAGACCCAAAAGCAGCTCCGGTTGTCAAAGACAAGAACCCATCATGGGAGGAATTCAACGAAGCAGCCCCACACATGATCACCATGATGAGACTGCACGACTGGCCTGAGGACAGAGTCGAGATGCACATCCAATTCTGGTACGTGCTCCAAGCACACAGATGGAGGCACTCCCCAGACCAACTCAAGTAGAAAGCGGTGCTCCTCTACCAGTCGCAGAAAAGATATTGTTAACATCAAACCATTGGTATGATGCAAGGATGGAGCCTTGAAGAACTCAACAATGACCTGATTTTAGAGGCACACAAAGGATTATTCAATGAGAAGAGAGACAAAGAAACAAAGGTGGCAATTCAGGTCAGTCCATAAAAATTTCGTCTAACTGAATAAAACTAATGTTTCATATGTCAATCCCCTCCTTTTGCAATCACTGCATTTTGTTACATCACGCAATGATCCCCACCTGCTTGTTGGCCAATCACGTGCTGTAGAGATTTGCATAATTATAGGCCTGCAACGTGTAATACTTCAGTCCATACCACCTGGGTTTGCAGCACCAACTTACAGCATCATTCCCTAACCTTTCCCCAGCCATTTCCATATCAGGCAATGCTTTCCCACATCATGCAACCCTTGCACGACTTTCCTGCACCTTGCGATTCCCTCGCATCGCTTGCTTTCCCACGCTTTCATCACCCTATCATCCAGGAGCATCCATCCACTGTCCAGCAAGTCTCACTGGTATGTATTTCCGCATTTTTATCAAAATGGCACCATATTAGAGCATGGACCCTAACTTACATACCTTATTACATACATTATCTCCTACTCAGCTCACTTAGCGAGATACTTATATAGGACCGCATTTTTCACCCTTTACTAGACTACACCACTCCTTGCCCTAGTGGAGTTCCTCCATCATGTCCATAGCTAGAGTCAGAATCTATTAGCAGTCCTTTTAGTTGTCATTCATTGAGCCCTCATCTATTGCTAGTTGCATTTCGCATTTTTGCTACTTTCACATTTTGCGTTCCTATGTTCCCATGCTCTCGCGCTAATTGCACGCGAGTTTCCCACGCTTCGCTCGCCCATCGCTCGCCTCGCACAGCCACTGTGCAACTGTGGATTTGTCTTCCTTGCTTTCCCTTGGATCAAATGTGCTTGTCCCTGCAAGCATAGCAGACTAGGCATCGCACTGATCACTATATCAGCTTCTTGTGTCCCTCCCTTGCATTTACCATTTGACCTAGAGCTGAGTTGATTCACCTTCGGTGCCAACAATGCACCCACTCATTTCACCCACGAAATGAACAGCCATCACATGCCAACACAACCCCTGTTGATGCATCATTCACGTCTCAATCACGATGACAGTGATGTACATGACCAAACCCCTCCATACGGTCCTACCCTGCATTATCATAATGCCGACTGCACCTCACAAACAACTGCAGCAAGCAGCCACAGCATACCTTGCTGCTCATGTGCAACAAACTGCACCTCTGCAGAAGCGATCCCTGACCCCGACAAACAAAGCACAGACAGGCAACAAGAAGGTGAGAATAGTGCGTCCTGTTACTTTCATGGGACCACTAGCTTGTTGTGCAGTTTGCCTCGGGCGTCACTCTCATCGCATCATTGAATGCATGGCTGCCCAAACGTGGGACAAGCACTTCGAAACATTCTCAGAATGAATCCGCAAAGGTCTTTGGACCAAAGATGGCAAAGCAACTGTGCACTGCCTGGCAGCAAGACAAAGGATGTTCAACGCCAAAGCACGATGCGAAGCACATATGTTCAGGGTGTGGAGCAACCACAACCACACATGGAGCCCAGAAGTGCCCTCAAGCTCAGAAAGCAGAATCCTCTGACCCCATACAGAGCTGAAGCATGGGCGCAAGAACTCTATCGTGCGAAAGTCTTGGAACAGTTTGCTAAAGTACCTGAAGGTCTTTGGTTAGGATTCAAGATAGATTTCCCTACTATCGCAGTAGTACAGACACCTGCAAATAAATATTCAATTTCTGAGTATGTGTTACGACTTGGATGGTATCTGTTGGCGACGCTCAAACAGAGCTTGTGTCGTCAACGGTCTGTGGACGTCCTTGGGCTAGCCCAAGGTTAGGGGTCGTACTTGGCGGGTCTTCGGCAAGTACGATTTAACACCTATGTCCAAATCGGGTAGCTTATGTCACGCGGGTGCGAGACGATAAGCTATATCGGCCTAGGCTTATGACACACGAAGGTTAATCGTAAGGATCGTCGTTAATTAGAAGGACAGAAGTCCGACTAGTTAACAGGGGCTTTGCTCGTCGACGAAGTCGATGAGTAAAGGTCGAGACTATAGGCTTATCCGCGATGAGCAGATAAGAAGATAGAATATAGACTGCTGGCGAGGCAGAAAGGATCACTCTTGTGAGAGTAGGAGGTCAAGAACCAAGTAGATTCAAGTTAGGGAATATAGTACATGGTAGCGAGTTTATATAGAGGACAGGAGACGTATTAGTGGATGATAACTTGTACTACCGGGAGAGGCAATCGGTAAAGGGTAAGACCATAATAGGAAGGCACATTCGGTCTAGGTAGAACGTGCTAGATAAGAAAGTGAGTCAAAGATCGGATTAAGAAGTGAAACGCGCAGGGGCACGATCGTGCAGCTGCGGATCTAAGTATAAGTCGTGTGTGCGACTGCGCACCGAGTCAGAGATCAAGAAAGGGAACAGGGCAAAGGGGATGCGTCGTGCATCATATCATAGGTTACCGTCCAGACGGTAAGGGCAAGGGGACTGTCCGCAGGATCAGTCAGGTGGTGAAACGGAGCACGGGTATGCTTCGTCAGCGAAAGGATCTGGCCAAATGTACTGGCTTTGCTGAAGCGACAGGTAGAGGGCGAAAGGGAATGCGAGGATGATGAGGATGACAAGGGTAAGGTCGGGGTAAGGGTATGATGCGAGGGCTGATACGAGGAGGATTAGGAGAAAAATAGTAGGGGCCAAAGCGTCTAGATGTTCTTGTAACAGTATGCGGCCGAATTCAATAAGATCATTCAGAAGGAATTGAGGATGGGGAGATACATTGGGCCGTTTTTGTCTGAGGTTCTAGAGACACTAATAGGACCGTTTCAGTCCTCCCCGCTGTCCATTATCCCCAAACCAGGCAAGCCAGGAAAATTCAGAATTGTACAGAATTTTTCATATCCGATTTCCCCCAATACCTTGCACCAAAACCATCAATAAACTCATACATGCCCACAAATTCCCAACAACCTGGGGCAAATTTTTGATGATCTACAACTTAATTTTGAAACTACCACCAGGATCAGAAGTGGCAACAAGAGATGTAGCAGAGGTGTACTGAACAATTCCCTTACATCCATCTCAGTGGCCAGTGGGAGTGGTACGAATCTCAGATTCATTATTCTGTGTAGACACATGCATAGCCTTTGGAGCCATGCCATCAGCGGGAGTATATGGCCACGTTGTGGATGCAGGAGCCAAAATCTTCAGAAGCAACGGCATTGGACCATTGGACAAATGGGTTGATGACCATATTTTCTTCAGGATAAGGAGAATATTCCTCCATCAATATAACAAATTAAGGAAAAAATGGAACACAACTTACACTACAAAAGGAATGCAACAATCGGGTAGTCGCATCTGGTTTGGAGACACTTACCTGGAAACCGGCAAATTGGAAGAGGTGAGTGAAGATTGCTCAAAGCTAATACAAGACCTGTCACAGAGTAAGCCGAGATCAGAACATGATGCGCTGTTTACCTTCAACATGAAGGACATCGACAACCTGTCAGATAACCTGGGAATTAAATGAGAACCTCTAAAAGACCAACCATTTGCACTATCAACAATGTACATCAGTTTCGTATGGAACGTCTAACAAAAAAACGGTGTTGCTGAGTCAGTCAAAAATGGACAAGTACCTGGCAGTGATCCACAAATGGAGGAAAAGACACGCACATGTTCTACAAGATGTACAAGAGCTTTATGGTAAGCTGTTACATGTGTGTGAAGGAGCTCCTCGAGGCAGGGCATACCTCACAAGCCTTGAGGCAATGCTAGGTTACTGTAGTGAGAAGCCATTCCTACCCCATCAGGCAGGAGAAAAAGTAACAGCCAATTTAGAATGGTGGACAGACCTATTACAAACAAACAGTGTCAGGATGCACCATATATCTAGCACACAAACTAATGAACCTCACAGCATTTTCAGATGCAAGCTCTGGAATAGGATTGGGTATCATAGTTGGAAATTGGTGGAGAGTGTGGAGATTAATCCTAGACTGGAAAACACAATGGTAAATGAGACATTGAATGGGCTGAAGCAGTGGCATTTGAACTGCTCACCTATTCAATTGCATCTATTGTTGACAATAATAGACATGTCCTCATCCATGGGGATAACACCGGTGTGGTTGAAGGATGGTGGAGGTGAAAACACAAGAACAGCGAAGTTAATGGTGTCTTCTGGAGGATCAATGAATTCATTCACAATCTACCCTACAATTTTGAAGTCATCACATCATACATCCCAAGTGCCAACAACCCAGTAGACAGACCTTCTAGAGAGATTTATGGACCAAGAAACCTTCTTCCTCCCCCGATCCACATTCCAGCAGAACTTGAACCTTTCATCATTGACGCCACAGAACCTCTCTCTCCAACAGAGCTCTGTATGCTGCATAATGGTACATACTTCACTCCAGCTACCAAAATTATCAACAAGGAGCTGGTCAGGCAACAAGCCTATGAAAGAGCTAGAGCTGACAAGCACAAAGAGGAAATTATCATTAGTAGAACACTTCGAGAGGAGTGAAAGAAAGACCACACACTTCAACACACCCCTGCCAAAACCCAAAGTCTCCTTATCTGTCCTGCAAAGCTACAGACCAGACCTATCTCCGAAACCATCAGAGCTCCGACCACATTGTCTTGCTCAAGACAGGTTGAGGCTATGGGTGCCAGCAGGTAGTAGCTCTAGGCAAACAGTAGGAATATCAGACCCAAATGTGAATCATGAGATATCAGATACTCAACTAGAACACACCCTAGATGTCATAGGAGCATCATGGGCACAATCAACAAAAGAATGTTATGGAGCAGGCCTACTAGTGTTCCATGTGTTCTGCGACACAAATAACATCAGTGAAGAAAAGTGGTGCCCAATAGCACAGAGCTTACTACTGGATTTCCTATGCAGCTGCGCCAGTTCATATTCAGGGTCATTGTTAGCAAACTACGCCACAGGTTTAAAGGCGTGACACCTGTTGCATGGCAGAGATTGGTGCATTCCACCAAACAAGCTCAAAGCAGTCCTAGATGGAGCAACAGCATCAGCTCCAAACACATCCAAATACCACAAACACCTTCCCTTCACCCTGACATTCCTTACCCTAATTTGCGACCAGCTGAAACTAGAAGAACCGTTGGACACAGCAGTGTTTGCGTGCATGACAACAATTGCAAGACTAGGAGAATTCACAGTCAGTGCAATCAAAGAGTTCAACACAAAAAAACACATTACCAGAGCAGGAATATCAGAGGCAGTAGACCACAACAGCCTCCAAGTAACCAAGTTCAAACTTCCCAGAATGAAATGTGCCCCAAATGAAGGAGAAGAAGCTTACTGGAGTGCACAAGAAGGTCCCACAGATCCCAAGAGTGCCCTCGAAAACCACTTATGCATCAATAGAAGCGAGAGCAACACACACCTGTTTGCTTGGAAGCATGCTAAAGGAATGCACCCATTGTCAAAGAAACAATCCTTGAAGGGAATCACAGTAGCAGCGAAGGCAGCGAACCTGCCAGACCTTAAAGGGCATGGACTGTGCATCGGAGGCACCTTAGAATACCTACTGTGAGGAGTGCCGTTCGAGGTAGTCAAAGCAATGAGATGGTGGTCTAGCGAAGCATTCACTATATACCTGCGAGAGCATGCAACAATACTCACACCTTATATCCAAGCATCACCAGTATTGGAACCCTTCACATGGTACACCATGCCTCCGATCTATTAACAATAGTGTCGTAGTATGTCTCCTAATTTTAGGGCATCAGTCTTGCTGTATGCATCAATATATTCCTAATCTATGGAAACACAGCTCACTTTTTAGCGCCATAGGCACAAAACCTTGTTTCGGTCTGAAAAAGCCCTCTGGGCTTTTGTCCAATTAAACTCAACAAACAGTCACCACAAAATAAGTCCACACTGAACATTACTCGCTCAGAAAACAGAGATTTGACATATAAGAGCAAGCACCACAACAGTAGTTGATAACAACAACCTCTGATTAAGTAATGAGCATCAGAGCACATAGACTCTGAAACACCCTCAGACTTCATTAGTCTTACTCTGGACTTCATCTGAAATTAGGGGCATATACTCAGATAAGGGGCACAGTGCATGAGCTAAGGTCAAGCCCCCTTGCTCCATCCAGAAGAACCACTCCCTCTATGTGTTTATTCTGTCCATCTAGTCTCCAGTTCTTAACAGCTGGAACAAGTCCAGCATGTAGTATATGACACATGGCCAGTAAAATTAGTGTTTGTGGATAGTGAATATCTATGGTCTACATATTAACATTATTTGTGAAATTTACAGAGACTGAGGAAGTCAGTAATATTTTTAGGATCATCAAGATGCAACAATGAGAGCATTATGCCTTATCTCCCTCTGTGAGATACTAATTCCAATGGATGGTGGGCACATGTATTGATGAGTAATAAATCTATCTACAGTTGACATCTCACTAGCATCAGTAATATGGTTGAAGATTGGAAACAATATACAACTTTTGTCAAGGTACATGAAGTCAGTTTGACCAATAGTGATGATCATTTTAAGTAAAGCTGTCCATGAATGAAACCACATCAACTGGATGAATTATTTTCACTATTTTTTATGTTCCTGCTTCTAAATAGAATCTGTTCCTGTCAGTTAGTGTACTGCCAGGTTTGACCTAGTGTGTGTATGTTGGCTCATTTATATCCAATCAATCAAATAAATGTGGGTATTCTACCCCAAAGCGAGGTAGGAGTGTAGGGTTAGAATTATGACTTTGTGGCAGCAGCAGTGCAGCACGTGGCCTCTCTTGTCTCCGCACCACACAGTGCTCGTGCCACGCTCCGGCAGGCTCAAACCTGCCTTCTGCTTTTCTTTTCTTTTCTTTCCTTTTCTCTCAAGATCCTAGGTAACTCCCAGAATTTTGTTTGCCTGAATCTCTATTTCTAGGCTATCTTTGGCCACCCGGCAACTCGATCAGTGGGCTTTGAGGGCCTGGATCCTTGCATGGATCTGCATGCAATGAAGATAAGTCCAGTGGGGAAGCTGGCCATGGGTAGAGGGCATCTGAAATGCACTTGCGCCACCCTCTCAAGTGCAGGAAGTTTGCCATTGCAAACTCTCCCTGGGTTTTCTCGCCATCTGCCAGGCAGGGAACCTGGTAAGGGGAGGGAACTTTGTGCCCACTCACTCGGATGTAGACTAATGGGCTGCCCTGCACATTGGTTTTTTCCATCTTAATCCCTCCCATTGCTCTTGCCTGCACCTTTGCTCATGTGGATGCCCACATTTTGCTCATGTGGATGCCCACACTCTTTCTCATGCGGATGCCCATACCTTTGCTTATATGAATGCCCGCACCTCAGCTCATGCGGATGCCTGCATTCTTGCTCATGCAGATGTCCGCAACATTTCTCATGTGGATGCCTTCAAGGAGCTATCTCTTTTTTCTGACACTGCTTCCTCACCTCGAAGTGTCACACTGCGGCTCCTAAAAATTTGGGATCTAAGGTTCACTTTGCTGCATCACTCTCACTCCTAGTATCATGGGAATTGCAGCTCTCCTTGGCTCTCCTTTGCACAGGTTGGGGCCGGGTCACCCCTTCGGGGCTTCCACCCAAAAAACTATCTGCTTCAATAAGCATACATTCTCCTTTCTCTCTCGCTACTGCTACTAAGACCGCTGCATGACAGCAAACACAAAGTCTGCAGTTGCCAGATTAAAATATGTAGCTTAGTATTGAGCAACAACTTTAAAAGTAACAAAAGCAATTATTCCCAAAGCTATCAGTCAGAGGCCACACTGGTCTTAAGAAAAAAAATCAGCTTATTTAAACTAAAGAATATGTATTTTGAAACCAATCTGTCTATAGTCTGAGAACTTATATAGTTGCAGAGAAGAAGAACCTCCCTCATGAACAGCTCTCTGCAAAGTCATCCTAGACATAAAGAACCTCCCAAGATGTGTTAGTATAAGAGGTTTAGCATAGGTCTTTCCAAACACTTTCCTGTCAGGAATGAGATCAGTTAAGGCATGAAAAAAATTAAGAATATTACCTGTTTTACCACTTTAGTAACTTCTTGATGCTTGCGTGTCAATGTCAGGTGCAACCTCAAAAAAAATCAATAATGTTGTTGTAAAACATGTAGTAGTCAAAGTTTTTGAATCAATATTGAGGAGGGAAAACTGAAGCCATAAGTAAAAATTAGTCCTGAAGGTGAAAAATATGTGAAGGTGTGCACAAATCTAGCATGCAATGTAGGTAATGAATTGTAGGATAACCAACTTTATGCTGATAATATTTGCCACATGACTATAAGTGGTTATATTATTCTTGAAAAACCAGTGGTGTTAAGAGGCTATGATAGTGTCAGCACCATCACCATTACCTTCGACTTCTTTGGCAGAAGATAAAGATGTGTTTGAAGGTCTTTGTTTCAAATAAGTAGTGGTTATTAAAAATAGTGTAACTTACTTTGATGAGTAGAGCTGAATGAAACAGTTTCTTTTTTATGTTGCTAGGGTTAAAAGCATAATTCAGGGATGAGAATGCTGGCCAAGAGTAAGCTGTGACAAGAAAATCAAAGTCTTTGTCCCTAATCTTTTTCTTGGTCCTATTGCAGCAGTGAATATATTAATACTACATCATGCAGATGGTACCTATGAGTTGAGAGACCAAGTATACTCTACAGGAAATAAGAGCTTGCTAGTGATATGATGGATGAACACACAATCTCTTTAATATTCATGTGAAGGGGTGGATTCAGGGGATGAAAGAGTTGGTAAGCCATGCAACAACCATATGTTTGAGATTGTCAGTAAATGAATTCAAAGTTTGTGTACATATCAAATCACTCACAGACTTTTGCTTCTGACTAGCATCCCTGCCTCTGTCCAACATCCTACAAATATTTCATCTCTTGTGCTTCGATTTCTGCTTTAGCACAGTCCATGGCAGAGGCATGCATAGCCTTGATAACCTCCTTCAACTGTTTGAAACTGTGGACCTGTTTATAGATGTCTTGAACTGTCTCTATCTGAAATCCTAAAGAATTTGTAAGGTGGTTGAGCTGTTCATCAAATCCAAAGTGCACAAATTGCTCAATATCCATGTAATGAATCTTTGGGTCGAGGTTGACTGGAATGAATCTGGAATCCAGACCTCTGTGAGCAAAAAAATTGAGATCTGTCTCCTGGTTTTCAGATCCAGGATCTGAATCCCCATCAAAGAACAATGGGACTTTCACCTCTGGGCTTTCAGATTTGATAGTGGTAGTAGGTTCAATATGCCCCATGGTTGTAGACTTTGATAGACTTTGATTTAGTATGAAACAATTCTTGTTAGTTTTGAGCCTTTAATTGAATTTGGTCATCCTACAAAGGAATTTATTCTGATGGATAGAGCTCTGAGCTAGATGGGTATTATTCTTTCAGGCACTGTTCACATCTTTATGCAGCTAACAACATAGGATCAGTAATGCAGAAATAATTTCCAAAATAAGAACTTACATCTTTCAAAATGGAATCTAGTTCTTTATCATCTAATGAAAGTTTCTTTTTCAGCCAAGGAAGACAATAAAGCAGTTCAGTGAATGAGTTGATGTTCCTGTCCTTGCTGGTCCAAGTTAAGAGAATTGTGCAGTTTATCATGTGACAGAGCCCTGTGAACATCAGTGTGCTCCAGAATGCCAAATGAACTCTAAAAACGAAAACAGTAATAATAGACTGAGTAAGATAAAGATAAGGATAATAGCGAGACTTACATTGACATCACAGAAGCTCTGGGAACTCAAGATCTGCTCTCTTGCCTCCAATGTAGTAGATTCTCATGCTTGAGCAAGTAATTCCTTGGTTCCTGTGCATGTGCGGAGAGGATATACCTTGAGAGTATTTGAAAGCTCGTCATGAGGTACTAGACAGATAGGACAAGGAAATTTGCCCATCACAAATCAATGCCATTACAGCCCTACAACAGTGAACACATTCAGATGTCAGAGATATCTAATAGTACCTCAGGAGCTAGAAATACATGTACTGTTCTTCATAGTCTGCAGATAGTATTAGTACAATTGGATAGAAGACACAAATAACATCATCCCAGCATTTGATGGAAGAACTGAACCTCAATAGTGATGGGGATTGTTCAGTGATCACAAGTGGCCCGAACTGCAAAAATGAGTTGAATGTTTGGGTCAATAGGCCGCTGTCCAGATTGACAGCTTGTGAGTCATTTTTCTGCTGTACTTATGTAGGTTTTTATTTATATTGTCAGCTTTCAATTGATTCCACGTTGGTGAAACCTGAATCACTTTGATCAGGTTATATCAGTATCGTTTTCTGATGGAACAAAATACGAAGACATCTCTAAGGCAAGCCTAGATCATTCACTTTAATACATCATTCACATTGTTTTAGCTTATTATATTTGCAGCACATAATGTATTTGACTGTGATACAGATCCAGAGGCATATCTCCTGCTCTGCTGTATCCAAAGCTATGTAGAGTTCAATATGTATGCTTCATTAGAGGTTCACACTGAAGATACCATAAAAAATGGCCAGGAAGCATTGTCAAAGCTCACTGAATTGATGTAAGTACATATTCCTAGTCTAATTTTAATTCATTGTATTGAATCCAATTGTATGGTCAGAAATACATTGAGGATACAGCAGAGATTTTCGAGAAGTCCTGGAATTTCCCCAAGAAACATCTTTCTGCCCATCTCTTTGATGATATTGAGGTGAAAGGTGTTTCTCGAAACTACAGCACCAAGCCAAATGAGAAAATGCACGGCCCATTGAAAGATGCCTATCAAGATCATACAAATTTCAAGAACTTCGCTGAACAGGTAAGTGACTTCTGAATCTGAGTACACATATATGCGAAGTGAGCTCTGATATATGACTAACAATTAAAAATTTCAAGATCCTCCGATACAACCACGACAGCTTGATTGCGGAATACATTCGCAACAAGTTGGATCACCTTGACACTCAGAATCTCAGCATGTCCAACTCAGAAGACCAGCCCGATACTGCACTCCAGGAGACCAATGATATTGATGTTGACTCAACAGAACCAACTGATGCACAACATTTTAGTCTTGGTTCAAAGCAGGTGGCAGTGTCATTCACACACATCGAGGCAGGTAGTCCAGGTAATCCAGTGTTTGAAAGATTTTGGATCAAGCTAAACGACTTTCTGAACTGTGCATTTGCTGCCAACAGCATACCATTTCCAGGTGGATGATGGATTCAACTTGCTGCGAGCGACATGGTGAGTTGATGATGTTTGCAGCTCCGAAATGATATAATCTGTCTTACTTCGAGTCCTTTTGAATTAGATTGTGAAATATTGATTCCTTAAAGTCAATTTTGAGTCGCTTGTCGACTGGTGAATGTCCATGGACTACCTTTGATGCACTCCGATGTTTCATGGCTTACTGTGATATGATTGCATCATCTTGCAGACCGACACTGGCATCATCTTTGGCAAACTAATGTTGATTTTCACCTGCACAGTAGGGGATATTCAATATCCTGTCACACTTGTTCTCCCATATGATTGACTGGTTGGCATTTGTCCATGAAAGGACAAAGACTTAAAGTTTTGGTGCGTTAAGAGAAAGCCTAGGGCTTCTGCAGAGTTTTTCTCAGTTCACTCAATTGTTTGGGGTTGTATGATAGTAGAGGATGTCAGTAGACCTGACAAGTTTTTAATTGTTGACACTTTTGATACAGATATGTTCCTTCAAATGCAGGACATCCGCAGCCAGTGACTCTTATTACTTCCGACCTCCTTCTTTCCCTGCATCTGCATCTGCCTTTGACTATTAGCAATGTCGTCCCTCATTATTAGGACAATTTCATTTATTTCTTATTACTATTACAGTCTTCTTCTATCTTATGATGCACAGTGCCTGTTACTAACTCATTGATTGAGATTCAGAGGGTCTATGCTGTGTCATAATGGCCCACATCATGTCAGGTAATACCCAATATCTGTGCTCAAGATTCAGTCAACGACCTGATGAACATTACCAAATCTTTAGTTGCATGCTCAAATTGAGCATCGAGAATCACCATCATCGGCCCTTAGTACAAAACTCTTTGATATCAAAGAGATCAAGTATGAGGAGAGGAACAGTGGAGCAAGAAATATGCACCCAGACCTGTGAAACAAGGTGCATCAACCAAGTCTTGACCTTCCTCTCATCGAGATGGGTGATCATGACACATTCAAGGGTGAAATCACCAGCAACCCTGGTCCTGTTTCTGGAGAACTTCACATCCTTCCCACCCCAGGAAGCAGACAAAGCAGCCCTCCGATCCCAGCTCGTCCCAGCCATGATTGCACTGTCGGAACATCCGCATGCTGCTCACACAGAGCATGATCATGCCTATGCCTATGAATCCTGGACCTGGTCCCTTGTTTACCCAACCCATTACACCAAACATCCCCACCAGTTCCTCTGAGAAGGAAAATTTGGGCGATATCAAGGAGCTTCTTCCTGATGGGTCTGTCTCTGCAGTCCTCTCTGTGGGGTACCACATTGGGTTGGCAGGCAGACTTGGAGGTCCCTACAACCCTGCAGCACTGCGTGCAAAAGCTGCCAAGATTCATACACAAATTCCTACTGGCATCAGTCTCATGCTCAATGCCCTCTACATCAACCCCCATCAATTCAGCTTCCACATCTTCATATTGCTTCGGTGATTCAAGGTGCATTTTCTCACTGCTTAGGGTGAGTATTGTGGCACAGGGCATGTTTCAATTGCATGAAATAAATCAGATGGAGTGTGAGAGAAAGATTTTGTAGGTCAAGGACCTTATCCGACTTACATTCTTCCCTCATCATCAAAGACAACCCCTCCTCCTATAAGGAATCCCTTCCTGCCTCCTCCAGCCACTTTGGCACCTATGCCCACATATGGCCATCGTTATCCTTCACCACCAAAGCCTGCTTTCTCTTCATACTACTCTGCCAGACCCGTTATCAGCCACACCTTCATATTGCTCCAGCAACTCAAGGCATATTTTCTCACTGCTCAGGGTGAGTATTGTGGCACAGGGCATGTTCTGATTGCATGAAATCAATCAGATGGAGCATGAGATGTGTCAGTATCTGGAGCGAGGACATGGTCAAGAAAGATTTCATAGGTCAAGGACCTTACCCGACTTACATTCTTCCCTCGTCATCAAAGACAACCCTTCCTCCTACCAGGTATCCCTTCCTGCCTCCTCCAGCCACTTTGGCATCTAATATAACTACTTACTGTTGGTGATGTGATCCCAGGGAATAGTTGCAGGTCCAGGAGCTGGAAATAAAGCTCAAAGTTGAGCTAGCTCAAGGGGTATTCTAATTTCATGTATTCTGAATTATGCACTGTCCCTATGCTAATATAAATACCGCTAATGTTCTGAAACTGATGTTCAGGTGTGTTTCAATGAATTGTCAGTGTGATTATGTCAGCATTTGATTGCATTTCTCGCTAAGTCATTTGGTTGAGTTTACCATTGTAACTAAGTTGCAACTTCTGAATCTTAGTCTGAAGCCAATTGGGACCACAACTCAAGCACAATTCAAGCAAGTGCAGGTGAGTCATTGTTTAAATTGGATGCTTGGCTGCTGTCCGATCTTCTTCATTACGTCGAGAGCAGGTCTTGCTGACAATACTATTACTCCACATCTTTGCCATGAACTGTCGGCTCCTCTGAGAATGAAACTGCCAAACATATAAGTTGTATTGACATCACCCACATGCTGATTTCAATTAAATATCAAAGCTATCATTTACAATGTAATTTCCCTCGTGTTTTCTTTCCTCATGTTCAGTCCAAGTTGCACAGCCAGGATTGACTAATATAAATTGTGGTGAGTCTGTTTTTTGTGCCATGTTTTACTTGACCTTACAACTTGTGGTGATGCCTCAGTATCCTATTGCACACCATGACTCTGACTCTGAGTTAGAGTACAATGATTCTGAATCGGATATACCATTGTCTTATGTGGCAGGGACTGTTGCATCAACCACCACTCAGTCATTGGCTTCTTTGCAGGGTGGAGACATGGAGGTAATGATGCCTTATTTCGCTTGCTATGATTTAGTAGCTCTAACTTTGTGCATCTCAAGATCATTTAGTGTCTGCAACTGGAAAACTAGTCTCTCAAGAATAATAATTGGACACTGGGCGAGAAGAACAAAGTATTGGCATCCAATCAACGTAGACATTCAAGCGCACAAGTTCCCAACGAGCTGAAGGCCTTTGACATTGAGCTCTCGACCTTTTCTCGCAAATATGGTGTTATTGCTGAGATGTTCCCACCTGAGCACCGCATTCTAAGGTTGCCAGTGCCAAACCCTCCACCTGTCATCATATCTCCTAGTTGTTACTCAACCAAGGGTGCCGAAGAACTTTGCCTTGTGACAGAGGTGTATTTGCTTCTACCAGATCACCTCCATCGTTTCATACCAACTTCTCATTTTCAATCATTGGTATGTTAGTTTATATGCTTCATCATCCCACCAAATACTAATTGATATCTAATTTAAATATTGCAGCTAGAGCAGCATCTCCAAGGTGGACACTCCAGTGAGATCAGCAAACTACGTTTGATGGCAGGGCACATCTTTGGTCTGGATTCGTCCTACTTTGACCTGAGTTTCATGAAGCAGGATACCATTCCTGAGATCCAGAAGATGCTTGGATCAGGTATTGCCGGTGGCCGCTCCTCACCATCAAAGTTTCCGCCCATCCTTTTCACAAATCAAGAGATGGACCCCACAATGTCCACAGTTTTTGGTAACTAGGAACCACTCATGAAGGTAATTTTTAAGCTTCACTCTAATGGATCTACATAGGCAATTAGGATCGTGATGTTTGGAAAGAATTTGCTAGACATTTCTGGCTGGCCACGCACTAAGTGCAATGCTCGAAAATGGGGCACAATGTCCTGTACTCCTGGCCTTCTTGCATGGGGTTGTGTCACAACCCAATAATGAATTAACACTGGGCAGAGACTAGGACTCAGACTAAGGTTATCACAACAGAAATAATGAGCAAGGACATCTTGGATTGCTACAATGATGTAGATACAAGAGGTTTGAACTAGAGAACTATCAATCAAGATGTGCTACCTATATACAACTATTGAATCTGAGATTGAATCTGAGATACAACTACTGACCAATCATAAAAAGGAAAAGGGAATTGTACCATAGAACATCATAGAATATTAAAGAAGTATCGCATGACCATATCTTATCTTATCGTATCTAATCTAATCTAATCATGATCAAAGAACTTGTCTTCTTCATCAGTCACATCGAAGACACATGTCGTGGGCGCTAAAGGGATTTCCGAACTGGTAGATGCTTTTACTGTAGGGTTAGGGTTTGACTTAGGCGCTGTGTATTGGCGCTTAGGGAGATTCAAGAAAGAATAATGGTTTGTTAAAGGTACTCGTGACATTACCCCCTCTCTGAGGTGAGTGTCATCATGAACAAATGAAGGTCAGATATTCTTTTCTCTCCATTGTTTGAAATCTTCTGTGAAAAGCACTGAGCCCTTGATTCTTCGGTATTTTCTGGCTGCAGCCATGGGATTCTTCTCATGAAACTCCGCTAAAGGAATTGGAGCATTCTTTAAGTTTTCTTCCGGCTCCCAAGATGACTCTTCCTTCGGGTATCCTTCCCATTTTACTAGGTACTGCAGTTTTCCTCGGAATAATTAGCTATCTAGCACTTCTTCTACAGCAAATTTTTCCTGATCATCAATCAATTCTGGAGGTGGTTGGTTTGGAGGTGTATAAGGAATTAATTGAGATGCATGATATGGGGTAAGCAATTCTACATGGAAAACCGGGTGGATCTGATATTTTTCCGGTAATTTCAACTTGTAGTTTACCTCGCCAATCTTCTCTAGTATTTCGAATGGACCTAGATGATGATCTGACAGCTTTTGACTTGGACGACATTGTTTGAGATTCTTTGCGTCAAGCCAGACCTTGTCTCCTTTCTTATACTGAGGTGTGTCTTTTACTCCTTTGTCGTAGAATCGCTTCATGTGCTCATTGACTGTTACGACTTGGATGGTATCTGTTGGCGACGCTCTGTTTGAGCGTGTGTCGTCAATGGTCGAGGACGTCCTTGGGCTAGCCCAAGGTTAGGGGTCTTACTTGGCGAGGCTTCGGCAAGTAAGATTTGATGCCTATGTCCAAATCAGGTAGCTTACGTCAAGTGGGTGCTAGACAATGAGCTGTATCTGCCAAGGCTTACGACACCCGAAGGTTAATCGTAAGATCATTGTTAATTAGAAGGACGGAAGTCCGACTAGTTAACAGGGGCTTTGCTCGTCGATGAAGTCGATGAGTAAAGATCGAGACTATAGGCTTATCCATGAAGAGCAGATAAGAAGATAGAATATAGACTGCTGGCAAGGCAGAAGGGATCACTCTGGTGAGAGTAGGAGGTCAAGAACCAAGTAGATTCAAGTTAGGGAATACAGTACATGGTAGCGAGTTTATATAGAGGACAGGAGACGTATTAGTGGGTGATAACTCGTACTACCAAGAGAGGCAATAGGTAAAGGGTATAACCATAAAAGGAAGGCACGTTCGCGTTGAGACACGGACGAGGTAGAACGTGCTGGATAAGAAAGTGAGTCAAAGATCGAAATAAGAAGTGAAATGCGCAGGGGCATGATCGTGCAGCTGCGGAGCTAAGTATAAGTCGCATGTGCGACTGCGCACTGAGTCAGAGATCAAGAAAGGGGAAAAGGGCAAAGGGGATGTGTCGTGCATCATATCATAGGTTACCGTCCGGACGGTAAAGGCAAGGGGACGGTCCACAGGATCAGTCAGGTGGTGGAACGGAGCATGGGTATGCTTCGTCAGCGAAAGGATCCGGCCAGATGTACTGGCTCTGCTGAAGCGACAGGTAGAGGGCAAAAGGGAATGCGAGGATGACGAGGATAACAAGGGTGAGGTCGGGGTAAGGGTATGATGCGAGGGCTGATACCAGAAGGATGAGGAGAAAAATGGTAGGGGCCCAGGCGTCTAGATGTTCTTGTAACATTGACCATCTTGAGAGTATTTTCTGCATCATCTCTCGCTTCTTTCATCTGATCAACTCTCTCATCAGCAGTGGGGATTACAGACATGGAGTTTGGGTGGATTGTGAAATCTGGATTATACCCATAGAGGACTTCAAACAGACTGTGACCGGTTACTGTGACTGCATTGTTATGTGAAAACTCTGCTATTGGCAGCCAAGATACCCAATCATTTTGTCTATATGACGTGAACATGTGCAAATATTGTTCTACTTCTTGATTCATGTGTTCAGTCTGTCCATCAGTTCTGGGATGATAGGAGGTTGATGCAGACCATTTTGTTCCTAATCTTTTTGACATTTGTCCCATGAACTTTGATATGAATTGAGTTCCTCTATCTGAGATCACTTTCTTTGGTGTTCCATGGTGTTTCCATACATTTTTCAGAAATAGCTTGGAAATACCCTTCGAGTCTACATCTTTAGTGGTGGGAATGAAGTGTGCTTGTTTCGAAAATCGATCAACGACTACAAAAATGCTATCACACCCTTCACTCTTCAGTAAATCCACTATCAGGTCACAGGTGATCATTTGCCAAGGTCCTTCTGGAACTTCATTTGGCTGTAAAGGTCCCATTGGTTTACTTGGAAGCACTTTTGTTTGTTTGCACCTATCACAACCATCTACATAATCATGGACATACTTCGTCATTGAAGGCCACCAATAGTTTCTGGAAATCAATTCTAAGGTTTTCACTCGTCCAGGATGTCCAGCCAGCAGAGAGTCGTGAAACAAATCCAGTATCTCTTGGCAGATCTCTTCATCATTTGGAACATAAATTAATCCTCGGAATAACACCAATCCATCTTCCACATTCCATTCTTCAACTCCTCTATGCAATTGAACCAGTGCTGCTTTTAACATTTCTAATGCTCTAGCGACTTCAGGTTCTCGTTCTGTGCATTTTCATATTTTTTGGAGTAATTGATTCTCTCCATGCACCAAAACTTGACCTCTTTTAGCAGCTTTTATGGTAAAGAATTCCGGTTTCAAAAGAATGTGATTTGAGTTATCGTTTTCTACCTCCCCCCCTCTATGGTCTGATCTCCGAGAAAGACAGTCTGCTTTGTCATTAACCACACCAGGCTTATGTTGGAGTGTAAATTCATACTCCGCTAGGAAAAGACTCCATCTAGCTTGCCTTCTGGTCAACTTTTGACTCGTCATGAAATATTCCAGGTTCTTATGATCTGTCCATATCTCAACTGGGTGAGGTGCTCCCTGCACATAGTGCCTCCACTCTTCCAACACTCTAATAATTGCTAACAACTCTTTGTCGTGAATGTCATAATTTCTTTCTGCATCATTCATTGACTTAGAGTAGTATGCCACTGGGTGCCATAATCCATCTTCCATTAGTTGAGAGAGAACTGCTTCTGTTGCATAATCAGAAGCGTCGGTCTCTATTTTCTTTTTTTTCTCAATGTCTGGCATGACTAAGACGGGAGCTTCTGTGAAATGTTTCTTTAATTCATCAAAAGCTTTTTGTTGCTTCTCCGTCCAATCCCATTTGACATCTTTTTGTAGCAGATCATTCATTGGTCTGGCTATCTCCAAGAACCCAAGTATGAATCTTCGATAGAAGTTGGCAAAACCCATGAATGCTTGTATATCTTTTACACATTTGGGAACAGGCCATTTCAATACTCCTTCTACTTTCACAGGGTCCATTGACACATTGCCTTCCTCCATGATCAACCCCAGGAACTCGACTTTAGACTGTTCAAAGCTACATTTCTCAGGCTTCAAAAACAGGTCATTCTCCTTTAACCATTTCAGGACTTCTCATACCACCTTTTGGTGCTGCTCCCTATTTCCATTCGTAAAGACCATTATATCATCAAGTAGATGACTACTGTTTTGCTATCTATCAGGTCTCTTAGAATTTCATTCATCATAGTTTGGAAGGTTGCAGGAGAGTTTGTGAGTCCAAAATACATCACAGTCGGTTCATGGTGACCAAATGGCATTTTGAAGGCCGCCTTCCACTCATCTCCTTCTTTCATGCGAATATTATTGTATCCCCATCGTACATCCATCTTAGAGTACATCGTGGCACCGGTTAAAGCATCAATTAAATCTTGAGATCTTGGTAGTGGATATGCATTTTTAACCATCTTCTCATTGAGCTTTCTGTAGTCCATTACTGGTCTCAACTTGTCATCCTTTTTGGCCACAAAGAAGAAAGGTGCTGCTACTGGAGATTGTGAATCTCTAATACGTCCTAGTGCAGTCTCGGTTTTCAACCATTCTTTCAATGTATCCATCTCTTTAGGTGACAATGGGTATGGTTTCGCATTTGGCGGAAGATCACCTTCATCTTTAAGATCTATCACATGATCCCACTTCTTTCTTTCAGGGAAGTGCTTAGATTCTTCTTCTAAGAATACTTCCAGGTAATCATGAAGCCAGTCGGGTACCATTTCTTCTACCGACTTCTTCTTCTTAGTAGCTTCTTCTGCTACCTTCTGTTCCATGGTGACCGAGGCTTTGTATCAAATCCATAATCTTTCAGGACTCTCTTCATCTTCTATTTCCTCCATGGTCATTCTCTTAACTGTCACGTCTTCTTCATCATGTTGATCTGCCATTACAGGCAACAAGCCAGGTATGTCTTCGACTTCTTCTGACTTTTTCTTGTTTTCAGCCCTGTTTCAGAGTCTTTTCTCCTTCTTGGTTTCACATTTCACCAGGCATCGTGAAAGTGAAAACTTCCCTGCATTCCAGTCAATCTCAGAGTTATGGTATCTCAGCCAGTCAATACCAATGATCACATCATCGTTTCCTAAGTCTGTAACCATGAATGCTGTCTTTTCTTCTTCATGGTTACCAATCTTAAGACCTAGTTCAGCAAAGTGAGTCATCGATCCCGAGGCATTAAGAGATCCATCAATATTTTTAACCTGGATTGGACGCAGTAATTTTCTGCATTCTCTTTGACAAAATGTTCGTTGATAAAGAGCGTAGACGCTCCACAATCTACAAGAGCTTTCAAATCTGCAGATTTGTTCTTTCCCTTAAGTGTTATGGAAAGATAGAAGTGTTCTGATTTTGTCTTTAGATTTACTTCTTCTACATCCACAAAGTTTGCAAGGATCAAGTATCTACTGCCCGACTTGTCTGTCTCTTGTTCCTCCAAGATTTTGTTCTTTCTAGAGGCTTCCCATTCTTTAAACCATTTAGGCGGTTCTGATACCTTTTTGGCAAGTGCGTCTGCCTTGGCTTTCATCTTAGCCAGTATCTCTTTGCCTTCTGGTGATATAGTCCAGTTTTTGAACCATTTGGGAATCTCTGATTCTTTCTTCTTTGCTTCTCTATGAGCTAAGAAATCTTGGAACCAACTAGGAGGTGCGGAACTATCTGAGGAAGGAAAGGAATTTGGAGTTCTGCAGTTTCTTGCAATGTGATTTGGCTTTCCACATTTGTAACAATTGAAGGGCTGTTTAGGCCCATTCATAGCCTCATCAAGTGTGTGAAACTCATGCAAGGAGTAAGTCTTCTTAGTCATTGTACCAGTTGTATTCTGGAACCCACTTTACAAATGACGTAAGAAGTTTGAAGGGCGAGTTGTAACAGCCCTTCCAGAAAAGGAATAATAAAGTGGTGGACGAGTTGTAATGGTCCACCCAAAAAGGAATGATGATTAAGGGGAGAGGGAAAAAGAGTATGTAAATGGAAAACTGAAGCAGTTCCCGATACTAATTGGATCTACCACATACTTCAGGGTCAAAGGGTTCTTTAATCAACCCAACTGATGCTTCCCTATCTACTAACTAAAAGAGAGTACGTAAACTACACCTTTGTTAAGTGAGAAAAATGTGGTGTGCTTCGTGTGTGTTACTTCTCAATCACCGTAAGGGTACGAGCCAAGGACAAGTTATCACTCTTCCAGCCAAAGCTTACAAGTGCAAGTCTCACTTGGACACCGTATCTAAATCCTCTTGGTAATGATGGTAAGACTATCCGCAGATGTGACAGTTCTACTAAACTTAACAAGAAAGGTACTACATGCGTACAAAGAAAAGGTAATTGTAAAAGGAAACTATAGTAACGTGAAGCAGGCAGGGTCTTGGGCCAGCACTTCAAGTTGTAGTGAGACACCTAATGTCGTCAACACCTCCGTATACTGGCAGCTGCAATGTAAGGCAGGGCCTGGTATAGGACTACTAACTACAAAAGGCTATTGGTAGAAAAGCTCAAGCAAGCAAAAGGGATGGATTTCAGAAAATGGTCATGGTTGTTTAGACCAGGCAAGAGAAAAATGTTTAATGGATGTTAGATGGGTATCTCACACAAATGTGCTGCTGAGAGACACGTGTAACAACAAGTAAAGATGATTGTTTGAATTGTTGGTCAACCAATTGGTCGGCCAAGGCTTCAAAGGATATAGTAATGAATGCCAGTGGTATGCGAGAGTCAGAGTCTCCTATAGTTCAAACCTAATGTCACAACCCAATAACAAATTAACGCTGGGCAGAGACTAGGACTCAGACTAAGGTTATCACAACAGAAATAATGAGCAAGGACGTCTTGGATTGCTACAATGATGTAGATACAAGAGGTTTGAACTAGAGAACTATCAACCAAGATGTGCTACCTATATACAACTATTGAATCTGAGATTGAATCTGAGATACAACTACTGACCAATCATAAAAAGGAAAAGGGAATTCGTACCATAGAACATCATAGAATATTAAAGAAGTATCACATGACCATATCTTATCTTATCGTTGTCTTCTTAGATAGATGATCTATAGATGAACACCTACAAAATCAAATATCTCCACGGTCAGTGATTCAGACAAATACCAATGACTGATAACGTGGTTGTTCGTGGGTGGCCTGTCAGTATATCCAAGCTACGGTCAGACAAAGGTACTCTACGATATCAGTCTAGAAACACTAGTTAACCCAGTGATATGGTGTTGACTAAAAGAAACAAAGAAACAGAAAAAAAAGAACCAAGACTAAGCACAATCACTGGTGCTAAACAGAAATAAGAACTAAGACTAGGCACAATCAATGGTGCTATATTCTAAACTTACTATGAAACAATTGTGCGAAGCTGTATTGGTCACTCCCACAGCACAAACAGGTAGGATCAAAGGTTAAGACTTGTCAAAAGCTTCCGTAGAACTCTTAGCCTAATATTGAATCTGCTGCCAAGGAACTCACAATGAGTATTAAACAGAATCAGAAACGGACGTCCTTGGATTTCAATATCAAGTCCCTTATTCAATAGCTAAAGCCTATCTGACAATCAACAATCCTGGCTCAGTATACTACTCAGATGTGTGAGGTCAAGTGAACAATAATCAACTCCTGAAGTCTCCCCACTAAGCTACTCTGAGCCTTTAGCAGACATAGAGACAACACGAAGAATTCAAAGGTAAGGCTCGAATGTATTTGCTACAATCAAAAGTACGTTAGTATCAGCAGCAAGAAACAAACACTCAGAATATATTCGCTAAAATCTATAACACGTTAGTGACATGACAATAAACGAGCACTCAGACTGTTAGCTTTCAATGGGTAGAGAGAGTGAAACAGATAGAGTGAAACAGAACCCAGACTAGTGAAACAGAGATAAGGAAATAGATCCCAAACTAAAAGAAATAGATCCCAGACAAAATGAAATAGATCCCAGACTAGAGTGAAATAGATCCCAAACTTAAAAGAAATAGATCCCAATCCTAGAGAAACAGATAGAAAGATAGAGACAGAGACATGCGCACACAAACACAAACACTCAGAAAAACAAGAGACTTCTCAAAACAAATAACCAGGCCTTGCAGGTTGTTGAGCACAGTGAGCTCAATGGCTCCTACTGTCTCATCAATGTACCCGACAATGTCGAACAACTCTTTGTGGTTGTTGCTGATGCTGATCACACACAAACCTCACTCGCAATTTTATTAAGGGTGACTCTGGGAGTCTGATTGATTGCATTTCAGGCCAAAATGGAGGTCCTTATATAGACAAATCTATGTGGCTGTGCTAATTTACTCCCGCGTACCTAGGTATATTCAATTTTCGTTTTCTCACGTATCTAGATATACTACATGATTTGTCAGGCTTAGTCATAGATCAGCTGACTGTGGTAAGAGAACATGGTTTACATAATATGTTGAAACTTGTTTGTATTTGGTGTTATTTAGAGACGTAGCATATGTCATAAAGCAAAACCGGGTAACACATGTATTTAAAGTTTCCTGGAAGTTCCCGCAAACAAACATATGCGGAAAGTATTTTTCATGGAAGCTTCAGATGCGTGAGAATCTAGCTGAGTCATCTTCGAGCCAAATAACACAAAATTCATTCCATGCAAAATTCCCAAAAAATATTCACTAACACTGCACGGTCATGCACTGGACCAGTTTGGTGCAGGTCATCATATCTAATCTAATCTAATCACGATCAAAGAACTCATCTTCTTCATCAGTCACATCGAAGACACGTGTCATGGGTGCTAAAGGGATTTCCGAACTGGTAGACGCTTTTACTGTAGGGTTAGGGTTTGACTTAGGCGCTGTGTATTGGCGCTTAGGGAGATTCAAGAAAGAATAATGGTTTGTTAAAGGTACTTGTGACAGGTTGGGTCACAGTGAGTTCTATTTCTGCTATCATTGGTCCTCTGGATCAGCAACTAGCTACTATTCTCTAGTTGATCTTCATCCTTTCTTCCAACACTTCATTTGCGAAAGCTGGAGTTGGTGTGAAGTCTCGGCTACCATATGCTGCCATGTTTATGGCCTACAAGCAGCTGTGGGTAACCCTTTGGGACCAGCCTCGCATTTGTGCAATCCACAACAAGATTGATGCCTATATCTGGCAATCATCCTTGACTTCCAATATTGCAATGTCCAAGATTTTACCTCTGATCTGATGTGTTTGGCCATCACAAATGCAGGGCATAAGGAATCCAATGACTTTCCTGGACCAACAACTACCAATGACAACCCCGTCAATGACATTCCTGGACCGGCCATGCCTACTACACCCATGATCGCTCCTTCAGCACTGGCCATTGTCCCTGCAAATGCTACCACTACTCCCAATCCTGCAACCCTCTTGCCGGCTATTCCAGCCCCTGGACCACCTGTGGCATCTGAATCTGCAGGTGCAGCTGCTGCCACTGTGGCCTCTGAAGACTCTGGACCTGGAGTACCTGATGATGTACCAGTGGTAGTGACAGCCCCATCTTCTGGTCGTCAGGGCCGAGGAAGGAAGGCAGGGATGCTGGCACCTGTATCTAGTGGATCAGTGAGTGAGCAGGCTGCAGGCCGACCAAAGCGAACTCGGAAGAAGTAGGACCGCTACCTACAGACTTATTACATGTAGGTATTATTTGATATGTTTTGTTGAGGATGGTGCCAGTTTGTAATTGAATTTACTTGCTCTCAATTAAATTTCAATTAGAATGAAATCTCTTCCAATATCGTTGAGACCCAGTTAAAATATTTAGATAAGCCTTGAAATTTAGATCTCAAGATACCAAAAAATTAACTTGGACAGTTGCAGCTGACGGTCAATATTGCAAACTCGGTTGAAACCTGATTGGAATCACCATTGTGACATAAACTCAATATTGTAACGTGAAATGTAATATAAATGTAATGTCACACTCTTTTATTGGAACCTGTTGGGACCTCGACTTGTCATTGGATCATTGCAACACATTACAAGGTGATGAAACCTGATTAGGAAATTTCTGACATAGACAACAAAGTGCTCCTAGTCTGGTTCCAAGTGGAACACCCCAAATTTGTGGTCCACATCACACAGGGAAAGATGTGCTAGAAAAAGCAGCTATTCTTGCAGAACACTGAAGATGAGGAATCTAAAGTATGGAGAAATATGATGCTAGACCAAAGAAACACAGAGAGTCCTGAGTGTGAGTGGCATGTCAAGCTGAGCATGCAAAGAAGCCTAGCAACAATGACCTCCCTGACAGTATCAATCAAAAACTATGGTGGCGCATTTTTATCTTGACATATATGCAATATGTTGCAACATTGCCCAATCCCTGGGATGTTCCCACCAAGTTAGCTTGTCAGAAGTTGCAGATCATCTGGGACTCAGTCTTCTCTAGTATTCCTTACATGGTGAACCTCACCAGTTCAGTTTACCACATTATAAGGGTGCTCAAATGTGTCATTGGCAGTATCAACTTCATGTGTTTTTGACTGTCCGGCAAGTCACAGACTCCTACCACAGTTACATTGGCTCAGCTACTATTGCCATTGTCATTGCATATCTCAAATCTCAAGACTCACTCAAGGATTCTGACGACAATCGCACAGAATTTGCCCAGTTCACACTCAACAAACTCCAATTCTTATACAAAAAAGCCAATGGCAATGACAAGTCTGTACGTACTGCTACCACTCAACTTCAATCCCTCCAAGTCATGTGCTGACACTTTATGCAGAAATTCCAGGGCCTCTATCAAGGTGCATTCGCAGTCCAAACATTTGGAGCATACTTCACTGCAATTAACGGCACTCACAAGGTCCTTGGGTTAGTGGACAAGTCAGGGGTCTCATCTAATCCTGCTAGGGGTCCTGCATTGTCATGTGCTGTGGTGCATGATCATTTTATTTATATTGATATAATTTTTTCATGATACTACCTCCACCAGCACTGCTTCTAATTAGGTTGAATGAGCTTTGACACTCTGGTCCACCCATACACTGACTATCAAAATGGTTTGGGCTGCTAAGGGAAAAAATATCACTTTGCCAAAGACACTGAACCAATTGACCAGTAAGGTATCTAGTCAACAAACAGGATTCAACGACATCTCTTGGAGTACATCTATGTGAGCCTATGTAAAGGCAATTGTGAAGAACCTGCACAACAACAAATTCAACACTATCATCACATTTGTGATGGAATTTTTGAAGAAGAGTCATTGGCCTTGTGATGATATTGCTGATGATGTCACTGATGATGAACTCCTCAATCTGGATGAGTGTGCTCAACTAGTTAATATATCAGACACTGAATCTAAGTCTAAGGGAGATGGTGACTCTGGCCCAGAGTAATAGGAGTCTTATACTGACCTATACCTCCAACAAGTCGATGGTGAGTGTTTTTTTCATTATTTTTACCTGACACTAATATTCAATTCATTTAAGCTTCTAACTTGCTAGTAGTAGGCTACCATTGCTACTACTACTATTGTCAGTGGACTTGAAGCTGGTACAATGCCGCACCCATCGAGTTACCATTGGCAGTGCTGCTGTACTAGCTACTAGCCTATTAGTAGTACTACTATCTATTAGAGCCTCTTACGAGGAGGCATGTCTTGACAGTCCTTATTATGTTTGCTTTCTCTTGTCTGCCACCCTAATTTGCTTTTGTTCTTACTCACACTTGAATCATGATGAATGTCTTTTGTACTGCTACTATGGGCGCTTTCTTGCTGCTTGAGTGACTGCTTAGCAAACTTTAAGCTCCTTAGTATTTAGGCTATAAAACTTAAGAAATGACTTCAAGTAAAACAATACTACTTAGTACTATAGTAAGTACTGCACTTGTTCCATCAAGGGCTCCAATTGTGATATTAAGTACATGAAATAAACAGGAGTCCTAAGTCATTATCCTTACTACTAGGTGTCTTGGTCCTTGACTTACTTTTGACTTTATATCTCTTGACAGCCTTAAAGCACAGACTTATTTAAATTTAGAGCCAAATTTTTAAACAAAATTGTCCTTAGCACTACTGATCTGCTTGACTTGACTTAGCTTTATACCAAGCACTGCCACAGTCTAGTGCTCACTGAGTAGCTGGAGGCCCGAGTGTGTACTTTTCTAGTTATTAATGAGAAGCTGCAAAGTCTAATTCATCAGAAGACCCTACTTGTTTTAAGTCAGGGCCTACTTAGACAAATTTTGCTTAACTGTACTTGAAATTTTTGTCAAGTCACACAAAGTTCCTTTAAGTTGTGGTAAGTAATTTTATGATTTTCCTGATGCTCACTTGCTCATGAACAGTTCCTGAAATATTTATCTTCAATGGTCTTAGCCAAGTGATTACCAGAGTCTAGGTTTGAAACCTGCTGAATAATAATTTTTTTTCTATTAACTTTGACAATGGTCTCCTTGCATCGTTAATTTGCATTTTATTTTATATGTGCTCAAGTTGAGCACAAATACACTTACCTGAAAGTCGAGGCACTCCGATACTGGATCATCAAAAAAAGCCCTCCTCTAGCGAGTCCCACAATAAAAATCCTTCTCTTTCTCATGTACCATGTTATGAGGCATGCGTGTGATTACGACTGCCCCAGCCTATTGGTAATCACGGCATTACCCATTTGATCCCTTTTCTGTTTTGGAACTGCATAGCAGAAATATGAATGCGAGCATAGCGAGAAACAGTTCTGACGGATACCAACAAGTGAGATCCAATAAGGTTCTGACCACGTCTGAGATGCACGCAAAATTTCAAATACTCGGATGAACTGTTCGTGTCACCCAGCTCGGCATAGCTCTTGTATGGAAACATATCGAAGAATTGGAAGTGTCCTGCCGTTGCACCACGGTATGAATGTACAAATGTCCACAAATAATAAAACGAAGAAAGCGGATAGACTGAAGAAGCCACGGTCAACAGATATCCAGTTAACGAGAGAAAAGCCTCACGTGACGCTCTGTTCAGCCTGGTTTACCCTTCTTGTACGTTCCGTACGGTCCCACTGTGCCTGGCGCACCACCCAGTATTTTCTTTTGTGGTTGTGGAGGCTGAGGAGGATGTTTGCTTGATCCAGAACGCGGTCCGAGCAGGCGCGAGTTGTCTACTGCATAATCTGTAATATTCCATTTTGTATCAGCCTCGATCTCATGTACCTCCATCCTCAGCATTCTCCGCAATATAGAGTTCTCTCGTTCCAACCGTGCGAGCTCACAGTCCCTTTCAAGAGACCAATCTTTCTTTTCTTCGAAATCAAACTCCTCCGTATTGCCTTGCTTTGCCCCGGGCGAAGGATTATCAGCAACTTCGACATCCTCGCCATTCAGTACGCGCATGAGATAGCGAAGCGTGTTTGATATTCGCCCGAGGGCCGCGGATTGGGTAGTGCTAGCCGACAGTGCACGGAGAAGGTCTTCTGACTCCCTGGCGATGAGCTTGGATTCGTACTCGCGAATGAGAGTGAGTTCATGTTCTTGGACGTCACGCTGCAGATTAATTACCGCGGGTAACGCATGTACGTAGGGCGGCGGATCGAGGCGAGGGAGGAAAGAGGTCATATTTTTGTCGGTTACCAATGAGCTACCCATGAATATATACACGTACAGCTCTTGTGCGGAATGCACTCATTACGCTTTCGAGTGTCTGCTCGTACTCCCGAATAAGCGCACCAAGTTGTTTGTTGTCATGCTGCAGCGTCTGATTCTCGGCCGCAAGAGAGGCATTCATACGTTCTAGTTCCGCGTCATACACATCTGGGTTCAAGGAAAGAGTTAGTCGAGCAAAAATATATCAGCAGTGAATAAGACAAACCTTGAACCTTGTCGAGGTTGAACCTGCAACATGATCAGTTCCAATCTACAAATACCGCTAAACGTTCACGTTCCCACCTGCGAAGGACAAACCCCGTTTGTGTATGTGTCGCTTGAGTCTATGGCTCTATATCAATCGAGGGTCTCTGGCTTTACTAAAGGAGCAAAACCTTTATAGCACCAACTGAGGCATGGAGCGAAAACGATATAGAGCGGTTCTGCGTAAGCTGCTCTGAGAGTTCTTGGATACTGTTGAGCAAACGAATAAGATCATTCTCGCTGTTTCCGTCGACGATCGTCATGTCATGAAGGCGAAGGAGAAGTGGGGGGTCGTATGGCACCACGAGGGGTCACAAATTAGTTCCTTGTGAATAAGATTCTATACCAAGATCATTTCGTCTAAATACAGCACTCTATTTTGCACTAATTGCTTAGCTACTCTACATATACTGAGATCATATTTGAAGCAAATCTGTTGGAGATTAGACCTGCCGACGTCGGACATTGAATTTGATGAGGCAGGCACCGGGAAGTGAAGCCTACCGGAATGCTGAGCGGCTGCGCTGTTCGCTTCACCACTCGTCCGCTGCACAATGAGCTGATCGGCGCTGACGATGTTGATATTATGTAATAAACTTGAATCGAGATTAAATTCCCCAGTTGTATATATTACTAAGAACGTTACTTACTTAACGGCGGGACTCGAAACAACTCTCACAATACTATTGCCTCCGTGCCGCGCTGGATTTCGGCTTGTACGTTGGTGCCTTCGCAAACAAGCCTCGGACTCAGACTCTTTGACTGTGCTGTGTGGTATGTGCATGTGCATGTGAGCAGCCGTCAATTTACTATCTAATAAACAATTTTCATAGGATCCGATTTCTGAACTCTGATGCTGTCCGGTTCCGGTAGCACAAGCCGCCTTGATTGCCACGCACCGCTTGGTCGCAATAGCATCCTTTGTAGGTACAGTCAACCTTTCGCAGCAGGGCGTACCGTACATATCCGAGTCAGACACTGCCCGCACCTTGGGAGCTCGGTCTCTATTTCTAATGCAAAATCATGCAGCTGTATGTAAACTCTCCTCGGCTGCATCCTGGACTCTTCAGATGAGGTCTAGAAATTCTTCAAAAAATATTTTCAGATCACCTGCCGTTGATGCGCTTCCCAAAGCAGGGGGGAATAGTTCACGATCCGCACCTGTGACATGGCGCTGCACTGCACTTCTTACTGCGGTAAAAATCCTAGTGAGTCATTTTCATCTGGTCTAATGCTATTAGGCCCAGTCCTCGACTTCGTACTAACTCAAATCACAATCTCAGATTCCGACTTGGGCACCTACAAACAGAGCCTTCTTGAAACTTTTTTCTCCAAAGAGCATTGGCCCACTTGCAGCTGGGATCTCATCACCGTCACACACATATCCCCATGTCTATTAGTACGCGATAAACACGCGCACTCCTGCTTTGAGGGTGCAATATATTCGGTCTACATTGATGGAGAACACAAAAACATGTCAGCCAGCGCCATGATCATTTCTAAACTTGTGTTTAAAAGTCAGCCATATCAGGTCAGGGTTTTGTCGCATTCATCAAAACACTCATACGATATCTTCTGTCTTAGGCTGTATGAAACAATTAATAAGGAGTCATTCACAGACGTCCCTCAAATGAGGGAAATGCAGCGGATGATAACACCGGGTTCCGGCAACATTGAATTCTGGGCTTTGCCACACGGCTTATGTCCCTGCACGCCTTGGACGGCAAGGCAATAGTTCCACGGTAGCTCCGCCAGTGAAGCATCAAGACTTCTACTTCTCACGACTTCCCATGCCGAACAGTCTCATGGCATGAATCATAGAATCCTTTAAGTACGAAAGCTTTTTGTTCACCCAAGTCTCATCACCTTCACAAACAAGTGTCCGTCTTTGGATAAGGCGATTAATCAGCAGTGATCTGTTATCTATTATATTTGTCAAAATCCGGTCCCTTGGCGCCTCAGGAGCCACACTTGCGTCTTCCCTCCCATACCCACTACTATGCATCACGCATTGCTAGTCGACGAGATTCTGCTGAGCATACTTTCCGTGGTGCGAGAAGCAGATGCATCATACAGCCAGCTCAACGCTCTCGCTCGGACATGTCACTTCCTATCACATTTGGCATTGGACTTTTTATGGTCGGATTTGCCGGACCTAAGGCCCTTACTCCAATTCATGAAACCAAGGATACCCAAGGTGCGCCAACAATCGAGCAACAGACACCGTGATAACTGACCCAATCCTTCAAGGACCCGCGCACATCAGTACCATGCATATCCTTCTTACGAGCTGCGTCTCGTGTCCGTAAATTATCATGTCCTGCTCTGGCATGTTCGGATACCAATTCCCAAATCGCCCTTACAGAACAACTGAGATTATTAAACATGATGCGCATTACGACCCCGTTGTTTCCCAATCTTCGTCGACTGTCGTGGACTGACACTGATCAATCACGCTATGTGTATATCGGACTATTCCTAAGTCCTACTCTGGAGTCGTTCGAGCTGGATTTCTTTTTCCACAAACCTCCCGACTTTCCTTTCCTAGCCTTACTGCCCGAACTCTGTCCCAACCTCCACAGCATGTCAATAAGCAAGCATTCTGTCATATCTTTATCAGAAGACGAGGGTCCCTCCGCCGTTCAGACAATTTGTCAGCTACCTCGTCTCACTTCCTTAAAATGCAAGTCATCGACCATCAGCGAAGCAGATCTTCTACACATATCTCAACTCAAGTCACTCACGACTTTAAGCTTGGGCATCCCTTCGTGGGTGTCAAGTGACTACGAAAGCTTAGGGCCTCGTAGTTCCAGGACAGGCAAGGACTGTGCTGATCGTTCGTGGTTTTGCAATTTGCGCAATCTGCATCTTCGCGCATATAGTTTGCCAATTATCACATCCTTTGTAGAACCTGGATGCAGGCCCCTGCAGTCAGTTGTCTTCGATATCTCTGAAGCACCAACTACCGCATCCTTGACAGAGTGTTTTAGCACACTTTATTCTAGTCAATGCGACAAAGAATGCTGCGCAATCCGTTCCATTGAAGTGCACGACAGACTTCTAAATGCTACACTTGGATTCTCCCAGCTTCTTCCCGACTCAAAGATCATCACAGTGGATGTATTCAAACCACTTTTCGCTTTCACCAAACTACGAGTTTTTGATCTGGGCGTGTGCCTGTCATTTTCTCTGGGTGACTCGGATCTTACAGCAATGGCAAGCTCCTGGCCAGAACTTGAGGTCTTTTGTCTCAATGAAGGGCGTAGTTGGCATCCGTCCGCTTCTGAGCCTAGATCATCAATCACTATCCGCGGTCTCCAATCGCTGTGCGCTCTGTGCCCGAGGCTCTATCGAATTGCGATAGTCTTAGATGCCCTGCCACCCTGTCCCATAATGTCCCTATCCACACAGCAGGATGCAACTCTGGCTCGCAATTTGGCAGTGACTTGTCTGAGCTTAGGAGATTCGAGGTTGGCCAATCCACAAGATGTCGCATGTGCCTTGTCCAATATCTTTCCCCGACTGAAGAAAATCATTGCGTGGCAGCATCCTTTAGATACAATGGCTAAAGGACGGTATTATCGCAAGCTATGGGAGGAAGTAAACGATATCTTGACATTACAGCGGTAGTCGAGTGATGTATAATGGACCATTAATATAACTGTACACAAGAAATACGTATATGAAGTTTTTTTTAAGTTACTCGTGTTACCGGTACAGGTGATGCGTCGGTTATCTGGATTCCAATCATGACTATCAAATATTGAGTTGTTTTTGATGAATCCAGTCGTGACTGAAAAAAAGCCAAAGCAGTTCTCGATCTGTTGTCGCCAACGGATCACCAAGAAATTTAGCCGTGCATTGCTTGCGTCTGCTGACGCCATATCTTTCACGTTGTGGATCGCAAAAAGGGCGCCATGAATCATTAGCAACTGAGTATCGAGCTTTCAACCAATCATGGCCCAGCAATGGTTCTGCCTCTGCCTTCGGTGTTTGCTGTTGAGTCATGTCAGGAAAAGATGTTTGCACTCCAAACTCAGGTCCGACCTCAAGGCTGCTCGGGCCTTCGGGTTGTGGATGCGATTGAACGACTCCTTGTTGTTGGATCGTCTGGTTACTTTCTTGCATTACGGAACCTCCTTGGCGCTCGTTAGACGTTGCCGAGCTGGATGGAACAGGGGTTGAACCACTAGACCGAGGGACAGGAGGTGCATAGAGATCATCACTGTCATCCTTCATGTGGATGTCGTCATGTCCAACGGAGGTTCCTGGAGGACTATTTGGACGAGTTCCCGGTTCCTGTCTATTTCCACAAGGATCCTTCACCATCGAATCATGGTGGACGTCTTTCTCTTCTCTAACAGACAGTGAGGTGAATGGAGAGTGAACCCTTTCGGAGAATAAAGTGACAGAGCGAGAGAGAGGCGTATCTTCTTTTTGTGCCATAGATTCTTTTATGTGTGAAGGATTTACACACTTGACATATTCAAGCTGCTCCATGTTTGGTAGATACCCGGACGAGACGAGTTTCTTTCCATCTGGAGCACGGGCGTACTTGAAAGGCACAGCAGGCTTATCTGGATAAAGCTCTGTTGTACGGGGATAGTCACCATCTGCTCTAGGACCATCAAGGTGCTGTTCTTTGAGCACACGTTTCACTTGGAGGCTTTTAACTGTAGTCGTCAGAAGTTTATTGTTATCTGGAAAAACACAAGCAATCAGAGCGCGAAACCGCGGAGCGTAGTTCTTCATCACCTATGATTCCCATTTGACCACCCTGCTGTTGTTGGTGCTGGCTGCCGCGGTTGTTGTGTTGTGTGCTTTTGGTATGGAGTATATGTGCGGTCGCCTCAATGCTAGGTCCTGCTGGCCCACCGCTGCGAGTTACAACATCCGGATCGATTTTCCTCTCGTCCTTCGGAAGTGCAAGCCCCAACGATGATTGCGCCTGAACGGTGGGCAGTGGCTGTTGGTTGTCGTCCGGTTTCGGTCTCAGCAATTGAACTGCAGTCTTGCTGCCAATTTCAGCCGCTTGATTCCTCTTACGACAACGTTTGCATATCCAGCTGTCAAGGCCATTCTGGCGATTGCCTTCGTTTGTAGAATTGACGAGCTTCATGAGTTCATCGCTTTCGACGGGAGGGATGTGACATCCTAAGGACACAAAACGATGGATATGTTTCCTATTAGAGGCGACTAATCGCTTACTATGATGCCAGTATTTGCTGCAGCTTCTGCACCGTAAAAGAAAGTTAACGGGTGAGCTGCTGGACTGTGAACAGCGATGACAAGACATGCTTGTACTATGAACTTGAGTCCAAGCTTTTATGTTAAAGAAGTCGTTTTGCCACACACTAACTGTAATTATTGCTATATTCGGAGCCCTCGCCTGCTACTTCACATTCCTCATCCACAAAATACAAGTGACTTCAGCAACTTGAGCGACTTCAACGAAACTGAACTCCTCATCAAATTTTTTCAACGCTGACGTGAATGTGGCCATGCAGAATGCTCAAATATCTGCTGTGACTTATGCGGGGCCCAGGCTCGACAAATACTAGTACCGATGGAGCAGCTAACGAATGGGAAAGAAGGTGGATCAAAACTCCACAAGGCGCGCAAGACATGGGCATGTCAAGGGTTCTAGACGCGATGCTAAGGAATGCCCGCGAAACTGGGGGCGAAAGCTCCAAGCGTTTAGTTATACGCCTATGCTATTTTCGCATGCATATCCGGAGATCCACGAGCAAGTCAGCTTCGCCAGGACCTGATTTATGTATCTACTTGAGTTAAACTTCGACCCCAATATCTGACATGTATACTAATGCGATATCCCCCTTTGTAGGTACAGCTAACAGCTGGATCTTATCGACCATTAGACCCGATCCTACGCTGACTTGTGACAACACGCGTTACAACTGCCGACTTTCAGCGACGTAGTGGATCGAAGAGCTTTGTACGTTTTGTTGGTAGACACTGGCTTTTGGCGCTATAGTGATTTCCACAAGGTCAATCGGCGAGACGGCGCCTGTATCATTAGCAGTATGCGGGACGAAGAATACATGCCCGCCGACAGCAATCATGTTTGACAACCTTGCATACCGCTCATACTCTGAAACGGTGCTGGGTACGGATTTCTCTTCTAGGCCAGCATTATCACTCAAGTTGGATTACGCAGACATATGCTTCAGCTGTAATGTGGGATGTTATTCGTCGTTACTCAGGAATGTCTGAAAACACTATTGAAAATATGGAAAGGCTTGCAGACTCTTTCAACGCCATAATTCTCTACGATGGTCTCCGCGCCTTCGATAAGCTGAAAGTCTACTTCGAATAGACGAAGGTGAGTGTGCGGGCTTTTGTCCTCACAATGCCTTGTATTAATCAACGCTCCAGCGAGACGACGAGTACATAGCCAAGAAACTTGACGACAAGTAGTGGATACACCTGAAGTTTCTCACAGCAAGACTGTCACGTTCTGGAATCACACTGCCATGAACTAGACTCGTCGTCACCTAACTTTCATTTCATCGCATTACACGTTAGGCATCTCCCATATTTTACATATGAGCGTCGCATCCGAGGTATTCGTGACAGGTTTGATCGGGTAGCAGGAGGTAATATTGCCGGGATTTTGAAAACACAGGGGACCCTGTCCATCAACCATTGTCTATGATGTCTGCCATGTCTATGTCAATCGCTTAGTATCTCGCACCTCTGGAGTTGTTAGAATAATGCAAGCTGAGATCTCAAGCAAGCAATACTAACTAGCACAACCCCAAGATCACAAACAGGCAGTAGGTAGTCCTTTATGACTGAGCGTCAATCGTTTACCACTTATACATGGTTTTTTTAGAGATGGAGATGGTACATTGTCCTCGACATAGACTCACTCATTGGTCATGCTACGACGTCGGCAAAGACCCCTTTCAATGCCATGCGCACTGCGTTATTTCAGTGAAGTGGTTGTTCATTTCCACACAATACAACTACATATAAGTGGACCAAGAGGTATTCCTTGAAACCGGGCAGCCACTATCGAGGTTGGGCGCCAAAGGCACGATTGCTAGCAGTAAGCTCAGCGCCCAATTTGTATCCCATAGTCTAGACAAATTCAGTCAGGATAATGACCGTCATATTAAGCAACTCACCTTATCCCAGTCTAGCTTCTGTCGCGTCAGGGGCAAGGCGCGCCTCAAACCTTTGAACGCCTTCTCTCCCATCTCATGATATGCATCATTCAGAGATGCCTGGCATCGCGATTCTTCAGCCTCGATCAATGCAAATATTTTAGATGCTGATGATGCAGGAGATAGTGACGACACAGCAGCTGGTATTGATATTGAGGAGTCATTCGATGTACTGAGTTGGACCTATACCAAACGTCAGACCAATGAGTTTTTGCCCTGCGGTGCCTTACATTGCCCTGTTCGTAGTAGTGAACATTCACGAGAACCCTTCCTTGTATGGTCCTACCCCCAAGGTCTATTTCATAGTGCGAGCGCCATCTACCAGCCCTGCAGAGATGATTTAGTTCGACATATGCTATGTGCGAGAATGAACAAACCAGTAATTTGATGGGTTGTATTTATTGGAGACGATCTGAACTGCAAATTGGGTGTTCGACATAGCCAGCACAGTAACAACTCCATCGTGGTAGTGTGAGCTCAAGTACGACAACGCAGCAGTTTCCAACGCGGCACTGATCTCTGATAAGTTCAATGCGCGTCAACGTATGACAGATAATCCACTGACCGCTGAGGCTCAGCCTCTGAAGGCTCCTCCGACTGAGGATCTGTGGCTTCCTACTAACGCCATCGGTGACCGCCGCTCGTAACCAAAAGTGAGGACTCACTAGAGTCAAGTGGTTGAAAACAAAAGAAGTTTTAGATCGTGGGTCTAGGTAACGCTCTTCGTCGGTGCCGGGTACACGCGCAAATTCGCTGACTATTGTCTAGAGCAAGACCCATTGAATAACATTATCTCGGCGTGTTGAGCTAGTGACTGACTTGATGGTGTTCACCTGGCACTTCGACCGTTGTGAACTGTGCGATGTTATATTCCCGAAGGGCAGGAAGAATGCCTTCCTCTAATCCCGCGTCATCATCTACGATGACGCGAACATCTACATGGAAATGTACCAGAAAGTCAGCGTTACATGGAAAGTACAAGGTACTAAGTGCTGGGCACCATTTAAGACGTCATTAATCTCTCCTGGAGGCGATTGAAGGATGAAGGAAGCGGCCACTTTGATACGATCTTCAGAACTCATCACGATGATCAACTCTTCTGACGCGTCGGCCTTCAATTGTACGTCGAACTTGAAACTGCGGCATTCGATATCAGAGAGCGATCGGCAACTGCCGACAAGAAATGCATAATCCGGCAAGTATTTGTGTTCTATGCTGGCGAAAGGTAAAACTACAGCTATGGAAGGGTTATACAATGCAGATGTTAATTCTGATGTATTTGTATATTTTGTAATGCTTGAAGATACGATGTGCTTTAAGGTCAGATGACAATGAGTGCCGTAAAATCATAGTTTGGCCTTGAACTGATCCTCAGTGACACCCTTGCCCATGGCTGCTGTGGACGATACACCACCGGTGACAGTCTTTATGAGATTATCGGCGTAATCGGCGCCACTCCACTATTCGAGCATTAGCTTCAGGACGCGCGCATGAAGTCGTAATGGCAAACCTTTTGATGCGTCAAGACATCGCAGCCAATCTCCCGTTCCTTGCTCTGGACAATCTCCACGTACGCTTTCATACCTTCCTTTGCATATGAACGGGCGAAAAGGTCGCTTATATACGCATTAGAGTGCAAGCCGCCGAGCTGACAGGTAAGATCCAGTCAGTTCAATCCTCAGTTGATAATTTGTTAGGTACTGACCGTGATGAATTGCCAGACGAAGCCGAGTTTACCTAGCTCCCAGACGAAACCTTTCATATCCTGACTATTCAAGCCTGCAGCCTCCCAGTTGAATGAAGGGCTGAGGTTGTACGCTAGCCAGTGACCTGGGCGCGCAGCATGGACCCCGTGAGCGAACTCCTGGGCTTGAGCCAAGATCGGTTTCTTTGTTTCCATCCAAAGGGCATCGGCGTATGGTGCGTATTCGATAGATCGTTTAATTGCGCACTGGGTGCCACCTTGGTAGCGATAGAACCCTTCCCGGGTCCGAGGTGTATCCCAGTTCCAGTAGGGTACAGACTTGAGACCAAATTCTCTTTGAGCAATGGCTACTGCTTGAGGGAACGACGAGTGTGTAACACGGGATATGAATCGATCAACTGTAGCTTGTGATGCACCTTGTGCGGTCAGGGCATTAGCCAAGGTCTCGGAGAACAACTGCAATTTTGCAGACGCAGTCCAAGCATCCTCAACCGCCTGCAATTCATCACCAGACTTGCCGGCATTCTCAGCATCGGTCATGACATTCACAAGAGGGGGAAGATCCGGGTTTGTGGAGCCAAAAATAAAGGGGTGGTCACGCTCATCAATGTTTGAGGTAATCAGGGTAGCGGCTTCTGAATCAGTCCGTGCAATGACCAAGTTCTCCACACCCATGATGTCGTATTGAAGTCGAATGGCAACGAGGCGGTTGATGTGCTCAGATATCGGCACGAGAACCTTGCCCGCCATGTGTCCACATTTCTTTGTCCCAGGCGCCTGGTCCTCGATATGTATACCAGCTGCACCTTTTTCGACGAACATCTTTGTAAGTTTCATGATTGCAGTGAGTCCGCCATGTCCAGTATCAGCATCGGCAACGATTGGACGAAGATAGTCGGTGGAAGGTGTCGCCGCAAGCTCTGCTTCGGACATATTCGAGCGAGCCTCGCGTTGCTTACGGTCATGGAAGAGCTGTGCCATGAATAAGTGCTCAACCTTGTTAGGAACCGTATTCGAGGGGTAATCTGGATGCAAGTTAAGGAAACTACCTCATCGCAGAAGGAAAGTGTGTACCTGCAAGATCGGGGCCGGGTTCGTTGGTAGACGAAGCCGTGCTGGAGGATTGCCAACCAGAAACATAAACCGTCTCGAGGTACTTGGCCATCTGGGTAACCTGTACGGGGTCTAAGCTATACGCTTTCCATCAATCCCGTCATACATAAGTATCGTGCGGAGGTCACTTACGCTCCATATGTGTGCGATGGTGTGCCATTCTTGGCGTGCTCGGAGAGCAGGGCGAAGAGCTTCTTTCCTTGGATCTCGGAAGGATACTTGATTGGGATGCTACCCCGCTTCGCGACGACCTGAGCAGCGGTATAGGGCCGCTTCACTCTGGCGAAACGTGGGCTCTTCATGATTGACATTGCTCAATACCATACCTCACTTTTTTCAGTTTAGGGGCTCACCTGAAACCATTGTTCGACCTCAGCGACCTCGGCCTGGAAAGCGGCGCGTTCAATGTTTGCCATAATAGTATGAGAGAATGATTGCAGGGATAGGATTTGAAAAAATGTAGAGGGTCTATTAAGTGGTCAGTAAGCTCCGAGCGAGTCCGAGTCATTAGCAAGGCACGCCTGAGACATGTGATTGATGGTAGATCACAACTCTAATACTACGGTGCTATGGGAGCAAGAGGAAAGCTCGTGATTACGCTGTATGGCCGGGAATACGGAGCGGCTTTATACGGACTTTCAGCGAGCGGCCCCGTAGTATGTAGCAGGGTATTCGGCCGACATGATGAAGTCTTGTAACCTGTTACGTCTGAATCACTTCGAAGTACGAGCACTATTGACACATACAGTTTAACTTGCTACAGTTCCATGCAATGTACTAAAGGTGCTCGAGTGGGAGATATGTTATATAGTGTATGTTTCACGACAGCGGATCTCCGCACGTCACTGACCGGACGAGTGCGAGTTCGTGCCACCACGAAGCCGTCGTAACCAGGGGCAGGCACGCACCCCGCTATAAGGCGCGCCCCGTGACAATAAAGAGCATATGCACAATCACCGTCTGTCACCATCATAGACCAGGCCAGCTAAACCGTAGCGTATGGTAAAGGCGACAACACTACCCGCAATCTGTAAGGAAGTGCTAGCTTCAGTAAATTGGCGAACGAATATATGCTAAACCTGCAAACCTGAGTACATATAAGTACCTGAACAAGCTTCTTCTCATTCATAGGACCCAGACGCAAGAGAAGGAAATTGAGGATAGTTAAATTGGTGGCTTCAAGGACAACTCCGTTTGTTGGGTTTATGGTCAGCTCTGTGAGACCGAGGGTAGCAAGTATACGAAGGGTAAGAGACGCGAGCTTCGTAGGAGGCCGTTTGTCGTCAAAGACGATTTTTGAGGGATGCAGTAAATTGGTATCAGGGACGAATCTAAAATGATACCATAAGTTGGTCAGTGACGGATTGTATCAAAGACTATGGTAGAACCTTGGAACGCGATGCCGAGGACAGGGCACGATACCAAAGAGTTGTGGGCATGAGAGCAAAAAGTTGAAAATCTGAGGAATAAAGAAGAGGAGTAGGGTCTTGGAGAAGTGGGCCTGTATTCCGACCACGGAGAATGCCATTCCAGTGACATAACAGAGCGTGTCTCCAGGAAACGCACGCGCAGGATACCTATGGATAATTAGAAATAGCAATTCGAGGACTTTGGATCATCAAACCCACCAATTATGATACATAAATCCAAGACATACACCCACGAGAGGAAGCATAAAGTACAGACTGAAGAGATGTCTGTCAACAAGTTCGCTACTTCCATAGGCCATTCCAGCATGCCAAGCGCCACCAACTTCGACTTCTATTTGGTTGCCGAGAAGGTGCATAGGTATACGGAAGTCAAATGGCCAGGGCATGTACAAAAGATCGTTGATAATAACCGAAATTGCAATGATCAAGGCTTGGCTGACTTCGGAGCCATTGATCCCAGCGAGAATATTGATGCTGTTAGTGGTGAATGTCGAAAGGAGTGACATGTAAAGATAATACAGGGGACCTGAAGGTGTGTTAAGGCATCACAACCGATGATACAATGAAAATTACAAGCCTAGGTTAACAAGAAGACCAAGGAATGGCCGAAGAGGAATGGGTACTACCACATGGGTATTCCCTCCTTCCGCATAGTAGACCATCAAGAGTGGTATGGCAGCAATAAGCGGGATAGGCAGTTTATGCCTCCATCGGATATCGAACACATCATCGAGGAACCCCAACAGAGTTGCCATCAAGAGCGATAGCAATGATGACAGATATATGGATAGCTTTACTGCGCGTTATACGAAAATTGTTTTCAACACTGGGGAGGTACTTGCCTCATGATGTAGAGACGCAGCGCCCAGCAAGCCTTCGATCTTGCTTCCTCCGCCCGAAAGGTTCGCAATAGAAGTGGAGAATGGAAAAGGAATAAACAAGATTAATAGCAGGATATATATTGATGCGCAGACGAGGCCTTGACTCTCTGGTCTTGAGATGCAGGTCAGCTTTCGACCTCGTGCTCATTTAACGACACGAACATAGGATCAGAGTAGACCTTCAAAAGATCCTTCCCTTTCAAGTTGGCTTTCACGAATGTTGGTCCAAGTGCAGGAACCAAGTAAAGTGCGGCAACAAATGCGAATATGGAGAACCCAACAGATGCCCATAGGGCTGGCAATGGAGGAACAGGGTCTAGTAGAGGACGAACAACGAACCATGAAGCAACTGGTATTAGGGATATGAGCAAGATGCTAGGAAGTGGCCTGGGGGATAGCGGAGGCGCCATTGCTTGTTTGCCGAAGTTCCAGTATGATATTAATGTTGAAGCTCTCCACCGCTGGGACTGACGCGACGTGTCAGGAGCAAGTTTGAAGCACGTGAAATGGCTGTTCTTCTGTTTATGGCCACGACCTCAACTAGCTCAGAGAAATTATCTACGAAAAATTCATGGTGCCGCAGTGACTGGGTCTTAAACCGTGAAGGATGTTGCATAAAGACTGCAGAAGGCAAAGGAAGAGGTGTCTATGGTGAGCAATCTCATCTGGATCATGGAATAAAAGTTAATGGCAATTTGCAGCATCTCGCATTATACCATCCCAGACCGTGATCGAAGTTAGCCCTGTACTTCTTTTCACTAGAACTGAGTATGATAATTATGGAAGACATACGATCCTGGATCATTATGCATTCAAATGGCGAGATGGACGAATGGCTCTCGCCCTTGGGCTTGGTGAGATTTGTTTCATCATCATTATTTACTCAATGCAGATGCGGTGGCACTGCCTAGGCTCCCTTTTCAATCATTCCAGCAATCCAAACGTGTCATACACGATTGATCCCGCTCATGACTGTATCAAGTACACGACTACAAGGACAATCAACCCCGAGGAAGAGTTGTGTATCTTCTACGGCCATAATCTCTGGTTTGATCCCGTGGGCGCCACAGAAAATTTGGAACCTCAAGTCTGTCTCGACCAAAGTGATCAGTCTGAACTTCTTCATATCATGGCTATCGATAGTGAAGTGGATGAGGTCGACATTCAACCATGGAACACTGGCGACCTGAAGGATATCGTGGAAGCCGAAGCTCTTCCGTTCCTTTGGAAGAAGCTTCAAATAGATGAGGAAGAGGAGTCAATAGAAGAAGTTAGGACAAGTACGTTCAGCCCATCTTGAAATCTGAGAGCGTGACTCACCACACCGTTCAGTGCAAGCCTGGGCGGTTGACATCCCGGACTCGAAACACATAGCGACAATGTTAAAGTGAGACTATTCGCTCCAATATCGCCAACCAACACTCAGAGTCACTAGATGGCTGAAACAGTCAGGTCTCGAGAGCGATGCTCTATCACACCTCAAACGCATCAGGAAAAGAGACAGTATCTCTACGCTCCTACTCAGCGTCTCGTCCTCTGTTCCTTTACTTCCTACGAACGTTGATATTGGAGATCCCTATCAGATATCTGTCCCCTGCAATCCCGCTTTAACACAAACGTCACTTATCTTAAAAAATACGTTGTGGCCTACTGTATACGCGCCACGGCGCAAATGGGAACCCGAGAAATGGTCTACTGCTAAAGTTCAATGGGCTCGTGATGCCATCAGTCACGTTTTGCGAAATTCCGCTCAGATAACTGACGAGGTTGGTTAATTAGAAGTCTGTAATGAGAAGGCATACTCATGATCTCTCAGCTTCCGGTTGTTGCATACGTGCCCAAGCCCTTCGAAGATAAAGCTCTGCTGTCTCGGTCATTTACAGCCAATGACACACGTATATCCACTGGGCATCCTTTACGCCATGCCGCGATGAACATCATTCGAAACATAGCTGATTGGCGTGCAAAAACGACCCCCGCCGATCTTCTTGCCGACCCCGTGAAGCCCGCTACTTCCCCTTCCAATACCAGCCTCGAAAACTCAGACACATCGTGCAATGGTGCAAATTACCTGTTGACTGGGCTTACGCTCTTCATAACCCACGAACCATGCATCATGTGCAGCATGGCACTGCTGCATTCGCGCGTCAAAGAGGTTTTCTATATTGTCCCCATGCCACGGACTGGAGGGTGTGGTGGATCTGCATGTTTGCCTGCACTCAAGGGTGTTAACCACCGCTACAGCATCGCGCAGTGGAGACAAAGAGAAGGCAGCGCAGCCCCAGCACATCTTGACGAGCAAGTAGATGCATAACGATCAGATAGAACAGTCATATCTCCTTGACACACTTCAGCATCACATGGATGCTACTCATCATCCAAGGACTTCTTCTAGCTTCTTCTATTGAAATAGTTTACAATACATACATACCACTCGGTAGACAACGATAAATGGGGCATAAGAAAAGCGACGATAACACTCAAGTGACAAAAGTCGAGAATATACATTCCGTCGCGCTCTCTCATTCTTCGTCGCCTGTCCTGACAATCTCAAACTTCTATTTTATCTTCGTCCCCTTGACAAATTGCAACTAGAGTCGTGTAAACGAGCGCAGCTGCAGCGCAGGTGGCTGCCACATTTTGTCATGAATGAGTCCCAAAAGGTCGGAATCGGGAAGTGTACGCAGATAACCATTATCGTCCAATTTCTGTGGGTACAAAGATTAGCATCGAATTTATACCAGGCGCTATTCCCTCCTTACATCCTTCTGTGCTTGTCTTATGACAGCAAATGCAACTTGGGCACTGATATCCCTTATGCGCGCAAGACGAGGATATACGAGGTCGGCCGCCTTCTCTTCCTCAATTAAGGAGTTGGCAAGCGCGATAGCTGCCTGTTCGACCATGGCATCTGATACGTGGCGAGTTCGGGATAGAATAGAACCGAGGCCGATACCAGGGAAGATGTACATGTTGTTTCCTTGGCCAGGCTCGTACGTGACACCATTATAGGAGACAGGCTTGTACGGGCTGCCTGACGCAAAGATGACCCGTCCATCGGACCTTTATAGACAAATATCATTGGTATCGACTATGCTGCGGGGGTTTTGTCAACTTACCATTCGATGGCGTCCTGATAGTCCAGTTCACATAGCGCGACGGGGTTCGACAAGGGGAACAAGATGGGACGGGGGTTCAGTGCACACATCGCTCTGACGACTTTCTCAGTGAATGCATTCTAAAACGATGTGAGGTTATGCAAAACACAACTATTACTGGAAGGCGTACTCTCATGGTGCTTAGGCCGAGCAAGGCAGTGGGCTTCACGTAGTTGATAATGTCAACGAGGTCAGTGAGCGCAGGGCCATCGTAATCGGTGCGCGCGAAGACTGTAATTTGCAGTCAAGCTCAGAGAAAACAACACAGACGTATCCTCGTACACTTCTTATGCTCTTGGAGACCTTTGCGGTCGGCAGTAATAAGACCTTTCGAATCAATAGTCTAACAGGCTCATTGAGTGACAAATTCAAATGCCCTTCGAATATGGCTTGGCTCACGTAGATTCGAGACTTTGCCTCTTCGGGACTCAGACCAGACAAGGTAAAGAAGGATAACAACTGCTTCGCAACGCCGATACCTGCGGAACCGGCTCCAAGGAATAGGATTTTGTGATCTGATGGCGGGAGCCCGGAAGCGGCAGAAGACAAACGGGCGGCATTTGTGAAACCTGACAAGATCACGGATCCAGTGCCTTGAATCTGCACAGTGGTCAGTGCAAAAACAGGTGAGACTTGGAAGATAATCGACTGACATCATCGTTGAAAACACGATACTGATGGCGGTACCGTTCGAGGTATTTGAACGCGTTGTCTGTTGAGAAGTCTTCGAATTGCACTAGGAGGGTGGGGAAAACTTCTTTCATGGCCTTCATGAACTCGTCCATGAATTCGTCCATCTTATACATGTGAGTGTATGGACGTGCACATGGTAGCAGGAGACTTACCTCTGGGCCAGACGGGCGTGGGCGGCGAACGCCGATGTAGAGAGGATCATCGAGATAGCGTTGTGTATTGGTACCCAAATCCAGGCAAATCGGAACCTGGCCAGGGTCAATTGGGTGCAGTGAATATCAAGAGCATGAACGCACAGTAGATGATGGTTTGATGCCGGCTCCAGCAATGTAGAGGTCCCTGCGTAGTTATGTTCATGGAAGGATCCTCTAGAAAGCGTAAATACCCACAATTTCCCCAGACTGATGGGCAGACCATTTGCCCCAAGATCGCCCAAGCCGAGAATACGAGAACCTAATGGTTTGATGAGGGAGGCACATAACATGGAGCGTCGATCTAGCCTACCATCGGTAACGACGGCTATGCGACCATCGTTGAAACTTGGCCAGGTGGCCAAAACGTCGCGAATGCGACCTTTGTCCTCAATGGAGACATAAAGACCCTCGGGTCGCCTCCATATATGGGAGTAGTTAACACAAGCTTCTCCAACCTTTGAAGAGCGCTTCTTAAGTGTGGTCACACGACCTGGTGAAAAGCCTTACAGTCGGTGTATACAAGATAGGAATCATTTCCTGAGGATTTGAGACACCTCAGTCCCGGTTTTACACGAGACAATGAGGGGGCTTACTTGCATGTTCTCGAGCAAAATATTATAGAATAAATCAGAGTCACGACCCTTGAGGCCATTTAGATAGATGTATTTTTCAAGACCAAGCTGTTTGGAACGCATTTGGTTGAGAGAGCGCTGACGGTGATCGGTTGTGGCAAAATGGGGAGGAAAACGAGTTGGCGACATGGTATGAAAATTGGATGCAATGGAACGTGCTGGGCGGTTGTATGCAGAAGCTAGTTTAGCTTTATAAGAAGAGTAAGTGGCACGATAAAGCATTCAGATTGAGACAGTCCTCGGCACAAGGTGGTACGAGAGGAGGGAGTTCACGAAACTTTGAGTCCGGACTCCCCACGGCTTCAGCCTGAGAATCTATAAAAAGGCCATTAAACAGGGTTTGTAACCTTCGGCAAAAATTTTACATCAGGTCAGTCTAAAACGATGAATTAATGTAATTGGACCACGGGGGAAGCACCAGAGCGTTCTGCTAGCGCGTTGGCATGAAAATCGACTCATGGAGAAGTGGAACGATGAATGTGTCCTGTTCCCGATTTGGAAAAATGCGACAAGAGTCGGGAAGGACGGAAAATTACGGAACGGGTTGTCGCGTCAATAGGATCAATGGCATGGGTAACATAACACGTCTAGACTCTCTAACACGACTGTAGGTACACTAAATGCGCTGCTGAAGCCAAAGATAGTCAGTCGTGCAATATATCATTCAAGGGCAGGAAAACGGACCAAGAAGATATATCATCATGGCGGGCGCTCCGTACCTCACCAGAATTCGCGGCGTTTCTGCTTGATAGCAACAAACGTAGCCTTCTTCTCTCCCCACTGCTCCCTCACAGTCTCATGCTCTGCCTCCATCTTTCTTCCAAACTCCTTCCGTTGGGGCCTCGGAAGGGCAGCAACTTTGGATACAAAGTTTGGCGTGCACTTGAATAGTCTTGCAAGTTTTGCACGGCTGTATTTTTCTGGATTAGACAGTCTCAACTTTCGTAGCTGCTCAATGTCTTTATCAGACATTCGTGATGGTGCAGCATTATAAGCCGACGGCCGCAATAACGGTGGCATGGGTGCATGTTTATTGGGCGTTGTTGGAGACTTGAGCAATGGAGAAGCAGGAGCTAAAGTTGTTGAATAAGGTGAAGGTGCTGTCGGGGGAGGTCGGTGAATGAAGGTCAAGTTCTCGTCCTTGAGTGTTTTGACAACAACATTTGGATCATTCAGCAATGGATCTGAAAAGCGCGCTGGAGGTTTTTCTGCAATGCGAGTGGCATAACCGCGGGTGAACCAAGGAGATAATCGTGGCTTGAGCATCTGAGTTGTCCGCAGAAGTGTTCAGCCTGCCAGTGACTTGCCAGTCAGTAAAACATTGGTGCTTACATAATCTTCCCATCCCTATAACGGACGCGTCGTCTGCTCCAAAAGTCCATTCAAGTTATGCAGGCAACAAGGTCAATACGACTACCTCACAAGCTGTCAGCATGTCGCCTAATTCATAACCATCACATCCTTCGTTCATCAGATCCTGCTGGCCGGACCACTTCGTTTGGCTTCAGGACAGTTCCAGAGGAGTCGAAGGAATCGCTTGTGAAGGGTGTTTTCGACTCTGTCGCGTCAAAATATGACTTGATGAACGATGCAAGCTCCCTCGGCGTACACAGGCTGTGGAAAGACTCCTTTGTAGATACTCTCAAACCAGGTCGCAAAGGTCCCCTTCGGTGTATAGATGTTGCAGGAGGAACAGGCGATATTGCTCTCCGTATCTTGGATCATGCGAGGGAGAACTATGCGGATAGAGAGACGACCGTGGACATCGTGGACATCAACGCGCAGATGCTGAAGGAGGGATTCTTGAGGTTCAAAAAGACAATGTACCACAATAGTGAGCCTACCGTGCCTGTCATATACTCTACATCATGACATACGTGTCAGCACCTCAGGTTTCATTCCACGAGGCAAATGCACAAGAGCTAGCCTGCTTTTCAGTTTAAGAACGATTCATATGACCTGTACACGATTGCGTTTGGTATCCGCAACTGCACGTCTATCCCCGCCGTGTTAAGCGAGGCTTACCGGGTTCTCAAGCCTGGCGCTACCTTCGCGTGTCTTGAATTCAGCAAGGTTAATAACCCGCTCCTGGGCACGTAAGTGATTTTTGTTTCATTACTATCGCAATTTAATTTAGTCTGTAGACTGTACGACCAATACTCATTCACAGTCATCCCACTGCTTGGAACCATTCTAGCTGGCGACCGTGATTCATACCAGTATCTGGTAGAGTCTATACGCAAATTCCCGAGCCAGCCCGAGTTTGCGCAGATGATCAGAGATGCAGGGTTCTCCACAGGAGGTGATTTTGATGGTGGTGCATGGACAGATCTCTGGGGAGGCATTGCCTCGATACACACAGGAGTGAAGATTTAGCAGTAGCATAATTATTTTCATTCTCGTATTACGATTATGATACCCACTGTCTTGTCTGTCTCGCTTTTTGATTTGCGTGGCGAGTTGTTGCAAACAATAAGCACGCGAGGTAGCGCCACCAGTGTGACAGCCGCGCCAGCGTGTGTACTCACAAAGTCACGACAGCTGCCCTTCACAAACGGTCATCATGTCATCTTCAACAACAACCACGCCGGCTAATGTCTCTCATCCAATGCCACCTGCGACTGCAGATCTTGCAACAACATGGGCTTTCCTTGAGGAGGGGGTGGACCACATCATGACCAAGCTCCAGACGGGTGTCTCATACTCCAAGTACATGAGCCTCTACACTGTGGCTTACAATTATTGCACGTCCTCGCGCATGCATAATACCACTACAGATACCGTTGGACAGGGAAGTCGAAGTAAGTCTCATTGTCAGTAATGATTTTGCTGTGGTGATAAGGCCGCAGTCTGACTCCTCAACAGCAGGGGCTAATCTGATGGGCTCGGATCTGTACAACAATCTCATTCGGTATTTTATCACCCATCTCAAGCTCCTCAAGGATGTACGTCGACTCCTTTTCCCTGATTTCATGCGCGATCAAACATCATTCTTATCCGTCCTACAGCAATCCGATTCCCTCCAAGATGAAGCTCTCCTACGATACTACGCCAGTGAATGGGACAGATATACGACCGGCGCTAACTACATCAATCGATTATTTACATATCTCAATCGCCACTGGGTGAAGCGAGAAAGGGATGAAGGTCGGAAAGGAGTATATCCTGTATATACCGTGCGTCGCCCCTTTTCTTCACACCGTCACACTGATCCTCATACACGCATTACGTCTCACAGCTTGCACTCGTGCAGTGGAAATCAAATTTCTTCCTCCACGTGCAAAGCAAGCACACAAAGCTCGCTGGTGCCATCCTCCGATTGATCGAGCGCCAAAGAAATGGCGAGACGATCGATCAAGGTCTGGTGAAAAAAGTGGTCGACTCATTCGTTTCACTTGGTCTCGACGAGTCAGATATCAACAAGGCGTCGCTCGACGTCTACAGGGAGCATCTGGAGACACCGTTCCTTGACGCAACGGAGAAATATTACGAGCAGGAATCTGAGGCATTCCTCGCAGAGAGCAGTGTATCTGACTACCTGAAAAAAGCCGAAGAGCGTTTGAAGGAGGAAGAGGATCGTGTCGACCGATACCTAAACACTGACACACGGAAGCAGCTTGTCAGCAAATGCGAGCATGTGTTGATTCGTCAACACTCTGATCTTATGTGGGAAAGCTTCCAAAGCTTGCTCGATTTTGACAAAGACGAAGACTTGCAGAGGATGTACGCATTGTTATCGCGCATACCCGAAGGCCTGGAGCCTTTGAGAAAGAAATTTGAGGAACATGTGAAGAAGGCCGGTCTGGCTGCTGTTGCAAAACTCTTGGGCGAAGGATCAGATGGTGCAGATTCGTTGGATCCCAAGGCATACGTCGATGCACTGCTTGAGGTCCATCGCAAGAACTCGGACACCGTTACGAGGAGCTTTAGGGGAGAAGCTGGCTTTGTCGCGTCGCTCGATAAGGCATGCAGAGAGTTTGTCAATCGCAATTCTGCAACAGGTTCGTCGACGACAAAGTCGCCAGAATTGCTCGCCAAGCACGCGGATATGCTGCTTCGCAAAAACAACAAGATGGCTGAGGAGGAGGACCTTGAAGGTGCTTTGAACCGCGTGGTAAGCACCTTACTCTATGACCTCCATTGATGTCTCATTCGTGTGCGTAGATGGTACTTTTCAAGTACATCGAGGACAAGGACGTCTTCCAGACGTTCTACGCTACGAAACTGTCCAAGCGCCTAATTCACGGCGTATCTGCATCGGACGAGAGCGAAGCGAGCATGATCTCCAAGTTGAAGGAGGCTTGTGGCTTCGAGTACACCAACAAGTTACAAAGAATGTTCACCGGTATGTTCCATGCCCTACACCACCTGCGGCCGCTCATCTATTTCCCATAGACATGAGCCTCAGTAAAGACCTAACTGATCAGTTCAAGGAGCGAATGGCAAATCACGAGGACATGGACATCAACTTTTCCATCATGGTCCTTGGCACGAACTTCTGGCCACTCAGCGCACCAAACAACGACTTTATCATTCCTCCCGAAATTCTTCCTACGTACGACCGCTTCTCCAAGTACTACCAAACAAAGCACTCTGGCCGCAAACTAACCTGGTTGTGGAATTACTCAAAGAACGAGCTGAGGACGAACTACCTCAATCAGAAGTACATCTTGATGACCAGTTCTTATCAAATGTCCGTTCTTCTACAGTACAACAAACACGACACGTTATCACTGGAGGAGTTGATTACTGCCACGGCTATCAGCAAGGACATTTTGTCTCAGGTACTCACGCTTTTGGTGAAGGCCAAAGTTCTTATCAACGAAGAGACCGATCAATATGATTTGAACCCCAGTATGGCTGACCTCGTTTTGCATTACGTGTGGGGCTAATACACTCTGGTTAGACTTCAAGTCTAAGAAGATCCGTGTCAACTTGAATCAGCCAATCAAGGCTGAGGTGAAAGCCGAGTCCTCGGAGGTTCTCAAAACTGTTGATGAGGACCGTAAATATGTGATCCAGGCCACTATTGTTCGGATCATGAAGGCGCGCAAGACGATGAAGAACCAGCCTTTAATTCAGGAGGTGATTTCTCAGATTTCACAACGATTCGCCCCCAAGATTCCCGATATCAAGAAGGTAAGATCCCTTGTTCCTTCGCTAGAACCTCGTCTGATCTATGGTCTTAGGCAATTGATACACTATTGGAGAAGGAATATATTGAGCGTGTCGACGGTACGAGAGACACATTTGCATATGTGGCATGATTCTAGTCTTTATCGTGGCAACTCCTTGTATCATACATTCCTTCTTGTAACCTAATATCATGCATTGCCGTCAGAAGATCAAGCACATGTTCTCTTCCTTTTACTTCCTCTTTTATATCCTCTCGGGAGCGAAAGGGCACAGTCTACAATCTGTGACTGATCTAGTTGTGTCGGAGTAGCATCAGTGGCGGTTGAGTGGGGCCGTGAGGCGTGTGTGATTACAAGGCAGTGGTGAGTTGATGCACAGGACGGTGGAATAGCACCATAGCCCCGAGTGATCTCCTTGTTGACCCCTGCCCCCTGCCTCACCGACCTATCCGGGTCCTCGTTCTTGTGCCGCTGAGCAGAAATCGCATATTCCCACGTATCGCCGTCATGACTTTGCGGGACGCGCTCCTAGCAGGCCTCAACAGTTTACCTGGAACTCGTGAATTCCATCTTCATGTCTTGGTCTCATCACCTAGAAAGCACGGGAATCTTTTCCCGTTTGCAAATCCACGACCGAGGTCATACTTGCAAGATATTTTGATTCTGCTTTCCGAGCAAACAACACCAGACTCTCCCTCCGTGTTGGTCTCTGCCATCGAAGCATGTGTGTATAACATCCCAGCGACGTCGTGTGCGATATTGTATGTTTCGAAAGTCGACTCTACCGGTCAAGCAACTGCACCGTCTCCCACTCCAGCTCTTGTTCGCGCACTCTTGCTGTTCTACGCAGACCCTGCCACGCGTCCCATCTCCGCTAACCATCTATGGATTCACGTCTTTGCAAGAGCACAGAATCAATATCTATTCCCAAACTCTTCAGAATACCCGAACAAACGCCCCCTAAGCGATATCAAGCTTTGTGCTTGGTGGAAACGCCAATTCAGCACCGTCGTAGGCGAGTTAGCGTCTCGCGTGGGGGATACGTGCCGCAGAAGACTATATTACATTCTACCCGGTCTCAGCGAGTTCGAAGCTTATCACTCGTTGGAGAGGGTATATCCATCGGCTGATTCAACGTCCAGTTGGATATACGGTCACCCTTATTCCCAGGACGAAATCCCCCTACCATGTCCTTGTCCTTCGGGAGGTGATTCGCCTCGTCATCTAGGGCAATGTATACCATCATTTGATGATGACCCTAAATCTCGATTTATCGATGAGATTGCGTACACGACAGATGCGGATGGGGTGAGGTCCCCAGAGCGAAAACGCCCCAGAGCGGATACGTTAAAGATGCACGAAGAAGACACATCGTCAGCCGACGCTTCAGAGAAGAAGGATGGTCGGAGTAAAAAAGAGGACCATACGCATAAAGAAGTCAAGAAGGTGTCTGTGGAAGAATTCTGGGAGCGGATGTCGTTCCGACAGGAATGTATTGCAGGGGCGGTCACTGGGTTTTTTGTCATTGCTGTCTCTGACACCACCACATCAGCTTCGACTCTTTCGACAAGTGAAGTGTCACCACTTGCACCCCAACCAGGACAGGTTTCATCACAGATGAACAAACGTGTGTTGACGTCACTATTGACCGCTCATGAATTTCCATCTGTGGAAAAGGCGGTGTGGTCGACTAAAGTGATTGAAGATACCATACGAGGGTTGTGCGATGGTCTCAAGTCGAATCCTATTCCACTTGTCATACCAGAAAGATCGGGGCGACAAACGCCTGAGCCGGATGGTGTTCGGGCCACTCTAGCACCTCCACAGACCCCCCCACCTCGTCTTGTCAATGGAAAGAGGCCGATCGTTGACATATCACCTAACCCATTTCCGGAGCCAGTTGCTTCTCTGGAAACATATCACTCGTACATATTTGGTTCGATTGCGGTCAAAAATCGCCCACCGCCGACGAAGGGACGCGGGGAAGCCACAAGCGCTGGTAACGGCACGCCTCCAATAATCACGGTGCTGACAGCGAGGAAGAAGCGGACGAAATGAGAAAGGGATGCGCGATGCAAGTTGATAAGCTACCGCGTTTACGTCGCTGGTTTTGACGTATGGATTTCACTGGCTTGTAGGAGAGTGTCGCGGGTACCCATTTATGGGGATGTTGCCTCGCACTATGCTTATGCTGATCGGATGTAGTTGGAGGTTGTTACGGGGCATTGAAGCTACATTGAATTTTGATCTGGTTCAAAGTGAGATGTACCCACGAGAGTTACGGTAGCCTGTGTCCCGGTTGGTAGGGAGAGTGTGTGTTGTCCGTGGGCCGCGACATCGGATAATGAAAGCCGAGTTGCAGTGTTCGTGGCTGCACAGGTGATAGATCTGTGCTACCATTCGACTTAATTAAAAAGCCTCTATCATGATCTCGCCATTGGAACGGTCTCAATTAAGCGAATAAGTTCGAAACTTCTTGTGGAAACTAACACCAACCTACATTTCATTTTTGGTTCATCTCAATTGAATTCATACTATTTCTCATTCGGTTCCGTTTCAACTACGACGACCACGACCACTACCACGACCACCGCGACGACGACTACGATCGCAATGTCCGTCAATCACGCTCCACAGTCCCTACCTTCTTTTGCACAGGCATTTAGCAACTCTTCTCTTAGTTCAATCCCAAATTCTAATAACGCGCTACCACCAATTCAACCAAGAACTCATCATACACTCTCACCCTCAAGACAGCCTAGCATAGAACAATTAAGAAATTCTAGGAAACGTTCTAGAGAAGACGTAGCAATCCCTCGTGATAGCACAGATGACTCTGGGTATGTACAATCCTTATTTTTATTTCCCTTCTTAATCAAAATCATAGCCGCCAGTCACCTAGAGTCCTTAGAATCAAGGAGGAAGATGACCCTGATGATAGTATCATCGATTCTCCTTCCCCTCAAATATCTTCTCCGACTGTCATTCCACCGTCACCAAAGAAACGACGAGTGACTGTGAGTGGTACCACACTCCCTCCCTCAATCGCCCCTTCCTCCTCTGAATCACATTCAACTCCAATAACTCCCGTGGTCATATCAATACCAACAGTAGAAGACGTTTCTTTGAGGCCCACCCTAAAACAGCAGCAGCTCATCGAACAGCGCAGACCGAGTTTCGCGGCTCCCCCAGTTCCGAGTCCCATGCTCTCAGCTGCTATTAATAATGGTACTTCCTCCTCTTCTTCCCCCCCAGAAGGTTCCTTGGCAGCATCAAAGCTAAGTCTCCCAAGGTTGGGTAGACGTAGTCCCAATACAGTTACCCGTACCAGTGGAAATACTCTTGTATCTGGCAGTCGTGCGACTGTTCAATCACAGCCACTCACCCCTCCTCCTATGATTGTGCCAAGTCAGCAACCACCTTCTGTCCCCACAAATCAAAATCAACCCGAGGTACCACTTAAAAGCCCTCCTTCAAACTCTCTGCCACCTCCCCCTATTAGTTTCGCACGTCGACGCGCAGCTCAGTCCGGTGGCCGTAAAAGAAAACCCGCCGATATTGTCATCAGCCCTCGTGGGACTCACTCTTCTGACCCGCTCGCACCTGTCATACAAAGCGCCCCTCCAGTTCCAGAATTAGGTCGGTTCCCTATGGCTTTACCACGACTTCCAACCGCTCTAAGCGGAAACCAGACCACGCGAAGAGTAGCCACTAACGTTCCTCCAACACCTACCCGATTTGGCTTGCAGCACACGATAGGTCCCTCGGTGAGCGCACCGAAGACCGCGACCACAAGATCTCCTCCTGCTATACCAATCGCTAGCTCATTAGTCCCGCCTACACCTCGTGCTCTCCAACATCCCGGTTACTCAGGAGATAAATCTTCATTTCTAGCGCCTTTCGAAGTTTTCTACGACGCGCTCAATGACTCGAAGCAGATGAAAAACTGGCTGTCTGAGCAGCTTCAAAAATCAAATGCGCTCCTTCAATCTCTGCAAAAGGTTGATGCGGTGGTCGAGGAGTTGGTGGAGAAACGGACGCGGTCGATGCAAGAGGAAATGCAGGGCATGCGCCAGCGCTTAGATTTGTTGGAGGAGGCACTTCGTGCTGTGCGTGCGGATTCGGTGCGGAGTCAAAGTACGAGCGGCGGCGGTATTGGATACCCTCAGTCAAAGTTTCAACAAAATGGAATAACGAGTTCGGGTTCAGAACCGTCTTCGTCGTACAGGTTCCCGACCACTAGCGCTGAGCAACGCAGACGGGCGTCGCCACCTAGCTGGGGAACCGATAAAGACAGGGACCGCGCAGCATCTCGTTCTCCTGATACAGACCGTGATCGCAGGATGTCGGCCTCCGTCGCACGATTAGAAGCCCCGCGTCTCGACCAGGGCCAGTCGCAATCTCAACCTCAATCCCAGACGCCTTATTCGCCATTCGCTGCTTCATCCAGTCGTGGTGGGCCTGTTGTGCCTGCGGCTAACCCTAAAATCACGCCGCCGCTACGATCACAGGCCGTACCTGGGCCTGAGCGTTCTAATACGCATCGCCAAACACAAGCAGATGGGGTGCGACCATCGGGTAGGATGTATTACTCGGGCTCGGGGGTGTTCAATGGTGGTAGTGGGGAGACGGTGAGGGGCGAGAGCCATAAAAATGCAGAGGAGCGCTGAGTTTTATTCTCATTCCATGCCATGTCAGCTGGGCATTTCCTCGATATCGCTGCTTTCCTCGACGTGCGATGCGTACCACCGCTTTCCTCGATGCTATCAGGACACATTATTTGCTCTCTGCTCTACCCGCTCGGACGTTCTGCATGATCGCACTTGAATTGTGCGACGATCTTGGACAATGTTATGTCACTGTGTTATCTCATCTCATATCTTCTGAATTATCGGGTGCATGTTACAGTACAGCCGCTTTCGAGTTCTGTTATCTTTCGTCTAACCCTTTTCGTACTTCGTTTGTTGATGGGCCGATGCGAGCTGATGTGGGTTTCCATCATGATCGTATTTATGCTCCTTTTATCTTTTCTCTCCAAGTACCTCGTTATATATGTGTACTTATAGCTATAGCTCTCATTTTTTTTTCGCGGTAGAAATTTGTTAAAAGATGCTTCCGGTTCTGAACTCAGAACTTGTTCCGAATAGTGCTTCCAGCGGTGCTCGGACATTGATTTTCTTCTCAAACTCTCTTAGATCACTCGGATCGGCAAGATACGCCTGAAGAAGCTTAAGAAGAGAAGCAAGGAAGTCCGCGAAGGGACCCGAGCAATTGCTGACTGATGAATATGAATTTCGGTGGATATACATATCTCTGTCAGCAGCAGGTCATCCACGCACATATACTATACCCCTAGAGCGCCATGCAACTTGCCTTCAACCGTCTCGGTTCTATAGCAAGGTCATTCACTCCTCGTAATATGTCTACCGTACCCGCAAAACCTTTTGTTCTATATACCGCTGGAACTCCCAACGGACGCAAAGTCAGTGTTTTTCTGGAAGAGCTCAGAGCGATTTATGGGGAACGTGTTGATTATGAGTGAGTGGCCCCTCTTCCTAGGGAACCGAAACAAATGACTTAATTCTGACAGCGTCGAGAAAATAGACATTTCACGCAACGTTCAAAAAGAGCCCTGGTTCATCAAGTTGAACCCAAACGGCCGAATCCCAGTCCTCGTCGACCGCGCGCGGGAAGATTTCGTCGTGTTCGAGACAGCTGCTATTTTGCTTTATCTCGAACAGCATTATGATCCGGAGAGGAAACTTGGCTTTGACCCTGTGTCCCACCCGAATGATTATAGCGAAATGCTTCAATGGATGTTCTGGGCGGTGAGTACTTCCCCTGGCGCTTGGTGCGAATTAGTACAATGACACGGTTGTTGTAGCATGGAGGTGTTGGTCCTATGCAAGGCCAAGGTCTGTAAATTCGGACTTGGCATTGAAGTTCTGAGTTGACGCAGCGTAGCGAATCATTTCAATAGGTTTGCACCGGAGGACATTCCCTATGCGAAGCAGCGTGAGTTGTCTCGTTTGATTAATGTCTTATATGCACCTGCTGACGCCGGTTTCAGGTTATATCTTGGAGACGAAGCGCCTCTATGGCGTGATGGAGATACGCCTCACAGACCGTGATTACCTCGCTGGACCCGGCCGAGGCGTGTATAGTGCTGCAGATATCAACGTTTTTCCATGGTGGGTTCCAGCCTTGTTTCATTTCGTTTGCCAAGATGTCTTGTTGATGTTCTGGCTCTGGCTTTCTTGTATTCAGGATTAACGTTCATCAATTCGCGGGTATCGAATCCCTTGACGAGTGGCCGAGTCTCAAGGTGGGCAACGTGTTTTATTACGTGTGTCTTGTTCTAAAGTTTTGATCGGTTTAGGTGTGGTTTGATCGTATCAAAGCGCGTGAAGCTGTTCAGGATGGCCTTGCTATTCCGTAGTGGACTCGTAGCGCTGAGTCTGGGATCTAGCATAAGTATCTAGTAAATGTTCTCATCTCTTCTCGCATTTGTATCTTTGCATTGAATTGATTGTGCTCATTAGCTTTGACGTGTCAGCAGGTATAGACGGGCATCCAGATTTGGTTTTCCACCCTTCTCATTAGAAGTGCCGTGGCAACGAGAGCAGGTGACAGGCACACAAGAGGCCGCGCTGGGTCAAGCTTGAAAACTTGGACAAGTTCAGTTGGTGGCGACGTGATACCCCCATACGTGCATGTCTCGTCCTACAGGTCGTCAGATGGATCTCATAAATCTATCCAATACGGGGCGGACTGTGGCATCACGCTGAACAGTGTAAGCATGGACAATCTTTGGAGGTTGATCAACTGATCGAACTCCACAGTGTGATCAACTTGAAGCAGAAACAGAATATCCGCGGGCTAAATGTCGTTTCTTTCCATTCGAACATCCAGGCTAGTAAACACCCCTGCGGTCTCCGTGTAAAAATAGTCAGCATGTTCCAGAATGGAAATCCCCGTCGCTTGACTTGCAAATTTCAATATCTCCGGGAGCTCGGGTAATCTTACATGCATCGTAGTATGGAATCGCTCCTCAATTGTCTGTGTATTTCTTGTGTATCTATTACTAATGCTTTTGCCACATGAATTCTGAAGATGGACTTTTCCATACATATCAAGAGCTGACCACGAACTATGTTGTTCTTAGCCTCTTTAACAGCGTTCTTTTGGGAACCCGGATGGCTCGTGCCGCGTTTCTCCCGTATCTTTCAGCTTGAGGTATGTCGTTACTTGACAAATTAACTCAACGTTTACCGATAGGTGACTATATGATAGGCGGGCTATAAATACAGACGAGGTTCAGATCAAGGAAGTTATCTGCTCTGCACTAAGCTACCATTCACCAGCCGTTCCTCAACTCATCGAGATGGACAATCCCGATTCTCATGAAATCATGATAAACGAGACAACGCCTCTGGTATCTGCCAAGGGCTCAAAGAAACCTAAAACGCCCCTTCCAAAACTTCAGATAGGCTTACTTATAACGCTGCAACTTTCGGAACCCATCGCTTCGACGTCTATATTCCCGTACATCAACCAGGTATGATCTAGCGATCACACTGCTTCTCTTCGATGTACACCTTTGATACTGTTTAGTTGATCAGAGAACTTGGGATCACTGGGGGCAACGATGCGGCTGTAGGATATTATGCTGGAATGATTGTAGGTGGATTACGTTGTGCGAATTACTCGCGAAAATGGTTAGCCCATCTGATGTGATTGGCAGGAATCTCTGTTTTTCGTCGGACAGGCACTGACGGTGCTGAGGTGGGCCCGGCTATCTGATCGCATTGGGCGCAAGCCGGTGTTGGTGATTGGACTCTCAGGTGCTTGCCTTTCGATACTGTGTTTCGGCCTCTCCACGACATTTTGGGGTCTTGTCATTAGGTATGTCTTCAGCGGAAGGAGACATGCATCGTTGACATGGTCTCTCTAGCCGCTGTATGTGCGGTTTTCTGAATGGCAATGTTGTAGTGATGAAGACCATGATGGGAGAATTGACGGACTCCACGAATATGGCTCAGGGATTCGCCTTGGTCCCGATCGTCTGGTGTATCGGAAGCTTTGTTGGGTGAGTGGGGTTCTTGGTCATGGAGATGGCAAACAATGAGATTGTCATGTCAGTCCTTTACTGGGTGGAACACTCGCACGTCCGCAGGATCATTGGCCGACATTGTTCTCTGGTTCATTTTGGAGAGATTATCCATACTTTCTGCCTTGTGGAGTGGCAGCCTGTCTGCTCGTCCTAGCCCTTGTCACGATGACAATCTTCTTAGAGGAAGTAAGTTCTGCATGCCTGCCATGTCGCACACATCGCTCATGATCAGTAGACATTATCAACAAAACGTCGGCCGAAATTCACTTCAACTACGGTTAGTGTTTCAAGTAGCCCCGATAGAGAATCGCTCGTCAAAAGCTCTATGGCAACCGTGCCCTTGCGATCCCTCCTTACGTCTTCGGTCATTATTCCGATGGCAAACTACGGCATGCTCTCCTTCCTTGACGTTTCGTTCAAGGTTCTTTTGCCGTTGTTTTTTTCGACACCTACTTATCTTGGCGGTCTTGGATTTGATCCTGCTACTATTGGGACGTGGCTGGCGTTGATTGGGATCGTCGATGGTGTTTTTCAGGCATTCTTCTTTGCCAGAATTGTTGAATGGGTTGGTCCAAAACGTTTATTCTGTATCTCAGCATCGTGCTACGTACCACTCATGGCTATGTTTCCGATAATGTCGTGGATTTTGCGTGCAAGGGGTGAAGTCGATCATGCAATCACGTTTGCCTTGCTTTCCCTCACAGTTATAGAAGTCATATGGGATATGGCATATGGTGCGTGTTGCAATTAGACCGTCTCGTCATCACAAGTAACACAGTTCGTTGCAGGGACTATCTTCCTGTTTATCACAGCCTCTGCTCGTACAAACAATGTCCTTGGTGCCATCCATGGCCTAGGCCAAACCTCTGCGTCGGTAGCTCGTGCGGTTGGTCCCGCATTGGCGACCTCGCTCTTTGCTGTAACGAAGGAACACAACCTTTTAGGAGGAAATGCAGTTTTTTTCATCTTCATTGCATTGACTGGTGTATTGAGATGGATGGCGTCCCTGTTGCCGGATGAAGTACAAGATAGGGATGAGTGATAGGTGACTCTCGAGAGAAATTGATGTCGAATTGTATGATTGTCGTAGGATTCGTGCTCATCACTATGTAGATATTTGTTGATATGAGTTGTTAGATATCAAGGTGTCTTAGCATATTAAAATTCGATGTTTGGATCTTGCTGCAAGTATTTGATTTGGAGATATTGTGGCTAGATCAGGCGTACTTATTAGCGGAGGGGCCTCATCTGGCTTCACGGTCACCTTCATTGACGCAGGTGATTATTTTCAACAAGTTAATTTTGTCACGGTTGTTGAAACATGATCATGAAGGAGTATAGATATTCTTTTGCCTAGTTCTTTTGAATGTCCCGAAAGACAGGCCTGTAGACTTGTCAGCAACCTCTAGTACCAGGCAAAACACTCTGATTCGACTATATTCGGGCCTTCGCTCGCATACGTGATAGTTCCGATCTGCTGTGGTCATCGAATACCGACCACGTCTTCCCTGACTTAGTAACTTGAAGGAGGAAGAATAGATTGGGTACAAGACTTTCATAATGCACACCTTCGTGGCCGATGGCACATAATACAACTCCCTCCGGAATGTGGGATGCCAATGACCGGAGACACCGTGACAGCCCCGGAGATGTCTGCATGGGTGGTGATCTTACACAAAAATTATTTGCGACGGGCGCGGGCGGACACGATCAGTGAACTAATCCATCGAAAGTTGACACTGACAAAGTCTCAGGAGTCAGCAGGTCAGCGCAGCCGCTCGTACAACCTAGGTGACAAACTTACTCGTATACAAATGTTTCTTTAGAATTTCTCACAATCAAACTAGCCTGGAATCTGTTCATCATTGCGCGAGAACGTTCTACTTATGCCGTCATCTAACGTCTTCTATCTGCCGTGACAGTATTGTTCGGTCCGTTCGGAGCAGAATTCGGAATAGCGGCAGTTTTTCTTGAAGTCGGGAACGTCGGTATTCGTGGTCAGTACAAGTACTGATATCGTAGCGGCAGGGACCTACTAGTCCCAGACTCCGCCTGTCTGTTTTGCACTTAACGAAGTTTGGTGGAGGGAAATAGGTAACTGCCTGCAGCGTGCAGTACTTACCGCGTACTGATTTTTGCCGCATCTGCCAGAAGTCACATGATCTCGATCGCACCCCGACTCGAGTAGCAACTTCAATTGATCTCCCAACACACCAATGTATTTGATGACAGGTATTAGACACGGCAAAGAGGCATCGCATATGGAAAATGCTACTGTCAGGCTCCGATATTCGGCTCATCACAAGTCACTGTCGGCTTGAAAACATGCCCGTAGAAATGCCCGTAGAAACCATGACTTAGGTTAGGAACGGTGACCGTAACGAGTATGGAACTACTGGCACCACATGACGGAGCCCGAGCAGGTACCACGCATCTTCGCATTGGGTCTTACTAGTACGTTGATAGGCTGAAACATAACGAGATACCGCCCTGGCTGTTCCCTGTGGCGAGCACTAATGTCAGTACAGTCATGCTCAGAAATTCGGCTCACCATGCATCTAAATAAAACCAGTGAGGATCCGTGAAATGCAGGTGCGGTAGCATCGAACGACACCTGTGCCTGCGCAGAATCCAAATCACCAGCATGAAGACCTCCAAATCTCATGAAAACATAGTAAATGAGACGACGCCTCTCGTACTTGCAAAGGGCTCGAAGAAACCTAAAACGCCCCTTCCAAAATTCCAGATAGCCTTACTTTTAACGCTGCAACTTTCGGAACCCATCGCCTCGACATCTATATTCCCGTACATTAACCAGGTATGATTCAGAAATCACGCTGCTTCTCTTCCATGTACATTGTTGATATGTTTCGCTCTCTTAGCTGATAAGAGAACTTGGAATCACTGGGGGCGGCGACGCGGCTGTAGGATATTATGCTGGAATCATTGTAGGTGCCGAGATTACGACTTGCGAAAAGTACTTGCAAGAATGATTCGCTCATCTGATGTGATTGGCAGGAATCTCTGTTTTTTGTCGCGCAGGCACTGACGGTGCTGGAGTGGGCTCGGCTGTCTGACCGTATTGGGCGCAAGCCGGTGTTGATAATTGGATTCTCAGGTGCTTGCATTTCGATACTGTGTTTCGGCCTCTCAACAACATTTTGGGGTCTTGTCATTAGGTATGTCTTCAGCAGAAGGAAATATGCATCGTTGACATGGTCTGTCTAGCCGCTGCATCTGCGGTTTTCTGAATGGAAACGTTGTAGTGATGAAGACCATGGTGGGAGAATTGACGGACTCCACGAATATGGCCCAGGCATCTGCCTTGGTCCCGGTCGTCTGGTGCATCGGAGGCTTTATTGGGTAAGTGGGGTCGTCGACCATGGAAATGCTAAATGATATAATCGAGGTGTCAGTCCTTTGATAGGAGGAACACTCGCGCGTCCACAGGATCATTGGCCGGCATTATTCTCCAGTCCGTTCTGGAGAAATTACCCATACTTTCTGCCTTGTGCAGTGGCAGCCTGCCTGTTCGTCCTGGCCCTTGTCATGTTGACAATTTTCTTAGAAGAAGTAAGCTCTGCATGCCTGCCATGTCGCACACATCACTCACGATCAGCAGACATTACCAACAAAACGTCGGCCAAAGTTCACTTCAACTACAGTTAGCGTTTCAAGTAGCCCCGACAGTGAATCACTCGTCAAAAAATCGACGACAACCGTGCCCTTGCGATCCCTCCTTACGTCTTCAGTCATGATTCCGATGGCAAACTTCGCCATGCTCGCTCTCCTTGACATTTCTTTCAGGGCTCTTCAGCCGCTGTTTTTTTCGACTCCTACTTATCTTGGCGGTCTTGGATTTGATCCTGCTACTATTGGCTCGTGGATGGCGTTGTTTGGGATCGTCGATGGTGTCTCTCAGGGCTTATTTTTCGCCAGAATCGTCGGTTGGATTGGTCCAAAACGTTTATTCTGTATCTCAGTTTTGTGCTACGCAGTACTCATGGCTATGTTCCCAATCATGTCATGGATTGTACGCACAAGGGGGGAAGTCGATCATGCAATCACGTTTGCCTTGCTTTGCCAAGTAGTTATGTTAACCACATGGCATACGACATATGGTGCGTGTTGTGATGAAACTGTTTTGTTATAAGTGACTTACTTCGTTGCAGGTATTATTTTCATGTTTATGACAGCCTCTGCTCCTACAAATGATGCACTTGGCACTATCAATGGCCTCGGCCAAACCTGTGTGTCGGTAGCTCGCGCCGTTGGTCCCGCGTTGGCGACTTCGCTCTTTGCTGCATCGAAGCAATACAACCTTTTAGGAGGAAATGCAGTCTTTGTCGTGATAATCATGATGGCCGGTGGAATGAGATGGCTGGCGTCGCACTTGCCGGATGAAGTACGAGACAGGAATGAGTGACAGGTGACTTACAATAAGAATTGATGTATGATTGTCGTAGGATTCGTGTTTATAACTAAATATTTGTTACTAGATATCAAGGTGTCTTCTATGACTGGTTTTTTTCTCGACTATCATACATTTAGCTATCAGTAACTTATACGAGTATCTGGTTCTAAACAGTAAACTCAATATAATTATGACGCATTATTACATTTACATTTACCATGGATAACTGTGTTCCACCAATCGGGTCGCTCCATCACCGTCATCAAACTTCTTTTTGGCAGCAGCCGAAAATTATGGGTCTCCCACTGATGCTGGCGGCCCACTAGAACTTTCTTGACCTGTCACACTAATTATAACAGGGTAAGTACCAGACATAACATCGCTTCCCTGTGGGGAGTGCTAGTGTCTGGCTCCGATATTCGGCTCATCACAAGTCACTGTCGGCCTGCTTCAAAACATCTAAACCAGTGCCTATAGAAATCATAAGGTGACCGTGATGCGCCGTGAAGTGCAGTAGCCGGAGTATCGAACAGCTGACACTACACGACGGAGCCTGGGGCCTGGGCGGTACCGCGCATTTCGCATTAGTTCGTACGTTGATGTCGAAACATAATGAGATAACACCTTGGCCAATGGAGTCCCTGTGGCGAACACTAATATCAGTACAGTCATGCTCAGAAATTCGGCTCCTCTAAATTAAACCATTGCAGCAAAAGTATATAAGGTGAGCGATCCTTAAAATGCAGGCGCGGTGGTATCGAACGACACCTGTGCCTGCGTAGAATTCAAATCACCAGCATGAAGACCTCCAAATCTCATGAAAACATAGTAAATGAGACGACGCCTCTCGTACTTGCAAAGGGCTCGAAGAAACCCAAAACGCCCCTCCCAAAACTTCAGATGGGCTTACTTGTAGCGTTGCAACTTACCGAACCTATCGCTTCGACATCTATATTCCCGTACATCAATCAGGTACTTCAATCACACTGCTTCTCTTCCATGTACATTGTTAATATGTTTCACACTCGTAGCTGGTAAGAGAACTTGGAATCACTAGGGGCGGCGACGCGGCTGTAGGATATTATGCTGGGATGATTGTAGGTGCCACGATTACGACTTGCAAAGTGCTTGCAATAATGATTCGCTCATCTGATAAAATTGGCAGGAATCTCTGTTTTTTGTCGCGCAGGCACTAACGGTGCTGAGGTGGAGTAGGCTATCTGACCGCATCGGGCGCAAGCCGGTGATGGTAATCGGACTCTCGGGTGCTTGCATCTCGATACTGTGTTTCGGCCTCTCAACGACATTTTGGGGTCTGGTCATTAGGTATGTGACATCTTCAGCGGAAGGAAACATGCATCGCTGATATGGTCTCTCTAGCCGCGCCATGTGCGGTCTTCTGAATGGCAATACTGTAGTGATGAAGACCATGGTGGGAGAATTGACGGACTCCACGAATATGACCCAGGCATTTGCCATGTTCCCGATCGTCTGGTGCATCGGAGGCTTTATTGGGTAAGTGGAGTCGTCGACCATGGAAATGCTAATCGATATAATCGAGGTGTCAGTCCTTTGATAGGAGGAACACTCGCACGTCCACAGGATCATTGGCCGGCATTATTCTCCGGTCCGTTCTGGAGAGACTACCCATACTTTCTGCCTTCTGCAGTGGCAGCCTGCCTGTTCTTCCTAGCCCTTGTGATGATCTTACTGTTCTTAGAAGAGGTAAGTTCTGCATGCCTGCCATGTTGCACACATCACTCATGATTAGTAGACATTATCGACGAAACGTCGGCCGAAGTTCACTTCAACTACGGTTAGCGTTTCAAATAGCCCCGACAGTGAATCACTCGTCAAAAACTCGATGGCAACCGTGCCCTTGCGATCTCTCCTTATGCCTTCGGTCGTCATTCCAATTGCAAACTTCGCCGTGACCGCCTTCCTTGACATTGGTTTCAGGGTTCTTATGCCCCTATTTTTTTCGACGCCTACTTATCTCGGCGGTCTTGGATTTGATCCTGCTACTATTGGCTCGTGGCTGGCGTTATTTGGGATCGTCGATGGTGTCTTCCAGGGCTTATTCTTCGCCAGAATCGTCGATTGGATTGGTCTAAAGCGTTTATTCTGTATTTCAGTATCGTGCTTCGCACCACTCATGGCTATGTTTCCACTCATGTCGTGGATTGTACGCGCAAGGGGGGGAGTCGATCATGCAATCACGTTTGTCTTGCTTTTCCAGCTAGTCATGGTAGTCGTATGGCATATGACCTATGGTGCGTTTTGTGATAAAACTGAATTGTCATTATAAGTAACCTACTTCGTTGCAGGGATTATTTTGGTGTTTATCAGAATGTCTGCTCCTACAGATGAAGTCCTTGGCACTATCAATGGCCTCGGCCAAACCTCTGTGGCGGTAGCTCGCGCCGTTGGTCCCGCGTTGGCGACCTCGCTCTTTGCTGCATCGAAGCAACACAACCTTCTAGGAGGAAATGCAGTTTTTGTTGTGTTAATCGTGTTGGGTGGTGGATTGAGATGGCTGGCGTCGCAGTTGCCAGATGATGTACGAGACAGGGATGAGTGACAGGTGACTCGCAAGAGGAATCAATATCGAATTGTGTGATTGTCGTAGGATTCGTGTTTATCACTAATTATTTGTAAATCTAAATTGCTAGATGTGTTTTAAATTTAGCATTGTAAACTTTGATGTTTGGATCTTGCTTCAAGCATTTGACTTAGAGATATTAGAGCCCAACGAGTCCAGAGGTAGAAGCAGCGAACATCATGCAGCTTGGGCGTGATCAATAGAACGCGGTCCAGTAGTTTCTTCACGACCGCATCTTTGTTTGCCTCATAAGCGTCTGTGATAGCCTGCAACTTTATACTGGTCTCCTTGTCTACGGCAGCTTGTGCATTGGAGGTGACTATGCAGAGGCTGCGTTGCTTTATTGGTAAAATCCTATCAAGTTCGTCCAGTGCTCTAGATCTGACGGGCCCCGTTATAAATGTTGAACATTAATTGCAAATGATTATGATTAACAGTCTAACATACTACAACATTCATGTTAAGTATTACAATGTTCAACATGCTCCATCTCCTAGATAAAAATCAAAACTCCTTACGCACTCTCTACCAGCGCCGGATCAAAATACACTCTCCGCACCCACCTCCTCCGTCGTGTCATCCCCAACGCCTTCCAAGCCTCGAGAGGTATACGACACGGATCTGCCCATACATCATTTGTGTACACCCAGCCGTCTGAACATCGATTGTAATAAGAATTAGCGCATCGAAAGATAGCAACGCATAAAACTTACTGTCGTCCGCCCCAAATAAAGGATCCCCAGAAGCAGAAAAATAATTGGAACCAGAGGCAGAGACCCAGCTCCCCAGTGTGTCTGGTCTCCACCCCTCGGTCTCTACGAATGCCCAGCCTGGTGCAAGCGAGAACGTGAGGTTGCTGCTGGGGTCGCAGGGAGTTAGTAGCGATTTCAAATTGAGTGACAAATGCCAATCCGACACGCACCTCACTTCCCCACCCACTCCACTCCAACCGTCCCTCGCCCTTGTCCATGGCGCACGATCCGCAGGCCTCAAATTTGTCTTGCTCCACGTCCCAGCTCCCGCACCAAGCAATGCGCTTCCAGACCCATCTACAACATCAAATCCCGACCCCACTGCATCAAGGTCATCCTGTGTGCCGAACGAGGAGGATAAAGAGGGGCCCGGAGCCCACCTCTCGTTCTCCCACAACTCCACCTCCCGCATCTCTGCGCCCCAATGTTTGTCGTCGAGCCTATCATCGTCGAGCCAGCGGCGGAGCTTGATCTTCAATGAGGTGTATTTGTAACTTGTTACTCCCGTCAATGTAGCACTCACACTGCCTCCCTTTACGATGCCCCCGTTTACGACACCTTTGAGCAGTGGCATGATTCGCATTTGCGTGACTGGGTGCGTCCATGCAAATGGGGATACGCCTAGGATAAAGAATAGCAGGCGGAGGGGTACTAGAGGCAGCATTGGCAGCATAAAGAGGAAAGAGAGCAGGGTAAGCGTTAGGATGAGCGAGGTATGAGTGGATCGATGGATGAGGTGAGGAGTAAGTGGGGAAAGGGTGTCGTAGCCATCCGAACTAAGACGGCGAATTCAAAAATGTAGACAATGATGTATAATTGACGCTTACAACGCGCCCATAAGGTTCTGAATCGCTTGAAGATTAGCTTGCCAGTCAACGCTCCCCTCTGAGGGAGGTGGCGCGATTGGAGCCGGTGGGCTTTTCGTTGATATCGATTCGTATGGCGAAGGAGTTGGATATGTAGATAGCATTATAACTGCTAGTATAGCATGTGGTACGAGGAGCACCATGCGAGGAAAGTAGCCTGCGAGCACATATAAGGCTTGGCATCATAGAAAAGAATGACACGCACACAAGAACGCGTAAATAGCAATCCAGACACCAGTATACTTCCACCCGCACCTCCACATAAGGACCTCCTCCACTCGATCCTGCAACCAAAACACGGGTCCTACTCTAGCTACGAACCTCCTGAAATTGACGGTAGTAATTGGAATACTGAGCGGGTCTCTGGTACTCAGCAATGTTGTGCTGGACTTGCGAGGGCTAGCGGACGTAGGAATAGAAGCTGGGAAAGATGTGTTAAGGAGAAGAGTAGAGAGTGACTTTGTCGGGCTGAAGGTGGTGCTGGCCGCAGCAGCCGCTGCTGCAGGAGTGGGCGAGCATGATGGCAATGATGTGCTGATTTTGGTGAACGGACGAACGGGATCAGAGGCTAAAGATGATTGCAGACGAATCACATCTGGTGGAATCTCTACGTAGTCGAACGTTGACATTGCGGACGCTGTGCCTTCAAATGGTGGTTTAAGAAAAGATTGGCGCCGCCCCTCCAATATTATTTACTCAATTGGACTTGTCCCATAAGGAATAGTCAGTGTCCGCAGTGAGCGCTTGAGGGTTTCATGAGCATTCTCGAGCACGGACGCAGAATCTTAGTGACCTCGAACACGTCTTGCCATCCTGCTCAGATCTGAGATTTTTGACAGATTTATTGCGATGAGTAATAGTTAAAATATGCGAACGCCTGGTACCCATGTGACCGTGATCCAGCATGTTCGCGGATGAAAAATTAGATTACCATCAACACCAGCATGTCATCCGTAGACGAACGATGATCTACAGTGATCGCAATTGAGGCCAAGGTATAATCGACAGGATCTGCGCAAAGTTCGAACGAGCTACTAAAGAAATATCAACATTCGCATCAACAAGTACGCATTAGATATATAAAAAAGCTTCCAACAATCAGTACGATATCACATACACCACCATTACGATGTGCCATCGGGCCGCCTGACATGCAAAATCACTCGAGGCAGCTTCTTCGCAGTGAGAGGGTTCACAGCCTCACTCTCGGGCACAGATACAGAAGTTGACGAACTAGTACTGGACACGGGCACTGGTACCTGCGTATCCTTGCCAGGCTTACTAGCCACGTCTGGTGTGCTGCTGTTTCTCGAAAGCTTCTTCCGCTCGCGCAGCGTCCTCGATGTCGGTGGGACCCAATTCCGTGAATGCTGTGGTGGGGTTCGGTAGACATCGAGACGGGAAAGCAGTTCTGAGGTGCGTGTAAGCCATGGCTCAGGATCGGTGTCTCCTAGAGAAGGGTGCCCGAATTTACGGGCCTTTGTGGCTTTCTCGAGCTACAACAAATTTTGAGTACAGCACAGAGAGATACATTGCAAACCGACATACCTTGATTAGGTTTTCCAAGTCCCACCACCTCTCATCCACTTGTACGGTATCCCCAATGAGCCCACATATATGTGCCATTGCCCCGCTACTCAGCGCACGATCGCTGTACCCGCCTTCAAGCACGCTCACGACATGCCCACGAGCATAAACATCGGCAAAAGTGCATGTATCGAGAGTGAATCGATGATAGAAGCTTGTGGGGACCTTTCGGTTATGACGAGACATACTTGAATACTCGTGTTCACAAGCATCAAAACCACAACTGTTTCAACCGTCTACCGTGGGGGTTTGGACACAAGTATAACAAACGCACCTTATGAAGACCATGACATCATCGCCTGGTCCGCCGGTACTGTCAAGGAATTGCGATGCTCTCGTAAGAAGCGTTGAATATTGTTCTTTGTAAAGGACTTCCCAAAAGTATACTTCAGAGCTGTAGGTTTGCAGATGTATATTCTCGATGTATTGTCCATGTGGTCCGTTTATCGAGGTTGACGCAGCTTGAACGAAAGACATCTTACCGTCCTGCAATACGCTGCTGATTCACTGTCAACGAACGAATAACAGAAGCGTTCCTTACCTCGCACGGGAAAGAGAGAACATCGTGTATTGAGCCGTAGAATATCTGAGGACCGCGAGTTGAGGGAGGTGCGTTGGGCTCGGATGGCGACTGTTCGGATTCTAGCGTCTGTCGGTATGTTTCTTCATTGATTTGCCATACTATCGACTGCGTGCCGTTTCCTGTCAGAACATTTAGGTAGACAATCCCTGACGAACGACCTTGAACTTGCCATGGTGCAAATCAATATCCAGTATGACAACACGTTGAATTCCGTATTTCAGGTGTGCTACAAAGTGTATGAATAATGGGCACTAATAGTTCAGCGAAGCTCACCGTGAACTGCGCCAATCGCCACATTGTTTACAAAACAGAATCCAGATGGGGTATCTTCACCACAATGGTGGCCAGGTGGTCTCACTGCTACAAATGCTCGTCGAGGCTCGGTAGCTACGATAGAAGGATTCGTGCCAGTAGACGCAATGACTGCGTCGACTGCTTGGCATACGGCGCCAATCGCGCCCTGGATAGCATCGATTGAGGAGGGACATACTATGAGAATGCGAAAGATTAGCCTCATAGCTAAATTTCCCAGATAGACACGTACGATACAGGTCAAGTGGTGGCATCCCCTCCGGCATTTCAGACCCCTTCTTGGTAATATTATCTTCGCTATCTCGAGCCCATGCCTTCAAGGTCTGGAGATAGACATCACCATCTATATCTCCATGAACGTATTTCACCGCAGCGTTATCTAAGAGATCGACGGTAGCCGTACTTCTTGTAACAGAAATACTTCGAGCTCGAATAAGTCCACCGTCGGATGTAGCTATATCCATATTGCCGAGAGCAGCAGCCAGCTCATCCTCTACAGAAATGTCTGTATCTGAGGGTTTCAGAACACCTTCGGCCTCTTCAATACGCGCTATGGCAGCAGCGAGTCCAATCTTGACGGCACGTAAACGTTCGGGTCGCTCCACGATGCTTGAGGTATCTCGTGAGCGAATAAATCGGTGATTTAGACAGTCATCTTGGAAGTATATTTTGGCGTGTGTTGGGGCTTTTGCTAATGACGATGGGTGGATATAGGCTGACTTGGAGGAGACCTGACCTAAAGGTAACGGGGTGCCGATTCTTAGTGGGTCAGCTTCAGACCTAGGTTCTATCTTGATGGTTGAATCGGCTGCGTGGGTGCTCATGCTTTCCGTGACCGTTAAGTACTGTGAGATCCTGCATGTATATGGAAGCGACAGGAGTGTAAATCTGTTTACACTTGACCGGAAACCGCACGCACTCCGACATCATGAAATAAAGTGTCACTGGTAACAGACTTATTTGCCAGTTGCTAGCGCTCTTCGACTTTAAAATGTAACCTTCTTGCCGAACAAAACGAACACAACAGCGACGCTTTGGATGTTCGACACTCAATTGCTATCGAGCATTTCGGCTACTTTTTTTCCATCATGTCCATGTCACGTACTACTTGCGAGGAACCGCTGACTTGGATTGCCGCTCATGCTGGTACTACAACTGTGAAGTGCCACCTTTTGACTTCTATGATATAGACAGATTCGTACCAGAGGTTTCTCCCGTCTCCCTGTATGTATTCCCGTACATCAATCAGGTACGACTTCTGATCGACAACAATATATTTCACCCTCTCAGCTTATCAGACTCGGAGGACTTGGGATCACTAGGGGTGACGATGCGGCTGTGGAGTATTATGCTGGAATCATTGTAGGTTCTGGGATCGCAACTTGCATGAATTGTTTTCTCATAGTGTACTATCGAACATGCTTAACAGCCATATTTATTTTTCGTTGCACAGGCACTGACGGTAATCCAATGGAGTAGGCTGTCTGACCGCATTGGGTGCAGGCCGTTGTTGGTATTTGGACTCTCAAGTGCTTGTATTTCGATGCTCTGTTTCGGCCTCTCGACGACTTTCTGGAGTCTTGTCATTAGGTGTGTCTTCGGTTGAGAGCATACGTCATGCTGACACGGTTTCTTCAGCTGCTGCTAGTAGTATCCGGTTTTCTAAATGGCGACATTGGAGTGATGAAGACTACGATAGGTGAATTGACGGATCCCATAAACATGGCTCAGGCGGTTGCCTTGATCCCTATCGTCTGAAGCCTCGGAGGCTTTCTTGGGTAAGTAAACCTATCAAATATGGGTGTTAGATGATGAAATCTGCATGTCAGATATTTGATGGGCGGAACGCTTGCGCGACCGCAAGATCATTGGCCCGTATCATTCACCCATCCATTTGGGGAAATTACCCATATTTTCTGCCTTGTGCAGTAGCAGCCTGTCTGCTCTTTCTGACCTTTTTCACAATGGTAATCCTTTAGAAGAAGTATATTTCCTACATATATGTCACATCGCACATGTTACTCGTGTACCTCGAAGCTTCAACAGAGTTGCAAGAGACACGTCAATTCTCATAGCAAATTATGTTGGACAAGATCACCATTCAAGTGCATTTAATACTGCCAAATCTCGTGAGGTTTGTTGAGTAAATTTCAATTATAGCTTGATATCACTTCAAACTGCAAGGTTGCACCATGCATAGTGTACACCCTCTAATAGCTAGAGCGCAACCTACCAGAAACATTATCACGACACACCTTACTGTTCCCGACCGTCACTCGTGCCATGAGATACCACGCGCGAAACGACTTGAATCCAGCTGCACGAAATCATTGGCATCACCAGCATGTTGTTTCAGTAGACAAACAGGTGTAAACGGATTGATTGCAAAAGAGAAGTCCTTCCGACCCTATGAACCTGTGAGATAGGTTGGAGTGCGAGAATCTTGGAGAAAGAAGAATGCGGCAGGCAGAGCATGAGTCGGCGATAGATGAGAAACTCCAGAACCCATACCATGGTGAATTCATTGTATAAAGTGAACACGATGAACCTTCTATCCGATGAGATTTCGACAGGCTGTAAGGGACACCCTTGTCTTCCATGTTACATCCCTGGAATGCCTCCAGTACATCGCCAGTCTCCACATCCTATATTCGGTTTGTCATGTGATCGGAACCAGACACGATGTGTCGTGTATCTGGCGAGATTGTGATAAACTGGACGTAGTCCGTCACAGTATGTCCTCGGAGTGGAGTGCCCAGTTTGCAGCCAATCTGTGTCCCACACCTGGATCGTCCTGTCGTCTGAAGCGGATGCGATATTTCTATTCGGTTTAATTGCAATAGACACCCGAACACTACCAGTGTGCCTCGGGAGAAGCACCCAACGCCTCCAGTCTCTATATCTCACAGCCTGATTGTGTAGTCGGTTGAACCAGAGACGGTGCATCTTCTATCATGAGGGATTACAATATAGTGAATGCAGAGGGTGTGCCATCGGAGAGAAAAATTCAAGACTCCTCGCTACTACCCCGCATCACATACCCGGATTGCAACCTGCGAGGCTCCATTGGTCCCAACAACGAAATATGACAACGCACCATAGACCAATTTATGATACACGAAAGACCTTGCAGAGGCGCTGAGCCCTCTCATTAAGGCCAGTGCTACCAGCCAGATAAGGAATGGCTTCCTATTGAAAAAATGCTAATTTCGTTGACCAAGAATGGCTGAAAGAGCGAAGTTTGCGTGTGTCCCATCCAGAATCGACACAAGTACGATAACTCTGCCGGAATGAACCCCTTCGTTCATTTCTCCAATTAGGGACAGCGGAATTAGGCAAGTAAAAACTCATCAAAGAGCAGAGTTAAAGCAAAGCCCATGCTTCATAACCTGCAGTGAGGCAACGGTACATCAACGAAGATATTCTTGCTTTGCGATGTCTCTACAACAAAGTCATAGAAGGATGGATGGAAGGGACGTACGAATCAATGCTGGTCACAAGCCAGACGCTCAATGACTGAGTTAACATCGTGACAGTCATCATCACGTGGAAAATGCATTCGCATTATGGTCAACGCGAAGCGATTCCAGTGATGTAGGAATCTGTCCCATCAACAGAAAGAAAAACATGATAATCAATTCCTCGTTATCGTCATCTGCCATGACTTCTGCCACGATGCTTCTGTACATATCATCCAACAGACAGGTTCCTGATGTAGATGTTCCAGTACCCACGGCATTGAAACGCATAGGAGTACTGCCCACTTTGTTGGTGCCATTGACATGCTTAGAGTGACAGAGGCAATACGAGCACATTCAAGCAGGCCGTCAGATTTCTGAGTAAGGGCGTGGAAGTATGTATTGAAGATATTGCGCAGATCTGACAACCTGGTGGAAATGTAAAACTGTATGCCTCATTCTGTGAATACATGACAAACATGCGGCACGGTGTGCAGTACATCGCAGATGTCTTCCAGACGAGAATACAGAAGTTCGTCTCGTCAGAAATCCAATTATCCACGGAGACAGCCTGCCGGCAAGCAGACGAAGAATCAGCTGCCGGGTATCTGTGTCGCCGCTCTCTTCCAATGCATCAATGTAATAAATTTCGAGACGGCACCCTCCATGAGCATTGGAATCAGAAGCTTCTGAAGCCTCGATCTCAGTAAATCATTCGGTTATTGTATGGGCAGTGACCAACTTGCCTTCTCCTGAGTACATGGGGGATAGCACTTAAACGTGTTCAGTTCAGAATTAGCCGCACGCTTTATGTCATTCAGGGTGAGATCCCCTACTATACGAGTCGTTGAACATCGGAGAAAATTCAAAGTTTGAGGTCTACGCTTACCCATACGGTGAATGATCAGGATGCTGCAAGCCGTTATATGAGACCGCTAAGAGCTCCACTGTAGCTCTGAACCACGATATGTGTTTCAATGAAGATATCCTTGCCAAGCCGTATCCCTGTGCAAAGATCATGTTTAGTCCTAGCTGATGTGTAATGAGATCTACACACTCGAGCATCTGTCCCGCTGTCTTTCCTAAATAACATGAATGCAATATTGGCCCATTCCTTCTCTTCCTTTACCGAAGGGTCGAACTTCAAGAATAGACAGAACACAGCAACATCGGGGTCCGCCTGATCGAGAATCGACCGTCGCCAAGTCGGATGGGAGACGAGCAAACCTTGGACACACAAATCAAGATATTGATATTCGATATGATCTTCGCATGAAGGTCTAGATGAAACCCATGTATATCTGCAATGCAGTCAGAAACAGGGTTGAACACATTCATGGGTTCAAGAATATTAATGGTAAATGTGTGGATGGATTCTACATTGTCACTTCTTGAAGCAAGTATGATTCCATTTCCAGGGATAAGGCCTAAGGGTGATGCATGCAGTGCCTCCTAGTCTGGTGGCCTATCGGGGTTCACAATTGATACAGCTTGGTTAAAAATATTTGCTTCGGAACCACTACGGCAGTAAGCGATGAAGGATCCGAACTTTAAGCCTACTAGTCAGGAGAGCCGCCGCAGGTTCATTGTTAGAAGACCAAGGGAAAGGAACCTTGATTGGCTTTCCCCAGAACTTGTCCACGGGGCCGTTGCAGGAACCAGCTCGTGCCGCATGATGATGGTGTGACCTGTGTGTGACCGTGACAGAAAGCGGCAGTTGTGAGGCGGCTTCAATTGTCCGACGCCTTCAAAAACGCGCTTAAGTATATAAACTTTTAGGAATACAACCTGTGAACCTCTCGCTGCTCATCGCGAACCCACGTTGATGAATTTCAAGGAATGATGGGTTTCGTGCACACTATCATGCGAGCTTTGATGACATTTCCGTAGGACCGTCCAGACTCGGTGGCCAGCTGCAGCTCAAACCAGTCATTCTTGCCATCGACTCCGAAAACAAGTCGAATATTCGACGCACCGAATTTACACAGCTCGTGTCCCTCTTTTCTATTCCCAATCTTCGCGAGCTACGGTTGACCTTCGGACGGTTGACGGGAGTTCGAGAGTGCCATTTCTTGGACTCGGAGTCGTTCTTTAAAAATTCCAAGTCGCAACATGGCAACATTCATCAAGTAGTTCTGACGATGATGGTCGCTGGACAAATCATTCCTCCATTCTTGCCCTAGCGAAAACTTTACGTTCTGGAAATGGATGATGTTGAAAAGGTTCAAAAGGATCTTGTTCACATGTGATGCATGTGATCACTGACTGCATGATGAAGAATTGAAATTATGAGCAAACTGCTACCTTCTCTGCAAGCCATTTCACGACAGTAGCCGGGGTCCCACATGCCTTACTACTTCTGAGACAGCTTGAATTCTACAACGTGATCCACATGCGAAGGATTCATCTGTGAGTCAAGGTTCAGTGAACGAATACCTGTCTGATTTCATGTTCAGAGCCTTTGCTATGCATATGTAGCATCCAAGCACATAGACTTTTGCCACACACGTATGATTTCTGCCTGATTGGGGGTGAGATTCTATTTATGCAGTTGGCTAAGGGCTTTGGTCTTGTGAACCTGATCATTTTGCCAGTCTTTCGAGAGCTGATCACTGCTAGTTTGTCTATCACCATGTCTATGCCTGAAAATTTTACGCTGAAGAAGTTATACGATCTCAATGGCCTGATCGCACTGGTAACCGGCGGCGGCACAGGCATCGGCCTTATGATTGCTCGTGGTCTTGCTGCCAATGGGGCTAAAGTGTATATCACTGGTCGACGGAAGGAAGTTCTTGACAGTGTGGTTTCGGAGTGGAATGCAACTAAAGGAGACGACATGGGACTTCTGATCGCGTGAGACTTATCGATCATTCGCGTTTCGTGTGGGCTGATCAAACACAATACATAGGCAAGAGATGGATGTTACGAAAAAGGACAGCATTAAAGCTGGTGTGACAAGATTATCCCAAGCAGAGGGACGGCTACACATTCTCGTGAACAAGTATGACGCCTACTAGTACTCTCCCTTTTGTTTTGTGACTCACCATGATCGAACGAAGTGCTGGCCAATCAGGTCCTCTCTCCTCTGAGTTGAATCAACCATCGCCGACTGCTCAAAAAGAGGCCGGACCACTCAGTGAATATCTTTTCAACAATGAATCGTTCGAGGAATGGAGCTCCCTTTATGCAATCAATACTTTTTCGATCTACTTTGTGACTGTTGCATTTTTGGATTTGCTCGACAAGGGATCCAAGAATAACGATAGAGAGGGTTTTTCTTCAAGCGTCATCAATATCACGAGCATGAGCGGGACTCGTCAAGTTTGCACAGAGACATGTGAGCAAACTCGTCTTCGATTGTCTGTATCATCGCTGACTTTGATGTAAAAGTTCTGCTACAATAGCTCAAAAGCTGCAGGGTCTCACCTCACCAGGATGCTTTCGACAGAATTTGCTCTCAAAGGAATCGATGTTCGAGTGAACGCTATCGCACCAGGCGTGTATGAAAGCGAGATGACATACGATACGATTTCAGGACAAGTTGCGACTGATGCGGTCGGTATGCCGGTATTGTCTATACCAGCGAAGAGGCCAGGAACGTGAGTGAAGCTTGATTCGTGAACCAGGGCGTTCACTAACGGTAAAACGTAACAGTGCTGCTGAGATGGCAGGCACTGCCGTTTATCTCGCATCGCCTGCTGGAGCTTATATGAATGGGCAGGAGCTTGTTATTGATGGCGGAACCACGGCTGTGAATCCTTCCAGAGTGTAATATACATTTTCATCAAGGAAGCTATGTACTGGTAGCAATTGATACGTGAAGCAATGCATCCCAAATACGGCGAGTACTCACATGTCTAACACCAGGCGGCCGTGTGTCCAGCGTGACTTGCTACGCGAACAAAGAGCAATGTATATTTAATGTATTTTGGAGAAACTCACACTAATAAACACAAAGGTGGCAAAGGCACTCTTGATTATCCGAACTTGAAATAATCTGAATGTCCACGCATTACGATTGCATCGTGGTCGGGAGCGGCCATGCAGGTTGCTCGGCAGCCCTTGCGGCTGTTGAGGCAGGTTGTACCTCTGTCCTTATTGTCGAAAAAGCCCCCAAAGATTGGGTCGGCGGCAACGGCTACTTCACAGCAGGTGCGCATCGAACAGTCCACGAGGGACTACAAGATCTCCTCCCAATCGTGCGCAATGTCACGCCAGAGCAGGCATCTAAGATCGACATGGATCCCTATACCGTCGAGGACTTCACCGGAGATATTATGCGCCTTGGCCAAGATAAGCCAGACGCTAAGCTGGTGAAATCTATGGTAGAATCTTCGAGAGAAGCGGTAGAATGGCTCGCGCGGATCATAGATATTCCGTTCATTCTGTCATTCCACCGCCAAGCATATGAAGTGCATGGGAGGCAAAAGTTCTGGGGTGGTATGGCACTCAGTACCGAAGATGGCGGAAAGGGGTTAATTAAGGCGCATATGAAGGCACTAGAGAAGGCTGGAGTGGAGATTTGGTTCGAGGCTCCTGCCGTAAGGCTCAGGGTTGAAAAGACTGCAATAACGGGTCTTGTGATTCAGATAGACGGCAAGGAATTGAATCTTTCAGCCTCCTCAGTCGTGTTGGCAGCAGGAGGTTATGAATCTAGCTCAGAGCTCCGGGCTAAACATCTTGGCTCTGAATGGGAAAAGGCACGCGTAAGTTGCGACAGTTGCTCGAGGAACTTTACAAACAACAACTAAAATAACGTACAGGTCAGGGGCACTCCTTACAACACGGGCGATGGCTTTGCCATGACCCAACTTGTTGGTGCAAAATTTGTCGGAGATTGGGCAGGGTGTCACAGCACGTGTTGGGATGCAAATGCACCAGCAGACACAGGAGACAGGGAGCTCAGCAATCAATTCACGAAGTCAGGCTATCCTCTGGGTATCATGGTTAACATCTATGGCCAACGCTTCGTTGACGAAGGGGAGGATTTCAGAAATTTCACATATGCCAAGTTTGGGCGACAAATTCTTCTTCAACCGGAAGGGTGTGCATTTCAAGTGTGGGGTGCAGACATGGTTCCATTTCTCCGAAAAGAGGAATATGGAGATGACATCGTCGAGAAGATCTGTGCTGGGAACATGGAGGAACTTGCAGACAAACTACTTGAGAAAGGGCTCAAGGACAAGGAGTGTTTTCTCAAGACAGTGCACAATTATAATGCGGCAGTCCAAAATCATCGAGCTGAACACCCAACTCTGAGATGGGACCCCACGTTCAAAGATGGACTCTCGACTCAGTCTACCACGGGAGCGCTGCAGCTTCCAAAATCAAACTGGGCACTGCCAATAGATCAGGGACCTTTCCTGGCGGTAAAAGTCGCGTGTGGTATCACCTTTACCTTCGGCGGGCTCGCTATAGATCCGGATACTGCTGGCGTACTTTCGAAAGAGACAGATGCGCCAATTAAAGGCCTTTTCTGCACGGGGGAAATGGTTGGTGGTTTGTTCAGTGACAACTACCCCGGAGGTAGCGGTCTGACTGCTGGAGCTGTATTTGGACGCAAAGCGGGGGCCCAAGCAGCCAAGCTCGCTGGGAAATCGGTCAAGTAAAAGGTACGGGAAGGTTTGAATGCGGGCGGAGGGGGCGAGAAGGTGATAGAAGGTGTAGAGACGGTACCGGGGGGCTGGCTGAGGTGGCATTAGTTGAAATGTAAACGAGCTTGCAGCTGTAGCACGGGAATATCAATATCATTGGCTCTCAGATGGACACGTGAATGAGGAAGTACATACTGTGACATCTGCTGGCCCATCCTATATGTTATGACACCAAAGTCTGTGGCAATTAGTTGTTTTTTGAAACGTCGGAGTCCAATAAAAGATCATTTCTCTCTCGTTTACTCGAACGATGTGCTGAAGGAAACGAAATAGTCCACAGGCACACTAACAACTCGTGCTCACAGAGTAAGGATCGACGCTGAGCGCTAGCGTTGAGTACACAAGCATTTAGGCTTCTGACAGTCGCATAGTCACCACCGGGAACAAATCAATAATTATTGCAGCCGGTTTTCTAATTTTAGACTTATTTTTCAGTGTACGGCGTTTACAAACCTCAAAGTCTCAAGTATGCCTCGCCGTCGTCCATCCGGTAAGAGTAATTCTCGCTCGAAGCCGCGGCCAGTGGATCGCAAGGACAGCAAAATAAAACGGTGGAACAAGGCTTCTGATATTGAGTTAGACGAAGAGGATCAGTGTACGTTCTTATAACCCGAAAATACCTTGGTGTTGAAAATTATCATTATCTTAGTCCATGCGTCCAGGGATAAGATTCTTTTGAATGGAGATGGAGATGTCGAGGATGAAGACGGGGACGAAGACGAGGTTTTTGCTCTCGAAGGGGTATCAGACGAGGATTCAGAGGAAGCTGAAGACGAGGACGACGGCGGACTTGCACATGATGAAGAGGGAGACGACGAAGAAGACCTAGTCGTCACCAAGAGCAAAAGTAAAACCAAGACAAAGTTGAAGAAGGCATCATCTCCTTCAGATACTGGATCTGAGGATGAATCTTGGGGCCGAAGCAAGTCAGCGTATTACTCCTCCAATGCTGCCCAGATCGACTCGGAAGACGAAGAGGCAAACGAGTTGGAGGAACAGGAAGCACGTAAACTTCAGCTGAAGGCTCGGGATGCTATTCATGAGGACGATTTTGGATTGGGCGAAGGTCTCGAACCAGCATCCGATGCTGAGGTTGAGTATGTGGTATCATTTGTCTGTTTCTGTTATCCGTGGCTTACATTGTTTTCAGAGATTCCCTAGAGGAACAATCAGGGCCCACAATTGATATATCATTAAACGACAAGAAGTCCATCTTGCAGCACCTAGAAAGAGAAAATCCAGAAGCTCTTGCCTTGGCCCGTGACTGGGATGATACGGCCCGTAATCTCATCGAAATGCAGGCAAAAATTGCAGCGTCAGTTTTCATGTCACTTATTTTCCAACATTCATGCTCATTATCAATTTAGAACATCGGAGAAAGAAACTGACGGAATTGAACTCGGACTTCTGCACGTATACTATCGTAAGTTCTCACCTCCAACTTATTTTATTCATGATGCATCAGGATGTCTGACCAACCAGTTCTTTTTTTACACTGCAGAGGCTCTCCTGACCTATGCTACTACCCTCGCGTACTATCTTCACCTTCGCTCCTCGGAGAAATACGCAGGTCGTCCTCTACTCCTGAGACAGCACCCTGTCCTAAATCGCTTGCTCACTCTCAAGCAATCACTCGTCATGCTAGAAAATCTGGGCGTTGGCACCAATTCGCACGATGAAGACGACGACGACGACGAAGACGATTACGCCGAACCAGGATCTGACACACCTGACTTATGGAGCATCTTGATGACGAAGGGTCTCGAATCTGACGAGCTTGTAGATCTGTTGATGGACGCAGAGAGCAAACCCAAAAAGCCATCCAAGAAAGACAAGATCGAAACTAAGCCTCCCAAGAAAAAACGCAAGACTTCCGATGATAAAATTGGACAACCAATCTTTGACCTCGTCGAGCCAGACTTTGAGGCGGCCTCGACTTTTGCAAAGAAGAAGCGTTCGGCCCCCGTTGACACTGCTAGCACAGACGCATTTGGTGAAGCCACGTTTCTACAACACGCTGACGCCACCGACAAACAGGCACGCAAGAAGAGCTTGCGTTTCCATGTGTCACGCATTGAAAGTGCTGCTGCGCGGCGCCAGAACGCTCGTGTCAATGCAGTGGGCGGTGATGATGACATTCCTTACCGCGAACGAAGGAAAGAAAAGGAACAGAGAATGGAGAAAGAGCGGCAGCGAAAGGCCGGAACTCTGGGAATGGGCGGAGATGACCTGGATGGTGTGGATCCCGAAATTACTGACGCAAGCAACCACAGCAAAAAGAGACGGAGAGATGTTGATATTGAGGATGATGATGATAGCGACACGGCTGCAGCACACGGCTATTACGAACTCGTAAAACGTCAAGCCGCGGACAAGAAGAACAAGAAAAAGATGGAGTACGAGGAGGCTCGGGCGGCCGAGCGGTAAGCCCCAGTTTTTCATGTCACTGGACTTTCTCATCTGATCCCGATAGACTTGTCTTTGGTGAACATGATGAGGCATCTGGCCCGCGCTCGGTCACGCGGGCCATTATGAAAAATAAGGGACTAACGCCGCACAGGTCAAAGAGTGTACGCAATCCGCGTGTCAAAAAACGCCAAAAATACGAGCAAGCCAAAAAGAGGGTGTCAGTCACAGCGTGCTGTTTACAAAGGTGGTATCGGCGATGCCTCAAAATATACAGGCGAGCAGTCTGGTATATCCAAAGTTATCAAAAGCGTCCGCCTGGGATGAAGGGTATCGCTATCTGGAGTATATCCTGCTACAGTACATCGTACTATTTAGACAACATGGTGAAACCAAACGGGAGGCTTGAATAACTACATAAACGAAAATGTGAGTCCGTATGAATGCAGGAAGGGCTAGGAGAAGAGTAAACAACAAGCCTTCACAGATAAGGGCTTACGGGACAGCAAGTAACTGATCTACAAGGACGAAAATAATCAAGGGCTTATAAAGCCTATAATAACGTTTTAAATCGACATGTACTGGCGCATCATACATGAGCCTATCGCCTCGGGAATTAAAGAAAAAGGACTCACCGTATTTCCATGGTGCTTGCCGTTGCCGTTGGTTAATGCATCGACGCTCATGGTCTCGTGGAGGGCACGAGATGATTGATTGATGGCACTAGCCATTTCATTGAAATTTTTCGGACCCTTTTGCAGCGCAGCGTCATACTCGCGACTGATCTCCCGTGCATGTTCCTTCGTCTCTTCATAAGCATAGCTGTATTGTTCCAACGCCTTGATGCACTGAAATACTTCGGGACGACCCAACCGAGCGAGTAAATTTCCAGCGTTGATACAACTGACATGCATGACCGCAGGGTCCAGTTTCTGAACGGAGTTAATTGATACAATGGCATTTTTTAAGGCAAGCATACCAAGTAACCATTCGAAGTAAGTACTCCAGCCTTGGAAAAAATCAGTAGTGGTAGTTCGCCAAACCACAACCACTTACGAGCGCCGCGATGCGCAAGGAAGCTTGCAGGGCTTCTTCCATCACTTTACGTTTTGCAGTCTCCACCTGATTGATAGTACTTGGCGTGAAGGCGTCGTCACGGATGCCAAACTCATCCATCGCAAAGAAAAGGGCTACCCAGGTGACATGATATTGAGCATCGCTTGCACCTGAAGACAGCTTTAGTAGACTCAACACCATTATGAAATATCGACTACTGACATGCAGAGACCGCAGATACGAAATCCCAATTAGCCTCCAAGTTAGGCGGCACACCAACCTTGGATAAATGAGCATCTCTCCATTTGCTTAGATCCGAGATGTACGACAGGATACAATCAAGGGGGATGCCGTCTTGATCTGTAGATGGTCTCCAGAGTTGACGAGCGATTGTCCGCGAGATCCGAGCAAGGGCGTGTGCAGCTTGATAGTACCCCTGATAAAGTGTAAGTACACCTCTAAAAGCGCCGATTAGAGTTTACCGACCAAAAACTAAGCATGATGTAAGTATGAGTGTTCGTAGAACGGAATTCTGAACTCTCACCTCAAGTTGTTCTCTAGGAGATGGAGCCGTGGGGTCGGTAATCTCCTGGGCATTCTGATCAGCAGTGTAGAAGTCAATGTCATAGTCGTCGTCATCACTACATGGGCGGATATTAGTGTTCGGTATAGAAAACATCTCGTTAAACAAACTTACAGCATGGGCTTCCGGCGGTAATAAAATGAGGAGAACGCATCCGACAGGCAAGCCATCCACCAAGCGAAAATCATAGTACCGCGCGCCTCGGGATCTTTGATAAGCACCATCACGGATTTGTGATTGATCTTCGAATGACTTAGAATGGAACTTTCGAATGTCATCATTATACTTACCTGTAGACCAAGTAAGTTACGTATCCCACTAGTGAGCCAGAACCCGTGGAAGCCTGCTCCCTATCAGCCGCAGCAGTGAAAAACAATTAGATCAAAATTACCGTTGTCAAGTCGTGGATCCTCTGTTGCATAATGAGTAAACGCTAGGTCAGCGAAATAAAATACGTACGACATTGCAAAGGTTCGATAAGCAACGAAATAACGACATGATTTGTGTTTGGTATACGGTGCACTTTTAATGACTCGGCCAACTCTCGGGTGCGGTTGATGAGCGCTTTAGCGAGCAGGCTCTGTCCATCATTCCTTTGGCGATCTGCCACCAGAAGGGGATGTTCGGAGAATTTTGCACCCCAGGCAAGCACCGTTGCGATAAGGGCTGGGTGTAATGGCTCATCCTGCTTTGCAATCACTGGTCTTTGTTGAGTCGCCTGGAGATTTAAGCGCGCGCGGAATTGTAAGGGGTTGAGAAGAGGAAGACGGGTATGGACTATCTGGAAATAAACTTCAACTAGGTCAAGGGCGAACCTGTCATCAGAAGCAAAACCGGACGGATCAGCAACAGCCTATCAGGAATGAATCGATACGGTAAATGAAAAAGGACTGTAAAACCATTACGAAGAGACTCTTCAAGTAACCATCATGGAACACGATAACGCGATAATTTCGATCGTTTACGTAATGTAAGAGGAAAAGGGGTAAATGTCACGTACTCTGCTCGGAAGGCTTCGTCTTCAAGTTTGGATGCCATGTCTCCCCATGCGGCATAGCCTGATGATGACCGTGATTTGAACATAAATGTGGAGTCGCTGATGAGTGACGAGATAAGTCAGCAAGGCGAGGCGAACAGAATACGGTATCCACCTTTCCGGCGCAGCAAACAGGTGATGAAGAAGCGTTGGAGTAGTGGATTGCATGCTGAGACCACCATAACTTTGTAGACGCCCAGAGTTCCATGGACCAAATGCGGCTTTAAACCAAGGGGGAGTGTTATGTTCAGAGATGGGCGATGAGCTATTGACAGATGTTAGATGATGAGTCGAAAAAACTACAGTGTCGTACCCAGCAGATACAGGAGAGGTACTGAATGACAGGCAAGCGAGACGGCGGCAGCGACGAAGATTACGCGGAAATAGCGAAATGACAGAAAGATCGAAAATCGAATATACAATGAATAAGCGAGACGAGATAGGAGCACACAAAGCTAACCTTGAGCTTGTTGATGTATTTCTCGGCCTCCGAGCGGCAGCGCTACGCTTCTTTTCGCTGGTCGCTTGTTGTACGAAATGGCTAAATAACGGGTCGGCTCACGGCTTAACAATTCGATATGAAGAATTACTGACGTGCAAGGATAGTTCTTAGACAAGCAGTGCTGACGTTTATCTTCAGAACCTTGTGGTCAAGCATATAAGGAAAAAATCTAATCACCTGGCACTGAAATAATGGAGAATAGATCAGATAATTGTCAGCAGCATTGCTTAAATATTACCTACCTTGTCTTCGCCAGGAAGTCTATTGCATTTGACCTTTCGGGACCTGTGGTGATGTGAGTCAATAAGTTTGCAGACGCCGATCACCAGCATGCTGCGCAAACCTGCAGGCATCACACGCGGTGTTTTGCTTCCTTGGAGGCGGAAGGGTCTTTGCTAACTCGTGAATCTGATTCTGAACAGATTGAGTTGGGAGAATGAGGCCTTGGGGAGGTGTGACATTGTGAGAATTGACAATTAGTAATGATCGATTCAAACCGAACTTACCAGGATGCGAGAAAGAGTGCCCATTGTCATTGCGAACATGGTCACCGTTCTGCATATTAGGGTGCGGTGGTATAGTTTGATATAATTAAGAAGAAATAACAGGAGGACAAGGAGGAATCATTCATATTGGGCCATCCGTGTACTTATAATACCACAAGTCATAATCAGCCGTAATAGGGATATTGACAGCGAAATCCCAAATCTAATTATTTTCCTTTTTAGGCACTGAGTTTAGTCGCAAATTCTGTTGATTCGGCAAGATTTCGTTTTTGGATAAGACGGATTATGACAAATAGAATACAAACTCCGATCAAGGAATTGCCGGCACCGAAGTCCAGACTCTCACGTCGGCTCCAATTTTTTAGTCTTGTGTTCAAACCATGGTCAAAGTCGAGATCGTAGAAGAAAAAGACCCACAGTCTTCAGGCAACTCTCCTTATGCTTCATCATCATCTTCACGCCATTCTTCTCAAGAGTCAATCTCTTCAATCTCTTCTGAGCTTTCGGCAGAGGAAAACTTGTATGACCGTATAAGTGCACTGGTAGACATAGTGCCTCCAACCACCAGACACAACATCTCTACCAAAATTTTAAAAGCTGCGTCGTTCGTCAAGACCAGCGGAAAAGTCATTGGTAACATCGTCTGGATAGTCACCACTTCCGCCCTCCTTGTAGGGCTCCCCCTTGCCCTGAGTTTGGAAGATGAGGCAAAGATAGTAGCGCAGGAACGCGAAATGATTGCGCAACAACAAGGTGCTCAGCAGGTAAGCGTTTCAACGACTGATTATATTCTTCCGTCACTTTGATATGGCTTGTTTGCTGATTCTTAATGATCGTAGATGCTTTCGGGATCAGCTTACCCACCTCCACCCGGCTCAAATCAGGCTCAAAAGGGTATCGTTCCGCCCGGCTTCTGATAAAAAGCCAGTCCATTTTCAAGTTGTTCTTTCAGCTTTCCAGCAGTTACAAGTACTGAGATACTTTATGCACACGTGTACCTCATACAATATTCTCTCGCGTTCCGCAGTATCCACGTCGCCGGCAGCAGAAACACATCGTGTGTTGCAGCGAATCGTCACCCACGTGTTATTTGATCATGCTATAATAAAACTCTACTCAGTTCATTAAGCAGTACACGCACGTATGCTCTCGTTTCACCTGGGGTCGGGTGGCATTTGAGCGACTTCTTAGCCCATGCTGAGAAGGTTCGCAGGTTCACTTAGGCTAATGCATCCTAGCAACGGCTTTCATGAAATCATTCACTGCTCCAGTATGGAACAATAAGCAACGCCCATGAAGATCCGATATGACTCTATATATCCTACGGTATGATGAAATGGGCCACCAATCGTGAGCGTCGGAAATGACATCCGCTTAGCTGGAACGCGCAGGGAAAACCACCGGTCGCACAAAGTTCTCTCTAAGGGGAAATTTAGCTCCTCGGGCAGCGTAGTCAACAAGATACGTACGCCGAACGATATCTTCGTAGGTACGTGATCGCATGGTTCTCGATCTCGTCAGGAGTCACGCCCACAGCTTCCCAATCGCCTGGGACGTCGATGTCATCTATGTAACGCCTCTCAACCTCATCAGGGCTAATGAGCGGCCACCACGGTGCCTGGGCAACCTTGGCAAGGGCCAACGCAACGGACTTCGGTAGCACAGGCGCACTCGATGGCGGTGTATAAGTCAAGGAAGACACCATGTCTAACAGGTACTCCGTCGTCAACGTCCTTGGTCCAGGAAGGGAAATAGTGCCGGGAAATTGGGGGATCGTCATCAAATTAGTTAAAGCTTGGGCGACATCCATGACCTGTCAACCCACGATCAGTTTAAGAAGATTATGACAATGACAGGGGCGAGATTTACATGAACTGGTCGAATTTTTGTTTCTCCATGGTTAAGCTTCCACCAGATAGGCCAACCTTGACATATTTTCTGATCAATGGGTGGACGTTAAAGCGCGAGTTGAAGACCCACTAGCCATGTTATTCAAGAACTTGTCCTCGCAGCCATACATTTGGCCAGGGCGGACGATAATTGCAGCGGGGAACGCAGCCCGGACCCGTTCTTCACCCTCAGCTTTAGTTCGGTAGAAATGCGACGGGGAAGATGTCGAAGCGTTCAGGTGAGAAACATGTACTAGGCGAGGTACTCCTGCCTGTGCTGCAATTTTCGCAATCCTCTCCGCTCCGCTAACATGAACGTCAGAGTATTTAAAGTTCCTGAGATGATTAAGGTGGAGTGAGTGCGTAGGTTGCAAAGGGATATTAAATTCAAAATATACTTTGTTTCATATTGTCGGCCGACAAGGTTGTAAACGATGTCAGAATGCCTTAAGCACTCAGCAATCTGTTCCTCATTCCGGATATCCCATTCCTGAAATGAAATTGAGATGGTTGCGACTTGGAGATGGAAGTAGATGCAACGCTACCATGGAGACTATCTGGCCGAGGTCGCCCATTGGTTTGAGGTGCCTCTTCTCATCCTCTTCACGGTAAGGCACGATGACTTGTGTACCCATTCGAGCTGCAAAGTGGAGTGTTAGTAGACGCCAAAACCTTGAGGTGGTCCAAATTAAGTTTACCGAGTTTCGAGATGAGATAACGTCCGAGAAATCCAGTGCAACCAAAGACAGTGACCACATGGCCACTCACTGCGCTGTAGCCAGGTGTCCCATACGAAATGATTGGTTTACGGTCAGGAAGTGTCACCAAGTCATGCAAAGCACGCTGCAAAGTCAATTCAGTCGCTACAAGTCAATAAGTACACTTTAAAGGTACACTTACCTTCCCGCGTGATATGGACACGCGCTGGACGCGTAGAACATGGGATGCTGAGAGCATAGCTGTCGGCGACGATGGAAATAGCAGACTGAGCTGCAAGGTAGCGGCGGAGGAAAGCTAACCGGGATCTTCCGGCGGTGTGATTTATGTGTCAACCCGATATGTAGCCTTTAAGTCCACATAACATTGACATATCTCAACGCGAAAGCACATCATCAATGGTTCAAGGCAAAACTAAGGGTCTTCAGAACAAGGCTTCATCGGCAAGGCAAGCTGCCAAGGCCGCCGCAAACCCGAAAAAAGGGAAACGGTACATTCCACCCAAAAAGACCGCTCTGGTCAAGCAGGCTTCCATGAGGCAGGTAAACCTTCACGTCTTCTAATGAATTACGAGTTTCATTGACCATTACGCTGGATACATAGTCACTGACTGCCAAGATAAACAAATCCATCGAGCAGCAAATGGTATCTGCTGCATCAGCCGGCAAACTCTCGATCATGAAAAACACCGCCAATGCGTATGGCTGATAGTTCCGTATACGTACTAGTGATCTGAATTTACCCATATTCTGTACAGCGAACCACCCAAGGTGACACCAGGTGGAAAAGCCTCCAAGTCTTGACAGTCCATGTGCTGTTGCTGGTACGTTGCCCACGAATATTTTGTAAGCCGTACTTACATACCCCCAAAATAATTCAGATGTGATTCTACGGATTTGATCCTCAAGTATTCCGTCGGGACCAGGGTTCCGCGTGGCCAATCGACATACACAGTTCGCACGTCATTTGAATGACCTGATATCAAGCAGTGCCACAGAGAAGGTTGATGGACGACGGTATATTATAAATGACTATAGCATGCTTGAACAATTTCAAAATATAACGATCAGGCAATGGTACACAGACAACTTAATGTCTCTGCATTGCAAATGAGCTAGTTAAAACAGCAGAGTCCAAGACGAGCTGGTGGATGCAGGAGAGATGTATCAAATGCGAGGTATGACATGCAGTTACGATATGTACCGAGTGTGAATGGGACCCTACGAGAGACATGTAAAATGTTGATGCGATCGTGCAATGTCGGGTGAATGCGAAGCATGGGAAGATGATTAAATGCATGTAGAACACTGATGAGAGGTAAGGCAAGAAAAAAAATTGCACGTGGATGTGGGATGACATCGACGATGATCCACGCGTGCGGAGTGAAGAGACCACCGAGGGACGTCCAGCATTATCTCCAGTTACGGTCAAATGGCACTCCACTTCCGAGTTGGAAGAGTATGCATTTGATCTCGTGGAGGACATCTCGCTGTGTCTGAGACAGGAGATTAGGACGAGAGTCGACAAAGCCTATGACTTTATTAATGGCGTCCTCGGCTTCTCCGATATTGACAATCGTATCGCCCGCTGTGATAGGCGGTGCGGGTTGGTATACAACAGCCGGCTCGGAATATTGGGAGCTGGGATCTGAGTGCGTGAGCTGTACCCCTTGCTGTGGGTCTGTCACCTGGAGGTGCTGCTGCACAGGATTTGGAAGAACAGATAAATTCATTTCCGCTGCGACTGGGTCTGGCTGCCGTTCCTCGTGGCGTTGGTGTACAAAGGACTGATGAGATATGGATTCATGACCATTGCCTGGCGGCGCCGAAGAAAGTGGCGTATTGGGAACGGTTAGATGATCCGTTTGTAGGGCCCACATGCGTGGTAAGGGGAGAGTGGGTCCCAGTGGTGCTTGGGACAAAGAAGGCCCAGTGTCGCTTTGTGATTGCAGAGGGTGAGGGCCTTCTGGCTCGTCTTCTGATTCCATGTCATCGTCGCCATCAGCCATCGTAGAATGCTCTTCGGAATCGCGTCCATTTGTAACCTCAGAGCGACCCTCGAATGCAGGATTGAGGGGCGAAAGCACTGTATCTGTGGCGCCACGCCTGTGCTCTTGGGCACCCGAGAGGCCACGAGAAGCCCGCAAAATCTTCTCGTGACCCTGCCAGACGCCCTTGCGAATGTTATGGCGATGCTTGAAGTTCTCAACCCATCCCGAACTAGCTTTGAATCTCTCGTCAGGGATCTGCAAACTGCGAGCAGTCTCCTTAGCCTTTGTGCGAATGAGGTTATCGGAGAGTAACGTGTTTTGTTGTTGCTGCTTCATTTGGAGGAGCCACTCGACGAGCGCCTCTTCGACCTCAGGGAATTTTGAAGGCCTGAATACAAGTGAGTTTCACGAAAGAAGAATGGACAAAGGGGATCGTTACCTATGCTTGGCCACACGCATGTCTTCATCCTCTGGGACGTTCATCCATTTTGTTTTATTTTTCAGGATCTTGCTGATGGTGCTCCGCTCAACACCATACCGCGCTGCGATATCTTCCTGCCGTGCATTGGGGTTGTCTTGGTGGTAGATACAGATGGCCTTACGGTCAACGTTAAACAGACGTTGCTTTCGTTGCTTGGCCCGTGGAATGACAGCGCCTGGGGGTGAAGGAAGGGGGAAGGCTGGGAATGTCTGAGAGTTTGGGGCAGAAGTAGCGGACGAAATAGATGTGAGTGCAGATGCGACACTTAGTGCAGGCGAAGCTGAACGTGGATTGGAAGTGGAGTAAGATGATGTCGAACGTGAATGTTGGTGATACATGGGAAACGGGGAATAGGGTGAAGCTGACACAGGCGTGCTCAGGTACCGAGGTGATTGCAAGGGTATACCACCTGAGCTCATTGTGAAAGACACTCTGTCGGGCAACTGGTAGCGATTTGGGTCGCTACTACTTGCAGGCGTCTGAGGGCGCGAAACGGCGCTCCCCGGTGACATGTAGTAGGGAGACTGGTAAAGGAGGTGATGAGCCAGCTGAGGTGACGAGTGGAAGCAAGAGTTGTGACGTACCTCGTCAGCCCCGTGTAAATCAGACTGCGCATTTGAAGGTGCAGGTGGTCTGTCTCTTCTAAGACCAATGTGAAGGGTGGATTGCGCGCGTGTTTGTCGGCGCGTGAGCCTAGAAGGGCCGATACTACCCGAAATTTGAGGAGAGAGAGCAATTGTCGCGGAGTGATTTCCATCATCTTCGGGACGAATGTTGGATGGTTGGGAATAATTGGAATAAGAGTCGTTAGGCTGCACTTGCCCATACGATGTGGATGTAGAAGCATAATCTCCGTGATCTGGAGGACGATCCACCGCGGAATAAATGGATGATAGCTGAGTAGAACTCGTAGAAGAGTTTGAGGCAGACCTCTGCCCAGATAACCAGGCGGAAGACGCGTTTACTGGATTATCATCCTCATGTGAGCGTGTGCCAGGTGTGCTGGATGATGGGTAGACGAGTGAATTACTATACTGCGCTACGTTTTCCATCGATGCTTAAGCACACATCTGCTGGAAAAAAACCAGCCGCTGTGAGTGAAAAGGAAGAAAGATTGGGTCGTTGGTGAAAGGTTAAGCCTTTTTATGTAGCCGGAAGGAAAGTAGAAAATTGAACCGGCAGATCAGGCCTTCGACTTGGATCGAAGCCACAAGCCTTGAACTGGCATGATGCCTGTCCAACGCCTGTCAGCCCTTGATTCCTTTTTCGATACCCCTTGGTAGCCTTGTGTTTGCTTATGGTTTCTGTCAGCTGCTTCGTTTGTTACACTCCGTCAGATGCAAGCTATCTTTCAAAAACACGTTGAAATCGTCCACAATGTCCTAACTTGGGTCCTCAACATAATTGCCATGCAAACCCGACTTTACGGATCCGGGAGGCAACCACGCCTCCGCCTCTTGTCTTTTAGCTGTGCACTACTTTCAGTCAGTTCCGACTTAACCTGCTTCTTGTTCTTTGCTTGATCTCATGACGTCGGTCCAATTTCACATTCCAGGCTCCTCGAGATGAAATATGCCTTTTTGCGCCTGATATACCCTGTGGGCTTAGTCTCAGATCCCACTACGTCTTTATACCTGTGCTTTCAATCCCTCAACGCGTTTTCCTGCAGGCTTCTCAGTTAGCGACGCCTCGTTGGTCCCCTTTCGTACTCAAAATATGTTATCCTCAGCGCTAGTTGACATATGATTTACACAAAACAGGTTCGGATCTCACTGCATTGCTGGTGTGTTTATGTTTTGTCATGGATGGAACCATTAAAGTATGTGTGTTCGTTCTTCTTGTTCCGCACCGTTAACTCTAAACAAAAAAAGCTTTGGATCCTTTTAAAGTGACTCGTCGCCACCCTCGGAAATGAATCACCTCATGTTTTTTATCCATGAATGATCGTGGAATTGGAACCTTATGGGGCCGCCATTTATCATTGGAGCGAACTATTAGCATCTTCTGATGCGATCGTCTGGTGGCGGGGTGTTCTAGACAGGGGGCGATTCCCTTGGAGTGCCCTTGACACTAGCCGCTAAAGTCTCGGTAATGAACTTTATCGCTGAACTCTACATCTTTTCGATATTTCCCCCCTGTCGTCTACGTTCAATAACAAGAAAGCCACCCCCGGCGGCTTTCACCCGGTCGACCAAGGCCCAGATGTGGATACCAGTCGCGTCATTTGATTCCTGTGGACCCTTTACTCTGATAACGCTACAGACGCGAGTCACGTTGGATCTTCCTTCTTCATTAATGCTATTCGCGTTACCAGTAATTCCAGAATGGGGTATCTTCATGTTCGGTGCATCTATACTGTCCACAGGATTTTGCGTTGTGGGTACTGTCCCACAGTGGAGTCCTGATCGCCAGTATAGCGGATCCTGGCATGGTGTTTGGGGGTCATTTCGTTGCCGTCTTATGATCACAATGGGACCAATATGTCAAAGAAGTGTCTGCAGTGCCCTTTTGAACCCGATGTAGGCACTTTCTCACATTGTCAAGTCGCATTTCCACTGTAAACTAGGGCAAGCGCAGATACCGAACAGGCACACTAGTGAGCTCTGGCGCCTCTAAGCTCCATTCGACACGGGTATGTATGCTTCCCCTGATCAATTAAACTTCCATTGTGATGTGCATGTTTATGACAAAATCCTGTCTCAAAATGACTGCGTGGATCAAAATATCCTCGTGTTTCTGCCACATGTTTCTAGCCTACGACATTTGCGGAGCTGCGGTGGGTCAAATCTTACAACTCTGGATTTGTAGATTGATGAGAAGCCCCTGGGCGTTAAGGCTCAGTCCGGTCTGTCAACTATGCTGAAGAGCTGTGTGCCTCTATCAATATTCTATGCGAAGGTGATCTTATGTTATTTTAGTCTGAACATTGGCGTGCATGATGAGTGCTGAGAGTGCCTGCAGGCGCAGTGTCACGGTAATTCACACTAATGTGCATATTGTTGTGTGTCCGATTGAATAGTCAGCCTACGTATAAAGTCTGCAAAATGCTATCATAAAGCTATGTCAGATCGCCAGGTTTCCAGGACACTGAAAGCTGAGATAAAATTCTGGCAACTTGAAAGACTCATCATTGTAACCAGATCAGAAACCACCAACGGAAGGAAGCTTTACTGTGACTGTGCCCTATATGATATGCCATTTGGTGTCGGCAAGAAGAGAATGGCGTATTCGATTAGACTCGTGGGCAACGATGGGAATATATGTACCTGAACTGGACGTTGACAGTGACCTAGAAATCACATTGGATGATAGCGGTAGCAGTCGGACATGATATTGATCAAATATGATCATGCACTAGAAGATTGGATGCAAGCATAAATAATAATCGAACGAAAAGCGCAGGTGCGGGAACAGCGGCACGATCCAGTTAAGACCGGACCTCGGTGTTCACAAGCAAACATCGCCAAGGCCTCCGTAATGGCCCTGGTAGATAATAAAAGCGTAAGTTGTCGGATCCGAGCTGGCCACCGCCATGAGGATGATGAGGTCTGGGGTCAAGAGGGTATCCACAAGCTCACCTATGATTTCAACTACTATCTACGTCACATGACCCATTGATCGAGCCTTTGACCATCAGGTGTGGCTACCTGTGTTTGAAGGTAGGATATGTTGTAGGCAGGAGAGACCTAGTATATCTGTCCTCATATTAATAGATCTTGTAAATGACATGATAATTCCTTGTCCTTTCTTTCAAAGCACCTGGCTAAGCTACCAGGTTCCGCCAGACCTGCCAAATAGGATTTTGTGACTATTGATCTGATCAGACTTGTGCTCTTCAAGTGGTCTTGTTCTTAAATACCTGCCGTATCTGTCATGATGACGTAAGAACAGAAAGCGATTTTTTTTGTACAATGCAACTTCCATGGTGACACTGATATCGAATGTTCAGCCAATGAAGAACTTTATCATCTTGACATCAAAGGATTGGTGAGTCTCCCCAGGGTGCTTTACGTTGATTGTCGTGTTTTTTCCACGTTATGCATAGCCTTATATTCTAATATAACGAAAACCTTTCTTGTCACGGTCACTATAAGATGATCTGCGGCTCACCCGGACTCTCTGATGCGTTTCAGTAGAACTCATGACTGCTAAGTGCGAAGTATCAAAACCAAGTAAAACCCACACACAGGACAATAGTCAAAACACACCTTTTTCAGGTTGTTGGGTCTTCTTAATGCCGGGCCACGGACTGTCTCGGATGCGAGTCGGAACCATACGGGAACACAACCAACATAAGAGAACCGACTTGCGCCCTCGTACCATGTGTATACACTACCATTTTTCTTACGAATTAACACTTGGACCTGCACTCCATTATCTATGTCGAGTATGCTGAGGACTGCCCTTGTTTGTGCTGGTCCTGCCTGCCGCATTGGCATTCTTCATTCTGGATTGAGCCTAGCCCCTAAACTAGGAACTACGTTCGCAACACGAGCCCTCATCCATAGTGGTCAGCCAAACAACAACTCGTTGACAGGGAAACAAATCAATGAACAATCGGCCACAGGAACGGAGGGCTTCCATCTCAGTGAGGTTAATCTATCTATTATCGTTCCTCGTTACTGACGCGCAGGTAACCGTTTCGCAGAAGATTCAGCTACATCCAAGCAGGGTCTGACTACTCCTGATGCAGTTAGCACATTGCCACCCTCCATCGTCCGAGGCGATTGGGTTCTATTTCATCCTGTATACTCCCAGGAGGAAATCAAAGCAGTCGAGGTACTTCATGCATTTCCTCCCTGATCACGCTTTGTATTAAATATAAGCTGCCAGGTTCTCCAAAGGGAAGCGAAAACCATATCGGACAAAATTGCGTATCATCTCGTCAAGTTGACAAGGTGAGACTTTCTTTCTAGTATCGTCCAAGTATTCATGTACATGCCAGATGGGGATTTGACCTAGTGTCTGGTTACAAGCATAAGCCGATCCCCGCTCATAGCAAGATGTCGGTCGAAGAACTGAGGAAGGGCGGATATACCTTGGATGAGAAGGCGTGGTTAAATGTGAGCAAATCCATCATCAATTGTTATTTCCGTTTGTTTCATTACCGTTGTTTAGCGCATCCTTTTCTTGGAGACAGTTGCCGGAGTGCCCGGAATGGTCGCGGCGATGCTCCGTCACCTCACCAGTTTGCGTCTCATGGTCAGTCAGACTTCTTTTCGGACGATCACATTCTTTATTATTTGATAGCGTCGAGACTCTGGTTGGATACATACATTGCTGGAGGAAGCCGAGAATGAAAGAATGCATCTAATGTGATTGGATTATGTTCGTGAAGTCGAACTTAACTGACTAGGCGTTGTTGTGTAGGACCTTTATGACCTTGCGAAAACCTTCATTATTTTTCCGAGGCCTGGTTTTAGGGGCGCAGGGCGTGTTTTTTAACCTATTTTGTACGTGGCATCGAATCGGTCGATCTCAAACACATTGCTAACTCGCACTGCTAGTCTTATCCTACATAATATCGCCCCGCACATGTCACCGATTTGTTGCGTACCTAGAGGAAGAGGCCGTCTTAACCTAGTAAGGACTAGCTTTATCTTGTCTTTTTGTAGCAACGCTAACCAACTCAGTACTCGTTGTATCCAGGACATCGAATCTGGACGTCTACCTGAATGGAGCAATATGCCTGCTCCGGAGATTGCCAAAGACTATTGGCGTCTAGACCCTGGCGCCAAGCTACTTGACGTCATTTACGCTGTGCGGTCTGATGAATCTACGCACCGATTCGTGAACCACAGTTTTGCTAACCTGAACACCGAGACTGACGTAAATCCTTTTGCCCTCCGAGAACCGGACATGCTTGTCAAAGGGCGCAAGCTTGGGTACGTAAATTGTACAACTTTCATGACTATTTTATCTGATGCCTGAACAGATTTACGAGGGAGGAAGCCGAACAATACGTGCAGGAGTCGCACAAGATGCTTGAGCACGGTAAAGCCGACTCGAAATAGCCGGTTGATGAAATCTCCGATCTCGGACCAGGCCACGGACCGTCGCATCCGTTATACGTTAAACCCCCACTCGATTTACATACATATACAATAACATATACTTATACTTATATAGACATATAGACACTGCCGCGATGAACCTCTGAGAACAAATAAACTACCGAGCATGGAGGAACAAGAACGCAGCCGAAAGAACCCCACACGGCCGCCATGTGCATGAAGATTCGAAAGTACACAAGGAGATTTACGTTTATCCTTATTGATTTAGTCACAAGGAGGATAAGGTGCCTAGAAGTCAACTACTTAGAAGTAATGTAATAGCAGGACAAACCCTAAAGTTAGGTTAGGGTTTAATGACGTGACGGTTAGCCACTTTGTTAAACCAACACCGTCACGGGTGGTCTTGTTTAGCGAGCGCTAGGTCCTCAGCCACTCAGTACTACCCCCCTTTCCCCCTTGGCTCATGGCCTCCTTGCAGACGCATCAATGTAAACCACTTTTGCCTGGTGTCACATTGGCACATCCTGGCGAGTCCCTCGCTAGTTACGATCATTCAAGACGCCGGATTTTCATAGGACCCATGCCAGAGAAAGATGCCTCGAAGGATACCATCCACACAGACTTGGATTCATCCAACAGAAAGGTTACAAATCAAATATTAAGGTGGCTGCATTCAAGCGATGAAGAAAGTGATGGGGCCGACGAATTGTCCACATCGTTCCTCCAAAACCATGCATATCGAAGTTTCCTCCACAGAGGTGGGAGAAAGGAAGATTGGGGACAGCAAGCTGAGACGGATGAGCGACAGAACATGTGGAAGCGGTGGCAAGAAAGCGAATGGGGCGGATCTTTGACGCATCACAAAAAGGACGCTGGTACTAGTACCACACAACGTTGGGTAGGGGGAAGCTTCGAAATCGGAAACGTGTTAGGTGTAAACGTTCTCGACAGCCATCCGACATCACTTCTACAGGCTAATCAAACCTGTCCCGAAGTTCAAATTGATGCCCCCTCCCCAACCGAGCCCCCTTCTACGGTAGGCGGTCAAACATTTGTCACAGCTGGGACAGAGCTTTCTCCTGGCGCAGTTCTTACCTCTCAAGCATCGATATCTACTTCCTTGACTGCTGGCGCTGGTTTCTTCACCACTGGCATGGCTCCCGAGAATAGATCCTCCGCTAACGACATTAGTACTGCACCCCCAGAGGACCCTCAACGACCTACTATCCTAAAGGGAAAGAAGTCTTTGGTGCACATGAGCGCAAATAAACGAAAGACATCATTCTTCATTGGTGGTCATGCAACCACTCCAAAAAGCTCGAACTCCCAGCTCGCGCCGGTTGGCTTGGACAAGGGGAAGGGGAAGGATAGAAGCTTTTACTATGCTGACGAGGGGACTTCCTCAAACTCGCAGATCCTAACTGATGCCAACGATATCCCCGCACCTCCTGCGACTGTCCTTGCAAGAAGTGGAAGTGAAGTGAATGAAACTAGCACAGGAGCTACCTTAAAGACTACCTCACGTGAACACTATCAGAGTAAAGAGCGGGCAAATATCGTACTCCGAGGTCAGCGTCTTAAATTGTGCCACTAGAAGGCGTCCATTGATATACAGTCCAAATTTCATAGACCGAATGCTTGTTAGAGTCAGCTACACAAAATCAGAGTCACTACCTTGCCACTTTGATGAAGTTCAGAATCGTACGACTCGTCTTAGATACGAGGATTGGGCTGAATTTCTGGTGGTCTGGCGAGGAGAGCGGCTCGAAATCTACGAAGACTATGTGAGTTTATTTTTCTAACCTGCCGAGCCATGGTGTATATCCCATCAGACCTTGCCTGGGAAAGAGCATATCACTGGACATAAACATCTCGCGTTCATAATACCCCTTCAATCTCAACGAACACATTCCACCCTTTATTCCTTCACCGACTTCACTTTCTGTATCTTGTGTCCACGCGCACCAGTCCGTAACAACCAATCGAAAACCCAAGCCCTATTTGATCGCCTACGAGAAGGGACTAATGTGTTCGTTTTCAAGCCGAAGTGTCGTACAAGGGCTATGGACTGGTGCTGGCAGTTATGGTCAGTTCGAAATACTCAGGACACGGCTTTTGATCGAGCGGTCATTACAGGCGTCATCTGGGCGGCAAAATACCCACTTCTATCGAGATTAGGTGTCCGGCCATCGGTACACGCGTTGATTTGGATGTTCCTGCCGTCGACGAAGTCAATATTGACAAGGCCTATCATATGTTCAGTAGGAAAAATATCATCGATACTGTCAGGAAGTCTCTGGCTTCATCTTGTGGCTCTCATGAGGTCGCATCCCGTGACTGGAACCATGTAGTAGAACGTAAAATTGCGGCAGGCACAACCCTTCAGTTAGCGTGGAACTTGGAGGCAAAGCTTGACTGGGTTTGGAAGGAGGAAGATGTGATGGGCCAGCCTAGACCGTGGGCTGTCCTCTGCGGGTTGGCGATGCAACAGGTGAACATGATGTGAGACTCCTGACATGGGATTCTGCTGACATCCTACTCAGGGAACGAAACGAGCACACCTTGAGCTTAGGCTTGGCCAACACTATCCGGGTACAATTCACCTAACCGATGGGACAAAGGTACACGAACCTCCATGTATAGAGGGGTATCTCGATCGCATCAAACCCAGCAGTCAAGGTAAACAACATATTTACCTTACTTCGCATGACGGCCACCTTTTTGCCCTTTGGCCCTCGAATTCTCACGCTCCTGTCCCCCCAAACGTTTATTTATCTCGTGCACTATCGTCGCACCATAATGAATCACTGGAATACACTCGGGCTTTTCGTGAGGCCGAGGTCGCACGAGGGGCATCTCAAATTGCGGCCGCATTTGAAGCTTTCGACCTGCGGAATATAAAGCAGATCCGCCGGGCGACCCACGAAACCATCGATCATGATGCTAGGACCCATGCCACGGCTATTGTAGCTGGTGGATCTGTGGGAAACCAAGACATTCTGACTAACGACGAGGTTGATATCGGTGGAGCCGAGGGTCTTGCGCAAGCTCGTGACAAAAATCAGCTGCGTGTCAGACGCTGCTTCGAAATCATCATGATATCTGGGCGCGTGATCCGATTTGAGGTAAGAATATTTGGAGTAATTTGGTTTCTTATTTAATTCTCTTTTCAGACATATTCTTGCCAGACGAGTCAAGAATGGGTCGACCGACTACGCGCACTTGTCGAATACTGGACACAGCGGTATCACACTGGCGCTCGAGATGAGATGAATATATCTTACTCTACACGCCATCGTCCCCCCGTCACTCCGCATGTTACTAAGCATGCGTTCTGTAATGGGGAGAAAATCCCGACAGCACCCGTTGGAGATGCAGAATTTATGCCCGAACTGGGCTTATTGTATCATTGGTGTATGCTGGACAACTGTAGAAGCTTACTCAAGAGTGGCCGCGCATTCACACGGAAGGGGTTCCGGGGACAGTACAAGTCAGCGATTGCCTTGTAATGACAGTTCAGGAACTTACGCCTTTTTACAGGCTCGTGCAGTTGTTCCTAGTTGCGGGACGTCTCCTTCAATACCAAGTCTCGCGAAACTCATTTCTCCGCCAGAAGAGCAGGGAGATCAATCTAATGGATTGCTATGTTTGTTCAGGGTACTTGGCTGTTCTTGCCTTACGGCCAGACGAGTATCACCCTGAAACTCCTAGTGCTGCCCGTCGTTACTTTGACGGATTCGAAGCCGATGACCCAGAAGAAGATGTGCTCTTTGCTATCTGGTACCGTAAAAGTAGGGACGAATCTGCGGACAGTGTGCCTTCCCTCTCGGCAAAGCACAAGGTCATTGTCTTCAGGACAAGAAGCAGAGTTGAAAGGGATGCGTGGTGTTGGGCGCTAGGGTGCGAAATCGAGAAGCTCGCTAGGGCAAATAAAGAAAGGGAAGCGAAACTCAGAGACGCCGGAGGACTTGTAGAGATGTCTGTTCTTGAAGGCTGAACATTGTACTACAGACTGTATTCCACTCATATATAATGAAGTCGTAGGCCATGCTTGTCAGGAAAACCCTTTCATTGTGGTCCCAGATCAGGGTAAGCTAAGTACAGCCAGGCCAGGATTAGTTGCTGATTTACTCTATCACCTCGTCATCGTCAACTTCACTGTCGTCTTCATCCCGCTGAGCCCTCCTTGCCGCAAGTTTGGCCCGTTTTTCAAGACTACTGTCGGCAACCATCATAGCCATAGTGAGCTTTTGACTGCAGCCTGCGGCAGGGCATGACTTTCCAGAAGAAGGGCCTCTCTTTAGGTAATCCCGGATAGCATCTCCAGAGAAAGCGTGGCCACAAGTAGAGCTGCAAAAGTTAGGTTATATAGAATAAGTCCGATATGAATTCACTTACGATTTCAAGGGATTCACCAGTATCGTCAAGGTGATGGGACATTTGAAGTCTTGTGTGATTCCTCCAATCTCTAAGTCGTCGTCGTCGTCACTTTCATCTCCCTCCTCTGAAGATCTTTGTCAGAATCTGTCGCACGCAAGATGCAGAAGCAATAACCTCGTGGTATAAAGTCATTAATGGGAGGTATGTTCTCGCCAGGATTTTGTACCTCCTATTTTAAAAGGGTGACTTGATGAGGCCAGTAAACTGTATATTAACGGACAACATACAAAAATGCCTTGCTTGAACTGAACATATTGATCGTTCGAGCCATACTTCTTCCGAGTCGTTCTATCGTTGAATTCATCAACCCTCTTCTTTACCTCTTTCTCATAGAGCTCGACGGCACCCTCCTGTTCGAGGTGTCAATATTCCTAGATTCTCCATCAGGGCCCACTCACTACTGGCTCGCCACGCATAAGCTGCTGGTGCATCCAACTCAGTGTCTTCTCATGCGATTGCATCTCGTTGTCGATATCAATTAATTTTTTCATAATATCATCAACCTCTGACAAAGCCTTTGAGTAGTCCGGGTGGTCAGAATGAGCCCATAGTAAATGGTGACTGGTAATAACTCACCTGGTTTGCATCATCTCCTTCCAAGACATCTGCAAGGGAGGTAGCCACCTCCTTCGCGAGGGAGAATGAACCCTGATGTATCTGCTTCCGGATCATTTCCCAGTCCTGCGCAATGCCCGAGAGCTTTGCGCCTTCCTTCTTGTCTAGGGGCTGGTCATGAAAGTTTTCGACGTCAATGCGATTGTCCTCGTCATCGTCCACAACAGCAGGGGGGTCGTTGTCAGACTCAGAGTCTCTGCGAGCACGCTTTTTGGCCTTATTTTCCTGCTTCACCTTGCGCCTCGGCTGTTCTTCCTCGTCGTCTCCGCCTTCGACATCATCGTTGTTACCAGCATGCTGAGACGGATACTCCTCTTCTATTCTGTCTGAAGAAGGTTCCCTGCGAGAACGCGTGCTCTTCCTCCTTGAAGAACTGGCCGGCATTCTTCAGTAGCTTGGCGCGTTTGTCACGAGTCTAATTTGGAGTTGAGGGCAGGCGTATACGCGGCACAGTCTTGATTATGTCAGCTTTCCCCAGCTTCTTCTGCAACTATTAGGTATAGTGCAAGTCGAAAATGCTGTCTGCACTGCGAGCCTGGAGTCGAATATCTCAGCCATGTAGGCTAACTCAGCTCTCTGCGACTCCTCTCTCCACAAGGTCTCTTCTCGACTCGCGTCTTTTCACTTCGTCGCCTTCCCTGGCCATGACACTCAATCAGACGATGCGACGGAAGCGTCCGCAAAAAGCTAAAGACCCAAAGTCACCACTACTCGAGGTCTGCCCTCAGAGAAAGGGTGTCTGCTCCCAAATTTTTATAATGAAGCCCAAGAAACCCAACTCTGCGAAGCGGAAAGTCGCGCGTGTCAAGTTGACTACTGGGAAGACCATCATGGCATACATTCAGGGCGAGGGACATAACTTGCAGGAGCATAGTGTGGTAACAGTCCGCGGTGGACGTGCTCAGGACTTGCCTGGTGTCCGGTGAGTTTTTCTCCGGATATGCATGTTCGATATGCGCCTGAAATTTTTTAATCCTAGTTACAAGGTCGTCCGTGGATCTTTAGATTTCGGAGGAGTAGTTAATTGTATGACTGCACGGAGTCGATATGGAGGTGAGAAACAGTGTTTACTCGGGAGCTTGCTATTGACCTACGTTCTAGCCAAAAAGCCCAAGAAATAGTATAACTCATTAAGATATTCGGTCTCACCACTCTACTAGGGACGGCCTAGATTCCCTCAATTTGCACAAGTTGTTATTCGGATGACTGAATATAGCAGCATGACTTCGTGAATGACCACATCGTTCATGAGTTTGTTTGTTCCGCAAACCTAATCCGTAAATTTTTCATCGCTCGTCCGGTCATATGCTACTTTGTGGAGGCAGCGTAACAGATTGAACTTGATCATTCCAAAATGAAGGCCTGTCTTGGCTCATCGAAATATTGATATTCATTTCGGTCGTGCACATTCACGCTTAGGAAATGATTATATATTGGTATTTCTGCCCATGTTGGTAGTCAGCACGACTAGGTACGTAGCGCTTGGCCTTCTTATGTTTCCAATATAAACATCTGAAACTTGCCTTTAGACGATGGTCAATTTGGCACTTTTTCTCATCATTCACAATAGTAAGATGCCAGTTTCACCATCGTCTACCACTTGGCCGCACTGGTATTGCAAGCTCACGACGTGGCTCTGTCCAAGCACAAATAAAGAAGGGAGGGTATTTAGGGAGATCTGAGCCTTGTTGTCAGTCCACGCAATTCCAGACATCCCCTGTGTGATATGGACTGGAAAAGAGGGGATAATGATTTGGGAGCGCAATTCCCGAGAAAGGTCCTGGAGTCCACGGGGTCGAAGGTCGTTACAAATTACATTCCGGTATCAGCGAGCACGGGGAAAAGGTTTAAGAGTATGCTTTCCTGCAGCCGCGTCTGACGCCCGTGAGGTCACGGCTGTAAATGGTCCAGGTGTTGTTTTTGCTTGTGAAAAGTGTAGCTGATTAAACAGAGGTCTGCGGCTGTTGACCAATGGTCCAGACAGGTTGCATTTAGATTGAAATTGCGTTTCTGACGCATGAAACATTCGCACCAGGAGTGAGCAACAAAAGACTTTAAACCCATCATAGGCTCCCTGGGTTGTCGTTCAGGTCATTACTTGTTAAGTTCCAAGTCAAGGACAAGAAGCAGAACACGGTTCAGTTTATGATCAGCTACTCACACTTTAGGATACGAGGAGAGCAGTCGCCTCATCCTCGAATGGACTCCGCGTCTAAAATGGCAGCCGGGCAGGAATGACGGACCGGTGGAGACTTCCTCATACCAGGGCATTCACGGGCTCAAAGATGTAGTAAAGACAGGAGCCTTGTAGACCGGCTTGTACTGTCCGACATATGGTACTTCACTTTAGTGGACAGAAATTAGAATCAAAACAATCACAGGAAGGCGGCGGAAAGCTGACTAAGCCATTTATGTGGCTGTGTAAGTATGCAAACTAAACCGTTCGAGCAATAATTCTTTGATGCAAAACGATGGCAACAATTCTGCAAGCAGTTCGCTCTTTGCGTGCTGCTCGTTTTCTGCAGTCGGTACGCTGGAACTCGAATGAAGTCCCACTCATTGATCCTTCGCGTATGATTCGAAAGCCGGGCTTCCAACCATCCACTCGCAAGTCGAAAGGTGCTGCCCTCAGGCCACATCTTGGCGTCGAGGTAGACCCGAACCATGGTCTTTGGGCTTTTTTTAGAAAGAAGGAAGTCGACGGGGAGATGGAGTATGTGAGTCTTGAAGGAAGAGACACATTTCAAGATGATCCCGGTGAGTGTTAAATATTTTCTTCGTGTATTGTCACAGGTTGCTGACTACTGTCCCTAGGGAGGTCATGGAAAGCAGCAGAACTTCGGCGAAAGAGCTTCAAGGACCTGCATACGCTTTGGTATGTTCTCTTGCGAGAACGAAACCTCCTTGCAGCCCAAAGAGAGGAGGCGAGGCGACTTGGTGTCAGCAATCCTGAGAGTCTTGCTGGCGTTAAAAAGGATGTTCAAGTGAGCACGCCATTTTTACGCTGGACTAAGGCGTTGAATGTTTTTACAGTGTCGAAAATCGATGGCACGTATAAAATACGTGATCAACGAGCGGAGGCTACTTTATGATAAATATATTGCTGAATTGGAAGCTAAACACCAGCTGTTGGCATCCAAGCCGAAACCCGCGGCAGCTGGCGTTCAGCCATCTCAAGATAAAGAAAACGTCCCTCGTACGCGCGCTGAAAGGCTGAAGGCACGGCGGACCAAGAGGTCGAATACACCCATTCCTGTATGACTCGACGACGGAGTCGCGCCCCAAACTCTTGTACCATACTTGTAGTTACCCATAATATTGCTTTGACCGAATCTACCATATCTTCTGATATTTGATATTAATGTGAAGTTGTCCGTGATCCGCGTCGGTTTTGCTCCCAATCACTCATGACTTGTGATATCTGACAGTCTTTGACAGAGGGCTGCTCGTACATCTCCAGTTGCCTTCTACCACGACGGAGAAGGTGCTCTATAGCTGCAACTTCGCGAGGTGATACAGAAGATGCTTGTGTGTGAAAGTTGTAGCGCACGAAGAGGAGGAATTTTGCCTGGGTCAAAGCTGGTTTGGTACGGACCATACGTAATGCACTAGAGAATTCATCAAGAAGGTTTGCATTCTATCCCGACTGTCACCTACCGTCTATAGAGTGCTAAGACGTCTTTTTGAAGTCCTGACTTTCTCAACGACATCGCGGCCAGTTGTACTAGTACTGTGTGGAAGCAGATGACTGATAACTCCGAGTCCGGTAACTCGTGAAATGTTGAAGTTTAGTTGCCGGATCACTCTACATTTTGTCATGAGCCATGACCATATTACCACTGTCACTTCGTTCTCATTGTCTGCAGAGATTAAGTTCTTGCCGCCGGCTTCATACAGGTTCAGTTTTGCATTCTGAGGCTGGTACTTCCAATCCAACCGAATACTGCAAAGACTTGGTACGAAAACATGACTATGAAGGTTATTTGACCTCCCAGCTATATCCTAAACGATTTCAAGGTGGGTATTCAGCACTGAGAGCATTCTATGTACGTGTGACGCTTTGTCGGTGTTTAACTGTCTTTAACTCTCTCTTCAGATTGAGCTTGCCACGATGCGAGAAGCGGTATCCCAGACTACCTTGGGTCAGGCACGCCTAATGTTCTGGAGAGATGCTATGAAAGACATTTACAATGTGGGTGGCACGTTTTTGGATACCGTAAACATCTCATGGTCCCCGTTAATGATAGGATAAGCCTCCGCGTCATCCGATTGCCCTTGCGATCCATGAAGCAATACGGGATAACCATTTGTCTCTGTATCACTTAAACAGGATAATCGAAGCGAGGGTAAGCGAGTCGTTGATGCGTTTACATATGGCCCTTAAAGTCGTCTAACTTGAAGGAACAAGAACTTCATAACCAGACACACCTTACTCTAGAGTCCATGACATCACATGCGGAGTCTACTTCATCGACTTTCCTCTATCTTCTGTTGGAAATGTTGAAACTCCCCTCCTCCACACTTGCGCACGCAGCTTCGCATCTTGGGGTAGCCCAATCATTGACGACCCTTCTACGAGCTTTGCCTTTTCATGCTAGCAAGGGCGTCATGGTCATACCCGCGGAGATCACTGCCAAGCATAACGTCAATCAGCAAGAAATTTTCAGCAAGGGACAATCGTCCCACGGGCTAGAGAATGCGGTGTTTGAACTCGCAACTGTTGCGAATGATCATTTGCTCACCGCACGCGACATGTTCAAGGAGTCCGGGGGCAGGGTCCCACCAGACGCCATGCCTGTGTTTTCCGCCGCTGTACGTCGGATTTTTCGGATTAGTGTGATTTTTTGCCCAATTTTTTCCAGATACCAGTGGTATACATTCTATCAACGTTGGAAGTCGTCAATTTCAACGTCTTTGACCCCTCCTTGCAGATCCGAGATTGGAGATTAGCGTGGCAAGTCTGGAGGAGTTACTATAAGAGGACTTTCTAAAAAGACATGCCGGCATTGCATCTTAGCACAATGTAGCGCCTGTAACGGTGTAGAACGTTGTCATTTCACGCGTCTTTTTACTCTAAACAGCCTGAACATCATGATGCAATATTTTGTGGAACATTGTGATCGCTTTCGCCAAGGTTTTTTGACTTTCAAGATGCAGTGGTAGTTGAATTTAGAAGTCCGATGAAGTGCGTTCTCCGGCTGCACACCTCTTGACACCCAACCACATCATCGTAAACGCCAACCTCGCCAAGTCCATAACCCTAGTCGTTAGTTCCTTGGACGGAGCCAACTTGTGACTAGTGCTCTTCCTGAGCAGTTCAAGCTTCTGCCTACCGCAGCCAAGAACCCTTCTACCACACGCCATGCAACGCCTGTGTGGTATGTTTTCTGATCATTCTTTTTCTCACTCATAACCTAAGATTTATATAGATGAGGTCATCGAGCTGATCTTTTACGAGCTCGACGACCCGACCGCTTTGACGCTCACTTCAAAACACTTTCACAATGTATCTCAAGACCCCTACGTCCGAGCCCACTACTTTCTCAACCGTTATGGTCGTATGGACGCTATGTTTTGGGCTTTAGGAAGAGGGAAGATCATGACCGACAAAGTCATCGACGTTTGTTACTTATTTCTCTCGCTGTGTCTCAGCGCTTCATGGATTCTAACTGATTATATGCGCTCCCTTTGTCTAGATCCTAATCAGTAGCGGCGCATATGTATCCAGATATCTTGTCCAAGTCGCCATACACCATTATTTTAGGTCTGCAAACCATTTCATAAAGACAGCATGGGTTCGCAACATGTCGATTCCCGTTTTCGCTCATTTCATGAAGGTCGCATGTGGCTTGTTCGATGAAGTACCGTTGGGAAAGAATGAGGATGATGGTTATTTCTTCTCTGTGTTTTTAAAGGAGAGTAGGCTTCCACCTGATATGAAGAGCACAAAGTGGGAGACGGTGCGAGATATTTTTGGCAAGTATAAGGTGCGCGCGTCAGTTTCCTTAATGGTATAGTTTCCTATGATTTGCTTTAGTTTATCCCGTTCAGCATGAAGGTTGGTTTCTAGAATGTCGTAACGAGTTTAGATATGCTCACGGTGTCCCCGTACAGGACCCTCTTATGGTGCAATTACCGATTGCTCTCGCTATTGAGCCAAGGTTGCTTCCCTATGCTGAAGCCAATGGATTCCACATGGACACCAAGGTAATCTAATTTTCCAAGACGCCTGCTACTAATATTAAAGAATTTGATAGTACCGTGACTTCGTCTTTCGTAAGATGTTCGAGAAGATGGCGCTCAACAACGGCGAACGGTCCGATGACATTCTCAAGAACGTGCGCGAGCTACGGCGTCTTGATGCTAGGTGAGAGCAAGCGGTCTTATTGTAACAGTCTTTGCATGCTCAGATACGTCTTCGCATCTCGTGATTGCCTGCTAGGATGTTCCTGAGTCGCACAGTAGCAGCTGAAATATGCATGGAATCAAAGAGCAATGAGTCGGCTTACCGTGCACTTAAGATCCTCGATCGTTCCAAGGAACTTCTATTCGATCTCTCGTGCGTACACCTTTTGAGATCGATGTTCATTCACCCCTCATTCTTACTTCCCTGCCCATAGCACCGTTGTCGCCGAGTTGATCAAGGTGAATTCCAAATTTATCTTGTGCGGCTTTGATTTGAGCTCGGTCTTTAGCTATTTGTCAATACCCGTTCTATCACTTCCGCCTATACCATCAACGTTCTCAGATATCTATACGCAGATTTTCCTACTACAGATCCGACAGTCCGTATCGTCATGCTCCTCACAGCATGTCTGTCGGATAATGTCCTGGTCCAGCCAAACCCCTCAGGCACACTGAAGAGCAAACTAGAACCCTTGGGTCTACTCCCGTTGACGAGGAAGGATGTTGTGGACATATTAACCAATCCATTCGTTGAGAAACATTCAGCACTTGTTGACTTCGCTAAGGACGAGATGAATCTCAGTTCGAGTGATATCAAAGACATCCTTCAAGAAGTTGCTGTAAAGTGCCTCAAGATTGGCAGTAAGGTGAGTGTTTGGACTAAAAGTTGTGGCGGGCCATTATTTTGATGACTTTGATAAATAGGGGAAGACACTTAAGAAACTCGTTGACTGCCATCCATATCTTCATGCGGTATTACAAGAAAATGCAGTCCAGCGTTATGCGATAAATTTGGACGATCTTCCACCGTATGAGGATGAAGAGGCATGCGCTACATACGAAGCTCCACTATGTAAAGACTTCAACAGCAGCTCGAAAGCCGCACGCAATAACTCTGGGGCTGCTAGCCTTCATTCGGTAGTCCCGAACGCTTCGGGGGATGCAATTGCTACAGATGGTCGCGAGATGGACGAGGATGAAAGTGGGAATGAAGGACCTGTTGAAGCCGAAACTGGTGACACATCAGAATTGGTTAGTGTATCGTTGTTTTTTAACGCTGAAACGTTTGCTCATTACGTTGCAGGGGATCATCGGTCAAGATACATTGTCCTCTATGATCCGACAGGACGAAATGGCTCCCACACGTTCTCGCAGGCGGTCCCTCTATTTCAGCTACTTTGGACCTGACACTGCCGGAAAGCTCGGGTACCCAACAGGTAATGATTGAACTTCATGCATATACAACCATGAATGTTCATAATGCATCGCAGACTTTATCCCAGTTGGTCGATGGGTCAAAGAACGATATCCGGTCCGAAGTGCAATGGCTGCTACGTTCCTGACACACGCCGTGATCAATAATAACACTACGGTCAGTGTTGTACTCTCCTGAGGAATGATTCTTCTCTGACACAACAGCACAGCTTCTTCATTGTTTTTTCACATGCAATACCCCCTCGACTAACTATGTCTCAACATCACAACATGTACCTATAACACTCAAGCATTTCAGGCTACTTGCGCGCCTTGGAAAAGCACCGGTTAGCACAAATCGGTGGTAGAATGTAATTTTTGCTGACTGTGTCGACCCCTGATAGAACTGGTGTCTTTACCACGAGATTGAGAACGGCGCTGAGTTTTACTTTTCTGAAGAAGACTATCTTTCGAAGCAACCACCAGCGACGGAACCAAAGCGATGTAGCAAGGTGAAAGTGAAGTCGAAGGAAACTAGCCCCACCATCCCGCGTTTCTTTACCCAGGCCGGTCCGTCGAAGGTTCAAGTTTCTCCACGAGCCGGTAAACGGAGACCGCGGCGCTCTGCGGCCGCTGTCATGTCTTATGTTATCCCAGATTCTGATGATGAAGCTATCGTCGAGGATGATGATGAAAATGCCATTGTCCTCCTCATGACAATGCAGGCAAAGAAGCGGAAGGTAGAGTCAAATTTACAACGGTGGATCAAGCATCTCTCAGTGTTGCTGGCCGAGGAACAGAAAAAGGTACCGTTCCGATTTATTTAACTCTTTTCAAATATTAATATTTGTTTCATAGTACAAGGAAAAACGCAAGCGCCTTGAGAAGAGTGCGCCTTCTGATGGAAGGCGTCGCGTTGCGAAGGTAGCTATTATTCATTCCTCTCTTGACCTAGCCTTGTCTGATAGACATCCAAATTTAGAGCGAGTTTCATAAATCATTGATGGTCAATCTTCGCTCTCTACGGAAACTCGACCTAGACAAACGGAAGCAACTTTACGGTCCAGACGCAGCAGAAGACGATTACTTCACCGAAGATGATGGTGATGACGAGTATCGGCAACGGACAACGCGTGCTAACAAGAGGCGCCGTGTGACCACGTAGTTTTTAGTCTGTCCATTATGTTTATATCACTATACGCGTGCTCGTTGCACGTTACGCACATACTAATATCGCATCACACTACCCACTACGTTATTCCTCCTGGAAAGTCGTTTAATGGATGTTTAGATGACATGTAGCAAACTGCTCAAATTCGGTATCTATAGCGCACAGAACGATCACCCAGCCTGATTCTCTCTTCCTCGGTTTCATCCTCATCCTTTGGCAATAAGCGATCTCGCCTCCTGTTTTCCATACTCATCATGACCCACAAATATGTGACCATTACGATCGCGAAAAGGAGATAGCCGATGGCTATAAGATTGGGTGTGCGGTACAGCCGACTGCTCAGTGTGGGCCTGTAGATCAGACAGCCTGCAATCGCTCCAATATCGCCGACGCTGATTTGAAGAGCTACCGCAACTGCACGTTTAGCCTGACCAGAAACGTTCTCCCCGGGCCAACTGTGACATGCTATTAACTAGTGGAGCGCAGTTGCAGTTACCCGAACAGACCTTAGAAGAAGCGAATTGCCTGTATACACACCAGCTGTATCAAATCAGGACATATATGAGCGACAAAGCATAGAATAGTTTTCTGCGACTCACCCGCTGCGAGGAGTACTCCAAAGTATTGAAGACCGGCTATTAAATGTGTGTGAACACATGTTGTACCAAATGACTGGTCAAATCAGGCAACTTACGTCTCGTACAAGTGATGAGCAGGATATATCCTGGAGGTTCATGAGATAATGAAAGTGCGTGGCATAAATGCTCTCACCAATGATGCATACAATTGCAGCTCCTATGATGAAGGGTGCTCTTGCATTGTACCTACTTGAGAAATATACTGTGGTCCATATTGAGAAACTTGCGAGCACATTCGGGGGAACAGTCATCCTTGGTGTGAATCTATGTCAACATTGGATCGGGCTGCGAGATCGAAGGGACTTACAGTTGAGCCTGCCATGTCTCAAAGCCGAGTCCCGCGATGATTGTAGGCTAGAACAGGCAGTCAAGCACCATACGTAATTGCCTTCGACGACGAACATACCAGGAAAAAGCTGAACGAGTACAGTACAAAAGAGAATCCATGGAAAAGGAATGCATATGCCCAGACCAAGTGATCGCTGAAAGCATCTCCGACGGACGACCATTTGAAAGCTTGGTCAGTTCCTGCATCAGAATCTGCTCGCAATCTATCTAGTAAGCGCGTTTTCTCTGTTTCGGATAACTGCAAAAGTTGACGTTTTTGGGTGACGAAACGGAAAGGAGAACACGCACAAATTTGGCCTCGTGAGACCAAGTCGGCACAATGAAATACGCGATGAGGGAAATGGCCACTGTCAGTATTCCTTCAAGAATGAATATCCTTTTCGACGTTGTGTTAATGAGGTGATGCATGAGAGCACGAACATACCATTGCCAACCGCTTCTTCCGCCCACGCCATTCATCAACCCAATGCAATATGCAAATATCCCTTCAGAAATTTAATTGAACTGCAGTCACATCAAGAACGTCTAGCATACCTCCAAATGCTCCCGCCAATGCCGAACCACCGAAGAAAATTGCAACTCGCCAACTCCGCTCGCGTCTATACAATACAAAAGTAGTCAAGCTCCGACATGCACAAAGTCTAGCATCGTGCTTCCCACCTCAAATAATATACTGAGAAGACGTATATTACACCGGGAAATAGACCAGCTTCCGCGGCACCAAGTACTAACGACAAGTAGACAATCATCAGCAGTACCTCAGAGCCCACACAAACAAGACAACATACAGAATCTGATTCCAAATAACCCGGCTTGGTTTTTGACAAGGCCTTGGCAAATGGAGACAATACCCCAGACAAGAGTCAATGACGGAAGCCAGACTTGCGGATTACATCTCTTTAGTCTGTATGGGGACGATAACAAGTTAGATTTCCCTCTATATCAGGATCGATGGAAACTGGTGTCACATTATCTAGGGGAAGATATGTCAGCTGAAGGAGTGAACTGGAATTTGTGGCACATACATTGGCAGGGATCTCGAAAATAACATAACCGACAAAATATATGGCTAAAGCAGTATTATAACTAGCAGGAGCTACGCCGAGATCCTATGGTGAGGAGTAGATCTCCATGTTAGGCCTGGATCTCATATCACGAGAAGCATAAACCACCGCACGGTTATCATTCCATCGAGTCTACATGTTATGCGAGTCGTCAGCAGCGCAAGACTTGGGTACACATTAGCTTTGCTTACTTCGCATTTCCGATGTTTGACCTTTGGAACATCATGAGCTCAAGGTGCAGCTAGAATCAGATAGAGAACAAACCTATCCAGGAAACTAAGGAGGTAAAGCAGAGTGAAAACAGGCAGAAGTCTACGGTCAACCTTGCGTAAAAGTCTGCGATCCTCGACGGAAACATCAGGCTGGTCCTCCTCGACCACAGAGTTCTTTTCAGATACAGACATGGTAACTTGAAGGACAGGATAGCCGCATTTTGTCCAACCACACGGACTTATTATGCATTGCGGAGATACACCATGATGCAACCGAGGGGTAAGATGGCGCACTATTGTGAAAGCTGTGATGAGGGGAACAAAAATATCATACTTCATCCACGAATTCAGTTCGGTCGACACGGTCGTGACGCGCTTAAGCCTGTGATGCGACACTGTCACATATCCTAGAATTAGTCGAGTTTACACCAGGGTAATTGGGCGAGCGTGCTCCTCAGCACCCTGAGCTCGTTGCGTATGCATTTGGAGATCGGACGTTGGCGGAAAGAATGGGACACTTGACGTTCATGACCGAGGCTCTGCATCTTGTCTTTCGGGCCTTCCCGAATCTACCCACACGGTGCCATGACTGATGTACCTTGTGCACACTTTGTTTAATGGAGTCAGCGGCCTACGTCTAGATCTGAGAAGGTACCTCTTACCTTTTCTCACTCGAATCACTCGTCTCGCTAGGTACCCCATTCTTATTTCGATTAAGTCTTTCACTCGAATTACTCGTCATGTAGCAAGTTTTGCGCACCCTCCCGGACTAGTACGGTAGCAAGTACATTCTCGAGTTTGGAGCTGTTTGTACCCAAATTCATGATCGTGGAAAACTATATTCCTCTTACGACGTACGTCTCATTGAGTATCAAGTCCATCGTCGCGCAGTCAGTTCGTCACGCATTCATGGAAGGTTTATTCTTTAATGTAAGGATATGCTATCGATACGTCCTCTAAACACTAATGGAAGCGCAGGTGAACAACGGTTTCCTGGAAGGGATCGTCCGAGGCTACAAATCTGGTATACTGACTCAATCTCATTATGCCAGCTTGGCTCAGTGCGAGTCATTGGAAGGTCAGTCAGGAAGGAAACATAAGCTGATACTCGCTCACGCGTGCTTGGTATAGATTTCAAAACGCAGCTGTCCGCGACTGACTATGGAAACTTCCTCGCAAACGAGCCATCCCCGCTGTCCACCGCAACTATCGCAGACAAGGCGACCCAGATCCTCGTAGACCAGTTCAACTTCCTCCGTAACAATTCCGTCGAACCGCTGACGAACTTTCTGGATTATATAACGTATGTAACCATTAATCATATGTCCCTGCGCTCATAGCTCGTAGGTACGGGTACATGATTGACAACGTAATACTACTCATAACGGGGACGCTCCACGAAAGGGACACCCACGAACTTCTCGAGCGATGCCATCCACTGGGCATCTTTGACACCATGCCCGCGTTATGCGTGGCAACCAATGTCGAAGAACTCTACCAGAGCGTGATGGTGGAAACTCCTTTAGGTATGTGTCCTCTCATGATCCTGGCCGCAAATACTAAATACCACAATCAGCGCCCTACTTTCGTGACTGCCTCTCTGCCGCTGATCTCGATGACCTGAACATCGAGATCATCAGGAACACCGTCTACAAAGCGTACCTAGAAGACTTTTACAACTACGTCTCCACCATTGGTTCAACGGTCATGCAGAACATTCTCGCCTTTGAAGCTGACCGACGAACTATCAACATCACCATAAACTCTTTCGACACGGAGCTCACCAAGGATCAACGTGCCAAACTTTTCCCCGCCATTGGCCGTTTGTTCCCCGCAGGCAACAATGTACTCGCTAAAGCGGACGACATTGACCAGGTTCGTCAAGTGTGCGACAACGTCGCTGAATATCGTACTTTTTTCGACAACTCAGCATCGGCCCAGAGCAGTGGAGACGTCGGGGACTTTGGAGTAGCCGCACAGTTGGAGGATCGTTTCTTCCGCATGGAGGTACACCTCAACAAGTTGACTTTCCTGCAGCAGTTCCAGTATGGCGTGTTCTACAGTTATGTGAAACTGAAGGAACAGGAGATACGAAACATTACATGGATAGCAGAGTGCATTGCCCAAGATGCAAGAGATAGGATACATGATTTCATACCGATATTCTGAATACACTACCTATCTGTACACTTTCACCTAATATTCATTACAGGTCATTCGAGTAGCGTTAGTTGCTCAAACATATCCACTTTTTCTAGGCACAATTGCGAACGCGGGACCCCCATTTGCGAACATCTTCCGCATGTCTTCAACAAGCTGCACCGGCCCGCTCAGTGGCGGCAAAGTGGCCTCCTGAGGTATGATGTGATTCGATCACAACGTTGTTCACCCTGCGCACCCACCTACGATCTTGTGTTAGTTTCGGGGCATCAAAGCTGTTCAATAGAACGCACGCTGAAGGGAAGACTAGTATTTCCTTCGGGAAGTACGAGGCTCCCATAGGAACAGTAGGGTAATTAGTACGACCTATATCGTAGAAATCGCTGTAAACTTCCGAGTAAATGCGGTGGGCAGCACCGGGCCAAACACGGGAGAACCAGTATATGGAGATCCATGTCAGAACTGTTCCAGGAGGTTAGTGTTATATCAGGGAGTGGGTCTGCTACTAAGTACCTTGGTCATCGGTCCATTTGTAGTCGTCGGTCCAGGTGACCAGTTTCTCGTAAATCCAGGCAAGCAGAGCGACAGGGCTATCAGTCAAACCGTAAGCGAGTGTCTGCGGGAAAGATCTTTGCTCGACAAAGTAGCCGGATCCTTTGTTGCGATACCGCGCGGTACGTTCAAATCCTGCCTTTTCCTCCGCAGAAAAAGGGGTTAGCAAGTACGACAGGTACGACAGGGGCGATTTCCAGGTCGGTGGGTCGGCCCTAATTAAAGATCAGATCAGTTGATGGGTGACTGTGAGCGAAAAAAATAACATACATCGGAAAGTTGGTGTGCCATGCCTTAACGTGTTTTCCACCATACTTGGCGGCCATTCTCCGAGTGATCTGAGAGTATATTAACGATAAATCCCGTATACTTGTGAAAGTCGCTTACGACGAAACCCCAGTCACCTCCCTGGGTTATTGAGAGAAAATGAGCAAATCTATTGTAGGAGATGATGGCAATGGCGTCATACCATATTCGTTGTACCCGAGAGCAATCATGAGTTTGTGAGCTACCTGAGTACCCTAGTTGAGATTCTGAGAGCTTGGGATGCGCGATGAACAATAACTACCTCAACAAACTGACCAAGAGCAAAGCCTGGTTTGTTAGGACCGTCAGAAAATCCAAAACCAGGCAAGCTGAGCGCCACAACATGGAAGCTAGGATGTTTAGGGGACGACGCAGTCAAGAGAGGCAATATTCCCTGGATTTCCAAGAAACTTCCAGGCCCTGGCTAATGTCAGAAGCATACCAGTGAGCGTGGATCAGACCTACATCCATGGCAAAACAGCAGCGGGATGGCGCCAGCAATTTCGCTCTTCTTGTGAACATAGTGAATGTTCAGCGCGCCGAAACCATCAACGTCGATGTCGCGGGTCAACATTGGCAACTCTTGGTTTAATTCTTTTTCATGTTTGCGCCAGTCGTACCCGTTTTTCCACCTCTCGACGAGTCGCTTCATGTCTGCCAGAGATGGGCCGTGATTCCACCCGATGACTCAAGTTCGCCCGCGTAAGTGGCAAGCTCAAGTTTAGCACGAAAGATGCTGAGTTTCTTGTCGGAGATGTTGATTTGAAAGGGAGTTTCAGGCGACATGGTGATGGAAGTGCGAATGAGAGAGTTACGTCTGGCATCCTGTGGTTTAATAGCTGCACGAAGAAGCGCTAACCTCCTGTTTCCTCTGGTGGGAAACGTCTATCCGAGACTTACCTCTCTTGTGTTCTCATTTTGGCCCATCTTTAGATCACAATGTGCTAATCGATAGAACATGTTATATTTTTGCCAGCACTTCCATGAGACACCGTACACCTTGCCTTTTTTTAATATAAGGAATGGCCTTCAGTGGGGACATGAGATTAGTACACGACCGCGGGTCGTGAGGGGAATTTTTGTATAAGGAGTCAGCGCACAAACGATAGAACAGTGTAGAGTTGCCCATGTGTCAATACGTCCAAACATGAGTCGAGAACCGTGCGGAAGAGAGCGAGTTCTAAGTTCGTCAGCTACAATGTCGTATAAGCTCAAGGTCGCTTTTGATTTATCGCCCAAGGGATTATCTAAAGTGAAAGGTGAACATGATTCGGAAAATGCAATGATTTTCACGGTATGTCCACAGATGATAAATGCCAATTATGCAGTATAATCACCGACAACCTTTTCAAGAACGCCGAGATTGAAATCGTCGACGGAGACATTAAGCAGTGACCCGTAAGTGACGAGGCACGTATTTGCATCGCACAGGATTTTTAGGCAGGAATAGGAATTGGAACGCGTCTTCGATGTTTGAGCCAGGGAGTAGGAGATTCAAGTCGACTGGAAGTATCCTCCTCGTTGATGCCATCAATGAGGGAATGAGTGAAGGCGAGCGGGGAGCGACCACCAGGTGTCCTGGTGTTGCAAAAGGAAATCCTTCCATAGCGGGAAAAATCTGACATATATATATTGGCGAGCGGATGTTACTGCCTCGTCCACGTACAGCTCAGTAGCTAGGGACGTACTGGTAGTCCTATGTAGCCATTGAAAAGAAGTCCTCCAAATGACAATCCTCCCGGAAGCTAGAGACGGTCCAGCCTGAGAGTGTAAGCCCGCTGGTTTCCCTGAGCTCCCATAATCAGCATGCGCGTACGCATTCAGGTGCCTTTTGGCATAATGGTTGGGCGACGATCATGATAGTCTCGACTACTTGAGCAAAGCGTTCACAAATAATTTCGGCGGTGCACGAAGTCCTATGGCCTGGATTTCGATGTAGGCGCTGCCGGCTCACCTCAACTTCGCGTGTGGGGTAAAAGACTTGATGTTGGTTTATCTTTTTCTTCCTATGAGCGACTCGGGGCCCGTTGAGTACGTGTCTTTGTCGAGTTCATGACTTCTGGACCTCATTCTTTTGTTCTAGGCTCTGTTGTTATCAGCGATATTGTGTGGGAAAAAGTTGAGAAGGGCTCCCTTGGACCACGGATTCTCAAGTCCGAACATTTTAACCTCAAGTTTGGACTTGGCTAGAGCATTCCAGTCTTGCCAGAGCAAGAATATCTTTCAAGAATCAAATGTGATTTCGCTGCCAGTGAAAGGCGGTAAAAATGACGGTTTCCCCACTGTGACAATGTCGACCATCGTCCACCTCAATACATGACACTCAGGCTCGTATATCTATTCCATGATATCCACCGTGACACTGCTGTATGTGTTGGATTTTCGTTGATTACAACAAATTCACCTCCTACCGTATTGTTTCGGGCAACAGCCGAAAGCGACAGCGGACAGCGGTCTACTCTGAGCTCCCCTAGTATTATTATTTGATAATTGGCATATCGATCTCGCAGGAAACACAGATGATGAAAAAATCACTCAAGAATACTTACAGTCTAAATCAAATGCTCGAGAGTCAGCTAAAATGAAGGAACGGTACTGCTGGAGGAAATGTGTTTGGTGCTGGGGGAGACATTATCACATTGACCCATGGCGATGAATCTTCATCATTTTGCTGAGTGTCATTGTCGCCATTGAATCTCCGGGGAATTTCCACCTGCATATCGACGTCACGCCTCTACAACTGTACGAGAGCCAGACATCCAGCGCGCAAAAGCAGCCACCTCTAGAACTGTCTCTCCTGCAACCCCTCCAAAACCAACGCTTACCTCAACCAAAACACTGAAAAGCTGTGAGTTTTACTATGATCCTATCTAGTAACTGATGACGGATTCAATTCTTTTAGATGCAAAACAAAACCTCTGCTTGAAGCTGGTTTGAACTTCCGGCCCCTGCTTAAGCCGATTTTCCTCAACTGCACCGTGAAGTTGAAGCTTTTCACCTGCGCAATCAGCTCGATCCCTCGCGCTTCTACCGTAAAGACGACGGCGATGGGAAGGGTATCAAAGGACTACCGAAACATTTTGCTGTAGGTTTCCAACACAGTCTACTGTATTGTAGAGGCTTGATTTTGATCTGGATTGGCACCATTGTAACTACAGACACATCATTTGACACAAGAAGTACAAATAACCTTCCTCATGCTCATCGCAAGAGAACTTTGGTCGATGAGTTAGTGATGCCTAGTCTGTGCAAACGATTCGATATTAGCTTAAGTCCTTTAGGCTGGCTCAATCTTACGTCCTACTACGCCTTAGCCTTCAAGAGAGGATCATACCTCACTCCGACCAAAGACCAGCTCATACTATGGTCGCGTCCACGTCCTGTCTCGGCTTCTGCGTCAAACAACTCAGTTGGAAGACCAACCAATTACCAGATCGTGTGTGCTTCGTTGATCTCATGGTGTTTATCTTGACTACGATAAATCTAGATTTCGGACAATGTCTGGGCCATTGTTCTGGCAACCTCCCCTGCCACAGTCGTACTCCCAGTCAATCGCGAGCAAAACATTTGTATGTAAAGGTTTACAAACAATTTTGGGGGTGCACAAAGTCCTATTGCCTGGGTTTCGATCAACACTGGCAGGTGCTGCCGGCTCTCAACTTCGCATGTGGGGTAAAAGACTTGATGTTGACTTGTCATTTCCTCGCTATGAGCGACACGCGGCCCGGTGAGTACGTGATTTCATATCTTTGTCAAGTTCGTGGCTTCTGGGCTTTTAGTCTTTTGTTTTCGGGCTCGGTTGTTATCAGCAATATTGTGTGGGAGAAGTTGAGAATACTCCTTCACGAATTCTCAAGTCTACAATGTTGACCACCGTTCACCTCAATACATGACACTCAGGCTCCTATATCTATTCCATAATAATTCATGCCACCCACACTGCTGATTTAGCAGTATCTGTTGAACTTTTGTCGATTACAACCAAATCATCTCCCGTATCGGTATCACAGCAAGTCTTGTCCCAACCTAAACCTTTGGTGGACAAACGCGCTTAAATCAACCAACCAACGGTTTAAAATCGCCGGCCCGGGACGGTCACTGCCGTCAATCTAGGGAACCAAAGATATGAGATGTTTAGGTAACTTGAAGGTGTGTGGAATGCTTGGCATACTACTTCGACACGGTACTTACAGCAGGATTCTAAGGTTCGTCCTGAATAGGATGGATGTGCCTAAAGAAGCTGCTTTTCAGCCCTGGCATGAGTGTTGATACAGAACCAGCTGACCGAGAAGCTGCTTTTTAGCCCCGACATTAGTTGATACAGAGAAGCCTGTACCCATACTATCGTGAGGGCTGGGGTCCTGAGTTAACATTGAACACTGAGGTTCCCACCGCCTTCCTCAGCCTCCAGGCCCATCAACACACAGCGGGCCCGTGTCGCACCACCGCGCTTTCTTTTGCACTGGCACGGTTCTTGATTCACGCTCGGGGCACGGACAAGTGTCAAAGATACGCCAAGTTCTATGGATTACCGCATTGTTATTTAAAGATGGCCAGAATGAAGACAAAGAGATAACTCTCGATAAACAAAACATTTCCCACCAGACGAAGCAAAAGGTCAGCGCTTCTTTGTGCAGCTATTAAACCACAGAAGGCCGGACGTAACTCTCTCATTCGCACTTCCATCACCATGTCGCCTGAAACTCCCTTTCAAATCAACATCCCCGACAAGAAACTGAGCATCCTTCGTGCTAAACTTGAGCTTGCCACTTTCCCGGATGAACTTCAGGACATCGGATGGAAACACGGCCCACCTTTGGCCGATATGAAGCGGCTCGTCGAGAGGTGGAGAAACGGATACGACTGGCGCAAACATGAAAAAGAATTAAACCAAGAGTTGCCAATGTTTACCCGCGACATCGACGTTGATGGTTTCGGCGCGCTGAATATTCACTATGTTCACAAGAAGAGCGAAATTGCTTGGCGCCATCCCGCTGCTGTTTTGCCATGGATGTAGGTCTGATCCACGCTCACTGGTATGCTTCTGACATTAGGCAGGGCCTGGAAGTTTCCTGGAAATCAAGGGAATGTTGCCCCTCTTGACTGCGGCATCCCCTAAACATCCTAGCTTCCATGTCGTGGCGCTTAGCTTGCCTGGTTTTGGCTTTTCTGAGGGTGCTCACAAACCGGGCTTTGCTCTTGATCAATATGCTGAGGTAGATATTGACCATCCCACATCCTAAGCTCAATGTTGACCGGTGCATAGGTAACTCACAAACTCATGATTGCTCTCGGGTACAACGAATATGGTATGATGCCATTGCTATCATCTCCTACAACAGATTTGCTCATTTTCTCGCAGTGACTGAGGGAGGGGACTGGGGTTTCCTCGTGAGCGACGGTTTACAAGTAGATGGGAATTATCGTTAACATGCTCTCAGATCACTCGGAGAATGGCCGCCAAGTATGGTGGAAAACATGTCAAGGCATGGCACACCAACTTTCCGATGTATGTTATTTTTTTCGCCGGTCATCCATCAACTGACCTGATCTTTAATTAGGGCCGACCCACCAACCTGGAAATCGCCCCTGTCGTACTTGTCGTACTTGCTAACCCCTTTTTCTGCGGAGGAAAAGGCAGGACTTGAGCGCACTGCGTGGTATCGCAACAAATCATCTGGCTACTTTGTTGAGCAGAGCACCTTCCCGCAGACACTCGCTTACGGTTTTACCGATAGTCCTGTTGCTCTGCTTGGTTGGTTTTACGAGAAATTGGTCATCTGGACCGACGACTACAAATGGACTGATGACGAAGGTAACAGCAGTCTTACTTCCTAATATACTATTCACCTACTTTAAAAATAGCTCTCACATGGATCTCCATATACTGGTTCTCTCGTGCTGGGCCTGGTGCTGCCCACCGCATTTACTCAGAAGTATGCGGCGATTTCTACAACTTAGGTCGTACTAGTTATCCCACTGTTCCTATGGGAGCTTCGTATTTCCCCCAGGAGCTCCTACTCTTACCCTCAGCGTGCGTTCCATTGAACAGCTTTGCTACTACAAACTAACTTGTGATCATAGATGGCTGCGCAGGCAGAATAACGTTGTGATCGAGTCGCATCATACGTCAGGGGGGCATTTTGCAGCCTATGAACGGCCGGCAGAACTTGCTGATGATGTGCGGAAGATGTTCGCGAAGGGGGGTCCCGCGTTCGCAATTGTGCCTGGAAAAAGCGGATATGCCTGAACGACCAACACTACTCGAATGACTTGTGATGAATATTAGGTGAAAGTTGTACGAATAGGTAGTGTATTCAGATAATCGGTATGAAATTGCCTGTCCCCTGCTGTCCATGATGTGATATTGTTTCGGATTTTCTGTCCTCACCAGTTCAATTGTTTGTATGCAGGGTTAAAGACTTCGCTATAAGCGACTTTGGGTCTGCTTGTGCGGTGAGTACGTGATTTCCGCATTCGAGTCTTTGTCGTGGCTTCTGGACCTCCTCTAGGCCCCGGCCCGGGGTCGTTGTTATCAGCGCTGGCATGAATGGTGATTCACTGATGTGCAGTTGAGGTGGTTACAGCCTGTGTGTCTCATGTCGATGTAAATATTACTTTCATTATAGATGGACTACCCCGCACGGTCTGGGGTAACTATGACGATTCTATGAGATACCTAGTTGTGATGTACATAAATTTGCGGTCCTTCGCAATGAATTTGTTCGAATCACGAGCGACAATCACGAAATGATAGACGGGGCTTCGCAGCAAACCATGCTAGGTAACGAATTCAACGACGACAAATCATACTGATTGGATGATACATGATGCCAACATTTTATATTACATTGCCTATCTGTACACTTTCACTGAATATTCATTCAAAACGCGAGGGATGCTGGTCGTTCAAGCATATCCAGCTCTTCCTGGGACGATTGCAAACCCAGGCCCTCCCTTCTCGAACATCTTCTGTAAATCCCGAACAAGCTCTTCCGGCTGTTCAATCGAAGCAAAATGTCCTCCTGTCGTGTGATGTGACTCGAAAACAACGTTGTTCGACTTGCGCAGCCACCTGCACACTCATATTAGCTTCAACAAAGTTGATTGATCGAAACACACCCTGCGGGAAAAACTACGAGCTCCTTCGGGAAAAACGAGGCTCCCATAGGAATAGTGGGGCTTTGGCCTAGATCCTCACAATCGTTACGTAATTCAAAGTAAATGCGGAGGGAGGCAGCGGGTCCGGCGCGGGAGAACCAGTACAATGAGATCCACGTCAGCACTATTTGAAACAGGTGAGCGATATGCAAAAAAAGCAACGTTGCTGCTACCTTCATCATCAGACCAATTGTAATTGTCGGTCCAAAGGACCAGCTTCTCGTAGATCCAAGCAAGCAAGCCAACAGGGCTATCAGTGAGACCATAACCGAGTGTCTGCGGCTGGGTGCTCTGTTGAATAAAGTAGCCACGTCCTTTCTTGTGGAACCACGTGGTGCGCTCAAGACCTGCTCTTTCCTCTACAGACCACGGGGTTAGCAAGAATGACAAGAAAGACAGGGGCGATCTCCAGCTCGGTGGTTTGGAACTACATAGACAAGGATAAGTTGATGTGTGTGCTGAGCGAGAAAATGACATACACTGGCATGTTGGTGTGCCATGCCTTGTGATACCTCCCACCATACACAGAAGCCATTCTTCTAGTGATCTGAGAATACATCAACAAACAATTCACATCTAATTGTCCAACGTTACTCACAAGGCCACCCCAGTCGCCTCCCTGAGTAACTGTGAGAGAAATCAACAAATTCGTTGATCCATTGGTGATAACTCAGCGACGTACCATACTCGTTGTACCCGAGAGCGACCATGAGTTTGTGAGCTACCTAGGTTCACCGTCAAAATGTAGAGAGACCTCAGAACATGTGATGAATGGTAGTCACCTCAGCATATTGATCAAGACCAAAGCCTTGTTTCTTGGGAGCCTCCGAAAAGCCAAAACCGGGCAAACTAAGCGCCACGACATGAAAGCTAGGATGTTCAGGGGCCGATGCAGTCAGGAGGGGCAAAATCTTTCTGACTTCCAAGAAGCTTCCAGGCCCTAGTTGAGGTTAAAAAGATGCTGATCTGCGAGCATATGAATCAACTTACATCCGTGGCAAAACAACAGCGGGATAGCGTCAGCAATTTCGCTCTTCTTGTGAACATAGTGAATGTTCAGCTCGCCAAAACCATCCACATCAATATCGCGAGTAAACATTGGCAGCTCTTCGTTGATTTCTTTTTCATGTTTGCGCCAGTCGTACCCATTTTTCCACCTCTCGGTGAGCCGCTTCACATCCGCCAGAGGTACGCCATACGTCCAGCCCACATCCTCCAGTTCATCCGGGAAAGTAGCGAGTTCGAGTTTAGCGTGGAGAGTGGACAATTTCTCGTCGGGGACGTTGATTTGGAAAGGAGTTCCAGATGACATGGTGGTCAAAGCGCAAACGAGAAATGTATATCTGGGTGAATCATAAGTACTGTGGTAAATAGGAGGTGCTGCATAAGGAAGCTTCCCACTCCGCTGGCACTGCGGAATCTTGACTCAGTAGATCTCAGATCACCAACAATAATGTCTTCCGTGGACTCTCATTCGAGTCATGCCAACTTACAAAAGATATACCAAACATTGTTAGACCATCTGCACTCCAGCGGCAGTCGTATTCGGGTTTCGCTAATTAATCCAGTGGCAACTGCCCAGTCGCCCTAACTGCGAAGTCGCCGTTTCACGTGAGCACGACCGAGAGGGCATGCAGCCCTAGAGAAAGTAGATGGGGACTGTATTGGACAATAGATCTGTCGAAGCTCACAGGTCAAGTAGAAACAGAATAGCCTGAAAAGTTGACCCGAGGTGGTATGTCAATACGATCACGTGACAGACACGCCGACCTCAACTCATTCAATTTCTCTCATTTTTGGATGATAAAACTTTGCGGACCCAGCTTGCGCGCGACTTCGTCACGGTTTTTATCCCTCATCCCTGCAACGCGACAGGAGAAAATGTGCAATCTACTACTTTTTTTGATACCACCAGTATTCGCCTCCGAATAGGAACAGCGCGATGGTGTTCATGTGACAGTTCTCAATCTGTCTCAATAGCATGATGCATGCTAACATCGAAAGATACGATAACTTCCTCTCAAGCCTGTGTGCACCATTGTCTAGCACATGGACCGAAGCTCAGGAATCGGCGAGTATTTTTACAGTTATCGAGTTTGACAAAAAGCTCAGATTCACTCTGCTAGGCGTTACTCGAGCCCTACACGTACATCACCACCAACCAGGGGAAAAAGATCACAAGCAAGCTCCTCGAAGGCTTTAACCTCTGGCTTAATGTCCCCAAAGACAAGCTTGCAGTCATCATTCATGTTGTCAGTCTTTTCCATAATGCCAGTCTCTTGTATGTCTCCACACTGTCGGACTAATGTCAACCCCAACTCATCTTTATATCCACAGGGTAGACGATATCGAAGACGACTCTCAGCTGAGACGTGGGATTCCAGGTATGTCCGCTGTCGGCGATACCCTTGAAGGGGTCGTTAATTTTTCCAGTTGCACACAAGATATACGGTGTCCCCCATACCATCAATACTGCCAATTATGTCTACTTTCTAGCATATCGGGAATTGTGTACCCTGAGGCCCATAGTGCGGCGTCGCATCCGTGATTCGAGTGCAGGTCCAGACAATGGGCTCAAGGATGATGATCCTGTCGCCGAGAAGCCCAATTTCCCTAAACGCCTCATTTTCGATCACGATCTGGACCTTGTAGTGAATGGTGTGTCATTTGTCACCATCGTTTCACAGACAGTTTCAACATAAAGACGAGGATAGCTGAGCTCCTGTCACTTCACCATGGGCAGGGCTTGGACATCATCTGGCGTGATACCCTCCGTTGTCCCACAGAAGATGAGTATGTGCAGATGGTGAAAGACAGTAGGTCGTTGTCATCGTCTAAAAAACATCCTGAACATAGGTACTTAGAAACGGGCGGCCATCTGAGGACTGCTATCAAACTCATGATGGCATGTGGTACGACGAACACAAACGTGTGAGTTTCAAATGGAGCCCCTCGAGTTTTTCCCGGATTGAATGACTCCTTTCTTAGTGACTACATCCCTTTGTCCAATCTCATTGGCATTTATTACCAAATACGCGACGACTACATGAATCTCCAGAGCGATCAGGTTGGTCTCCCATCAATTTTTCGAGACGCAACCTGAATATTGTCCTCAGTACACAGACAACAAGGGCTTTGCAGAAGATTTATCTGAAGGAAAATTTTCCTTCCCTATTGTTCATGGCATCCGCGAACAGCCTGAAAACCAACTGATCATGAGTGAGTTCAAAATTATCTACTGCCACCTCATTTGATTTCAATGTTATTGTCAGATATCTTGCAAAAACGCCCCAAGACTCCTACCCTCAAGCATCACGCGATCGAATATCTCAAAAACACCACCAAGTCGTTTGATTACACCCTGGCAGTGGTCAAAAAGTTGGAGCAACAAGCCAGGGGAGAACTTGAGAGACTTGGCGGAAACCCGATGTTATCTGCGCTTTTGGACCGGCTTCATGTTGATACGTGAAACATTATGTCCTTCTTTTGTACTGTATTGTCATGGCTCAAAATGTCCTCGCGGATGTCCAGGTCATACGTGCCCCGTTACTGTCAGTGGTAGTATCTACTATGTAGATTTGAAGGCTTGATGACCTCGAATATTCGATTGCGCCTCAGTTCTCACATATTGCAGGCTGCGGGGGATGTCGTATGCGTTCATAGCTGGGTGAGTGGATCATGTGAAGGTTTTCCTTTAGAGCCTCGCAACCGGCAGAAGCATTTGTTCACGCAGTTCATATTGAAGATCCGTCAAAAGACTGCAAACGTCTGCTCCAAGGAAATTCATGTTCAATTACATGTACAAATCATATACACTGTTCATGTCCTCCCCTATCGTACATGATACACTAATTCTACCGACCATCTAGTTCACGTCAGTATCTATGGATGGGCAACTGGACTGTTGTGGTCGGTCGCTGCAACGACTTCTTCTGTCTATCTCTGTCATTCAGAGTCCTTAGTGCTTCCGTTCCTTTTCCTTTCCTTCCTCTCAACCATCCATGGTCCTGCACCGCTAAGGTCGCACCCTCCTTCACCCTCGCAAGTGCACGTACCTCCCAGTATTTCTGGTAGGTTCTCGGCATCTACCACATCAAGTAGAACATCTCTATAGTTCGAACCGAGAATGTCAACCTTCTCTACAGTCTCTTTTGCCAGCCAGCGCTTGATGATTCCCCAAATAAAAGTAAACGAGGATGGCGCGTTGATTATCAAAAGTTGACCCATTCTAAGACTATGAGTAAATCGATGCGACTGACACAACGCTGCATGACGCACGTGTCAGGAAAATAATCCTGTGAGATCTGGAATGACGCTTGTGCCAATGACTTCACTTGCCAAAACTGTGATAACCTGAACGAATATCAGTTTATTGATAACCGGAAAGTACCAACGACAAACCCGAATCCTTTAAGGTCCACAATTACGATCGATTGGTGAATATGCTTACCTGCAGCACGCGATGCAGCTGGAAGCACTTCACGGGTAAGGGAATCTGCGTTTACTACAATAGCCTCCCAGTGCTTCTCTGGCGTGACATGCTTGTACAACTCCGGAAGGTTTAGCCCGCCAAAGAACTGGATGTTCACTGGTCGGCCTTTCTGCAAGGCAAGAATCTACCGATAACCATGAGTCAAAGACAGTATCAAACACACCTTGTCTGTCTGAGATGGCCGCCACAGTCGCTGTCAATATAATTCTTAAGAAAAGTTATTGTGGAGAACTTGCCTTATGGAAATACATGGACCAGGACTTGAATATTTCTTCTCGCTCAGGGTACTATGAAGTTTCCTTGGTAACTAGCATTTAGAAGGAAGGAAAGCAGGACGCACGTCATAGGGATCTAGTCTGGCATATAACGCGTCTATCCCGTCACCTCCGACGGTTTTCCGCCATTGTTGACAATTCTGCAACATTTTCTTTGATTCAGTTAAACTGAACTTGCGTGCGCGAAGAAACCGACTGTAATGTGTACATCACGATTAATTAGCCATGACAGTGACGCCACGCATCCCGAGAGCGGGGAAATGACTTACAGTAAGGTTGCGTCATCTGTCCCAACAGAGTCTCCTTCCTGAATGATCCCTTCGTCAAATACTTGTTTGCGGAACACTTCCAACGTCTCCTTCTCTTCTGGCGTGAGTGACGCCACTGTCATTGTACGACCGGAGTATGCTACAAACAAAGTAGAGTCGGAGACAAGTGGTGTATGCTAGACGAGCACCGGAGAGAAGCCCGCGAGTCCCGACAGCTTCGACAAAGCAACCAAATCACAGGCTATTGATGGAAACTTGATGAAAACTCACACATCACTGTAGCCTCCGCCTGCTCTTTTCACGAAATTGTCAACATACAAAATGTGTTTTGGAGCCAAAGGACCTAAGATTTTGGAAGATGGGAGGGTTTTGGTGCCTCCTTGCGCTCTAGTTATTTCGCAATCAATTCCCCATACGTCCTGCTTAATAGTATACTGACATTCAACGAATGCCCTTAATTACGGACTTACTGTGCAAAAAGCCGCCCTGTACTCATCCGTTCGCTCACGTGCAGTCAACTAGTTGTCAGTGCCACATTCGAAGGTGAATGGATTGGTAATGATACAAAGCCACAAGCTCTGGCATCCGTCCAACAACCATATAAAACATACACCAAACGATGACGAGGAGAGGAAAGCACATCAAGAAAAGGGCTCGATACAAAAGAAGGGTCGATGATATGAAGTGATTTGGTCATATATATACAATAGAATGGAATAAGTGTCGTAGTCGTAGAAAGAGAAAAGATTCGTCAAGAATTGGAGAAAATACTAGAGCGCAGCGACAAGAAGTTAGCAGCAGCAGTAACAGACATAGGCCAAGGGGACGTATAGTTGTACGCTGGACTATGTCGCGTTTTGGGCAGGAACGATGTATCCTTAGACCAACTTCTTCGGGTCTTGGAGACTGAACTGGCGATATCCCTCCTTAGCGCGGGCGTTGCTAGCAAGGAGGGGATCGTACTTCTCCTGATACCGATCCAAAGACTCGGACCTTGACCACTGCTTCCCGCAATAGGGACATTCGTAGGACGTTATACAGTGGACGCCTTCAATGTGATTGCCCGATTTGAGCATCGCCTCTGGTTTCGAGCAATTCACAAGTTTGCAGGGACCTGTGTCTTTAGATTTGACACTGTGCCAATGCAACGGGTGTTGTGCGACGCGGGTCTTGTTCATTTCTACAAAGGGCCCGCCGGGTTGGTCCGTCCAATCGTATGATCTTACGCGAGTCATCTCTGCAGGTAGCTCGTTCGTAATCTTGACAGACTGGTTAGAGTACGAATCATCGAGCTCCATCGCCTCAATTCTCCTTGTTCGAAGAAGATTACCAAAGTCATCATGAGTCCTCCGGTTGCTGATGTCTACCGGTTCCGGATCGTGAACCGCACTGGCATCGGCTAGTTTGTAAACATCAAACTTCCCCTCCCCGATTTCCTCGTCGACCTCCTCCAAGCATCTGCGCATGCGCGTGGTTGGCGCGAGAGACGAGCTCGAACTGTCTTCCTCGGATTCAACTGTATATTTTTTATGCTTGGGAGGTTTAGCACACGCGGTTTCATCGGGAGTAGAGAGAGACGACTCCAAGCCGTTGCCATCACTTAGATACGTTGTCGCGTCAGAGTCTGACGCGGACGGCAAAAAGGTGTTGGCATTATCGTATGCGTAGCTGGTATCTTCCGTCACCGATGAGATAGACAATTCCGTCTGCAAGCGCGTGTTTTGCCCTTGGGAGTAGGGTGGTATAGGGCCATACGCGCGGGGGTCCCCCGCTGCCCAAAGCTCCAGGTCGAGGACGGTTGGGTAGTAGTTTTGAGCAAAATTAGGTTCATTCGCATACATGCTACCATCGTGTTCCGGCTGGGACCATGTTGGGGATTCCAGTGGCGCTGGAGGGGTAGCAGAGGGCTGAGGAGAATAGTATTGATTCAGGTCCATTGGGGGGGACTGGTTCGACGTCGGAGACAATATCGGGATTTTTTTGACATGCTCTAAAGACGCTGGAGACCTGGAGAAATGAATGAGCAATGGTAGGCACTCGGTTGGGTGGCACGTACCATTCGTGCGCCTTTAGGTATTCAAATTCATCGCAGGCCTGAGTTAATCTGCAAAGGGTCGTCGTCAGTTTGAGTCAATTTTTAGAATGAGGAAGAATCACATACTCAGCCTGCATGGCGGCCACGTCGTCGGGATGAGCTAACTCTCGGACATCTTCCGAGACCGTGGTAGTGGTGGCTTCGTGTTCGATTTCAGAATACGGAGGGATAAACCCGCTAAAAATAATGAGATGAATTGTGTCATCCGACTCCGGATTGAACACCAACCTATCCAAGGATATTTGAATGCTGTTGTATGGAGCACCAAATGCGGAAGATACCATTAGCATATAAAGAGACCGAATTGGCATGTGGGAAGACTTACATAGACATACTGGTGATTTGAAAAAGTGATGTGGAGTGGCTGAGATAACAAGATGAAGTGTCAAAGTAAAGAGGACGAGAGATAGATGGAGGGGATCACAGCGTCAGCTTTTGTACCTCACGACAAGTGGAGAGGCGCTGGATATGGCACACCTGTGGACGCGCATTGTGCCCAACAAAATGACGCATAAAGGCAATTCTGTGTGGTTAACACACAATATGAAATGCATCTGTGGTCGCCATCAATTCTGTGTGAAATCCACTATTTTGAAGGACTAAGCGTTCATCAATCCACAAGAGCACAAACTTCCCACCGCACACCGCTCATCCTTTGTGGATGTGGGAGGTTAAAGTAAGTACTGGGGCCTTGACATTACAAGTGCAACTGTCGCAACAACTCCATTGAGTTTTGAAGTATCATAGCAATGTCAGTTTTGTGGAGCATGGTCACTTACCTTCGCTGTTCATTGTGCTGTGAACCAGCCTAGTTAGCACATTATGAAAGTTCAAAACAAGACCAGAGAAACCCCCTCAACACTGGAAAATGAGAGAGAGAGATGGGACGCTGAGTCTACACACACCGTGACCAGCCTGTGGCTGCCGAGTTTCTACGAGGATCAGGTGCATATTTTAGCACTGCTGGGTATCACGAGTCTGGCGCTTGAGAAAGACCGAGTATTTTACCCTAGTTGTCCAGGGACTGTTGTTTCAGGATAGCAACACATACACCTACATTGAATCACGAACGAACCGTTTTTGACTTTGCGACCGGCATGTAAATAGCAACTAGTAAATACGTAAGCAGACGCCTAGCTAGTGCATTGTGCACATTTTCCTCGCAAACACTCAATCTCACCTAGATTAGGCCATCACTGTGACGCGTAGCTTTATTCCACCCGCATTAGAATCAGACCAAAGCGAACTCCAAGTACCTGAATTCCCCTTATCATAATGTCGAAATTCGCACCTCACCGTCGGTCAAACAATAACCCAAGAGCAAACTCTGGAACTGTTTGTCAGAAGTGCCTTGGTACAGGTATGTGTCCTCCTTTCAATGTCATTGCAAGGGCAATTTAGACCGAGCGCAATCATGCAGGACATTTCATATTCGAATGCAAGTCCACGCGTCCATACGTATCCCGTCCCTCGCGGACAGAGTTGCTCGAAAATCCGAAGTTACTTGCGAAGTTGAAGGCAGAGGGAAAGCCTTCAGTCGAAGTGCCGGAGGAATTTAGAACAAAGTACGTCGACCGATAACCTTCTTATACAGTTGAATTTGGCTAACGCCTTGTTCTGTCACTTAGGAGTGGAACGGCAAATCGAATTTTAGAGTCAAAGGAGCAGGAGCGACTGGCACTGGAGGGAGCTAAAGGAAAAGCCAAGGAAGAAGGCGGCAGACCTCGCAAGAAAGCCAGAAGGTTGTTTATAATTCACTTGTTGTATCTGCGTGGGCTGATCGTCGTTGTAAACAGGTCTTCAAGGCCCTCCTCAGATACTTCGGACTCGGACTCGGACTCGGACTCGGAATCAGATTCAGATTCAGATTCGGGGTCTAGCTCTGATTCATCTGCCAGCTCTACGTCAAGCTCGGATGCCTCACGTTCAATTTCCAGAGATCACAGCAGGAAGCGACCAAAACAGCGATATTCATCTTCAATTCGTTCAGAATCTTCATCTCGCAGTAGATCTAGAGACTGAACAATGGTTATCTACCGCCAGCGTTCAAGACATAGTTCGTCTGTACTTTTCCTCGTAGTCTGTATTTATGTGCTAGAGAACAAAATGTATGTAATGAAGCATGAGCGATCAATCACAAGTACCCGCGAGACCAGTGACCCTCGTGTTCATTAACAGTGCAACGATGAGGCTGAAATGCGCTCAAGATCATTAACAGGTATGGGCAAGTACGTGTCAAATACTCACCCGTAAAGCCCCAGGACCTCCGCAAAGATCAGAATGAGAATCATGGACACAAAGACTCGTTGCTCGTGAACATATGCTCGGACGCACTGCAACCAGTAGTGAGGTTCACGCATACATCCAGTGGCTCAAAAGGCCTACCGAATCTCCGACGAGGCCAATAGCATAGCCCGCAGCAATGCCAGTCATTCCACAAGAAATGCCTGCTCCCAGATGAATGAAGCCTGCAGCCAGGGGATAGCCTTTCGATGGGGTCACTACGAACCGGTCAAATCACATAAACATGATAGGATTATATACTTACAATTTCCTGCAATGAGAACCGATACCACTAGCCCATACACCGCGATGATTCCTGCCATAACCACAGGCACCAGCGACTATATTTTGAAACATGAATTCAAATAAGCCTGTTAGAGTGCTGCGCTCACCTTCATGATCAGTTCAGGCTTGAACGTCCCCAGGCCTGCAATACCAATTCCAGCCTTTGCCGTCCCAAATGCAGCACCAACCGCTGTATTTGAGTGCATCAGATAACATTTGAAAGCTCATAGCCATAGCGTACTGCTGAAAATCATCTACAGAGGGATTGTTATGATGAACTGAACGCTGCACTCCGACTGCGGTGACTTACAGCTGAAGCAACACCTGCAAAGCCAAAAAATGGTGCATATGGTGGACAGAGTTCTGCTGGCATTTGATATATAGGTGATCACTGGATGAGCGAAAAAAGAATCTGAGCAAACCGAGTACTGGGACGTGACGAAGGGCTACGCAGGCGAAGTACGAGGAGCTCGCATCACGTGACTATTCACAAACAGATTTCAGACCAATTGCAAGGAACTAACTGGCTATATCTACGTAGAAGGTCTGAATGTTTTCATTAAAGACAAATATAATCTCTTGCATGCATGCAATGATAAGTATGAGCGCGAGTCAAGTCTAAGAGACTGTACTAGGAAACCAAACGTAGGGTACCAGAGTCCAAACTACTTCTTTTTGACTGACTTGATACGAATTTGTTCGTCACCGATAAAAACACCCTGGTCATGCGTCAGTCTCCTCTTTCCCTGTAATTCATAATTGAAGATATGCTCACCTTGCCTTTGTATGGTTCGGGTGGACGCCATTTCCGTATGCTTGCAGCAAAAAGACCAAGCAAGGTGCTTGTCCGTGCAGAAGAGCGTGATCTTGGTCGGAGAAGGCACGTCTGCCTTGATATGGGCAGGAATTGGCACGTAGACGTTATGAGAATGTCCCAGTTTCATATTGAGCCTCTGGCCATTGCCACCATTTGATGTTCCTCTCGGATCGTCCTCCAACGCAGCTCTGTATCCGACACCCACAAGATATATGGGAACAGTGAAACCCTCCGTCATTCCGACGACCGCGTTATTTATGAGGGTCCGTGTAAGACCCCACATTGAGCGCTGCTTTTTTACCTCTGCATCCTCTACGGCTATTGTCAGCACATTCTCTTGCGGATACGCGAGTTTCATGTATGATTCCAGTGGGACAGAGGTTGAGCCAAGAGGTCCCTTGACGTTGAGCGAAGTTTGAGATTGGGTAATGGTGACATTAGGTGGAATTGGGATGGGAGTTTTTCCAATATGAGATATGTGCACGCATGTACGAGCAGATGAGCTGAAGTGTCGTAGAGTCAATGCCGCCCGCGGTGGTATCATAACTTTCTGGTTGGATTAAGTCGACTTTACATAATTTAAGTTTTACGAGCGGAGCCTATATAGGTCACATGCCTTATTTGTAACGCTCTCATGGTTTCATTCGAGTCTTGGCAAGCAACACACGTAGCACGCTGTGGACACGCCATATCGATAACAGTTTGTGTCAGGTTTCTGTCGTGATTACACGGAACGAGATAAGAGTACGACTTATCCTGGTCTATCCCAGGAATTTTTGTCCCCTTATCTCCAATTGTAACCCATGACAGGTATGTTTTCTTTATTTGAGGTATTTAATATATATTCGGCAGAAGGCTTCCGCATTCCTGGTCTTCTCTATCTTCTAATCTCTTTAAGATGAAGTATAATGGCGCCAGTATTGTCACTGAATCCAACAGTGTCAATAGCCAGGATGATGACATCCCGCCCGTTCACCGAGAAGATAACATTCTACTCCGGAAGCTTGGCTACAAGAGCCAGTTTAAACGGGAATTCTCGGTATCGCGATTTTTTTTTGGCTTGCGCAGACCTGACTGTGGCCCAGCTGCTAGAGACAATCTCATTCTCGATGGCTATCATGGCTGCATCTTGTGGTGTTACTACCGGATATTCATATCCTTTACTTTCAGGTAAGTGACACCCGGGGGCACGCATGAAAGCAGGAATTAAATTACTATATCTTTAGGAGGCCATTTTGCCATGGTGTGGGCATGGCCCATAGCGTGCATATTCGTCATGTGTGTTGCTGCCTCGATGGCAGAGCTGGCTTCTTCTATGCCGTAAGTCTCTGGTCACCATTGGATCACGTCTATGCAATGACTAACCTCATGCGGTAGAACAAGCGCTGGGCTGTATTATTTCTCAGCGAAAATGGCTTCGAAGGAACGGTCTGCTCTCACGTCTTGGATAACCGGATGGAGTAACATCACAGGGCAAGTGACCTTGATTTGCTCCATTAACTTCAGTTGGTTTGTGTACAATTTCAGCTTTCATGAATGACAGATTTATGCATACCTTGTAGCACGGAACTTATTACCACAGCAATCGCAATAGGCACTGACGGTGCGGTGGTCTTGGGATCGGGTGCTACGTTTGGTATACTGATGGTCTCGTGACAAATCCATCATTTCTCTCTCTTGCTAATAAAATATCTAATCCAGGCTATCCACCTCATGCAAGCTATTGTCTGCTCGGCTGGAACTCGTATTCTCGCCCGAATGACAGTTGTAACTATGGTACTTATCCGTGAGTCGAAGTAATAGGCGTAAATTTTGTTTGAGCTCACGATGCACTGCTCAGTGACCACATCGATTGGTGCAGCTATCTCCTTACTCGTTTGCGCCGGCGATCAGAGAGTTTCGTCGATAGATGCGTGGACAAAGTTCGAGAACAACACCGGATGGAGTAATAGTAAGTACTATGTCTACTAATGTGTTTCAGTGACCGTTAATTCTCAGATGTCTGGGCTTTCATTCTCGCGTTTACATCGCCAATGTGGTCATTGACCGGCTGTGAGTAGCGTAGCCAAGCGATCGTATACTTCGAGAAGCACATACTAACCATTTCTATCCAGATGACTCTGCTGCGCATATCGCTGAGGAAACCGCAGGAGCTGCACGTGCAGCACCCATTGCAATTTTGGTTGGGGTCGCCGCAACCGAGATCCTGAGCTGGCTTTATTACATCGCTGCTTCTTACGCTACAACGTCGGTTCCAGATATCTTGCAGTCGAAACTAGCACTCCCTCTCGGCCAAGTTTTTTTAAATGTCTTGGGGAAGAAAGGTACTCTGACCCTCTGGTGCTCTATCGCAGTGTTGCAGGAAAGTGTGTTTATGAGAATGATCACGCTCAGATAACTAACTCCCCGACAGTACCTTTGTGGATGCTCACAAGTTGTCGATGCCTCACGTGTCATTTTCGCGTTTTCTCGCGACAACGCTCTTCCCGGCTCGCGATGGTGGAAGCGCATCAACCACACGACTGAGACTCCAGTGAATGCTGTATGGTTTGCGATAGGGCTCTCTGCCATTTGCGGGACCTTAGTATTTTCCACAGCAGCATTTAATTCATTGGCCTCGTACGTCGAGCGATGTTCTCAAGTCATCATACTAATATCATTTCTTTGAAGAGCATCTGTAATAGGTTTATATATCTCATATGTGACGCCCATCTACTGTCGTGTTACCTGGGGAAAGGACAAGCTACAGCCTGGCCCATTCAATCTCGGTTGGTGGTCTTTTCCTATCGGCTGGATAGGTATTGCCTGGGTAGCATTCATGGTCGTCATGCTGCTCTTTCCGTACACACAGACAGCAAATGTGGAAACCATGAGTAAGTGTCTTTTACGGCCACAAGACTCGACTTATCACAAGTTATAGATTATTCCATAGTGATCGTCATGGCTGTCTTTATATTTGCCGGAGGATCATGGATATTCTCAGCGAGACATTGGTTCACAGGACCCATCCCAAACATAGACATGCAGAACGATTCATCGTTGTATTCAGAAAAACATACCACGAAGCGAAATAGTTCGGGGATATAGGATATGTATTTGATAGATTTGGCCATAAGGACCACGCCTCTGTACCTGTGTTATCTATGATAACGATGCTCCAATAAAGTTTGGAGCGACGCAAATACCGTCCTTGGTACGGATCCTGTGAACTGATTTGGTTACCGGGTTGATCCACGCCGCTTCCTTCGTATCTAGCGTCGTGAATCCTAAGACATGCGATCTATTAACATTCGAGATTCTAGAGAAAAGCGGTCCGCACCTGGCTGAATTGTCTCAAATATCTTTTTCTTGGGGTTCATTTGAGCCAACGGCTGGGCATCTGAATGGGGCGGTCTAAGTGCACAAAGCGGAGATTTAGGAACACTTCCGCACTTTCATAATCGGGGCCCTCAAAGTAAACCCGGTCACCTGGCTTACATCCGGGCGGAGGTTGGATAAGTTCAACGCCACCATCCTTCCCATCCTTTGATGTTGCCTGGCCGATGTCAGATAGAGATGCACCATTGTCCAAGAAAATGAACCTACAGCTAGAACCATCGCAAAGCTCTTCACTCCACGCATGTTCGCCGGTTTCAAGTTGCACTGCGTGGAAGGTCAACCATCTGGTCATGACATCATAATGGGTGACTCGCAATGCAAACCAGGTACCTGTCCCGCATTTCTTCGATAGGTATGTAGTTCACGAGACCAGAAACAACTGTTCGTGGACCAGTGTCCTCACCGAGGTCAATTTGCTAGTAGAACACACATTTATTATAATCAATCTTTACTTTGTGGAAATAGCTCACCTCGATATATAAACTGTCAGCCTCGGGGTGCTTTTTCACTGTCAAAATTATTGAGTATTTTAAATTCTAAAGCAGAGACCAGCCCACCGTCAATAATGTGACCAATCCTCATATCAATCATTGAAGGCATGGGTTCACCAGCATCATCAGCAGCAACTTTGCCGCCAACAGGAGCCTTCTCTTTTTTCTTGCCTCCGTTGTCCGCAGCGGCTGCATCCTTCTTCTTTTCTTTCTTCTCCTTGGGTTTATTTTCAGGTGATTTATCGTCCTTTGATTCCGCTACAACGGTCGGTTCGACCTGCTCCGCCACAGCTGCGGCCTTCTCTTTCTTTTTCGGTGCATCCGCTTTCCTCTCAATTGGAGGGGCAGATGCGAAGTCAAAGGAAACAGAAGAAAATGCTGGAGACAATGCATTTGCCGCAGTCAGCACAGATGGTCTCGTTTGGATATGGTCGAAGTAACGCGTGACTGCAGGGTAGAGGTGGATAGGTTGTAGTTGCGTCTGGAAATATGGAAATAAGTTTTGGAAAACTTAGATATAACAATGGTCACGAACAAATACTGGGTGCAGTGCTCCGTATAGAGCAACGTCTGCTGCAGTAAGATAGTTGCTCACGATATATGTGCGGGGGACAAGTTGGGTCTCGAGATCCTGCAACAATACTAGCTCATTAGGCAAGTCAAGCTAATTCCTTTATACGGCTTACCGGAAGAGCAACCTCTCCTCCCGCAACCTTCTCAATCCACTGCGCTACTTCAGCCTTGTCGGAATCAGTCTTTCCGACATCTGCTTGCGAAGTTACGACGAGATCTTTCAGTGGGGAAGGGAGTCTAGATACAGAAGATTCATAAGACATTGCTCGCGTCAGAGGATGGAGTTGCGCGATTAATCGCGTCGACAATCGATGAGGAATCAGAAGATGAAATGATCGAGTCAAAGTATACATTGACATCGACACTGCTGATTGCACGTGACTCCGAAGGATGGCAAATGCAATTCAAAATACTTAAACCCGTCGACGTCTCCGAGTCTTAGACTCGGGAAAAAAAAACGATTACCAACCACCTGGAGGTTTAGTACTATCGGCACGTGGTCTTGTCACAGTGGTACGTACCAGTTGGAACTTATGAAGATTTTAGTTAACCTTTCAGAACTGATGACCACTTCAGTTCTTTCGCCTGAAATATGAGGCTTTCCCGTCCAGAAGCAACCCCGGACAGTCCTATGCTAAGCTCGGAAGCTCAAACAGAGATCTACGATGAACTTGTTGCCCTTGAAGAAAGAAAGCGAACTTTTCGGATGCGCCGAAACAATCTCTCCGATATCCTCCATCCCTCCAGAGCTCCTTAGCACAAATTTGGTCCATCATGCTCAACAGATGCAGGTGCTTCATGATCCTGACGACCCTGGTGTTCTTTTATGGCTCATTTTTTATCATTATTGGCGCGGGGTTGCTCTCAGGACACCGGAGCTATGGGCCACGGATGAAATACTCATGAGGTCCGAAATGGACCCATTCAACTTGAAAATCGGTCGGCGATATCGTACAGACTCCAACCAAAAGGCGTTGATGCACATAGAGCGTTTGCAAGTGGTCTCTCTTTTGTTCTTGCATTTCTTCACTTGTTGGGATGGCCTCTGGGCTGATATTCTTACCCGTGGTGATGCTCGTAATCCTGCATACGGCCCAGACTAGGCTCTCGAAGAACTTCTTAATTCTCTTCGTTCACGGAAGCAGTGTGTCGCGGTCTATGGGCGAACATTCACAACGGGGTCCCATTTTCTTCCATCTTGTTCTTCACGACCCGGAGTTCAACCCCTCCATCTTTAGCTGGATACGGCCTTCTGACCCCCTTGACGTGCTCATCGATCGCTGCAACGAAGTGAAGGTCGAGGGTTAGACCACCTAGCGATTTCTTCAACCTTGAGCATATTCTCCCGCGACGTGCAGTTGTTGTAAGAGGTGGTGGCCAATGTGACCTGGGATGGATACGAAAGCGACAAAGAATACGTCACTGACACAGAGGAAGACGAAGACTTCAAGCTTCATTGATTACAAGTTCTACGGTGACGGATACACCTCCTGAAATGCCATCGGGCAAGCATGGGAATCTAATGAAGTATACTGGTGGTTCATAAATAGCAGCTGCATACTGAAACTCGGTTTACTGCGGAAGGTGCAGATCTTATGGTCATTGAAGCCTCCCAAAACAAACCCGGATGTCATAAAATTCGAGGGCGAGGCAAACAACTCCTCCTGTATCAATATTACTTACGAAAATCATCACTAGTCATACTTCCCTTTACCATCTAATGCGAAATTGTTATTAACTTTCCTGAGCAAAAAATCGCCATATACAACGGATTTGTAGGTTTGTCCTTCGTTTGAAGATGATTCTTTGTCTTGAGAAGGCACAAGACGCAGAGCTGCTTGAAGTGGGGCGATATTCGCGGTGAAGTTGGGTTCAAAGAAAAACGGTATTCTGTCGATATATCAGTAAACGATACCACAGAGAATGGCAGGTTCGCACGAGACACTGCACAAATCGATTAGAGATAGTTCAACAAAGAGCTGCGCAACACCTACCGATAATTTGATCCTCTGTGAACCACTCTGTGTAACGTGCTTTTGTACAATCCACTTGTCCAGATCTCCCACACTGAGTGATTCACATTAGCTAGCCAGTACACTTGAAACACCAGCCAACATACTCTCGCCGATATTGCAAACCACGCAATTGGGCACAGGATCTGCGTTTATCCACATGCCTTCTTCTGTACCTTGCTCAGCTGGCAGGCCGTCCAGATCTGATGCTATCGTGCCTGATTGTCGCAAGAACACTTGTAGAGCACTTTTAGTAGGATCGGCATATAGGAAGCTTAGGGAATCAACGTCAGGGACATCGCTGAGCTTTGTGCTCGTAGCTCACGTTAAGCAGCCATAGTCTCTGTTCATACACGTGCATCAGCATATCAAGATATCAAAAAACCAACAATATCTCACTTGTGTGCTCCACAGGAGAAACCATCGTCGTCAGTTGGAAGTGGAGGATAGCCTTCCATATCGCTAAGCAGGGCTGAACTTCGGCCAAATGATGCTCACCGATGATTCGCATCACCCAGAAGCTATCATCTACTTGAGCTCGCAACTCCATCCATTCTTCTGTTGTCATCTTGAGTCCAACAGACATCCTATGAGAGTGCATGTCTTGAAAGAATATATCATGGATTTAGCAAAAACGTACGCTTCCATAACAATGAGGCCAAGCTTCTTCATCTTCTCAATCCATTGCTCGTATTTATGCTTGAATCCAGGGACATCAGGCCATTGATTCTCCCCCCATAGTGGTTTGGATTTGTCTGGTTTCTCAACAGGCTTGTAAAAATCGATTCCTTCGTGGTTATCCGCCTTGCCGTTAGTCACATTCTGCTTGAGCCTTTGGTATCCTAGATAAGAAGTTCAAGATTTCTGGTTCGTAGACCACTCGAATTGTGACATACCTCTAGCATTATCCTGGTGCTCCAGACCAATCTTATCTTTCTCTTCCTGTGGCAGTGTGAAGAACTCTCGGGCTAGTCGGGTCAACTCCTCAGGTTCTGAGGTATCTATGAACTGCGAAATGTCTAGATAGAAGAACCCGTACTCGACACAGGCCTTATGTAGCGCATCTGATGTGGACTGGCATTTCGTCAGATCGCGTTCGGCCTCGAGGTAAGGCGCGATGTTGATGATTGGGAGGCTTGCTAAAGCGTGCGTCATTGAGCTAATTGACGTAAGACTTGAATGTGAATGGCTGTGCCAAACAGTCCGTTGAAAATAAGATAAGGTTACAATAACACGGATAAATCTAAGTAGGACGATCTACTTGTTTTGACTGTGTCGAAGAAATATACTAGCCAATAGAAAAAGTGCGTGCCGTATGCTACTGATAGGAACCATTTTCTGGACGCGATTGCTGTGAGTAGATAGTACGTCCAGGATTCTGACTAGAAATTCCTCGACCAAACCCTCCATGTGCATCTTGCAGAAAGCCGCTCGCAGGGCCAGTGTAATGACCAGGCCAGTTGGGTGCGAACTCGTGAGGTGACCGTCTTGTGTCCTGGAGCCCCGAGGATGGATGCCTCGGTGATAAGGCCGCCTGATATACACCTGTTTCATTGCCCACGTCACTTGACGCATGTTCCTCTGGCCCGGCATGACAATTCTCATGCGCATCTCTCGTGCTCCGGCTTCTTGATGCAACGCCATCCATCCCGTCCTCCTTCCGTCTGTGCTCTCTCCTAGAACTTCCATTTGCACTTGCACTTGACGTTTCTCTGCCATTAGCGACTGACGGCCTTGGCTTGGCTTTTGGTTTCCCATTTAGCTGGGGCGCAGATGCTGCCATGAAAGGAGGTGACTGTCGGTGGGTGGTGGACATCGCTGGATTGGCCTCCAAGACTTCCTTCTCTTTCATTGCCCGTCTGTCAAGCGCTTCTGCTAAGGATATCGGTTCAGGTATGGTGTCTGGAATAACATGTTAGATGGTACGAGACAGAGAAATGGCGTACAAACCTTGCAAGAACATGAACTCTTGATATTGTTGAGTGGAGCACGCTGACAGGCAGTTATAGTCAAAAGTTAGAAAAGACACTGTCACTCACCCAAATCTGAGTAATTTACGGTCCCTCGACGCTTTGCAGCCGCCTGTCGGTGACCAGCTTGGGCCATTCGTTTTATGAATTCCTCCTGCAAGTTAAAATGCAACGTTCAGATGCACTGCAAAACGGCCAAACAGGTTCCCTCACCGTTGCAACCGACAAGATGAACAACGCTTCCTTCGACATCGTAATGTTTGCTGAAAAGTTACTCAACGCGAGCTCTGATAAAGATGTGTTGTTTAACGTACTGTCCGGCTGAACTATGCTCTCCACTTTGGAAGGGGGGAGCAGAGATGTCCCGGGGATACGTTCCCCAAGCCGTCGTCCGCTCCGTTTCTGGTTAGCGGAGGCGCTTGTGGCTTGCTCGTCTTCGGGATCTGTGTCGGACTCCAGTTCATCTACCTCTGCTTCATTTTCGGAGTCCGTAGGTAGATCATAGACGCTAACGTTTAGGTTTGACCCGCTCAGCTCAGAGCATTGCCCATAAGGTTGCAAGGAAGAGGTGTGGGCAACCATGGAACTTGAAGGAGAAGCGTAGTATGCTGCCATCACCGGGAGGACTAGTGAAATTTGATTCGGAGTGGTCCCAGGTCACGCAGTGTTGTTGTAGCTGACTGCTTCGGGTGCAGAGCGGAGGAAGAACACTTTGCATGTGTCCAACATGTGGGGGTCACACAATTGCAACTTACAAGCTTGGCTATAACTTACTTATTCTTTCTCAAGCTCCCATCCGACCAACGATCAATTTACCTCAACGACCAGCCAGAAAACTTTGATAATCACTGGTACAAGTTCGTCATCTATAGTGCTGAACAAGAGTAGATTCCATGAAATTAGGGTACTCAGACACGGTACTCGTCCGAAGATTTAATTTCATTCAGTTTGTTGAAATGGGTCATGGGGGTCTGCGTCGTTGACCTTACACCTTATCGTTTGACTGAAAGGTACGTTCTCTTCGTAACATAGAAGGCGGACGATGGCACGTGGCGCTCACGTGGCCGTGCTTTGCCGCTGGTAGCTAAGACTAAGCTATCGAGAGGAACATCGAGCTGATTCCAGGCTGATTGAGCGAATTCAAGTGCATACGGGCCAAACACCAAGGCAAAGCAACCGCTACTAGCTAATACATGGGATTTTTACATAATTATGTGGCCGAGCAGTGACAAAGGTTGACACCAGGAAGGAAGAAGATAGGTGGCAGGAATACCGATATTGTGCAGGTAAGAATAAACGTATGGGCCATACTATTGCTGATTGGTTGTGAAAAATCACTCGAGGGGAATCTGGACGCTCCCCTGATCTTCAGCCTTTGGGGTGGTCATAGTGAGGATACCATCCTGGAGCTTTGCAGACACTTTAGAGCTGTCAATAGGACGAGGCAGCCAGACTGTGCGAATGAAGGTCGCGCTGCCCGGATATTGGCGCTCTACCGCAAGTTGTGTGCCCGGCTCAGCCTTTGCTACAGCTCCTGAGAGGATGCGTCAATCATATGTCGGTCTGTGAAGGGGATTCACTAACCTTCAGCTGAATTCTTGTCAATCGTTTCAGCGGTGGTGTCTGATTCGCCATTGGTTTGGCGAGAAGAAGTTTTACCCTGGATGGTGATACTACGGCCAGCATCACCTACTCTGATCTCGACATTATCTTTTTTGACACCAGGAAGGTCAGCTTCTATGATGTATTTGTCTCCTTCCTCTGTTACATCAACTGGAGGACGTATGGCAGCAGGAGAGTTGAAAAAGGGGTCATCAAAAAGGGACCGATGTTGGAACATGGGTGGTACAGCGGACCTTCCAAAAGGCTCCTCCATCATTCGAAACAAAGGGCGGATCTCGTGTAGAAGTTGTCGAGCGATAGACATGATGATAGTTGGAACAAGAACAAGTCACCTCCTGCGGCGTATATATACAGAAAGTTCGCCACAAAACGCGTCATAGGTCACGAGTGTCTGGGGTCCCGGACACATGCAGAGTCGAACTAGACCCGGTTTCCATTACCTGCCAGACTGCCTAGGAACCTTCGAGAAATCATAGTAAATAGAAATACTTAATGCCGCAACATGTGATAAAGTCATGATCCAGGCCACTCAACAACCCACTGCGCAGCGACAGAATGCTCTTGGTCGTCATCATCCTCAAACTTGAGCTGGTAGTACGATGCAATGGACACTCCCTGATAAGTTGAATGAGCCCCGTGAACACAGTAAAAATGTGTATCTTACACGTCCTTGCACGTCCCTCGGGGGGGATATAACCTCAGCTCTGTAAAAGCAGCTCGTGTCAGGATAGAGCGCCATGACCGTTGAACCAGCAGGGAATTCCTGATATGCATTCAAATGCGCGGCACTTGTTGAAGCGGCATTCGGATCCGGTAGCGGTATAATGGCTCGGAGGGTTGTGTTATAGCATCTGAGGATGGTGTTCGATATCGAATGGTCTGTTCTGTGTGATGATAATAGAAAATAAATACTTACTGTCCAGGCTGTCCGTCTTCTTGAGGTTCAACGTCTTGCACTTCATATCTGATAAAGGATAAGGCTTAAAAATACTCCCCTTAAAGCGAGACTCGCCGATTCTTATCCTGATTTATACACTTTGTGATAACGGCCAAGATCCATGTGTTTTCATCGGCGTCAGCGGTGCTGCCGTCAGCTGCTTTCCCCGCAGGTGGGTGAAACGCAACTTTTCGTCCTTCTTGTAATGGCAGCTGCTTCGCAAGAGCTTCTCTGCGAGCCTTTGGCTCTCTCGAAAATGGGATAGCGGGAGAAGGGCCTGTCGAGCTCCGCGAAGACGTTGCTTGAGCTGTCATAGGCCGCGTGGCAGATATCAGGGGTGGCGTAACCGACATAGCCGTGGCAGTACTAGGTGATGGAGGCCTTGGACGCTTGTTTCGCTTCTCTGGATAAAATGTATTTGGCTGAGCAAGTATCTAAAGATTGGGGGGAAATCACAAGAGTACCTTGTGAGGGTAACTCGGGTGCGTTTCGAAGAGCTATCAAGACGCTGAGTTTGTCGAGAACACTATCAATAGCCCTGGGAAAAATATGTGATACTTTACGGGAAGACTGAGAAGTCAGCGTACTTGACCTCCTCCTCACTAATGTGTCGAACATCTTTCAAAGCTGAAGACAGCCGTTTGTAATTGGTTTTCAAGTTATCATACCCTTCGGCCGGAAGGACGTCATCGGTCGGCCATGCGGATATCAGTCTGTTGACGCGCCCGATAGTTTCGAGGCTGCCAGAGTTGGCATAAATATTGGAGAGTGATACCAATGACTTAGATGCATGCGACCAGTAATCTACCTCTGATGTTAAGTGAGCAGACCGCACCGTTCGAAGGACGATGAATTGAGCGTGAGAACATACCTTCTGTGGATGCAGGTCGCGTTGGCCCGGGTAAACGCCTTCTATCCATTCTTGGTGAGTTCAGCTAGCAGATAATAGTCGTTAGCGAGTATTTCTAAGCGAGTTTATATACGAAGTGGAACGAAAGGCTATGAAGACATGGATTGGAGATGGTGACTCGGAATACAAACTTGAACATGTGTCGCAGAGAATGACCAAGGGCCCCTGCCACCCCGCCATCACGTCAATTTCGAGTCTTTTAAGTGGGTCGTCTACTAGTACATTTTTTTTTACTGGAGTATTCAAATATTGATATTGCGAACACAACACGATGTCGTCGAACGTTGTTACATTACAACTACAACTGCTTTAGATTTGACGTCCTTCCTGTGGGGGAGGTGCTAATTTCCGGAGTGAGACATCGTATACCACTGAATAAAAGGCAGTCAAAGACTGTGGTATACATCCCGCACACAGTGAGCCCACCTTCTTCTATTTTCTTGAGATCATATTTCAAACTATCAAAACGTCGCCGGAGCGTGTCATTCTTTAGATTCAGCTGGACACCATAAAATTCATTCGAGCTACTCCAATTATACATTTGAAACTAACCATCGAAAATCCGGCGAATAGATCCTTCACAAAGATAGATATCTGAATAGGTGCTTCAAAGTTTCCAAGGGTCACTGCGTTTACAGCGAGACGAGACTATACAGGACAATGATGAGTGAGTTGAACGTGTCGCAACGGCAAAAGATTGCAAGCTATCGGAGAAACCTGCTGCAAGAAAACGACAACAGAATGCATTCAGTTTAACATTATCTGACTTACCAACTCGTTGACAAGGCTTATCAGACCGTGAAGATAATCTTCGACGGGTAGTGCAAATCGGCCTTTCCATTCATCTTTGACTGGAGTCCGAGACATGATAGTTACTATGCACACACCACAGATAGGAACACAATGCTTACTCCCTAGAATATAGCAGACCTCTGGGAGGGAAATGAGTTTCCCTGTTGAAAGAAATTCGACCAAGGCAGCTGAAAAGATGGCAGTGCGCAAAGAGTTGGACCACATTTCCTTCCATCGCCAGAACTGGCTGGGAGGGATGAGTGCAGCCATTGCGGCACTGGTGGCCTGACAACTGTGCAAAATTGGGCGCACACTATCAAGGAGAGCTGGAACTAAGACAGGCATCAGCAATCAGCTTAAAGACTTAACAATGGTACAACTTGACTCTGGAGGTGTGGAATGGATTTTATTGAGAATCCCGACCATATTGCGAGTCTTCTTATCTAGATCTGTCACTTGGTCCTTGATTTTCTAGAAGGGGGAAGTTTTAGAGGTCAGCGGTGATCAGCGACTTTCCATATTATTAGTATATGCGGACCTCTCGCAGTTCTACATCTTGCTCCAAGAGTTCGTTGAGACGTTCTACATCACAAGAATCCATATGTTGTAATGATGAGGCGCCCACAAGTTATTGTACTGAGTTGAAGACTTTCACTTTGATCGGCTCAACTTATATCAATGAACACGGCAAATACCTAATGCTCGTGACCGCCTTTACGGGGTTGCTACTTTCCTCCAGAAACATTTTATTCAACTACCAACCTGAACGCTGAACTTCGTTCATGACCTCCGATGGCGAAATCTCCAAAGTCAAGACGTTACTTACTTCAGTTCGCGACGCGCCCGTGGATACGGTGGACGGAACAGAAGATATACTTCAGCCGATATATGCGTATTTGATGAACATTCCACCATTCTCATCTGATAATACCTACCACTGGTTTTGCAGTCGCGCTAACGAGCTCACCATCGGCGCTGCCACATTTCTACTAAGGCTTTTTGCATACGAAAGTCCCAGAGTGGATGATTGGAAAAGAAGGTTGAAGTCTTGTCTCTCAGGATGTTGTCAGTGTATCAAGGGGTTTGGGGAAGTGAAGGCTAGCTCTCGGACAACGTGAGTGTCTCAACGAGACAGTGCTTAGAACGCGTGTTTTCAACCAACCACCCCGCAGTTATTTTGGCGCATTCTCTGATGATGTGCTCAAATCATTCTATAGCAAGTTCGATGACTGGGAACTATCGGTGGTCGTAGAGGCCCTCGTACGCACTGGAATAGACTTGTACAGCTCTAGACCGGCTTGCCGGACACCTCCGCAACCTCTGTTATACCACATAGTTTCAAATATGCGCGTCTTTCGCGACCCTCGCGTCTTGCCCTTGATTCGCGCATGCCCACCCATTTCAACCTGGCCACTGGATCCGCCTCCTCCTGGTTTGTTTGTACTCGTAATGGATGAATCTTCTGCTGTTAGACATTGGGCGAAGGCGCAAATCACCAAAAGCACCCAAGTCCCAATGTTAGAACACCAGTTTGTTGCTGGACACGAGCTGGCGCTCCAGGCGGTCACAAGGGCTTTGACGCTGTCTCGCGAAGGTGAAGTGACGACGACGGACAGTATCATATCGAACTCATTCTCCTCCGACTCGAGCGAACTTTGGGCTGGATTCAGCCAAATTCTACGACATATCCCGACAGAAGTTCTCGCAAAATCATCTGGAGGAATTGGATATCGAAGAATCGTGACAGGCCATCTACACGACATTGGGAAACGTGAGTTGATTTCGTTCGTTGCATTGATTGTCCAGTAAATATGGAGTTAGATTTTTCTGATATCTTAAAGTGTCTACTCTTCTTGCTCAAGCGTTTAGGAAATAAGTTGTGGCAAGGGGAGGGTCCGGAGTATCCTCAGGTCGTTTTCGATGCAATCAAGGACAACCCCTCCTTCAGTGATATGCTACGGGATCTCAAGTTGGCTGGCGAGAAACCATGGTTCTTGTCGTGGTTCGGGGAGTATCTTGCAACAATATCCGATTCTGCCATATATAGGGATGTTCTAGCAAGAATTGTGGATTTTCTTTGTGAGGAATTACAGCACGAGCGGTTTCAGGAAGCACGTCCAGCGATCATGTACTCCGCTGTCCGAGTCAGTGTTTATATCTTCCCATCCGACCTTATACTAAATTTTCCTAGTTACTAGCCGCTCAGGTGCGGAAAACTCAGTCTGACGAGACGTTGTCACGTCGCATGGCAGTTTCAAGCGTACTCGACATTCATGCAGAAGTTTTTATTTCGGTGGCTTTTGGTCGCTTGTACGCAAATTCGCAGTGGAAAGAAGTCCGCAGCGCTGCTCGTGAGCTCATCACGGCGTCTTTGACTCAGGATGCCAATGAAATTTCCAAATCTATCACAACCTCTTGCGAGTTCTTAGCAGGACGCACGAAGGTGTTTCCCGTCTGTGCTATTAGAGAACAAATGTGGAAGAAGACGTATGAGTCTCTACAGGCAAATGACACAGATGGCGTTGTCGCCATCATTTCCATTATCGCCCAGTTCTCTCACATTGACTTCTTGAACAAAGTCGCCTACAAACTTGTTCTTTCGAGCCCAAATGCCCAGGCCTTTGATGCCATCAATCGATGCCTCGATATTTCTCGAAGCGGATTTCTCGATGTAGTATCCAAGCTAGCGAACTACAACCAGAGATCATTCGTTCTTGATGTCTTGGGTCGACCTGGAGTCGCACGTGATGTGATGGTCTTGATGCTGTCTCCTATTGAAGACCTCCAAGGGGCTGCGAAGACGCTTGTTGGCCAAGCATTTGACGTCGACGTTCGGATTGATTGCTTTCGCGCTCTTCTTTCCAATCTCCCAGACTCTTCATTTGAGGGCATCTTCAGTTTCCTGGAGCGATACATTCACTACGCGCCACAGGTACCGGAGGCCTGCAGCCTTTCTAAATCGCTAGTGCAGTGTCTCACCGACGTCATCGAGGTCTTGTGCTCCAGTCCAGATGGACTGTTACACGACGGCTCATTCCTGCGGTCAAAAGACAAAGAAGCGCCTGCAGCGCAAATACCTCGTCTGTGGAACTTGATGACACGGTCCATCACTGTAATATTCAAACGCACGCCTCTCTGGTCAGAGTACTTTGAAATTCCGGATATGACGGTTTGGATGCGAGATGCGCTCATATTCGGGAGAGATCTGCTAGCACAGTGGAGAGTGATGGAATCTGCCAGCGTCACCGCCACAGATGAATCATCCTCATTATTAACAGGCAAGGTTCGAAAACTTTCCCGGATGGGGAAGAACATGATGAGCGATCTGCAGCCGGTGCTTACAGAACTTGCACGGTGGCTGCGGCTTTCTGATGAAGAGCTTCTACATCAATCCTTTGCGCTGCTTCAGACACTTCTCGAATGTTTTCGGACAACTGATATCCCTCCATTGGAAACTACCCTTGCCAAGCTGAACAAGCATGTCGAGGCTTCCCGCAAGAATCAATCTGACACTTCAAGGACCAAACTAGACGCAAGTCGAATAGCCCAATTAGAGGATGCACTGAGCTCATTCGAGGAGAAGGAGATTGAAATCATCTCCGTTGTTCGCGCGCCGCAGGCTCGGCCTACCAAACCCCAGAAACCCCTACTACAGAGGGCGCAGGCGTCAACACGAAAGCAAAGCGATGCCGTTCCTCGGAAACCTGCTGAGAATGACCAACTCAAACCCGACATCTTGAAGGGCTCATTTCCCAAGTTCCAGCGGTCATCAACAAGTACGTCGGCGAGCGTCAGTAACCCACCAACGCTCCCCTCTGCTGCTTCATCAGAATATTCCAGTGATTCTGGATCTGAGGCTGAAGCCACGCAGGGTGGTCTGGTCGCCTTGGGTAAATTCCAGCGGTCACCAAAAGTCAAGAAGCCCATGGAAAGACGGCAAGTGAAGTTACTGGACATTCAAAACCAGGCCAAGAGTGCGACTATGGAGCGTCTTCACCGTCGAGAAGATGCTCGTCGTCGGGCATTGCGCTTGAAACCAGACACCACCGGACTGCATCGCACCCTCCTATCTTGGAATTACGATCACGATGGTCCTGACCCTCCCACGGTTGGCCAAAAAGCATTGTTGAGTCATGTTCCCGACACCTTCCAAGACTATCAGCACTATCTCCGAGTTTTCGAGCCCTTATTACTCTTAGAATGCTGGTCTCAAATTGTTCAGTCTAAAGAAGACGTACAAGCAGTGTACGATTGTAGACTCACCTCCAAGCACTTCACCGATGATTTCGTGGACTTTGATGCAACCATTTCGGAGCCTGTCCAGAAAGACTGGCGGTTGGGAGAGACGGATGTCGTATTGCTCCGACATCCTGAGGGCAAAAAGTCGATCATGATGAAGGTTCAGAGTTTTAGGACCACACCATTTGGATCGCAAATGGGTCTTCGCTGCTTCGTGCATTCCACTATGGGCGACATAGGTCTGCACATCAATACTGTTTGGAGCCTGAAGAAGGTTTTTAGGTGCGTTTTTTTTTCGTGTTGCAACAACTGCTTATTGCTTAATAGCTTGAGCACTCTTCACCGGGAGTATGGCGCTCTTGTGGCATTGCCCCACTACGATCTCTTCCAGATGATATTGACTCCAAAACTGCCTGTTATGCCACCCCTTGAGCAGCGCGAGGTACAGGACACAATGTCCGCATACAATGTCAACGAGCCGCAAGCACGAGCTATAATAGGGTCGCTTAAGATAGATGGTTTTGCGCTCATCCAAGGGTAAGTTTTATGTGGCATCAGACCGGAATCCCGAATGAACAATCTTCGCAGACCTCCTGGAACTGGAAAAACATCAACCATCTGCGGTCTTGTGGAAGCTTTTCTTCAGAAGCGTCCACGCGCAGCGACATCTATTCATGTTGGAAAAACCGCAACCTCTTCAGAGCCCGTGAAGAAAATCTTACTCTGCGCACCTAGCAATGCTGCCATTGACGAAATTGCTGGCCGTCTTAAAGAGGGATATAGAGGCCCTCAACGGAAAGCAAGTTCCCTCAAAGTGGTCCGGGTTGGAACAGACAAGGCTATCGATATCAGCGTGAAAGAATTTTCCCTTGATTACTTGGTAGAACAAAAGCTCAATGGTCAAGCTCCCAACACTTCCAAGGATGCCCACAATGAAATAAACGTACTACGAAGTGAAATCGAGCAGGTCAAGCAGGTCAAGCAGCAGAAGTTGGATGAGCTGGCCTCTGTTCGCGACAATAATGCCCGGATGGTGGTCCTGGAGGAAGAAATCAAGAAACTAAACTCGCGACGGATGACGCTGACGCAGCAGTTTGACCGGTTGAAAGATCAACAAAAATCGGATTCTAGGACGCTCGATGCTATACGGAGGCGCGTCAGAATGGAGGTTCTTCAAGAGGCAGATGTCATTTGTTGTACTTTGTCAGGTGCAGGGCATGAAACGCTCGAACAGCTTGACTTCGAAATGGTCATCATCGACGAAGCGGCCCAGTCCATCGAGTTAAGCTCATTGATTCCATTGAAGTTTCGTTGTCAGAGATGCATCATGGTCGGTGGTCAGTAATATGCCTTTGCACTCCCGACATCCAACTGAGCCCTGTCTAGACCCACAACAACTTCCCCCCACAGTTTTGTCTCAGGAGGTAAGCCGAGCTTCAGTAATACCTTCTGAATATGCGCTGATCATCATCGAAGGCCTGTAAATACCGGTATAATCAATCGCTCTTCGTGCGCCTTCAGAAACATCGCCCGGATGCCGTCCAACTCCTCAGGTATGTCTTCCGTCTCTCACCAGTAGTCTGCGCTCACAGTTTTTAGCATCCAATACCGCATGCACCCTGATATCAGTCGTCTTCCTAGCAGGATCTTCTACCAGGGCCGACTCTTGGATGGCCCCGATATGGATGTCAAAACAAAGCAGCCGTGGCATTTGCATCCTAAATTTGGTACATACAGGTTCTTCAACGTTAACCGGGGGCAAGAAGCCTCCGCAACTGGTCATTCTCTAAAGAACACTACGGAGAGCCAAGTCGCCCTCGCCTTGTACGCACGCTTGTGTAAGGAGTTTTCCGACGTAGACTTTGACTTCCGCGTTGGCATCGTTTCCATGTACCGCGGTCAAGTCTTAGAGCTTCAGCGAGCTTTTGAACAACGATTTGGGAGAGATATTAAGGGCAGGGTGCACTTCCATACTGTCGATGGATTCCAGGGACAGGAGAAGGATATTATCATCCTTTCTTGTGTCCGTGCTGGTCCCGGGGTGCAATCTGTCGGTTTCCTCTCGGGTATGATGTTTTGATCTGTATACAAACAAACAGCTGACGGCGTTCAGACGTTCGGAGAATGAATGTTGCCATAACTCGTGCACGTTCATCTCTCTTTATTCTGGGCCATGCGCCTACTCTCGAGCGAAGCGACGAGAACTGGCGCAAAATCGTACAGGACGCTCGCGAAAGGTCATTACTTACAGAGGTAGGTCCGACATTTACATTCTCCTTCGCTAGCAAAACTCACTTGAGATACAGGCGGATATTAGCTTTTTCACTACTCAAGCTGTGAATCCCGCAGTTCGCCGGCCTCCATCACCACCGAAACCCAAGAAGCAGCCAGTCGTAACTTTACCGCCTAGACCAGATGATCTGGTCACTCCCAAGAGCTTTACTGAGTCTAGTCGTCGACCTCCCTCCTCCAAACCTTCCCAGACGATTGAAGAGCAACCGTCGATGAAAGATCCTCCTGCGAACCTGACGATTCCAAAGGATATTGGCCAGAAGCGTCGTTTGGCTGAGAGTGTGAAGGGTGAACCTTCCACGTCTGGACCACAAGAAACCAGGACAATGCAGCCACCTCCGAAACGGTTCAAGAAGGAGAAAGGTAGCATCTTTATACCCAAGAAGAACAAGGTAATGTTTCTTTGGTTTTTGGTGATCGGCGCTCATGATCTATCAGCCTGGAAAGCCATAAGCGATCACTTGGATATCCCGTACTTTACTCTAGCAACATCATGGACCCTTATTGTATATTTTGGTGAATCTTTCGAACCAGCTATCATCACAGAGTGAAACCTTCGACGTATCCAAACCCGTTCCAACAACCCCTTGTATTATAAACGAATAATGGAAGGAAAAGCGTAAAATATGTATGTAAACAAAAACATAGAAAACTACAGCGCTAATGTACATGTAATGTAACAATGTGAATTCTTTGCAGCAAGAAAGAATGGAATCACAGTGGAGTTAAACTTGACATGGAGAAATTTGCAATGAAATAATGACAAGCTGGGGGCATCATGGGAAATGTGTGGCTTGCGGCCTGGGCTTCCTCCAATCTACATTTGGAACGTACCCCGATGACCCAGGAGGTATGCAGCACAAGACGTTTGCTGTTTCATCACTGGTCTTTTCATTCCGCAGGCTCGGCAACATCTGTGGCCACTTTTCGCGCTTAACAGCTAAAAAAAAAATTAAGTACGATGTTCACTGCAGAAAGTCAGTTTAACCTACCGGAAGAGTAGGCCCCGTCAAATTCCATCGTGCCATCATCGTTTAAGAAGTACGAGTGAGTTGTGACATGTCGGAACCCGTATCGTAGTTGGACGATGGGATGGAGCAACTGTCGCAGTATAGGTAAGCGACAGCGTTATCACATAAAAAATACAAAGCTTACTCTTACAAGCAAATCAGCCGCAAGTGAATCAAGCTGATCGAAAGCTGGGAACAAGTCGAGTGTTCCATAATGCTCGGAGCGCCAGGAAACATACTCCAATGTAGCGTTCTCCGAATCAAAGAGCACCTGGTGAAATGGTATCGGTAAAATAGCGACTAAGTAAGACGCAACACGTACCTTATGGTCCAACGAGATAAGTTGGTACAAGACGCATCCGAATGCCCACCAGTCCACGGGCACCCCGTACTTCATAGAATTTGGATTTTCCATGTTGCGCAGAATTTCAGGCGCCATGCAATGAATAGTCCCCTTAACGCTTGATGTATAACCCCGCCATGGATTCAGGGGCCTTGGCTCTTTGATATAGTAGCCGAGCCCGAAATCGGTGATGCGCACGTTTTGTTGTATATCGATTAAAACATTTTCCGCTTTAATATCACGATGGATGATACCCATGTCGTGTAAAGCGTTAATGCCCAGTGCCTTCAAGGTCGGAGCTGTGAGACATCGAAAACTAAGAACAAAACCTACTTACTAGTTGGGCACTCCATCGACGAGCATTCTCGATGCAGTATTCAGACTCATTGCGCATATAATACGTCAGATCGTAGGCCATCAAGTCCTGAAGATTTGCAATAAATTGAAACAGCTCAAAAAGCACACAGGGGAGAAGCGCGTACCATGACGAGATAGATGTCTTTTCTCGTCTGAAATGCCATTTCCAATTCCATAAGGAATATATTTGCAGGACGATATTCCGATGCCAGTCTCTTGTAGACTTCCAACTCCCTCCGAAGACTTCGGCCTGTGTACTGAAGTCTGTCCTTCCTGAAAACTTTGAGACATAGCGAGCGGCCCGATGCTACGTCTTCGGCTGCTACAGTTGTGGCGAAACCGCCCGCTGACAATCCACGCCAAACACGAAAAGGGCCGTTTACATATGATCGCCGAGGGAGTCGCGATGTGGAAGGCTTTGCTAAGCCTGGAGGGTTAGCCGGCTCGGGGTGAGGAGGGCGCACAGAGTCAGGGTAATTTAAAGTCCGTTCTGCTGTGTTGATATCCCCTGCGATATTAGATATGGTAGGGATGGGGAGAGGCCTGATGCCAGGCACGTTGGGCAGAGCAGTCGATAATCGGGGTGCTGATAGAGATGTAGGAGTAATCACATTCAGAGCAACCTTTGGGCCTAGACGGAGTTGATCACCAGGAAGCATAGTAATGACTAGTTATGAGGAGAAGGAGGAAATGATGAGAAGAAGGCATCGAGTGAACGTACTGCTTAAATGTTGTCTGGTAGGACTACAGCGCTTCATGAAATGATGAGCTTTGCATGTGAGTTTCTCATTGTCTTAAAGCATCCATAGCGTAAGGTGTGGTGGTCGAATTGTGCCACTACATCTAGCGTCAGTTACGAGGGCGACTAGCACGAGGGTGGAACTTGTGGAAGCTTACAATATGGAATGATCAAAGCATGTTGCTGCCACAGTTAGACGCCAATTATCGGCACACAAATGGATAATCCACTGCCCTAACTAAGTATCAGCGCGTTGTAACAGTAAATTGGCACACATCACCAACTGCGAAGCGTTCCATGAGACTTGCACTATCAAAACAACATGATACCGCAGAAACCTGCATCTCCGAAAGAATGTGAGTACTATGAGTACCGATAGCATAACCATCCGGTCAAGTGCTGGACGCTGTTATCGATATTTCTCATTCGTGCCGCGGGCCTTTCAGAATGGGTAATATTGTGACACAAGCCGTGCAGCGATGATGGCGATGGTCCTCGGCAACTCCCAGTTTGTGGACGTGTTCTATCATCCCTCGAGGTGTAAGTGCAGCATGCTTGATGATGACTCGAAAGACACGAAACAGGATAAAAAATCCAACAAGATACAAGCAAACTCTTAGGGAGGTTGATACCAGCGGCGAGCGAATGTAATTTCATGTGGAAAGACATTCGCTTGAAGATGTTTCATAGCTTTACTGTAGGTATGCTTGTGAAACCAGATCTTGTTCCACCTAAGTGGATAATATCATTATCCTTGTTGAATTATCGACAAAAGTCAAAAGTTTGAGAATGAGTCAATTTGCTTGTGGTGCTCACCATACTGATAGTCGACCTGTTTTACAAGCGAATGCAATGGTAAGGACACAGGATGCGGCAAGGAGAAACCTTACGCTGACTGGTAGGTGACTAGTACGCCAGCCACCATCGATTTATCGCATGACATTAAACAGCGCGTCTGCTATTTCTCCCCTCCTTTTCCACCCATGGGGCCCCAAGCAGCTGTTGTCGACACGGAGTAATCGGGCTTGCAAAAAGGTCTCTTCGGAAGGTCCTATGAAATATTGTTTGTATCCTCGTATCTCATGGATTTCAAGCTGATTGTCCTTGCTGTAAAGGTGGTTGCTGAAGATAGTCCCTGCGGTTTCAATACAGCTCGAAGCCACGGTAGTGTGTAATTTATGTTGAGCAAAAGGTTACTTCGCGTTGATCAGAGTGGTGTAACTACATCTTCGAGCGATTTTCGACAGCATCAGACGGAATGATGACGTTAAAAAGACGAAGAATTGACCGGGATATGATGGGTATGCATTGATGGCCAATCATGATAGAAGTTATTGATATGCAACTTGAACTTTGCACTTGAGGGCTAAGTTCTATAGATCACCTGACTGCACCCGCGCAAGAAGGCTTTCACAAAGTGGGAACTTGGAAGTGCACCATCACCCAACCTCAATCGATTATGATGAGTATTTGTCTACGATGCGCATAGACGGTCGCGTCAAGTTACCGAGAGCATATTAATTAACGTATCATTAGTGCGACTCTGAGGTATAATCAATCGCCGTTCTACAGGTGTGGTAAAACTTGACAACCCAAAGTGCAGGCATGTTACGTTCGCTCATGAATACTTCAGAACACGAAAAGCTTTGCAAAGCCAAACATAATTGCAATAGCTAGCCACATGACCAACGATGAAGACTTTTCAAATTTGTGTGGGAGGGAGGGGCCTTGAGCTTCAGCAACGGCGTCATCAATGTCAGCGATTTCTCGATAAAGCCTATTGGCTGTACTGTCTAGATCGTATTGCATACATATCGAATAATACAGTTTTATATCAATCACACCTTCACAGGAGGCAGCTCCCACTGATCTGGCCCAAACCGTGGTATAGACATCATGACACCGGCATTGTTTTTGGAAGGCTTGGAAAACGTGCACATACTCTGTTTTCCAAGACTCGACAGCCATGCAGGATTTATGATTGTGAGTCCTTGACGTTTGTCAGCATTTATTAGATTCGCAGCGGCAGCAACAGACCTTTGATCCAGGTCCGTGATGTTTGGACTACTTCAGAAAAGACGAGATAGTCTGGCGGAGGGCGATTCATAAGCACAGACGTTGGGTGGATGAAAACATCCTCGGGCACTCCCACCGCCGCATACGGGACGCCTTTAGCAGTTGAAAACTGCTTCCCACTAGTGTTTTTTTGTATCAGATCTTTCCGTACCGCTACTTGATCAATAAAGGCGGCAGCAAGTAGTTGACGGATAGCTTTTAGCTGAACAAAATGATGTCACCAATGGGAGAATGGTATGACAGGACACCGATTACCTGAGTGTCGTTGGGGGGTTTAATGTTTGTGTTAAAGCCGACTTCAGCGTTTTGAAAATTTGCTTCGGCAATGCTGCTTAGTTGTGCTCGCAGCTTGTGTATTTCTTCCATGGCCTATAGTCTCTCATTATTTTGCTGCGAGCTGGATATCATGACTATTAGACATACCTTTGGCCTTACAAAGTGGGCCTTACAAAACTGGTGACCCCCTCCGGAATACTCGTAGGCCCCGACAACCGAGAGTAATCTGAAAATGTCACTATTGAAGTTACCCAGCGAGCCATGAATCTGCTCAAGTGTTTAGCAAAATGCTGGACAACCAGGTGGAAGACGAGCCTGCTGAGACTCAAAGAATGTCCGCCGACGGGCCCTCATCGCCTCTTTCGCTCTAACGGAAGCGTTCTTGATGTGTCCCAGTCCTTCATCGTCACCATCAGACTCGCTATCGGCATCTAATCCCTCTTCGCGAAGAAAAGGGTCACCGACCGACATCGCTGCCACAATCGAGATCACATAAGGTAAACAACCATGTTGCTGACTCCCAACAAGCATTCGAGAGAAGCGTGGGGAAAGCGGGAACAAGCTCATTGCCTTCCCTAGAGGCGTCACTTGGCCCCCGATCGTTGACATAGACACCCCCGCTTGCGATACGAGAGGTGTACTACTGAGCGCGCCAAGACGAGTCAGGACCGTCTCAGCCTTTTTCAACACCTGCCTATCTGGAGGGGTTGGGAAAGGGAAGTTGACAACTGCATCAATGTTCATGCTTTTCATCTGCAAAACGACGCCCTCGATCGGCGTGCGCAGGATTTCAGGCTGTGAAAAAGACTCGAAATAATGCTCATAAAGAGCAGAGGAATAGAGTCTATAGCAGTGTCCTGGACCTGTACGACCAGCACGACCAGCTCGCTGGGCGGCGGAAGCCTTGGAGATCCAACTGACCTGGAAGGACTGAATTCCGCTCGCCATATCATAATGTCGCTTTATACACTGTCAGAGTATGCTTCTCACTATCGATCGAAATGCTCGTACCTCTTTCGCTCGACCAGAATCGATTACATAACGTATATTTGGTATTGTAAGGGAGGTCTCTGCAACATTTGTTGATACTACCACCAAACGATAGCCTGTTGGTGGTGAATCAAAAACTCGCATTTGTTTCTCGCTCGGCAAGAGCGAATACAGAGGGACGACATGCATTGGGACTAGATCCGTGTTGCTTGAGCTTGTCAAATATCAATATAAGAAAAAAATTACCATCACACTCCTCGATATCGATGCCAAGTTCAGCGTTGACCCCATCTTCGTCGTCACTATCAAGGCCTTCAGGATCTTCCTCCGCAAGATCTCCGTCCACATCGAGTGCTAACTCCTGCTCGTAAACGCCAAACTCGATATCCTCGACCTCGATGTCGGCTGCAAGTTCCTTTTGAGATAAATGATTAGACCACCACTTAAAATTCCTCACCATGAAGCGGAGTAATAGGACAGTGAGCTTCACTGGTAACGGATTCTGCAAAAACAGAAGAAGCTTGAATAACTTGTCTCCTCTTCTTTCTTGCTTCCAGAGCTTTTCTGCCATATCGTGCCTCGAGCTTTTTGCAGACGCCCAGAATTTCATTTTGCCCTGTCAAGAATATGAGGATACCTCCCGGTGGCAAACGAGCATGAATCTTGGCCGCTTTCTTGACCGCTTCGCGCACATAGTCAGAAGACGTCCGTCGATTGAAGTGTATTGTTACAGGGTGTTGGCGAGCATCAACGTTGACAACCGGAGGCGGCGACGAGAACAGCGTCTGATTCTCTGCAAAGTCGCCGACGCGTAGGGTCGCCGACATGATTATAAGCCGTAGTGGTTTCATACCCTCTGAGCCATCCTTCCACATTTGTTCACGTAGCTTGATTACCCGACTAAGGACGCCGATCAAGATGTCGGTGTTCATACTACGCTCATGCGCTTCGTCGATGATAATCACCGAATATTTTGAGAGTAAGAAATCGGTAGCAAGTTCACGCAAAAGTACCCCATCGGTCATGAACTTGATCGTAGTTGAAGGAGACACGGTTGCATCGTATCGGATCTGGTACGACACGCGGGACGAGGTCAAGGATAGTTCACGAGCCACTCGAGACGCCATTGACATTGCCGCAACTCGCCTTGGCTGCGTAACGCCTATCATTCCAGGGTTTTCTGCGTCACCAGTATCAGTCATCATGAGATATACTTGTATGAGCAAAATAACCTCCAGTAGGATTGCCAAAACCGGCTTCGTAGAGAAATTGTGGGACCTGGGTAGTCTTTCCGCTACCAGTTTCACCGCAGATAATTACCACTGGATTGAACATGATGGTTTCCATGATGGGCTGCTCTTCTGCAATGATAGGCAACTGCATCCTCGACTCCTGGATATCAAGGGGACGAATAACGGATACCGACTTGATGCTTCTAGAAGACGCAGAAAACGTTTCTTGGGTTTTCGTCATGCGTTCTGCAAAAGATGTAGAAGGAAGCTTGAGGTCTTCACCCAGGGGACCGCGCATTGAATTCGGCTGTGACGACATTGACTTTGGTTTTTGAGATGGAGGTGGGGCTGGGTGCTCGATTTCGAGCAACGATGGGGTCCCTTCAGTTATTACATGACCTTTTGCTGTGTTGAGCTGTCTTACGGCCCAGTCCTTAAATCCAAGACGTTTCTTTGCAGGTGGAGGACACTCTTCGTCCTCATCTGAACCTACTGCCGAGATGTTTTCTTCTCGATCTTCATTGTGCTGTTCTTCATCGGTATCATAGGCCGAATCAGAGCTGTCAAATGATGATTCTGATTCCTGTTCTGAAATCTCTGTCTGTGGCACCCTTCTTTTCCAGCTCGGAAAAGAGGCCTTCTGAGAGAAAATGTCAGTTCGAAAGTTCCTCGGTCAGGGCGCACGTACCATTCGACTCTTTCCATTCTTTTTATTCACGACTAGGGGCGCCACAACAGAACCATCAGGATTCCGTTTGAGCGCTCCACCAACAGCGAAAGTGGATAAAGCTGGCTGCGAGACTGTCGAAGCCAAAGTAGGATCAAAGAACTCCTTCGTCACTGGACCCTCATGTTCATCATGCTGTGGTGTCTGATCAGCTGTCTCAACAAAGTCATCCATCGCGTCAGATTCGCCCTCGCTATCTCCGTATTCATGAATAGTGAAATCGTTATGGCGCCGTCGACGCTTATTGGGATGGCCCTCCATAGCACGACGTACTTCCTTGTCTTCTAGCTTATCCTGGCGTTCCCGAGCTGTAGAGGTAGCTCCTGTACCAAGAGTAGACGATGATTGAAGATCAAGGCTTGAAGTTTGAGCTTGCGTCTGGCTATAAACCTCTGTGGAGATGCGACAATAAAATGTAGAAGCTTGACATACGCTAGCTTCTCAAAAATTACAAGTCTCTCTTCTTTTCTTAGCTTTTTCTCCTACGGGAACCGTTGTACGACTCTTCTGGAAGGTAAGGAGATTGACGCACAACATACTTTTCCAGCCTCTTTCGCTTCTGTCTCGATACTTTGGATTCTGACTGTGCTGCAAGCTTCGGCCTGTATGAGCATCTTCTAGCCTTCAAAAATGTGATGGACAGACCTCCTTCACAAGCCTCTCTTTTCTGTCGCGCTCCTTATCTTCGAGTGATTTGTATTCAAGGATCGCAGCGTTGGGATCAGGTAGTGCATCGGTTGTAGTGGCAATACCGTTGCTTTTACGACGTACCTTCCCCTTCTTCCTCGAGCCTGCTGTAGACCGGCGAGCCTTAGAATTGTGTCGCTCATGCTTAAGGTCCATGAAGCGTCAGGCTGTCTTGGTGAAAGTTGTAGCATAGACTTTTTTGATGATGATAAAACGGTTATGTAATCAGGGGCGGACTGTCACTTTAATACTTGTGAAGTCCTACACACTGACTATGAGTGGCGCACGATATTTTAGCCGTAAATGATTGCATTATGAGAAAGAGAACCCTTGCAAGCAAGATAAGTATGGTATACACCAGCGCACATGGTAACTAGCCTAACAGAAGATAGTAGAAAGAGATAGATGCTCTCAAAGCTTGGGAATAGAACGAACGCTACAGATGGTATACTTTTGGATCACATCAGCCAAAAATTTGTCGAAAATCGCGAATGCTGAATATGAAACTAAGGTGAGGCAACGACGAGGGCGTTAAAGTTATATGTCGCTTGGGCTAGCCTCAAAAGTGAAGTCTGTTGCCTGCAGATCAATGACGGTCTGCCCTCCTCGGGTTAGTGTACCATGCATGGTCCCGCCTGCTTGGATGGGTACAGCTAACTTCGAAACGCCGGCCGGGACGTTAAAAGTTTGTGATTGACTGGAAGATGTCGAGAGTACGACTGTGGCAGGGGAGGTTGCCAGGACCACAGCCCAGACATTGTCTGAAGTCTAGATTTATCGTAGTTGAGATAAGCACCCTGATATTAACGAAGCACATACGATCTGGTAATTGGTTGGTCTTCCAACTGAGTCGCTTGACGCAGAAGCCGAGGCAGGATGTGGCCGCGACCACATTATGAGCTGGTCTTTGGCCGGAGTAGAGTATGATCCTGTCTTGAAGGCTGAGGCGTAGTAGGAGGTGAGATTGAGCCAGCCTAAAAAACTTAAGTTACCATCGGATCGTTTGCACAGACTAGAAAATACACACCAGTGTGATCATTACCATCAACCCATGCTTGACTCATGGGCTGGGCGCCCTCGATCGGACCAATATAGTGCGACTCTCCGTAATCGTTCCAAGAAATGATTTGCACTATATCTACTTGGTCGCGGATCTTGATCAATGACTCCCACCGAGTAGCGTATAAATGATCATCGCTGAGGTAAATCCACTACAGGACCTTTGTGAGTGTCTGCAACATATACGACGGAAAGGCGACCCACATTTTTATTGTAAGTTGACGGACCATAATGGGTAAAAAACCATGGAGACACAGCTGCCATGTACGTTTGGCCGCCACCCATTGCACTCAAACTCGAGATGTATGTCTCGTCCGGACTTGTTGACCCGATGACACTAGACAATAGAGAGCTGACGGTGGAGGATAGACCACTGCTGATGTCTCCGAGTAGACCAGGTATGGACGATACAAATGAAGTCGTGACTTGGATTGGCCATCCGGAATTCCACTGATAACAATTAACTTTATGCAAAATGTGATACTGGAAGAACCTACGTTGAACATGCCATTAATCACTCCATTGTAGGTATTGAACTGTGATGGATCGACAAAAAATGATGGCACAAAATGAACTGCGGAAGATCCTGTTAATTGTTGCACAAATTGAGTAGACCATCCAGAAGCGACGGATCCCTGTCCAAAAGTGCAAGTTTCGCCGGAGAAAGTTGAGGCCATCACGCGGCCATTGTAAAGCAGCTGATTGGGGTGCGCAGCATAGGTAGTTATGTAAGTACGAAGAGTTGCAGCATCGGAAGCTGTGGTACAAGGCAAAGACCTGTACGAGTGAGGATTGGCTGAAGAAGTTAAACCGAATAACCAACTTACGTCATATCAAAGGACATGAAAAGCTTGAATCCAGTTCCAGACTGGAGAGCTGCTTGGTAACTATGAATTTGCTGAATCAGGAGTCTATTACTGAGTTAAAAATAGGGACTTACGCATTGGCGACCTGCGAAGGCTGCCAAGAATCCGATCCTACATTCAGAGCAAAGCCGTCGATTCCACTGGAATGCGCAAGCAAGATGTCCGCAAGCCAATTATCCACTGTATAGGGGTATGAATTTCCGACCATGAAGTGTGCAACAACATATTTTGATGATACAGAGGGGGGGCTTGTACTACTGGGCGCCTGGGAAGTCGTTGTCATAGTTGCCGTGAAAGAAGAACTTGTAGGCGTCGTGCTGGACGGCGGTGCGGCAGACGAATTGACGGCAAGTACAGGGTGTACAGCGGGTTTGTGTGAAAATTGGTGGTTAAAATGGTTTATGTGTCGGCCAATCCCCAAGGGAGAAGCCAGGGAAAGAGCGACAAAAGAAAGAAAAATGAGCGGAAAGTGCACGAGCATTGCTGGTGACACCACGAGTCAAACGAGTGTTAGGAAGTGAGTGGAAGCCTGAAGGTTAATAAAGAGTTTGCGGCGCAGCCGCCAGGGTCCAATTTAAAGGATGCTGGTAAGGGATTAGAGGGAAAAAAGGTTTGGGCTCATTCCTATTATATACTAACATACGGCGCTTGATCCTATTTAATGGACACAGAACGTCAAAACGAGCACAACTTGAGAACAATGACAACGGTCCGCCCGGCTACACCAAGCTTATTGTTCCATGTGATGCATCACGTGACCTCGGCAATGTCCATCACACGAACTTCAAAAACTTCGACTTGGATACGGTTGAACGACCGGACTTTTACTCGAGCGAATTGGCGATAGCGATGGCTCATTAAGTCCCAACGTGCGACGACATCGTTAGGCCAAGCATTTAATTTGTGTCTTTATCGTTGAGTTCTTCACCAGGCACGGTTGTGAGCGCACGTTATGCCCTACACAAGCGGCGTCGACCATTCTCCATTGAAGCGTGTGGATACCGGTGTCCTTTGGAACAAGCAAAATCAATGTCTCGATCAATCGCATCACTTATCGTACCAGGGTCATGCCCTCTAACGTGCGGTTACCACTTTGGCCTGCGTAATGCCTTCTTTTGGTGTAGGGTATTCTTTCCTCTCGCACCCCTCACGACCTGCAGGTCCTCGAACTTCCTCTTCGCATATCGTCGTGCTTCTGCATCATCGACTAACTCATCGACCAAAGTTCTCTTGCGATGAGCACGAGGAAGGTTATCCGTACTTGCTGTGCCAAATGGCGTGTTTGTAGTCACAATGGTGCCAATCTAGATCAAAAATAAGCCTGTATGATACAATATATTGTGTTGGAAACCTACAGCAAAATGTTTCGGTAGTCCTTTGATACCCTTCCCATCCCCGTCGTCCTTTACGGTAGAAGCGCTTGGGATCAAGTTGATTGCGCAGGCGAAGAGCTTCGACTTCACGGTGCAATCGAGGTAGATCGGCTTCAGCGGGCGCTGGAAGGTCAAACCAGCTTGGACCAGCAGTCTGGTTTTCCATCTAAAAAATACTCGTCCATGGGTCCTTCAGTTGATAATAACAAAGTGAAACTCACGGCTTTTCGTTGTTTTTTAGTTGAGGCGAGCGTTGGTTTTGGAGGGGGTGCAGGAGCAACGGTTCCAGAGGTGGCTGCTTCTGCGCTGCTGGATGTCTGGGTCTCGTATAGTCGCAGGGGCGTGACGTCGATCTTTCACGAATTCAAAATATGCAGGCGGAAGTTCCCCTGGATCCAATGGCGGCAATGGCCTGTAGTGAGACTCAGCAAATGATGAAGCATGTTCTTCATAACACGCAGTACCTCTCCGATTCGTCACCATCCAACTTGATAATATCTTCTCCAGCATCCAAACACATTTTCCCGCAATGCTTTTTTCATTTTTGCTGACTCTCGAGCGTTTGATTTTGCTTTATCCAAGAGGGACTGTAAATATTCTTGAGTGATTTCTTCATCGTCCGAGTCGGAATCCGAGTCGCTATTGGAGGATGAATTTGAACTAGAGCTCGAAGAAGAGCTTTCTGAAGCCAGGTCTGAATCGTCGAAAGAGATGAAGTCATTTTGGGTAGCCTTCTTTTTCCCTTTATCTTTCGCTGCTATTGTGTTTCCTGGAACTACTGCAGGCAGGATCGACATAGCAGTCTAATGTAGGATGTATGTTTGCCAGTGCAAGCTAGAAGTTGGTACAATGCGTAGCTTACATAATGTCAGGCTCTGAATTAGCATATGACATAGAAGACTTGATTTTTGTCACATCGATAGAACGGGTGCTAAATACTGACTGAGCTTTACATTCATAAAACCTCCGAGGATACGCGCGATCTGTGATATCTGCAGTTGGACAATTCAAAGCGGCGGAACATTGAAATGGTACGAGTCCTCACATGGTCTAGGCACAGATGCACCAGGCACCAATGTAAGAGAAGATTGACCGTTACAGATCCACAGACGACGGACGCGAGTAGTGTCGATGACTTGAATGATGAGTAGTCATGACACTGTATTCCCATCGCACTCGAGTATCAAGAAAAGCTCTCACATGTACCGTAGGCTTGCCAACCGCCAAGAGGATTCTGGGATCACAGTAAACTTGCGAACTCACGAGTTCACTCAAATCGAATCGTGTTGGAGGATGAAGCTGGCTTTCAAGAATTTTGGCTGCATGATGATTCATTTGAAACGTACAATCGTCATCCCATTTTTGTCGCATCCAAGGACGTGCATCCACACATTTGCAACACCATCTTCTTCGCATCCAACTTGCATTCCATTATCCTTCAAGACGATGTATTCTCTTGCTGGGGTCTGTATGACGGCAAGAGCCGAGTGCAATGGTACACCTTTTGGTGAGGTAAGGTGAACGCTCTCAACATGATGATGGCTGTGAAGAAGTCTTGAGAGTACTGAGCCAAAGTATAAAATTACTGCGTACGCTGGTAGGTAAAGGTTTATCTTTGGTTTTTCGCTTCTGATAGTTGCAAGGGTCACTTGAGATGGCAAACCTGCGAATTCTTGCGCCATCTGATTAGATGACATCCACTGGCCACTAATGCTGTTTGCCGACTGTCAATATGTTCCAAAGAGAGCCATCTCATTCAGTGGCTCACCTATTGGCAACCACACACGCCAGGACATATCGCTCGGCGACCACCTTTTTCGACAAGCCGACATCGTCTTCACCAGAGATGCGGCGCAGCCAATGCCTGCTTATTCCTCTGTCATATTCCTCGTAATTCGCCCATCGAAGATTCTCTGAGATCGAGTTACGTGGCCCCGCAGAAATACCAGTACGAGATGATATGTATCTTGACCAGTCAGCACGCAAACCAGAGGAGTAGACTTCAGATTGAGGAGCGTTGAGTGCCCGGCCAATGACTTCGCAAGTGGATTCCAGCACGTAGAACTCGGATAACGAATTTTCGTCTCGAATCGTGATGGCCCAGATCTCACCTTTCACAACTTCTTGGGCATCTTCCACAGTTCTTTTTAGCCATGCTGTTGGATCTCGCTCACTTGTTGTTCCGACAGAGAGCGTGAACCAAAGTCTTGTAACGATAAACCTGAACCTAATGCTTCACTGTGCTTTGTCCTGAACTAAAGACAGCATACCTCAGCGCCACAACCACCTGCTTCTCATCATCTGCGCTCGCCCAGAGACGTGCAGACAGAGGGTCTATTCCAAGCGAGGAGTTGTACCTTCCAACCCAAGAATTTTGAAACGCATGTCTCCAGAAAGTCACTTCGTTCTGACGCTGACGCAGGTAGGGCCACATATTTGTTGTGTTTTGTGGATGGTACTTCATTATTTGGTTTAGACGGCGACCATGATACTTCTGTGTGAGTATATGCATGGCAGAAAGGTATACTATATGGGAATATCGTTAGAGACATGTCAAACCTCCAGATTGTATCCTGCCTGCATATCGAAATGTCCGAGAGACCAGGGTGCAAGTCTGGCGATCTCGATCAGTGAGTGCAGAAAGGATTACTGCCCAGCGTTGAACCCGTTTTCTGTCGGATAGCTTAGGTGGAAATGTAATATTTGTTAAGGATGGTATCAAAACGGGAGCAGCCTCAAGGCCAAAAGTACCGGGGGGTGTAGAAGTAATTTCGTCAGCCCTGTGGTCGTTGTGGAAGACTCGCTGGGAGATTCCTGATGTGCTGGCGATAATTGGAGTTGTTGTAAAAACAGGAGGTTTGAATCGGCCCTGAAGGTTTGTTGTAGAGCCTTTCTGGACAAGGTTAATATTTCGAGGTTGAGTGATGATAGGTACTGCGTTTGATGAAGCACTCGGACCAGCGCGCGCCTTGAGGGTTCCAGTAGCCGTGGGTAACTTCGTACAAATTGGAGAGGAGTTGGCATCACAGACAGCTACAGCATTCACAGCAGAGGACTTTTGTCTTTTTGTGGACTCGAACATAGCAGAAACACGGGGCCGTTTCGTGCTCTGGCTCACGGTGGGGGCGTCATGGCTTGATGGAGCGACAGCAGCCGTTGGTGATGTACAATAGTTGGCAGCTGAGTGATCCACCGGACCAGACACAGGCAGTGCTTTACGTAGGGCAGATTTTTCGGCGGATGTAGCAGTGAGGTCCTTGTTTATTGTCTGTGCATTACGAGTATGATTGAGAACAGTAACTCCAGTGGAACCTGCAGGAACTAGATCGGCTGGATAGCCTGCGTGTTCTGGTGCCATTGTTTTCGATATTGATGGTTGGATTGAAATGACACCCTGAGGCTGAGGGTCACCACGGGCAGCATCATAATTAGTTAATTTCAGGAGCAGAACAGCTTTTCCGAGTTTCGAATACCCGACAATGCGACGTTCTTTGCACAACGCTTTGAGCTGAGGGACTGTGAGCTTTGCGAGGTCGCCGGCTGACGTATTAGACATGGTGAACGGCCTGCAGAGTGAGCAGTTTTAGTCAGCAGCTGACTCCTGGCCTGAGCTTTACGTAACATTATTACTTGGATCATGACTCATCAACGCCTCGGTTCCTCAAAGCTCCCGAATTAAAGGTAACTAACGTGCGTAAGAAAGACCTTGAAAACCCTCCGATGCATCTCTTTCACTGCCCTTGTCCTTCTCCGGTGACTGATGGCCCGTGCGTTTTAGTGCCCACCCTTATATGACCATCATCCCCGCCTTCCCTCCGCCAAACTTATTCTACTACCTTATTCTGCCGACAATGCCGCACACGTCGTCATCACAAAGTTATTCGACTTATCTCTAACCTCAACTGCGTCTCCTTATCCTGCGCGTGGTCTTCTTTGGTAAGTGACCAAATTTAGTTCCTTGAGTCATCCTTTGTCTCATGCGATTGAGGGCTCCGGATATCTTCCTCCTAGTATTGGAGGGCTGCGCGGAGTCAGCGTGAGGTTGAAAACCTCAAAAAGGGGTCCAAGCACAGCACGGAAGGAAAAGAAGTACTTCGAAAAACACGCGACGCGTGCGCTCAGCACAAGGCACTGTCGATGCATATGACAGCCTGGATGCTATTTTTGACCCCAAAACAAAAATACTCGATGAACCCCGAGCGAATGTTTGATTCAATATTGCTGCTGCAATTATCAGAAACACTCGTGAATTGTGTCGCTTTCGACTCTGATTACCAGAAAATTAAGCTTGATATTACGACGAGAGCATTACTGTTTGATGTGTCGAGTTAAGTTCCAGTAGACGCCTGCGAGAGAGAATCAATAGCTGATCCGCAGGATGCTGCTATCGAGAAAACTTAGGGTTTTAAGACCAGAGCTCGAGTTGGTTACTGGCCGGCCGCAGCGTCGTTGTACTAGAGGAACGTGGTGATGGTAAGGGGACAATGAGAGCCTGTGTTGATGATATGAAGACAGAGTTCAGCCTTGTAAAGTTTTTGTTACCTGGCGCACTGCACTTACAAGCAGTAGATGCGGCAAACGTAAACGTTGCGGAATCCATGCAGTTGCAAAACGAGTACAAGGAATGCTGCAGAATTCAAAGTTAGCGCAGAGTGCTTGCGTGTGTGCTGGGCTCACAACATAAAATGTACCGTAAGCTCCCTGCAGGCGTCCCTCATCTTTACATGATTCGGCAATTTGCGCAAATCAATACGTTCTGACAAGGCACGCCGAAGCACCCTGCATTAATGTCCGATGTTCACTGGGGCTGATCCGGCTCTGTTGAGTCTTTAAACGGCAATTTTATATCCCCTGCTTTTTGATCTCAGGGATGATAATCGCACCTTCAGGTTCCAGGAAACATAAACAATGATGTTTTTACACAGCCCAGGGATTGCACATGTGTAGCACTGATGAGGGCACGTTCTGTCGAACAAATAAAGAGGTGACTTGAAGGAGATCAATCATCAATACAAGGAGCGTGTGAACTGATACATGGTCTAAATATTTGTAAGCCAAGTTGGTTCGCAGGTGCCCTCTTTGGCTAGCGCAACGTTCTTCAATCGTACTGTGCCTCGACCTTTCATGACACTAAGGTTTGCGACTAGTGTATGACATCTCGGAACGAAGACGACGGGCCTCCGAGGATGTCCAGGCGATGCCTGTCGATGTCAGACACATACTCGTACCAAGGTGCGGGTCTTTCCGCGGGGTCAAGTACTGGAGACATGTCAGTTCTTCCTTTTCATCAGAATGCCAGTGCCACATAACGTTCCTTCATAAGAACTGAACAAATGTTCATTGCCATCGACGCCAGATTCTGGGCACATAACTACGAAGTCTTAGGATCGGAGCGAACATCGGTGGATCAAAGGACATCATCAGGTGCACCACGAGCTGGGGTAGGTGCGGCAGCACCATCTTTTTACGTTCATGCATTCGCACCCGCGTCTCTAAAAGGCAGTTTCACACGACGAGATTGTTCTGTAAGGTGCATTCACCCTGATTGCAACTTTCAAGATCGAACAAACGTTCAAGTTATGGTACCGAGGCAAGTAACAGTTACCCGCACGATGCAAGTCCAAATCTGCAGTAGGGCGACGTTGCTACCGTGACTTACCCTTATCAGTGGAGAGCCAAGTTTTTTTAATTCACTGTAAGTCTGTTTGAGTTTCGAAAGTGCCATTTTTTTTTATTTGATCTGCCTATGGCAGAACTGGAAGTCTGGGACCATCATCATTTATGATCATACATCGGTTTGCGGCGTTGAGCTAGGTAAACCTTGTTTTGTCACATGCATTGTAACAGATTTATTCTTTAGTAATTAACGAGATTTGCCAGATTGTCAAAGTCTGGTACTATGTACTACTACGTACTAGCTAAGGACGCTTCCGACTACTTGAAGTCCGGAAGCTGACGAGTGCAAAAACAACACCACGTGCTTTAAACTTTTCCGCACCGGCCCCGAGCGCTCAATTTCCATTCTTTCCGGATCAACTGCTAGCACTTTGTCTCATCTACTGTTAGGTCACACTTTGAGGGTCGAGAATCAAAATTTTCACTCCACACGTGTGCGTGGATCTTTCTGATTTTTGTATTTGATCAGCCTTTTACAAATGGGTAGTACGGCTGCCTGTCCTCTCGAATGAATACAAACCAACATGTTGATGGTTTCCTATGTGCAAGGGCAAATGAAGTCTTGTCGCCGTTCTCTGTTGTCACGGTGTCGCAGGCGCCTGTTGCATGTTCCCAATACCCATACTCTTCAATGCGATCGGTTGCTGATCGATCCATCTCCGCAGGCCCACTCTATCATCCAGATGCAATCGATCGCAAATGAATCGTACTCATTTAGCGCTATGTGTAAGTTATGTTCGCAACGGCGCGCTTGCATTTCGCACTTCTCGGGACGTTTTCCAGAAAGATACGACCGTCGCGTCAAGAATCCCGCGGTGATTTCATTCCGTTCTTTGCGAATTAGAGTGAACTACGATCTCATGTCATTTTTACCACTCCGGTAAGGACGCGCATCCAAACTCTCACATATCATATTGACATCTTTACCCAACAGTGTGTGGTTATCGTTGTACATGCGGACCTTTTGTAGCTGCTCAAAAAAGGTTATGTGCATTCCACCCCTCGAAATGATATATGCAAGATGATCAGATCTTTGACACGCTTAGATTACTATTATAGTAAGAACTATATTTGTTGCCTCCGGATATTGTGACTGATGCGAGTATAGAGGCATATCTGGTCATAGAACACCCAGGATGTCGAATGGTCGTGCTTCTCTCACTCGCCCTCTCGTTGGGTATATGCAAAGGGTATCAAAGGGTATATACTATAGATCTAATAAATACGACGACTAAAGGCTACAGGGTACGTAAATCCGCAAGAGTAATAAGTTATGGATGCTACAAATATTTTGAAATATTCAGGGATTCCTCGAATTCCGACATGTAACCTAATTTACTCCTACGCTTTCTAAGTAGTATGGAACTTGATCTATGTTCGAATGAATGAGCGACAGGTCGTTCCATTGACACTGCGTGGAGAATGAGACATGCCGAAATTGCGAAGGGGTGGGTTGAACCAAACTCCAGTCGCCTCCACCGCCGACAGCATGGTGAATCTCTGTCTGAGTATAACCTTGATACTCCAGCATCGAGCTCGTCGCCGATGCGTCTGACATCGGGCTACTATTCCTTGTCCTTGATACAATGGCGTTTGCCCATGTCTCGTTGTTGGGAATCACAAGAGGTTCTAGGAGTGTCTATGAGAACCCGTCACCGACGGCTCAAAAAATGCATACCATAAGAAGTGTGAGACTCCCGTTCAGCTTCATAGGGTGACTCGGATGCTGACGAGAATTCCAAGGGTGGGAGTGGTTCATGCCTAGAAATTTCGCCATCATGTTCTCTTGATAACTCCCGCAGCAATTCTGCAGCTGTGAAGGGGATCAGTGATCATGCAAGCAAAACATATTTCAAAACGGGCATACCTTTCTTCAAGGTTTCGCGCCTTGTCTGGGGAGTTTCCCCTGTGATCAAGCGAATCGCTGTTTTGAGTTCTTGGAACCCATCCCCCTCTTTGACTCGATACTGCCTCTGCGATGCAATTTTGCTTTGCTTCGGTACGGGACGCTGGTAGCTTTGCGCACCGCGGTAGAGCTGCATATTTGCAATCGCGCAGGAGTGAGTCTACATGTGGAGTTAGAAGCCTGCTTTTTATACCATCCTCTACCCTGTTTCGTAAACTGTATTTTTTTGGACTGTTAGCCCTTACTCGATCTCGAGATCTTCGGAACTCATTGTTTCTAGCGCCTAAAGGGTTTTAGTACACATCATCATCTCGGCGAGCACAAGGTTTGATCTTGTCTTTCAAGTTGAGTTGGATCTTATGATCTGAATAGACAGGTCAATCAGCCACTACTTACGAAATGTGATTTCACCGATCTGAGGACATCGATGCCTACGTTGCTCAGATTTTAAAGTTTGAACGGTCTTTCACCTGTGTATGCATAGCAATCCATCCGACGGGTAGAATCGCTACCGGAACACGACTTCATAGGCGAGAAGCGATTCCAGCATAATCGCTCCTGCATTTCGCCACAGCGAAAATCATTGTAGAGTCAGCGACTCTGGTAGAGATATTAACTGACATGTGTATTAAGTCATTGATGGAAATGATCAAGGGCAGCTGTGGGACAGGTGTGGCGTATTCGAGGCTGTACATCTTCACCCGTTATGCGTATTGGACGTGCAGATCAAGTACACTTTGACGTTGGGCAGCCGGGCCTGAGGCCTGAGCCTGATTGGCCCGGATAATTCCAGGAGTCTCGTCACCTGCGAATTGAATTCGAACCGGGTTCGTCTGTCCAGTATATTCCGATGGGTCTAACCGTGCAAAAAGTCTGGCTATGCGCATTCATTCTTGAGACACTCAAGAACCTTACTTGCTCCAAATTTCCTGAGTAATTCGAACGCAGGGACTTCCATAACTCCGTGATGCTATGCTCATGTCATTCAACACGTAAGTGTCTTTGATAAGTAGTACCAAGCACATGGACTTGTAGCCACAGTCAGTCGAAAGCCCCCATTTTTACTGGAATAGGCAGATGATGATCCAGTCTGATCAGAAAGGGTTTCTTCGCACAATAATTTTATGCGACGGCCACCGACACATAATGATGGAACATTGTGATTGGTCGTGTCCAAAGGAAGCCAAGTGCGCTTTTTGTCATGAAATCCTGTGATAGCAAGTAAGGACCAACTCCACTTACCTTCTGCTATGGCGTCACGGTTGGCCAACGGTATCCGAGCTGCCGAATTGATGACGAGCGAAGCTGCGCCGCGACTACTATGGATTCGAAATACTTGGTCGAGTTAACAACACTCTTGACTCTGATTATAACAAGTATCGGATCCTCACCGGCAGCAAGTGCTGTCATTTTTTATCATCGGTTGTTGTCCGCTGAGGTCAAGCCCTCAGGCTATATCGGACACTACCTACCAAATAGACCCAATGACGCGTTTGTATGTATCTTTGTCCGATATCTATGCTCCCGGCTTGCAGTGACGAGGACACGAAGGCTCTTGATATGATAATGGGTATTGTCACTATGACTCTTTCTCCTCCGAGGGATGTCTTGTATGGTCATTCTGGGGCCGCACCTCCGTTCCCGACGCGCGTACACTTGATTTGTCCAGGCCGAACATTTGATACTTGCAGTGACCTAGTCTCTTACCCAGTCATCGAAATCGGAAATAATTTTTATTCGAACGTGGTGGGAGTAGAAACTAAGGCAATGCCATCATTGCCGACACGGGAAAGAGCGACTAGATGACGATATGGAGATGTAAAGCGCGTTACTATTGGAAAAACTGACCCAGGATGTTAATCGCCTCCGGATCCTTTCCTCGATATAATTGTAAGCGGCTGATACCGATATCTATCCTCTTATGCCCAATGATTTCCTTGGGAGAACGGTGCGGCTGGTGCGAATAATTTTCCCCCAGAGAAGCAAGTCCTTTACTGAAGGTTTAGTCTAGTCTGGCAATCCGCGATGATAGCAGACTTTAAACCAGTCGGCTTAGAGAATCTTGATCCTAAAATTAGCCACGCCGTGCAAATACAACCACACAACCTACTTGGGCCTAACTTGCGGTCCGTATAATCTTAAATCGTGAACGGGTTTCCGACTGACCGGCCCACCGAGTGCTTTTCAATGAAAATTTGTTGAATAGTTTATTTCCTCTAGTTTATTTCTTAAGAATATACTGCTATATAATTAGGCACACTGACCATGAAGAAGCTGCTTTATAATTATCAGGAGCAGTAGATGATCCAACTTACAATTTTCCAGACATACGAAAAAGATACATTTTGGTGGGTATTCTAATATGTTGAGATCGTAGCTAGTCAGTCCGTCATGTATGTCTGGTCTGTCGTGGTGTGGCAATATAGAACGTCGTACAAGCGGTCATCATAGAAGAGCAGTAGAAGATATAAAGAGCCAGCTTCGCAAAAGAAAAAAAAAAGGGGGGGAAAGGATCATGACAACGCCTCAACTTAACAGGTTTTCGAAAGCTGTCGAGATAGCTGGCCGAGGGTCTGGAAATCGCCGAATTGTCGTGCTAGCCAGAAAGGCAAGATCAACCGAAAATCGTTATGTAGGTTTATAATAGATGGTCGTGAGATACTGTAGCTTCATGGTCAGCAATCGTGATGGACGTCATGATACGAAAATGTAAACCTTCGTGCGATATCGTGTGGTATTACCCACGGCCAAGACACCGTTGCGAATTGCACTGGTACTCAAGTGGTGTAAGACAACATGAGATGGAACAGGGAGAACGCTAGCATCATCACTGAGCCCAGGACCATCAAGACCTAACCGAGTATGCGCGGGGGCTGCCAGATGCGCACTGGTTACATCCGTGCCACTGGCCGTAGTAATAGGAATGGCAGGAGCTTCTAATTCTGCGGTCCTCTCCTCTTTGTGAAGTTCACGAGCAACGGTGCTCGTCATTCCCAACAGGGATCGTCCCTGTCGTCGCTTGCTTTCGCGCTCCCTTTCGCGTTCACGTTCACGATCACGTTCCCTACCCCTGTTACCTGCGGGAGACTGCCCAGGTTTCGCATTTAGTATCAGTTTATCAAGATGCCGTGGCAGTCCAGGAGCAGGTGGAATGTTGGGAGTAGGGACATATTGATAAGGTGTCTGATCGTACTCGGGGCTAGCTGTATACGCTAGGTAGGCTTCTTCCTCCCGAGCAGCTGCAATAAGCCCTGCGGGGATATCATCCGTCCATTTGGCAAGCGTACCCTTTGGATCGCTTGCATCCATAACGGAACCGTGAGTAGAGCTTGTTGTTGACCAGAAGGAATGCGCATGAGGGTGTGGATGGCGCCCCGGTGTAGCACCGGCAACAGACGACACGTGGGGTGGAGTCAAGCCGGAGATAGGAACAGCGACGTAATTTGCAAGACTGCCTTCATCATCAACGGCAGTAGGCAAGTCATCTGCTACCCGCCACTGTTCGTCAACGATGAATCGAATATGATGAGTACCAGGCATGAGTGGTACCCGTGCGGACCATGATTTGTCACTCGATGGATCGCTGGCAAGTTGTTAATAGAAGGGCAAAGGCTTCCGAGGAGACGACATACTCGGGCTCCATAGCCAAACGACCTTTCCAATTGTCGTCTCCAGCACGAACTAAGACAACACTTTTCCCACCACCATTCCATGTTATCTTTACAGAGACAGTTTCTTTTGGTTCCTCACGTGATTGATTTGGTCGATCCATGAGTTGGCCGTTCTCCCCGTCGGTGTCAGCATTCGCCGATTTAGCTATCTCCTCCTCCGCTTTGTGAAGGGCAAGTGGGATGGTTGAATGGACGGTCTCCTGAATGAAACCAGGTGGATCAGGTTGCTCAGATTCCTCAATCTCACTTTCGGCATAAAGCTCTTGCATGCGAGGCTGAGCAGACTGACCGCGCAAAGGAAAAGAATGAGTGGAATTATACTGCAAAGGTGCACCTCTGAAGTAAGGGCTTCCTCGCGGGCGATGGCTATGATGCACCGGGATATGGGTGGATGGAGGGTGATCCAAGAGTAGTTCTGCCGAATAGTTTCCCGTATCAGTAACTCTGTTTGCGGTTCCTTTCAAATCCGGTCGACGTCCACGAGGGGAAGTGCCTGTATTTGAAGCATTATTCATAGTCCCATTGTTAAAAGCAGGATTCGGAATCGGGATTGGGGAAGTTGTTCTCAGTGGCCGACGGTAAGGTGATAAGGGGGAAGAATTCCCAGAGTTGTGGTACGATGCTGCTGGTGTCAGAGAAAGAGATGCAAGATCTGGAAGCTCGAGGGATTTTTTCTTTGTCCGTAACGAGCGATGAGGTTGATGGGGATTGGGTGATGGTGAGTGTGATGGGGCTTGTCGACGCACAGATGAATCGATTCTTCTGCTCGGGACAGGTGAGCGTGAGCTTTGATTGGTGTGTGATGCGGTATTTCCCATCTCACGATAACTGTGGTTGTTCGCCGTTGAAGACGCTCTTTTCGTCCTCGTCGCAATAATCGAGCTCGGTGGTGTCAAAAAGAGGTGATACAATGATTATTATCAAAATGATAAGTGATAACAATAATATATAATATAAATAACTTCGAATGCCATCATTCACACTGTAAGTACAACTCACTACATCCGACTCATACTCTTACGGAAGACTCGAGTCGATATCATGAGTGGAGATGCATCTCCTACCTCGCTACTCACCCCAGCACCAAATATTGTCGTCGAATCGAGCTCTGGTTTGATCATCCCGGAAACTAGAGACGGATTTTATGGTTACACCGATGAAAAGAGTCTTCGACAAGTGAGAGTGTTTTTCGCCAGACATGTATTGGACTCTTATAATATGAATGGTCAGATAGAAGAACAAAAACTAGCACAACGCCGCACTTCTGACGTCGTGCATCCTCGGGCTGATAGTACATCACTATCTGCCAATTTCACGCTGTCTTCTATCCGTGAAGCCCTTCAAATACAGACGACTAAGGAGTTACATCCGTCACCTTTCTCTGACGACGAAGATAAAGAACAGGTCTCGGATACTCAGCACAACAGTTCGTCCTCATCTGACGTATCTCATCTCACCCTTCAGGTTTATATGTCTCTACAGTGGATACCGTGATCACCCCAGAGTTTGCGCGTATTGCCCTGTCTTTTCAGAAATGCCTTGAACTTCGCGACAAATATATCACGAAATCGTTACAGAGGCTGGGTGATAACCCTAGAGACCACGACGGTGTGTTTCACGGCGTAGCCGAGGGTCTGGCAGATGTTTCTGGGATCAAACCCGATGTTAAGCAATCTTTGGCTGCATCCGCCGACAGCCCTCACGAGCCTTGGGTCATATATCCGAAGCCTCCTCCACCCCACTGGCAATTTACTGCGAAGGAAACGGTCATTAGCGCAGATGGTCGCATTACACCGGACAACCAATTCAATTTATCTCACTGCCAAATACCTGGTAATCACGAGTGGGAGTTTGAGATAGATGACAAAGGCGTGTATCAAGTATACACGAATGCTAATGGTAATTTTGCTCCATTTCTGCCAGAGGAGCTTGGTCCAACCCTTTCCCAGCAGAAAACAAGGAACCAATCTTCGATGTACCCACTATCAGAGAGTACTTCGTCGATCTAGACTATGTCCTGGGTGTTATTTCCGATGGTCCAGCAAAAAGTATGGCATATCGTAGGCTCAAGTATCTCGCGAGTAAGTTCGAGATGTACAGTCTCTTGAACGAGGGTCAGGAATTAGCTGACATGAAGGTGCGTTGAGACCATCGAAATCCATCCTTAACATTCATGAACTATTCGTCTGCAGAGTGTGCCGCACAGGTGCTTCCTCCACTGTCGTACAAGGTGATAGGGGCTGATTTAAGCGATTCAAGGGACTTCTATAATGTGCGAAAGGTGGACACGCATGTCCATCTAGCAAGTTGCATGAACCAGAAGCACCTCTTGCGGTTCATCAAGTCCAAGATGAAACGCAGCCCTCATGTTTGTATGAATTCTCCTGTGGTATATCAACTACTCAGACGTTTCGCTATTTTAGGATGTTGTTATCTTCCGTGATGGGACAGACTTAACACTGGAACAAGTGTTTCAGTCGCTCAAGCTGAGCGCATACGATCTATCCATCAATACGCTTGATATGCACGCCCACCAAGATTCCTTCCATCGGTTCGATAAATTTAACCTGAAGTACAATCCGATCGGCGAGTCTAGGCTGAGGGAAATTTTCCTGAAAATAGATAATAAGATAGATGGTAGATACTTCGCTGAGATTACCAGAGGTGTGCTTCACGATGCTCTTCCTGTATCAATCTGACATGTCACAGAGGTCATGAATGACCTCGAGCAAAGTAAATACCAGGTGCGAATGCTTTATCTGTGACCCTCGGAATGTTTACCATATCCTCAGAACTGCGAATGGCGTGTCAGTGTTTACGGTAGATCCCTGGATGAGTGGGACAAGCTTGCGAAATGGATCATCAAAAATGAACTGTTCTCACACAACGTTCGCTGGCTCATTCAAGTTCCCCGACTGTATCAAGTGTACAAGCAGACTGGTGCAGTCGACACATTCGAGGAAATTGTCATCAGTAAGTTCTTGTCCCATAATTTCGTACATCTTAACAATGTACTGTGATTATAGATGTCTTCCGCCCGCTCTTTGAAGTAACGAAGGATCCTCAGTCGCACCCTGAACTCCATGTATTTTTGCAACGTGTCGTCGGCTTCGATAGCGTTGATGACGAATCGAAAGCGGAACGTCGATTCCACCGCAAATTTCCTTTTCCTCGACTCTGGGACTCCGAGCAGAATCCTCCGTTTTCATATTGGTGAATAAGCACTTATCTGCAATTTGTTATTCATCAATTGAATATCGGATAACCACGTCCACAGGATGTACTACATGTATGCAAATACGGCCAGTTTGAACCACTGGCGAAAAGCACGAGGGTTTAGTGAGTTTCCTTTCTGTGATTGCCTTTTATTTTTCACCAGTGAAATTGACTGCCACGCAGACACGTTCGTATTCCGACCCCACGCTGGTGAAGCAGGAGACACGGATCACCTGACCGCAGCTTTTCTTACTTCTCACTCGATTTCACATGGAATTTTGCTTCGCAAAGTCCCCGCGTTGCAATACTTATTCTACCTGAAACAAATTGGGCTAGCTATGAGTCCATTAAGCAACAATGCGTTGTTCCTGACCTATGAGCGCAATCCGCTTCCTGACTTTTTCAAAGTTGGGTTGAATGTGAGTTTAAGCACTGATGACCCATTGCAATTCCATTTTACGAAGGTGAGCTCACGGCCCTGATGCACGTTGTTGTTCACTCACTTGGACACCGTGGTAACAGGAACCACTGCTAGAAGAATATAGTGTCGCAGCTCATGTGAGATTTTTACCAATTACTAGTCTAATATTTCCTAGTGGCTGACCCATACGACAGATCTACAAGCTTCCTCAAAGTTCACTAGCAGAGCTCGCTCGCAACTCTGTGATTCAAAGTGGCTTTGAGATGGAGATCAAAAGGCGCTGGCTCGGCCAAGAATGGTATCTACCAGGCGCTGCAGGCAATGATATTCACAAGGTATGCGAGTTATTTTGATATGCTCGGCTTATTTATATATTCACCGACCGCAGACGAACGTGCCAAATCTTCGACTAGCATATCGGCACCGCACGCTACTTGAGGAGCTTGCGATGATCAGAACTCCACACCCTGCATAGCCTGATCGGTATCATTCGGTGATAGTAGCATGGAAGTATATGCCATTTTCTCTTAAACAAGTGTAGCTATAGTTTCTCAAAGTTCTAGATATGGAATATGCTTTCACATGATATAGTTTCGCCATGTCTGATCTTGGACTGATCACCTGAAGAACAGGACTGTACCACCAAAAAAAGTTAACACAAACGCCTCCCAGTAAGCCGAATTTGTCTGTGTGCGTGAGTCGGGTTTTGAAACAGGATAGAATTGAATCATACTGACATACATCCCGGAGTTTGAAGCATGAAACGTTTGAACAGTCGACTCCGGCCCGAGCCTGTGCCGGTGTCATCGACCGAGTACTGTCGATCTTCCCAGTGATCTACTATATCCTTAAAGGAGGGAGACGAGTAGGGAGACGAATGGAGGAGCTGGATGACGGAAGGTATGGACGGCATAGCAAGCTAGAAAACTACCAACACTTCAAAACAAACGTTCGCACCATACCTTAAATCGTACGCCGCAGGACAACTCAAGGACAGCTCGTATAAAGAATCGCGGCGTCTAAACCTGAGTTTCTGTTGTTTGTTACGGTATAGAAATATAAAAAATTGTCTCAGGCTCTACTAGCTGTGGGACAAGCTTTGGCCAGCTGTGGATCGCAAGCAATTCTATATGATGATGTCAGAGTCTCCTGGCAGTTCTGGTACCCATGCCCGGCCGTTTCAACTAGGACTGGCCTGACGATCATACAAACGCCGAATACCAGATTAGTGCAGCTGTGTGGGGGCTACAAAAATCCAGCCATCTCATTTCGTTCGAGAACTCCTGTTCCCCTCCAACGAGCCGATACAACTCTCTCCTACGCAGGTTTTGGTAGGGCTATTATTCCTGCAATCGTGAGCGACCACATTCCCCCATCCCCATAGAAAGCATATTCCCATCCTCTCGTTCGATCATATCATGTCAAGCGCTGGAGGAAGCGAACTATCGAGGAAGCCAAAGGTCCTAATTGCATGCTTTGATGGTACGGCAGCATCTTATGACGCGAAGGTGAGGTCCCAAAAAATCATACATGCAGATCGCGAATATAAAAACTGATAGCACTCATCGTTAGAATTCGAATGTCGTAAAGTTCGTCTCATTGTTAAAGAAAGATACAGATATCCAACTCTGCTATTACCAGGTACGTGCCCGGATAGACTCCAGCGACTGCACCATGTGATCGCTAGTCGTGTCTCAGTAGCAAGGGATCTCAAATCCACTCTTATTATACAGGCCGGTGTTGGGACGTATTTTGCTCCTGGAGTGGTGTCCCCCATGTTCATTTGGCTTGCGAAGATCTTGGATGAGGCATTTGCATGGTAAGTTCGGCAAACTGAAATAAAGGTCGACGATGCTTGAGTATTATACATACAGGTACCTGGACGCCCATATTATGGAGGGTTACAGGTTCTTGATGGAAAATTACCTGCCTGGCGATAAGATTTGTCTTTTCGGTGGGATGTTCGCCTGGCAGTGATGGATTTTACTGAACTCAGGGCAGGCTTTTCTCGAGGAGCATATGCCGCACGTGCGTTAGCAGGAATGTTGCACAAGGTGAGCGCTAGCTGTCGTTAATCATCGGTGGGAGTTGTTTTCCTTAATAAGACTTCATTGCAGGTTGGACTGCTTCCAAAATCCGACCTCCAACAAATTTGCTTTGCCTATAATGCATATAAGCAGACTGGTGTACAGGCAGATGCGCTTGCTGCAGGATTTAAGCAGACATTTTCGCGTGTCGTCCAGGTGGAGTTTGTAGGGGTCTGGCAAGTTATTCCTACTGTGTCCAGCAGCCACCCATAGCTAACTTTTCTGTTTTAACTTTTCAGGGATACCGTACAAAGCACTGGGGTTCTCTGGAGCCAGAGACTGCCATTCACAGACTCCAACTCCTTGATCAAGACATTTCGCCACGCTTTGGCTCTCGACGAGGTCTATGAAGTCCGTTACCTGCTTAACTTGATGCTGACTATCTTCAATAGCACCGCGTTAAATTCATACCAGATCTTTACCGTCGGTCTCAGACAGATACACCTGATCCGGAATTTGTCGAGTTGTCAAAATTATCTGAAGCTGTTACAGTTTTGGAAGACAGTGTTTCCGACGGTATTGGTTCGCTGCGAAATAAGCTCCTTCAAACTATGAAACGTGCGAAGAAGTTCATGGGGAAGTTTCAAGGGCTGAAGCGTGGTTTCACCAAGACAATCTTGCGCCGGCGAAGCAACATCGAGATTGTTTCTGAGAAGCCTGTGGAAACTACCGTCGTTAAGGATCAGACAAGTGTGCAAGTGCTTGACATCCCTGACATAGAGCCGACACTGCCATCAGATGTTATGGAAGTCTGGTTTTCCGGATGTCATACTGGTAAGCATCTACAAGTTTTGGTTTTTCTAATTCTCTTTGAACACTACATGAGCAGACATAGGTGGCGGAGATGTTGAGAACTCTGTCGAGGTCTCGTTGGCACAAGTCACTCTTCACTGGATGGTTGAGCAGGTCATCCTGTCTAACTGTGGCATTGTTTTTGATGAAGAAGCTCTTGAGCGTGTCGGCATGCCATTATCGAGCTTTCCTCCTTCGCAAACGCCTCCTGCTATTGAGGATCCGACCGGCAAGTCACAACTGATGACGGACAATTCTTGTTCGAGCGCTGCGTCTATCGACGTTGTATCGCCTTTTACAGAAGTAGCCTCACCTGCCCCTTCCAGCCCTCCTGCTGGTTCACCCACTGCACCCCCAATCCCAAATCCCCAAACTTGCGATGCTCTAGCTCCTTTGTTTGACCAGCTGCAGATCCAAAAAGCTTGGTGGCTTCTTGAGATCCTGCCCCTTCCATGTGTGTGGCAAGATGCGCATGGAAAATGGCACACAAAATGGCGGTAAGCTACTTGTCGCTGCGAGGAACTTATTTATTTATTGATGACAGGATCCATCTGGGTAAAGGTCGTGTTATTCCCTACCGGCATCCCAAGTTTCATTCATCCGTCAAGGAGCGTATGGACTACGCGCCCTTGAAGTACAAGCCACGATCGATATACCTACGCGACCAAGTAGCTTTTGTGTGATGACGATGACGACTCGACCTCCATACGACCTCTATCCATGGTAGAAATCTTTAGACCCATAACACGAGTGTGCTTGAGGATATTCCCTGTAATATTCCAAGACCTCGATATATCGGACTTGTTTATAACTTGTTTTATTATTGTAATAATGATTTGATCATATTGGTACCGATTTCGTGTTTCGATGCATTCGGCGAGTCGAGTCAGGATAGGCCTACAATCGTCTCTAGTTGCGCCGGCCTTCAGTCGTGGATTTATCACAGGTTTGACCAATTGAACACCTCCGTTTGCAGCTGTTATCCGGCCCTGATGCACGCGACTTCAGGGTTACACTAGTATGCACCGGACGCCACTTGGGCTACAACTTTGAAAGAGTTTGTATCCAGACTCGGAAGCTCTCATGAGTTCCCCGGGCCTCCCTGGCAGTGGAAGTATGAAGAGGAAGTAGGCATACCGTAATATTTCACTGCAAAGAGCCTCATGGTACATGCCGTACGTTGCCTCCAATTGAATCCACCAATGTTCTCCACAGTAAAATTACTGAAATGCAAACTCTATTTCAAGAAGGCCAATCATAGTCTGCAGTGCGACAACCGGCTCTCATCCGATCGAACTAGAAGTGACCTTTTGTGTGTTAATCGAACCCTGTTCAGCGGGCATGATTATAGTGGGGCTGTCATAAGAGCTTCCATTCTTCTCATGAATGGTTCTGGCGCAAATGCTGTTTTCAGGTTTATTATAAGCAGCAGTTACTTATATCAGATGTGACGGACAAACCGTAAGCGCTGGCACCGGCGAACAAGATACCCGTGATTTAACTATAGGTGGTATTCGACGGTAAGGGTTAGTCACCAACCTTGTAGAACCAGCTTACGATACTGGATGACTGTCAGCCTCCTGTCCTTAACATCTGTCAGTCCGCTGAGCGCACGAGCTACTTCTGGTTCACTGACAAGCGACACTGTCTGGTGCAGTGGTACTTGGTCAGGATGTGGCAATCAATGTCCAGGACACTTCGAAACTCGCCGATCGTGCACCAAAAATGGGAACCAGCCCGTGGAATATTGGTGCTGTTATGACTGACAGCGTCACTGGCACAGGAAGCAATGCGGATGATATAGCAGTGTGGGAAAAGCATCGGGGTCTCCGCAGTCTGAAAATATGAGCGATGAAACATCGCATCAGAGCACGTACTTGACGCAAAATAGATGAAATATTCTTCTAATCATCAAGTTTCTGAAGGAATATTATTCCGTGGTTTTCTATAATACAGACTGCGCGCGAGGATGAAATGTGCAATCAGAACAATGGCAGCAAGGATGAATTAAGATGACATGGGAGGGCGGATAAGGGGGTATATGAGATATACAAGGGGAACCACACAACGAACTCAAAATGTGTTCGCCCAAACTTCAAGATCGAACCTTGATGCTCTGGCACTGTCTATCCAAGAATGTTTCTGGGCGACACAGTCAGAAGGACACAACGGATGGAACAAATAAGAAGGGTACCAAAAGATCCTTGGGCGTGTTCCGCGCATCAGGGTCCTTGAGCAGACAGCTATCGATAAAGTCTTCTGCTTCCTGAGGGAAGCGCCCTTCTGGCGTCAGCCGCGGGGCAGGCTCATTGACGATATGCTGGAGCAGTTCCAATATGCTCATCATCATCCCGCCTCCCTGTAGGCTGACACCCTTGCTCTTCCGCTTGTCCTTTTTTGACGTCTTGTCTTTCTCTTTCTTCGGTGGAAGTCCGATGCAACCGGGCGACAAAGTACCTTCAAAGTCGGAAAGGTCAGAGTCATCTGGATCTGAATCGGCAAAGGGGAACCGTCCTAGGGCAAGTTCTATTAGAGAAATGCCCAAGGACCACACATCGGACTTGACGGTGTACTGGGCACCTTGTATCCGCTCGGGCTGTTTGGGATGGCCTTGTAGATTTGGTAAAGAAGGTGTAAGAAATACAGACGCACACTCATATAGGTTGAGGTTCCTACGAAGGTATCGGCGATAGAATTTATGAGTTCACCAGAAACACCAAAGTCGCATATCTTGATTTGACCTTGCGAGTTGCACAAGATATTCGACGGCTTGATATCTGACGCGACCATCAACCTCGACGAAGAAACAAAGGCTGTCCGTATTTGAGCTTACCACGATGAATAATTCGGTGTACGTCATATAGATAAGTTAAGCCTTCAAGCACAGCCAGCGCAACTTTGGAGACGACCTCGATGTCGATGGCACCGATTTTCTTGTAAATTCCATCAAGAGAACCCTTGTCCATGAATTCCATGCAAATGCAGATATTTGGATCAGAAAGAAATGCGCCATAGAATGAGATGATGTATGGCGAATGGCAATCATGCATGATGTGAAGTTCGCGGAGAATTTGCTTCCGCACGGAGGGCTTCGCATCAATGAGAACAATCTAGAAGTAACAGTTGAAAAAGACATATAGATCTGACACACTTAAATACTTGCCTTCTTGGCCATGATGGTGTTAGTGGGTGTATGTTCTACCTTTTTGACGCTTCCACCGTTGCCTTGGCCAAGCTCCTGAAGGTCTTTCAGATCCTCATTACGAAGATCGTAACGCGTCTCGGCATTCATATCAAGGTTTGCTAGCGTATTGGAAAGGGTGGTGTGGTATGTATTCCTCCGCGTATTTGCGGAAGCTGAGGGAATAGTGCAAGTAGGCGCGCCTGCTGAATTCACAGGATTTCCGTCTGGATCCTGAACGGCGTTAGATAATCCCAGTTTCGGGGCGTTGAGTGTCATAGGCGGAGGTCGTTTCTTGCCCTTCGCCGCTGTAGTTGTGGGAGCAACCCTTGTGGGGACTGGCTCTGGTTCCTTGGGTTTTGCGGGCACATCGAGCTGCAAAGCCTTGAAGTTGCGCTTCTTGCGGATTGGTGTAGCCATAGATCACTGACTCTTGATCAACAAGGCCAGCTTCCGCAACTCTTGCAAGACTGAGCTCAAGCAGTTCAGAACCGTGACGTTCAAAACTCCGAGTACATTAGAGAGGCTCAAGTAGATTACATAAGCCACAAGTACTGCGACTTACAATATTTTGCAAAGTATTCAACAAACCTCCATCATTCGATGCGTTAGCGCTGGCTGCGGACCATCGAACTTTAACCACAGCACCTCGCTCTTTTCAATGTTGTAGTCAAATGGGCAGTTTGCATAGTAGACACGCCATAATTTACTTTTTATCGTGAGTTTCCTCGAACTGATACGAATCTATCATATCCTAATCATGATCAAGCGTGGTTGAACTGCATGCCCGCAGGATCTTTGGAACGAATGGCGTGTCTTTTGCCACCAACTTCTCCCTTGGCGTTTTTCAGATGAGACCGATGCTCAAGTCGGCCTCAGTCAACGCTTGTTTCTAGGATACAGAGCACCGTTTTTGCGAGTATATGGCCTATTACACAGACGCTGATAATAAAACTTCCACGCCCACAGCCTACAGGGGTATTTTTATATAGAGACCGTCATCTGGCTACCGCGTAGCATATGTCAGAACGTTGCTGACCGCGATATCACCCGACATCACCATTACTAGTAGGCCTCACTCTTTTTTACGCCCAGCCATGACAACACGCGATGGAAATCACCGCGTCGTCAACCCCGTTATCGCACGCCTTTTGAACCTTCCACGACCCTTAGGCTCTTATCGGGATCGGTTGGTTGCTCTGTATCTCAACGTCTTTGGTACACATTCCACAAGGTTTACCGTCAAAGGTACTTGCTTCGTTTGATCGATCGTCATGCAGCTAATTTAGTGAGTTTTGACATTAGTTGGATTTGATGAATGGGTCGCTTCAACTCTGGCAGTTTCCCGCCTATATGTATACCGTCGCACCAACGCCTACCGACACTGCTGCTGACCCTTGTACATGCATGTACTCAAGTACACAAAATTCTGGCATAGTAACATGACATTCTGATATATACATTCATGTGAAGATGAGGGGAGAAACACTAACTATAAAAGAAAAGGGCATCGAGTGGGCTGAACATTTCTGTCCGTGAAAATCCTTTCAAGTCGGGAAAGAGCTCAGGAGACACTTGAGTTAGGATCATGATACATGATTGCGTCTTTGCTTCATGTCGATTACAAACATTGCGTGAACCCTAACTGCGATGCAATGAAGTACATAGGTCTATGTGTGATGAGGTCCAAAACCAGTTCAAAGAGCAATCCCACCTGGCTCTTGCGACTCATATCCCTTGTGATCTAAATCATGTTCCGATTCCTCCTCCACAGTACCCACGCTCCGGCGCGGCGATATCGGCGATGTTGGAAGTTGTACTGTGCCCGAGTTAGATAATGAATCTGTAGATGCTACACTCGCAATGCTCGAGCGAGACATCGAAAACCGCGAAGCGCGGCCGGACCAGAAAGACTGTATACCTGCACCCCAGTTTCCCAAAGCTGCCTTCGCTTCCGAGGCGGCTTGCGCAACACTTACAGGCCGCGTGAGCGTACCTAGTACGGAATCTCTCGACGTCTGTCTGGTAATATCAGAAGTAGACTTGCTCCCTTCAGAAGCGGGGGACAACGACAGTTCCGCTTCCGATTTTGAGACCTCCACTGGGGTCACACATACGCTGCTCGCAACATCGGAGTTGAACGAAACAGAGCTGGTAGTACGCTGCTGCTGCCACCGCCCACGGACGCCTTCGACTGCTTTGAAGAAGTTCATTGAGCTAGCAGTGATGGTGCGTGAAATGGCGTCTCGTGTCGGAGCTAATTGTTGCTCCAGTTTTAGTTCTTGAAGTCCTTCGGACAATCGTATACCAATGTCTCCAACGACAGATGGTTTTTCGTTGCACGGGTGACTGTTGGGGTAAAACTAAGTATTTGAAAATTTTGTTGGAACAAGCTGTCTAACCGTGGCTCGACAATATCGAAGAGCATAGGGTCTGTAGACCTCTGCCATACATCATATGCATTCGTCTTGGTGAACTCGGCGATCCAAAGTGGATTGAAGTCGTCGATCGAGTTATCATCTCCTCCTACACGATTGTGAATGTTGATCATCGTTGTACACGCTCAACACCCACCTGATCCAGTAATGATCACATTGTTCACTTTCCCTTTTGCAAGGAACTCTCGATATCGAACAGATGCGAGTGCGGCGGAAACATATTCTTCGAACTGCAGAATATAAGTCAAATCGCATCTAACACATAAATTAACGCAACCTTGGCTCGCAGGTAATCATCACTGCCTTTGAAGCTGTCAAACATATAAGAACCGGAATCGGGTAATTCCACAAGGTGACACACTGCATGGTAGGCTTCATCGGATCTGCATCGTCCCAAGCATCATTGACGTCTCGAACGATCTCATCCATCCATTTTCGGTCGGCAGCTGTCAGGCCCATTAGCCGCTCCAACCTAGGATTTCGAAACTCTAGTGAAGCTGTTTCCGTCTGGAAACCAGAGGTTAGTGTCGAGTTGCTTCAATGGCAACTGAAGACCAACATTGATAAACAACTCAACCTCCTTTTGTTGAGTCACGATGGTGTTTGTACTCCCACAAAGCCAGCCTTGTGAATCCTTTAGAAGGTCTAACTGTTGCAAAGGCAAGTACGGTTGGAAGAAGGAATCCTAGACCCCATGGTCAGTTTTGTACACTATTGCGCAGCGCAGAGCATACCTTGCCGAAAATATCTAGCGGTAGACCCATGTATGCCATCATACTTTTGCGATCCGAAGTTTGTAACGACTGTGGGCACGAAAGTGTGGGTGCACGTGCAGCGAGAGGCGGAGATCCGGCATCCTCCAGCGTTTGCAATAAGCCTGAATATGATATTGAGGATGAAGAAAAGAAAGAATATAAATCATTACCAGGGATTAATGATATGAGCGAGTACTGGTAAGTGCACAATCGTTCCACTGGGTGACCGAAGAACATAATCTAGGATACATTCAATACGGACCGCGTTTTCAATGTTTACAACAAACCTTTTTTTGACACATGAGGGCTTTCAATAGAATAAGCGTGCGATGGCGGAAGGTGTGGACAAACTCTCGGCTACCCACGTCAGCTTTTCAAAATGGTTAATACTGCATAACTTACATGCTTGTGCCTGCATAAATAAAAGAAGATTAAATGTGCTGAATCGTCTCGATGAGCTCTCCTGACACACCAATATATAGTCCACTTTCCGTTAGCTGTGTGCGAAGGGAAATTTCCAGCGACGCGCTGAAATCTACCAGAATACTAGTATCCGAGAAGTCGCTTATAAAGTAATGTTAGATTTGGCTCATGGAGGCAACGTTCAAGCTCACCGTTGCTCGAATAGCGCGCGTGTAACAACACCCAAACGATCCCTAACAAGTCATATAGTCAAGGGGTATGTGCACGGCATTGCAGACCAACCGAATGGGGCCAAAGACTGGCTTCGATGCCAGGACTACGACAGCTTTTTGAACAATTGACCGAGTCACGTCTACATCTTTAACAAGTAATACAGAGGTTGGTATTTGGCGATTGCACCTGCAAACCAAAAGTTAGGGCCCGACGCACAAATCACAATTTAGAATGATCCGCACGAGATGCCAAAAATGGTGGTAGGTATTGGAGCATTCGGAACGAGATGAAAGTAAGAATAATCTTCCAGAGACTGCATAAGGGTGCTCATGAGAAGAAGTTTTGCACACACTTCATTATACTTACCATATGTGCGCCATCTGGAAGGGCCAGGAAGGGAAGAATCTTGACGATTTCTTCATCTTGGAAAATTTCGCCATGGCAGAACTCGATCTTCGGACCAACCTGAATTACATATGAGCTTCCAAAGTAATGCGGGTACGTTCAATAATAGTACCAGATGATTGAAGTCTACAAGTGCAATCCCCAGGACTAATGGGCCTTCTGGAGGTTGTAGTAACATAGACTCTGGCCGTGCTTTCTTCGAATACGAAGAAGCTGCAGAAGTGAATGAATCCGTGTCCGTTGCACCTGATGAAGGAGTTGGCGGATAAGTCATAGCCTGTGGCGTATTGTATTTCGGTTCGTCAAACAGAGCTGCAGAAGGAGCCGCAGATGTACTCGAACTAGCACGCTGAGCGTTCCTCTCGCTGAAAGAGTCGCTTACATCGTCCATTTCTGAGTTGAAGTCAATCTCTAAAGAGTCATCTTGTGATCCACGCCTGGCGATAAAATCCTGAGCACGTAGAGCAGCATTGCGGTCGTGTCCCGGCGAATGGGGAGGAGATGAAAGAGAAATTGAGCGTTGAGAAGCAGTATCGGCATCGGCATCGTCGTCTTCGAATTCACTGTGATCATTTACGATAAAACCATCCGTGGCATGTTCGTCAAAATCACTTTTCTCAACGCTGGACATGTCGGATATTGACGACGTGATTGGTGAAGACAGCTGTGGAAATTCAGAAGCAAGCGCCAATCACGGGCCAAGCCTATCATAGCACTGCCAGTGGCGGCCCACGTGGTTGTCGTTGCCCGCCGCATTGGCCCACATTGATACACGAGTCTGAGAATGAGAATCTGCTGCGCTTACCAGGACCAGCGTGTCCTTGAACAAGTCGTCTTAAAAACTAAAGATTTCTGATTTAGTAGTCTCGTCATGGTCAAGTCCAGTGTTATTCTCTTGGTTTCGGCTGCCGCTACTAGTGCGCTGGCACTTCCCACCCGCTTTGTGGATACCCTGCAATATATCTTCGGGACTACATTAGATGTTCCTGGAGCTGAAATTGGTTGGGCCGATCCACGTCTCAATGGTGGACGGTTTCTAGACGTAAGTACATCGTAAACTTATTCGATCCTCGTCACATTCGCTTGCAGTTCACGACTCCCAGATATGGCGAACCGCTCAATGTCATCATATCTAACCAGTCAGACCCCTTTATTTTGACGGATGCCGGCTTCCGTCTGTATTACAAGTGAGCCGCCCGTAACTGTATGCCCGAGCCTCATTGATGTGCCCTCCCAGGTCCATCGGGTTTTCCGAGGAGTGTTTAGGGCTTCATTATGGCCATGTCCACAAGGCAGACCTCGGTGACGGCGATAGTAAGAAATCAGAGCATATTCTAGCAAGGCAGTACTACTTTCCCAAGTGGGGAACATGCTGGGAAAGTATAGCAGGTTCGTCTCCCTGAACGTTTCGTTAAATCTTTCGTGATTCGGTGTTTAGGAGGAAACCACTTCCGCGCTTGGAAGCAGAATGGCTCAGAAATCGATACGGGAGCATGGTTTTTGGCGTAAGCACCAAACATCTTGCTTCTAGTTGCCATTACTGACACTCAATTCAGTGTCTCCAAGGAAATGGTGAGTAGAACCTGAATATAACTTTGGAACCATACTCATTTCATGTAGGACTCCACTAAAAACCATATGATAATTCCCAATGGATATAACATTGGTCGCGATTTTCTCGTCGAAGCTGCCACATCTGTCAGCCATTGGAATGGCATGTGGTGGCAGGCTGACGTGGAGTGGCGCAGAGGCCTCCTCGAACCAGGATACAAAGGTCAGCAGCTTTCTTTCCTCTACGTGGTCATTCTTGACTTGCCATTTAGGAATCAATCACGGCATTGCACAAGATGGACGTATTGCGATTCTGACTGTCAATCGACTATGATTATGGTCTCGTAATCAGTAGATGTATTATTGTTATTTTGGAGGTTGGTGTTGTGTTATATACCACGTGCATAGGACACTACCGTGTTATTTCTAATGTATCTAAGCACGCATAACCGCCTGCATGTTGTCCACCGCGCCAGCATGAATATCAATTATGGTGCAAACTATGCAAGGTATTATCACAACTGTCAAGCGAATTCATCGTGATGCCCAGAAAATCCTCAGTCAAGTGGGGTCAAAGTAAACGTGGGCTAGCGTTCAGACCTCCTATCCTGGAAAAAATGGGTCATGATAATCTTGGGTCCGCCCGGCGAAGCTTTCCAAACAGTCATCTATTTTAGCGTCACCCAGGCAGACCACTTGCTTCTACATTCCTTGCGACACCTGCCGAAGTCAAAGCTACAGGATGATCAACACCGCGAACCACTACTGCGTCATCATCAGACTCGGAGGGAGGAAAGGAGTTCATAATTCTTCTTACCTGTGGGTTGTGCATTGGCTCCAATGATGCCCAGCATCATTGAAATGGATACAAGAAATACAGTCGAGATGCGCATCCTGAAGATTCGGGAAGGATAAACAAGAATGTAAGTCGAAAAATCTTTTTAGGGTCTCATGAAGATGAACGTTGCAATGAAGAACCCAGACTAGAAGTCGGGGATGGTCACCTTTATGCGTGTCTTGCACACCGGTGCGACGCGATACATCTGGCATAGCATTTAGCACGGTGCCCCTGTGTCAGAGTATGCGCTGCACGAGCGTAACCATTGGGGAGAACAGTACAACTCAGGCCATGCATACTGTGACCAGGCTGAGAACTACACAACGAACGAGTTACCTTGCTGGTCAAGTCATACACTGATATCTGCTGTGGCTGTGCATGGTCAAACGCGCCTACTGATACACAATATTAATCTGGGTGAGGCTAGGCACCTCCTAGCATGAGAGATGTGGACTGGATGACAGATGTGGTCCGGCCTCTGGCGAGGCCAAGCCGCATGACGACCTGATACTAACGATGCTCTAGTATGCCTATAGTTTCCGTCACCAGTACGTATCCTTATATTGTCATGCCTAACCCTGACAGACCGAAATCCATCTATTTTAATACGATTACAACAGCTGGTATACAATTGTGTCGAGAAATGCAGAACAAATGTGGGTAACAAACAAGGAATGCATGATTGAATAACTTCCGATGATGTAAATAAATACTGACCACACCAACATACCACCTCCGTTAACCAGAGCACATGAGGCAAGCTTCCTTGTTCTCCAGCGAGCACAACATTTTTGCCTCTTCGAGCTCGCGCTCCCTTTGACGCGCAAGAGCAGCGGCGTACTCGGGGTCAACGTCGGTAGTTTCACTGGGACCCGACGAACTCGACGCAACACCATTATCATTCGAATTAGATGGTGGAGGGACTCTGCGAAGAGGGGATGGAGAGGCGGAAGGGGTAGGAATGCCAGTAGCAGCCTTGTCGGATTCGCCCTGTTGTACCTTGGCTACTTTGAGCACGCTCTGGTCGATAGTGAACTGAACAGCTTGCGCTGCGGGACGAGTGCGCAAATAGTACATGCCAGTCTTAAGGCCCTTCTTCCAGCCATAGAAGTGCATACTCGTCAGTTGGCCTGTGGTGGGCGACTGCAAGTGGATATTCAAACTCTGACTCTGACAAATGAACGCTCCACGGTCGGCAGCGAGGTCGATGACCTTCTTCTGCGATATCTCCCAAACGGTTTTGTAAATGGCTTTGATGTCATTTGGTATGCTTGGGATGTTGGCGACGGAGCCATTATGAGCAATGATCATATTCTTCATGTCATCATTCCAGAGCCCACGGTCGACAAGGTCCCTGAGCAACCAAGGACATACAACCTGGAATTCACCAGCAAGGACACGGCGAGTGTATATATTACTGATCGAACGCGTCAGCTTGCACAACGTGACAAGGAAGTCAAAACGTACCTGGTGTAAGGCTCGAAGCATTCATTGAAACCGAGAATTTGACTAGTCGATGCAGTTGGCATGGGCGCTACTAACAATGAATTCCGCAATCCAGTTTGTGCGATCTTTTCCTTGAGACTGGTCCAGTCCCAAAGATCAGTGGGCGTGACACCCCAAAGATCATACTGCAGTTGACCGAGATCAGCGGGACTGCCCCTGAAAGTTTCGTATGGTCCATATCTTTCAGCCTCCTCACAGCTAGCCTCAAGTCCAGCGTGATAGATGGTCTCAAAGATTTGAAGATTGAGTTGCCTTGCCTCTGGCGAGTCAAATGGTAAACGGAGAATCATGAAAGCATCTGCGAGACCCTGGACACCAAGACCAATGGGGCGATGACGCATGTTGGAAGTGCGAGCCTCCGGAACGGGGTAGTAGTTTACATCGATAATGCGGTTAAGGTTGCGGGTGACGACCTTCGCAACATCATGAAGCTTTTGGAAATCGTACTTGCCGTTCGAGATAAAAGTAGGAAGGGCGAGAGAGGCAAGGTTACAGACGGCGGTTTCCTCCGGCGACGAGTACTCTATAATTTCAGTACACAAGTTGGACGACTTGATGGTGCCCAAGTTCTTTTGATTCGATTTGCCTACGGATGATTTGTGAGCAAGGAAAGTGTCACGAATGGCTCCGACGTACGGTTAGCGGAATCTTTGTAGACCATGAAAGGACCACCAGTCTCAATCTGAGCTTCAAGGATAGCGTACCACAGCTTTTGAGCTGGAACAACTTTGTGTGCGCGTCCCTCCAGCTCGTACTTCTCATATAGAGCTTCAAATTCATCGCCGTGAACCTCGTGAAGACCAGGCGCTTCGTTTGGGCAGAACAGTGACCAATTTTCATTGGATTCGACACGTTTCATGCTGATGAGGGAAGGTTAGGGTGGTGCCAAGAGTACGGTCGAACACGTACAAGAGATCACAAATCCACAACGCGTAGAACAAGTCACGGGCACGTGACTCCTCTTTACCATGGTTCTTCCTCAGGTCGAGGAAATCGAATATGTCAGGGTGCCATGGTTCAAGGTAAATCGCGAAAGCTCCCGGCCGCTTGTTGCCACCTTGATCGACATAGCGTGCTGTGGCATCATATGCACGAAGCATAGGAACAATGCCGTTCGAGTAGCCGTTTGTTCCAGCAATGTACGAGCTGTAAGACAAATGGTTACTAATTAATCAATGCCATGAATTAATTTGACGCACCCAGTAGCACGAATACAATGAATGCTCAAGCCGATTCCACCTGCGGTCTTGCTGATCATGGCACAAGTCTTGAGAGTATCGTAGATACCCTCTATGGAGTCATCCTTCATGCACACTAAGAAGCATGAACTAAGTTGGGGATGAGGAGTGCCAGCATTAAACAGAGTCGGTGACGCGTGCGTGAAGAATCGTTCAGACATGAGGTTGTAGGTCTCGATCACGCTTTCAATATCGTTCTTGTGGATGCCCACAGCAACACGCATGATCATGTGTTGGGGACGTTCGGCAACACGGCCATTGATCCTGAGAAGGTACGACCGCTCGAGAGTCTTGAAGCCGAAGCTGACAAAGGATCAGTACAACACCATCGTACATCTCGATGATTGTGCTCACTAGTTGTAACTGAAGTCACGGTCATAGATGATTGCAGAATCAAGACGAGCAGCATTCTTTTCCACAACCTCATATACATCATCGGCGATCAAACTCGCAGGTTTTCTGTTCTTAGGATTGACTTGAAAAGAAAAGTCAAATACAAATTGAACACCAAAGATGTGGAAACATACTGTATTCGTGGAGGTCTTTCACAACAGTGGAAAAGTTCTTCTTGGTTTCCTTGTGGAGATTTGATATTGCGATACGCGCAGCGAGAACAGCGTAGTCAGGGTGCTTCGTAGTAAGATAGGCCGCGGTCTCGGCGGCAAGGTTCTATCTCAGGTCGATGAGTGAACGAGGTAAAATATTGCAGACACCTACATCAAGTTCGACGGTTGTGACGCCTTGATATACACCTGCGATAACTTTTTTGGCAACCCTGTAGAGTAATTAGTCATACATAAGAGTATGAAAACTGTCCACTAACTCGATCGGCTCGACATAGTTAAGGTCAAGGCCGTAACAAAGCTTGTTTATCCTTGCTGTGATCTACCAGGCAGTGAGCGACGCACTGAATAGCTTAGTAGGATTATACTTTGTCAAATTTAACTTCCTCTTTGCGACTACACGTGAATAACGCGTCAGATAGTGCTGAAACGAATGTTTTCAATGTGTTTGCTCACCCATCTGTATAGAGGATGGAAAACACAGATGAGCTACCGTACACCAGACTTGGGAATAACTGACCTCTCTTGAACACGAAAGCCATGGCAAATTGCTCCTCAAAGATTGAAATCAACCAGGACGAAAATGACAGAAAAGCTTAGTCCGGTGGTGGGCGAAATGAAGGAGAGGAAAGACGCGTCGCGCAGAATTTAAGTGGCGTGTGCATTACTCAGCCAAACAACCCAGATAGGATAGGCTGAGTCCGTCACGCTCATCACTGAGAATTGAATGAGTGTAAATTCAATGTAAATACGAGCTCTTCTCCTGCTATGCCATTCGAACTGTTCAGGCTAGCATGTACGTGTGTGCATAGATCAAATGTGAAACAGTACTTGAGTTTCTGGCATGTTTGCTTGAAATGTTAACTAGGTAGACACGCTAATCAACGAAAATCGCGTACCGCGTTATTTTGGCTTGCTTGCGCGAGCATCTAAGTTTGACTTGATCTTATTCTTAGCACTAATAGCCTAGGTTTTGTGATGCCACACACTCAACAAATTCACGCTGGCGATCCTGCATATGCTTCTCCTGTAATTCGTCCTCCTTCTCCTGCGAGCTCTGTGGGAACCGCATACGGGCCCGATGACACCTCTCTATCTGACTCAGGATTGAGTCAGGATGTTTTCGAGCGAAAGTGGATCGCCAACCTTCGACTTGATGAACCGAAACATGACGAAGTTCATAACATGAAAGATCCCTTGATCATTTATCCTAGCGATCCACAAGAACAGAAGCGTGTGTTGGACTTCATCCTCATTTCGCTAGTTCCTTTGCTCATCGTTCCAGCTAGTGCTGTTTGAGGAAATATTACGTGGTTTTCGACAGCGTGTTCAGCAGCTGGATGAGGATGAAATATTTCAGCAAGCAGTCATAAACGGCTCTCGAATTGGAAAGGAGCAACTGCCTTCAGCTGACAACGTGGAGAACTTGATACAGAACATGATGGGCACCTCAATAGGAAACGAAGCAAGCCATATACAAGATGGTCCTTGGAATAGGCGCAACACTACTCATGCGACTGCCGCTTCCAGCAGCATGAGGACCGCCGCCGGGAAAGAGCAACACAAGCAATACTGACTCGTGTCATAGCCGCTTCCATTCAATCCACAAACCTAATTGCCCAATGACAGAAATTTGTACAAGTACAATATCTAGCAGTACATGTGGAAGGTACTTTATCAATTCGGGCGGACATTAATATTCACCACCTTCTGTGAAATAATCCGGCAACGCTTGCTGCAATTGCTTCACCTTCTCGTGGATAGACCGTCTCGCTGCAGACTTGCAATCGTGGTACATATACGTTGCAGATCCCCACTTATCAAACTCCTTGATAATGACAGCCAATCTCCCGAGGACATTTGCGGAGCCGAGGGATAACACACCCTCTAACCTCGTCTTCTCCTTCCAGAAATCTGTCCAGCTCTGAGTGCATCCATGATTTTGGTGCCAGGTCGCACAGCAAGACGGCGCGTGTTCGAACTGCGGAGGAACGGTACGTAACTTGTCCCATGCTTTAGAAAGGCGGTGATATCCCGACAGAAGTCTCAGCTGCTGCACCGGGCTGACCACCAGCCGCTGCGGCCCCTCGCTCGTTTCCTGAATGTCACCTTCCACGTATGTATGACCATTAGCCACTCCGGAGCAGACAAAGACCGACGTTTGCATGACTTCGAGATACGCCGCGCCTCGCAGGTCCCTAAGGTTAAACTCATCCGCAAGAGTCATGGCCAGATATGAATAATGCAAAGAACCAGACAGTAGCTTTTGAAGAAGGCCAATCATCGTGTCCATCAGACGTGAGTGCGAACACATCTGAGCAAGTCTGATCAGGCGAGCAATTGGACCTTCCAAAAGAGCCGAAGAGCGAGTGGTTGATGTACGGAACATGTATATTAGAGGGTTGTCATTGAACAAGGGGGACGTGTTCCGTTCAAGGTATTCTTGAATTGCGTCCAATGCCCATGTTTCTGTCGACTTGAAAGAGTACTTGCAAGACACCTTCGCGATGTCTATTAGTCGGCTAAGGTCGACTTTTGAAATTGGAGACTGGATTATCATCAGTTCCGAGGGTCTGCCACGAGCCGAGACTCGAGTATAAGGGTGGATCTTGCAGAAGCTTACTTAAATAACACTCACAGTGCATATAATGCCCAGAGGAAATGTCTGAACTCCTCTGCCGAATCTCCCTGCAGAACGATGGGATGATCATCCGACATCCCTTCTCCGCTGATTTCACCTTGTGGGAGCGTAAACATAAGGCCGAAGGATGACTGATCCTTAGACAGGATTGTGCGATGGACCTAATACAGCGTAACCGCAAATCGTTCAGCTCATGGGCATGAATATCACTTCAGAGCATACTTTGAATAGTGTGTTCTGCACACGAAGAATGCAGCTCCCATCAGACATGTAATATGTATCGTCCCTTATGGGAGCCTTCGATTCCTCGGAAACCATGACAAGAGATTGGCCAGAGTCGGATGCTGTGATGCTGCTAGTATGGCGCGGTCGCTTTCGCAGTGGTGATTGCGTACGTTGGTGTTCTATCACTATGTCTGGCTCTGGAAAGAAATCATCAACTGGGGTGAATGGCGTGACGGGGCTCTCCATTGCCATGCGGTCCGGGAGATAAATGTACTGATTTTCCTGTGCTCAGTATCAGTGGATAATCTGGAATCCGGATTGCGACTCGGAATCGGAATCGGATGCTGGGATATCTTCGAACTTATCATCATGTGCACCGTGACAATCATACTTCCCATGTGCACACACTTCACCTAGTACCGTATCGTTTCTACTCCCAGCTATGCCGTTTGGTACCATCACTCTCAACGATGGAAATGAGGTATCGTACTATTTCATGAAAGTTTGTATCACTGTATCAAGATCTGATCTAGATACGTTCTATGCTGTCTCACAGTTCCCCACAATAGCCTTCGGCACGGGGTCCACCATGAAATACAAGGATGTCACAGACTACGTGGGCCAGGCCATCGAGAATGGATTTTCTCATATCGACACCGCACAGTGTATGTTGCTTCTAGGTTCCAATTGCAACGATCACCTCATGTCTCGATATTCTTTCTGGTATACTAAGTCTATCAGACAGAAACCTACGTAGGCCTGGCTATCAAGGAGAGCGGTCTTCCTCGCTCGAGCCTGTATATCACCACTAAATACAGCGGTTCTGGGAAACCACAGCAAGCTATCCAACAAAGTTTGAACAAGGTCAGCAATTGCATGTTACTCATGCGTCAAAAAACTCAATTATATGCTCTTTGAGCTTGGTCTTTCTTATGTTGATGTGTATCTGGTGCACTTCCCGGAACTCATTTCTGAGTCTGTGTGGCAAGAGTTTGAGAAGATGAAGAAAGACGGATTAACAAGGTGTGTCCTTTGCGACTTGAATGTGTTTTCCAGGTTTTCATAGTTATTAGGAGCATTGGCGTCAGCAACTTTACCTTAGAGGACCTCCAGAAACTTCTCAAGACTGCGGTCACGAAACCTGCTGTTAACCAAGTGAATTCGTCTACTTATTATCAGTACAGCCAATGAACTTTATCGAGCAGATCCAATTTCACCCATACAACTATGCGTCACAGAAAGCTTTGCTTGAATTCTGCTCAAAACAGAATATTATAGTGGGAGCATATGGAAGTTTGAAGTGAGTCCTCAGATTGCTTCGAATAATTTGGCGCTCCAAACCATGCTGATTGTCTCCATGGCCAGCTCTATTACACAGAATCCTGGAGGACCAGTGGATGCAGTTGTTAACGCCGCTGCTAAACGCATAGGCGCAACTCCGAATCAGGTGATTTTTGCCTGGGTCAGAAGTAAAGGTGTAACAATTGTCACGTATGTCGATCTACTTCCCATGTAATTTCCGTATCTCATGTCACTTCCATCACTGAAGGACGAGCCGGAGCAAGGAACGCCTTGAAGAGTACCTCGCCGTGGAAGATCTTCGTATGTCTCGAATCCTGAAATGTGACTTTAATCTAATTTAGATCATGAAGCCCCACTCACCGCTGAAGAAATCGCTGCCATTGATGACGCCGGTGCTCAAGGCCCTCCCTCCCAGCTAGGTTTTGCGAGACTGGCAATGCAACATAAATTTGAAAGGTCTTCATCGTTGGTCATGTGGCTAGCTATTGCAATTATGTTTGGATTTGCAACGTTTTTCATGTTCTGAACTTGGTACGGGCACTTGGAGTTCTTTATGTGCAAATGTAATATGCCTGCACTTTCAAGTTGTTTGTCTTTTCACCACACCTGTAGAACGGTAATCAATTAATTACTCGTACCTTGAAGTGATGCAATTGAACCGAAATTTTCGGACGAGTACTAAACAGGGACCATGTGAAGATCATCGCTTCGCGTCCGTTCCAAGTTCTAACACAGCGGCCAGTCACCATGCATCCAACACAGCTCTCCTTTCAACTAGGGTGCACCTCTACGGATCTTGGCCTATCCATCTCTCTCGCTCTCTCATCCTGTATCCTGAGTTTCACTGTCGCCCAGAACCCAGTTGATACATATGCTCCGATAGGCAATGTGAATTGTCCAGAGACACCCAACTCGCTCGTGCGAACACCACAGAATTAGGTCCTGAACACATCAGAAACGGAGTATATCGCGTCCAGGGAGTCCTATGTAATCGCAAAGGCGTGGTCTAACTGGTGTAAGTTGCTTATCTGAGTTCCCATAATCAGCCTAAATACTGTGCACGATCAGGCATTCGGGATAGGGAGAGAATGACTGCACCGACTCCCGAGCGTATAACCAGTAAAAAATGACCGACTATAATCACAGCATCCAAATTTACTAGTAGACTATGACTTACTGGTACTGCTATGTCTTCCGCGACATGCTTGGAAAGCCACAAGCGTTTCTTTCTGAATAAATTTGCGAACAAGGAGAGTTATCAGTAGATTACATAATCAGTATGTAGAATCATCTACATTAACTTGGGCTTGAGTTTTATCAGCCAGATATGGTGACACTGTTCAACATCTCCACCAATCGCGTGAGTACGCTAGTGAAGTCATCAGCGTTCGTAACGCGCGTAAGTTAAGGATTCTTTGTAGATGCTATAAGTACTCTCACTAGTACTTGTCCGCGGAGCGGACCATCAGCCATACAGACACCGTGACCGCCGGCCGTCTTCGTGTAAATAGACTTGGCTACCTGACAAGGCAAAAAATTAAAGTATCGGCCTCCGAGTGATCAACATATCTCAGGCTCCTAACGCCTATGACAGATGGTGGGATTGACTCGATTCTATATTTTATGTGCTGTTGTAAGTATACTCATCTAGGGTTTGGTCACATTGTCGTTTCTGCCCTGGACCTGAGTATCTGCTCTCCTTTGGACCAGACATCCCAGAGGTCTTCATCTTGTCTCACGATTTGTCCGAGATCATCAGCTGATTCAGACCAGGTGTCCACGTATCTAAAGACACGTAGGACAAGGTTTTGTCGTGAGGAATGTAACTGATTAAGGGGGGTTAGTGCTATGCACGCTGGCACGACAAGCCCACCGCAGCGGAGTTAGACGATTGGGATACGAACCGAGGCTGAGCTCTTATTCATTTGAACCATGCTTAGATACTTCGTATTGGGCTAACGCTGTGTGTAGTTTTAACAGGCCATTACAAAAGACTGAGGATGATTTGAATGGGGCCAATCATTGAGTCCAATGAGAGGCGCGTTCGACGCGATTGAGAAGTCGTGGTCAGCCGCGGGAGCAGTGGAGAACGAAGTTGTAGTTGGTTGTTGGCTATTGAGATACTACGAGTCAGATGACATCGGTAGTGTCCATGATGAGGACAAGGAGAAGAACGATGGGTTAATTGGAGGCTCTGGAGCAGTCGAAGACGACGTTAGAATAATCAATTTGATGCATGTCGTGATGGGCTCACCTCGGAGCTCAAGCGCTCAGCGTCGCCATGAGGAAGGAATTGATTGATGCGCGGGCTGAAAGATCGAACTTCGTATCTAATTGTCAAGGCTGTTCAATGAACGCCAGCTTCAGTTTTTTTTCCATCTTGCCCTCAGGACTGACAGAGAGGCGACGACTCTAACTACTAGTACTAAAAGGGAACAATGTTCCGTTATGTAATCCTAAACTGAGTCACTTAGATACAGTGGTAGACATAATTATAAGTTAACCATAATGGCATCAGCTGCTGTGCGAGCTCAAGTTGCAGCCAAATGGCAAGAGTCATTCAACCGCCTTAATCGCAACGAGCCAGGAATATCTGGTTTACTGACTTTCAGCGAGGTATGTTATTGGAATTAACATGGATAAATATGCTTCAACTTCACACTCAGGCGTGGACTCTGGCTATAGAGTTTCTTAAACCACGAGATTTAAACGACCCTGCACCACAAAAACAATATGGTCCGTCTATCTGAGTGCCCCACTGTGTTATTTCTGAGTCTCGATCAGACTTGAATAAAGTGAGGGCAGCATTTGGCGTTGTCGGCGAGTGCAGGAGGCTACCTGTTATGATGGAGGTTTTCCTTGGTGAGATTGCTCATTTATGATGTTGCACTTTTTCTGAGGGATAAAGAGGACATGCGAAAGAGCCAACACTTGATCACCCGAGAAGTTGAGGCATATATGACGCTTTACGAGGTCAAAGCTTCTGCACTCCTTGCAATTTGTCATGTCGCTCAATGCTTCATCGCAGAGTAATTCCGACCCAGAAGCGATACGATCACTTGTATATCGTTTGGTCGAGTGGTACAACGCGTGGAAACCAACTGCAGAGTACGTACCATGTACCTTGCCGAGGCTAACATATATTCAATGTACCCTAGTCTGGGACCAACAATGATATCCGCCTACACTCTTACGTTTCAAACTCATATTTTTTCTGTTCTTCCTCCATCTTTCGCTCGGGGAATCAAGGCTCTTGTTTCAGCCACGCTCCAGCGTACTGTATCTCAGTCCCAGGACCCTCAAGACCGCGTCCTGTGGCAAGCCTTTGATACTCTTAGCCTAATTGACCGCTATGAAACCCTTATCGCGAGTATAGGATACGAGTTCATCGAATCATATGTGGAAGAAATATGCGCCAGAAAATGGTCAGAACCCATGCTTGCGACCCTTCGGGCCTGGATGATCGACAAAATTGTACCATGGATGCTGTATCCATTTGCAAGAGGAGCAACCAATGGTGATTCATTTCAGTTGTCCCAGCTGCTGACTCCTAAATAATTAATTCACTCAGCGGATGAGGCAAAGACAATGATGCAAGGCGTAGGATCAAGGTTTGACTTCCATATGCATAAAACACTTTGCAACCTAAGGTGAGAGAACATTTATCTTAGCCTTCAAGTAGTGAAAAAATAATTTGCAGGACGAAGGAAATTTTTGACATCATCGTCGATTTCCCGGAATCTGCAGGCGCCCTCCAGGATCTAAAGGTCAGTATGAATGTTGTGGTTAATACATTCTTAATATTCTATTGTACACGCAGGAATGCTTGGCACGTGTCGACCAACGTGCGGACCTCGTACAGGCACTACGGCAAGCGTGCGTCGCGATTCATCGTTGTCAACTGCAGCAATGACTCTAATTGTAATTTTCAGTAACAATAAGCGGCTCCTTCATCCGGGCGCAGATACGAAAGATATTCTGAACCATTATGTCTCGACGATCAAGTGCCTCAGAATCATCGATCCTCCTGGAGTACTCCTCTTTAAAGTGGCTGATCCTACAAGAAGGTATCTCCGGTGTGTACATGCGAAGTTGGACTGGGGAACAGCTGATAACATCTGCACGTTTGGCCAGAGATCGGCCTGATACTATACGTTGCATAGTAGCAAGCTTGGTCGGAGACGGCGAAAGTGGGGACTCGCTTGTCGACGATAACGATCCCATCCAGCCCCTTCAACAACCCGAGATGGAGAACTACTCTGATCCTGAATGGAATCCTGAACCCATTGATGCTGGGCCAGATTTTCGCGCGAGCAAGTCCAGTGACGTCATCAGCACCATAGTCAGCATATATGATACGAAGGATCTATTCGTTAAGGAACTACAAGTACTGCTAGCACAACGCCTGTTGGCGGTGAAGGATGGAAATTTCGACCGCGAGGTCAGTTACAAGCTCCTGACTATGATAGATTTGCTCAAGATGGTCCATGCAGCGTCGTAATGTCGAGATTTTGAAGATTCGATTTGGCGAAGCTGCGTTGCAGGTTTGTGAAGTCATGCTGCGAGATATGACAGATTCGCGCCGCATAGACCAACACGTGCAATCGCAGAAAGCGGTAAGCTGTTCATATGTACATGATAAGGTACGAGTTACTATTTGAAGTACAGAGTTCCATGCATCCCACGATTATATCTCGACATTTCTGGCCTGCACTTGAGTCCAGTGACATGGTCATGCCTGGGCAATTTCAGATGTACGCCCTTTTCTTATAACTGCTCCTGCTGCTGAACCAGGATAGCCTGCAAGAGGAGTATGCCAAGGAGTTCTCTGTATTCAAACCTGATAAGGTCCTCCGTTGGTTACCACACCTCGGTCGGGTTCATCTTCAACTCGAGCTCGAAGACAGGACATTGGAAGCTGACGTGCCTCCCCTGGAAGCGGTATTCATTGAGCTTTTCTCTGAGAAAGGTAAGTGAATATTTAAAGCTACACGACAGTACTAACTCTGTAATAGACGTATGGACAGTAGATGAACTAGTCCTCCGATCTGGCTCCGTCAACCGAAATGCAGCTGTTAAAGCCCTTGCTACTTGGGTAGACATGCAGATTCTGAAAGAAGACTCAGAGGGTGTTTTCCGGCTTCTCAGTGTTGCCGAGGGTCCTACAACAAGAAGTAGACCACAAGTACCTAAGCCTGGTTCGTTCATCTTTCGACGTCTGTATTCTTGTTGATTATCTCAATCACAGCAGAAATGGGGGAGTTACCGCCGGTAATGAGCGTGCAGCAGCAGCAGGCCGAACAAATGAAAATGTACTGGAAGGTAAGCTTTGTTCTTGTGTGCACTTCTCGCAGTGGATCTCACGGCAAAATGACGCGAAGTTCATCGAGGGAATGCTTACAAATCTTGGTTCGCTGCCGCTGGATCGAATACAATCGATGCTCAAGTTTGCTCCTGGCTACGATCGCACTGTAGAACAACTTGGGAGCTTTATGGAAGCTGCTCGAAGGGAAGGCTTGGTCAATGCTAAGGATGGCACGTGGAGACTTGGGAAGTAATGATTTCCTCGACGGTTTGCCACCTCATGACCTTATGGACGGGCTGGTCACCAGTCTAGAGATGAAGTGTGATATGGCAAACACAATATATGCACGAGATCGTTTATGATAACATAAATGAAGGCAAATCTTACAGCAGCGATTGCCATCGGTAAGCACAGTAACCCCAGTAAAAACCTTCCAGCCTAGCTATATCTACGATGGTAACATGTAATATGGTCAAGAATATCGCGAGAGCTACCCCAATCAGGAAATCGAAATATGTAATGTACAAAGAGATTCGAGGCACTTGTGTCCAATCAGTGGACATGGCCCGTGCGGTTTACATTACATGGAGGAAGGCTCGCCCTTGCAATACCCAGAAAGCAAAGATACATGAGCGCTTGCGTGTTCGAGCGCCTCGTAGTCTTCTTACATATACATCATTGGGTATTTGCGAAGGTTGCTAACGATCACAGTCGATGCACGAGATGCGAGGTAGAATCCTTCATGATTGAATTCAGGCTGATAGATATTTCCCTCGCAAGGGCTTCGGGAGTTTGTTGAACAATCTGTTCATATATAAGAATCGATCGCCCAGCCATCAAAATTGGATAACTTACATTATGGCCAGCTCCAGGCACCCTTTTCACAGACGCTGGTGATCTCCCCTGGGAGACGTCTGTCATGCAGTCTTGGAAATAGGATGGACTGTTAGAGGGAGCGGATCAGGGGAAGCTGAAATTTAAAACCACTGATACTCCTCACATGTAATCATGAACGGTTCCGAACACAATGTGTACGGGAACCACGCGGCAAAGGCGTGTATAATGATCGGTAGCTTCAAAGTGGCTTTCGATGTCCTGATAAGCAAGTGCTTCATGGTGTAAGTCGCATTTAAGAGCGACTTTTGTTTTCTTTTTGCTGCCATCTTGTATGCTAACTGGGTAAAACGCGTGTCGCTATATACGGCCGATTGGTTGATGATTTAAAATTCGTAGATAGAAAAAACTACTCACTTTGAAGACGTCAAATACCGCGTGATCAAATTCTGCCCAAGGCTTCCGGTTTCGGCAGTAATTGGCTGCCTCTTCCGAAGTATCAAACACACTAGGTCGACGGAGAGCAGCATTTATGCTTTTTCTCACTAGTGTTTCTCTTTCTATCAAGTGAGACATCCACAATTCGCGTGTAAGCATCGAAGGTTCAAGGAGAAATACTGCAACGAAGGGTTGATTGCGCATGGGAAATGCGCGTGTGGAGAGTATTCTGATGTTGAGGTCAGCTTGTGCGAATAGTGCGGGAAATGGAGTGACCGACATTGCGCTGGAACCCGCCGAGTGTCCGAAGCCGACCAGTTTGTGGCCGTTGAGAAACGGTGATTTCACAAAGGACGCAATCGCTGCTGCCCATTCTGCTATAGCTGGTATAGGTGTGAGGAAAGTGACAAGGGGGTTCTATTATCGGACTCACAAACGTCCCCCGGCGAACGGTGCTCGAGTGCAGCCTTGTTGATTATAGCGGCGTCCCCATGGTTCAACCAGTCGAAACACCAGGCCTCACGTATACAACTTGGCTGCTGCATGTTCTGGTGAGAGAACAGATGCTGAAGCATCGGTTCCCACTGCTCCTTGTCTACGCATTTTACGGCAGTCAGCCACACATGTACTTCAAAAAACACCAGCATACTAACGCGCGCCAACTCCATGCGCAAACAGAAGTGTCAGTCCTTGGGAGTCTGAAAAGGGGGTATGGTATCGTTTGGCGGTCATCTTTAGTCCAGGCAAACCCTGAAGTGGAGGTACATCAAACACAAACAGCTCAGATCTGAGTTGTAGAGAGGACATAGGTGATGACAGAGAAGAGGAAAAATACAGCCCACATCACTTGCACACTCGCTTAACAGGACCGACACGCAAAGGTATACTGATGCTGGTATTGGACTGATTACGGTGGCTTCGTGCCTTGATCTGCAAAGGGTAAAACATAATTAAAATTCATGAATAGGCCACAGGGAATTACAAACCACTCGGGAATACAACATGTGAACCAGCCGGCTGAGCGTTCCTGTTGCTAGACAAGTCATTATGTGTTCGGTGACGGCACAGTGTGGTACCCAGAGTATGTACATGTGCACGATCGTGACGGAAGGCAAGATTGTGATATCTTTGTGCCTCTAAACACCCGACCATTCGAGATTATCGCGGAAAGATCTGGTTTATTAGCGACATCACAAGGTCATTATCAAAGAGAGTCGTGTGAACATACCTACCAGGTGCATAGTACGCACTGGATATCGCAGGTCCGGTAAAGCCCTGGTCCCCTACATAGACCGAACAAAAGGAAGACAGTCGCTCCTTCTTAGGCCCCAGCGTTGTCAAAGATGGGTCAACTTCGCTGTCACACATGGTACCCGGGGATCCGAGTTACACACATGCTTCAAGTTCGTTCTTTTGGAATCTGATAATCAGAAATTGTATTAGTAGTAAATGTGAATCCGAGCGCACACACACCAAGCCAAGCCGAAACCTTGAAGGCGACTTGTCATAGAGTTCAAAATCAAAGTTTTTATTGCAGTTGATACTAAGAAAAAAAAGTCAGATTTTTCATCAAGGAGTCGGCGGCAGTGACAGAAAAGTAACTATTTCTACTTGTCAACGTCGCGGCAAGGCTCCCTCCTTCGCACGCGATGAGTGGAAAGGGCGGCATTGACACGTGAGTATTTCCACCAATCGCGTTACTCCATCAATTCCGTAAAGCTAGTCGTAAGCATCGACCTTCTTTTTGACAAGCGAAAATTACTATGGGTCTTTTGTTGAGGTAAAATAGTAGGCTTATGGTCGGTGCTTTGCGGAAGGAATGTGTTTTACAAGAAGAGTTTTTACTAAAAATCTTTAGCACGCCGAAAGAAAATCGTATAAAAGCAGGTGGCTCGTATCTCGAGCCTTAGCTGTCGTCCGACTCTCACTTTCCCTCTTCTCTATCTGTTTGCTCATGATGACCCACAACGAGCTATGGTTAACTTATCACCAAGCGTCACGCTGCAATAAGCCAGCGACGACTCAGTTGGTGGAACTCGAGTTTCAGAATGAGAAGTTAACTGACTTGGAGGATGTGCTCGAGCACTTATTCTGCCAGGGATTCGTCGAGGCCCAGCATCGGTCGCTGTCATATTGGGAGAACCACGACGGGCAGCGCCTCAACCCAAGTCATTCCCTGGAAGAACTGCTGACAGAAGGTGCAGGCAAATGTCCTCAGTCTGCTCTTAGGCTGGTCATCGGTGAGCAATCAATTTGGACGCGAAAATTGGTCCTGACCCCGTGAAGCCGATTGTCCGCCCCATTTATGGTTCAGTTATGTTTACTACTCACAAGAATGCAACGCCCGCCGTGACGCAGCGCGTTAAACTTTGCCATGCCCAGGAGGCAAAGCTTGAAATAATAGCCCACCTCACCAACCACATTTTCCGTAATGGTTATCTTGCCGCACGATATCGGACGGTGGTGACATGGCAGGGTACTTGTGGAAGGAAGATAGGAGAACACGAGAAGCTTGATGCTCTCCTTGCCGCAGGAGAGGGTCTCTCCGATACTTCTTCCCTGCGTCTCATTATAGGTAAAACTCGACATTGCCAGTCTTGCTAGGGATTTTGCTAATGGTGCCATAGATGATGCCCGCACACATACCGAACCATGTCATGCAGCTTGTCACTAGGAACGAGAGTTAGTGACCATTTTATGGAGGGGGTTGGGCTGGTGTATATTTCTCCTTATTGTGCTCTGGAAAGCACTATGACTTTGAACTATGGTTGGTAGTTGCAGGTATTTAACGTATAATGCCAGATTGTGAACGATCCGCCTCAGTCACACTACCGTGAACACGAGCAAGTTGACGTTCCTGCATAGACTTTGCGATAGCTAGAGGCGTTGAAATGTTGGAAATGAAGTGATTTTGCCTGGCAATTGCACACAGTGCCACTCCTGAGGCTGTACAGTTCTTAGTCATCCATCCGGGTTAGGGCCGGCGCGTTTGTGCTTCTTGCCGTAAGCAATCTCTTTCACCGTTCCTTGCACCTAGCTCATCATCATCCCGGTTGTCTTCATTTCATTACACTCACGACGGTGAAGCAATTTATCCCAGGTCGTGCCACGCTAAGCCATGGCGAAGAGGCATTACTCGGCTTTATCACAGCCCACCCTCTCGATGAGCGAGCTCATATGCAACACGCTCGATCATGACGCTACAGACATGTTAATCGACAAGTGGCTTGAGCATCGCAATGACGCGTATTGGGAATGGTTTCAAGGTGTAAGGGAGCGAAAACACGCCGCAAATTCTCTTAGACGCCAAGTCCTCGTCTGGAATAAAGGTGATTTCCTTCCAGAAAACATCTTCTGTCGTACAGTCGACACTGGTCGTCTGATTCCTCTGGATCGCACCTGGTCAACACATGTATATCACCACAGGTCAATGCAAGACCGAAAATTGTCCATGATGCCTGTTGTATTTACTATGGTAAGAACTTAGCTGACTAGATCTTGATTATCGTAACTAAGGATAATCTTAGCTGCCTGAGCTGATGATGCTCAGAGGAATGCATGACGTTGGCTGCGATGACGTATATATCATCGTCACAGACATGAAGCGTCAAGAGATGGACGATGTAACAGAATACTTCAACCTCGTTTGTCGACATGCATTTGGGCGCACGTGTAAACCCAGCATAGAGAACGAGATTCAGTACAATCGTTCGTGGCCATCAATCCATCGCCAGTCTGCATGTTGACGTTGATTTATGGGTCCTAGATATGCGTTTGAGCCATACTCTCCTCAAACAACGACGCACACCATGTTTTCCTCAGATTGATATCGCTTTCCGAGCCATTCTCTACGAGAAACGTCCGCCCTTCATCATCTTATTCTCCCATCAGACCACTTCCTATTCCCAAATTTTATTCACACACCCACTATTCGTTCCATCAGAAGACATATTTTTTGACTTTCCTAGTGGTTGTCCCAACCCATGCTGTAACGACGACTGCGAAATGATACGCTTTCCTCGTCGTGGCATTGAAGGTGCAGTGGTATTGTCGATCAAGCGCGGTCGTCGAAGCGGGAGGAAGGTGAGATCTCGAGAGATGTGCAACTGGATCGACTGCAGCATTTGTTTCAACGAAGACACATCGCAGTACGCCGAGAGTAGTGAAGGATCGCAGAGCAGCGCCGACAGTGGGGATACTCCGACCAACAATGGACTTGTGTGTAGCAAGTGCCGGTTGGTGAAGTACTGTTCTCCTGAACATCAGAAAAAGGACTGGGAAGAGCATCGTCGGGTTTGCGCTAAGTCAGCTTCTCTCATCTGACTGTACCTCGTGGACAGGCTCTTCACCCGAAGACATTGATATTCTTGCTGTTGTTGTACTTTGGTCTACTGCATTTTTACTGTATGCCAGTCATTATTTTTTTATTGTCTGCATCTTGTTGTAATTGCCATTACTGATGTGTTTATCGATTATTCATTATTATATTTGGACTTGGACTTTCTGCGACTTTCAAGTTCCCACCCTCGCCAGTTGAATATGTCCATCCGTTTCCTCACTGCGCAGTTGGCTCAACAGGTACATAGAACGTCCAGCGTTATCGTTGTGTGTTAACTACGAGCTCATGCGAGTAATGGACAGATTGATGAGGAGCTTATGAATGCTGTTGGGGCGTTTAGTTTGGATCAGGCACGGGGCTTCAGTCCTGTATCAACACACGATGCTCAACCATGATCCGTGTTGCAGTTGATGGAGTTGGCTGGATTGGCCTGCGCCCAAACGCTATCTACAGTGTACAGCAAGGAAAAGTATCCGAAAGTCTTGGTATGTTGTGGACCAGGAAATCAAGGAGGAGATGGATTGGTCGCGGCTAGACATCTTGGTACGCTCTCAGGGTGACCCACCCTCTTGCTCCAGTGTTGAATTTTCCTAGGGATGTTCGGTTACAAGCCAACGATTTACATGCCCAAGGTAAGACACGACCAGAAGTAACAGTCCCAAAGTGTAACCCCTAACAGCCAGGCTCAAAAGACATCTATCAGGTCAGTCCACATCGTGAAGTATTATTATCAGCATCTTAACGGGACAAGTAGCGCCTGCAAAAGCAATGCCTCAATATGGACATTCCCATCATCCCACCTCCAGCATCTGCTGAGGAGCTGCCTCGCGTCCTGCAATCCTCGAACCTCATTCTGGATGCCATTTTCGGGTTTTCGTTCAAACCGCCAGTGCGGGCACCGTTTGACGATGCCCTGAAGCTTATATCTGCATCCGGGCTCCCGATCGTCTCGGTGGATATTCCAAGTGGATGGGATGTCGAACTCGGAAATGCGGAAGGCGTCGGACTGAATCCTGACGTCCTGATCAGTTTGACAGCACCAAAGGTAGGAGCGAAGTACTTCAAAGGAAGACATTTTCTCGGAGGGCGTTTCGTGCCAAAGTAAGTATTGAACAGTTGAATCGCTGGAATGATATCCATACTTGCTGTCAGGGCAATGCAGGAGAAATTCCAGCTCAATCTTCCTGAGTATCCTGAATTCGATCAAGTTGTTGAACTGCCGAGGAACTATGGGATGTAACTTTATTTATCGTGTTCATGGTCACTAGGAGTAACAGAGCGGTTGCCCCACCAAATATGTACGCAATCAGTTTGATTCCAATCCAGCTTTCTACTATATGTAAAGGCTTTTTGTCGAGTACTTCATGGGCGTCTGTCTGAAAATGATAGCAGATACCACAAGGTGAAGTTTGACGAGTCGATGATACCCATATGTTAGTACATAAGTTTTCCAGTTGAATAAGATCATGCTGCTCGTGAAAGGCATTCGGAAATTATGTACTGTTTGGTCACCGTTTGTCTTCGCTACTAAGCATTCGGCCTGGCTTTGGAGGACTACTACTACCTGATCACTATTACCTTTCAATCGTCGAAACTGTATGATTCCACTAGCGCGAGCTTTATATGTTTCAGAAACCTCGCGATGCGCTGAATCTGCGACGTACGCGACGGAGCTAAATGATAGTTGGGTCATTGGGTCGTGAGTTTGCGATTATATCTAGTTGTGTGCTCATTGCGAAGGCGAGCCACGATCACTATCCAGAATTCCTCAAGGAGGTATGGATGTTGCTATATTCTGAAGATTGTTTTATGGTAATAAGACATCGCGCCAGGTTATACATTGGGGCAGATCATAGAGGCTTGCACTCGATTTCAATCGGAGACAGTACATAAAGATCCCATCCACGTAACCGCCCATTTTCTTCGTGCGACTAATGTTGGGCCTGCGGAAGTGCGCGTCAGTGTCCAGAAGATAGGGAAGAATTTTACAAACCTTTCAGCGGATCTCACTCAGGCGGTGAGTGACACGCCCACTCTCCGCAATTTGCTGTGTAGTTGACCGTGTGAGCAGGGACTCATCAGACTGACATCCCACCTTATTTTTGGTGATCTTACTCCTGTATCCGACGGAACTTCTCGCAGTTTGGCAGCGCCATCTCCATATGCCCGACGTCTACCCCTACACAATCATCCTTCTGCGGCCGTCCGAGATAGAATGAGGCATGTCTGGAGGTTCCACTCCCTTCTGAGTTGGTCCATAGACCACACCATCTTAGCGTGCAATGCCATGCGTAGCCAGACCCGAGCTCATACCGAAATAATAGGTGGAGGAGGCGCCGAGTGGGGTGCATGGTGTGAGCTAAACAGAACAGAAGATGAAATAAAGCCATCGTCTATGCCATTTTTTGGAGACATGTTCCTCAATCTCCCTTCCCTCCTACCTGACTCAGAGCCAGCTAGTCACGGAACATCAGACTGGTTCGTTCGGTCCTGTGTTCAAGTCGCGTAACATTGACTCCCTTCTGTAGTTGGTTCCCAACCGTGACCATGACAGTCGAATTCAAGGCCCGTATTCCCTCATCTCAGGATCATGCCTCTCGGACGGTCGGATTATACAGCGAATCACGTTTTTTGACGGATCCCCATGGAAGACATAATGCCCACGTGGAAGTCTGGACTGCCCCCTCTGCAATTGGCCAGGGTAAACTAGAAACCGGTTGGAGGGACAAGCAGTACTGCATTGCAGTTGTTGATCAAATGGCTGTCACTGTGCCTATGGACCTCAACCATCGTCAAGGTAGCAGGAACAAAGTGAAGACCAAGCTGTAGACTACTAACCGGTGATACTGGCATCTAGTAGTTTCGAGAATCAAGACATATTTGAACTGGATTTAGGGTTCCTACCGATACCCGAATGGCCGGAATGCAGCTATCGCCGGCTGCACGCGTGAGTGCGGAGGCACTTTGTAGGATGTTGCAATAACGTTGCAATATTGTCACTCGGATCCCAATGCCTGGATTAGCCATATTCAAGACTCCATATTTGTCTCTGAGGACAGCCTAGAGCGTAATTCTTCCCACTGAGACGGCTGACCGTGAGAACCGCTCTCAGGATTAACCAAACGAGGGATCGGCGTACCAGCCCGGATTGGCACCTATTGTTAACCTTCTCTGTCTTGTTCAGACCGGACATATGGAAGCTGCGCTATCTCGCTGTTTTCCACAGATCGGATGGAAGCTTTGCTATCAGAGACACGGCTACGCCAAGCTCCGGCTCACCGACCCTGCTTGGCCATACTAGCTTTACCGTTATTCTGCCAGGGGTATTGATGTTTGCTTGCGAGTGAACATGTATACTTGTGGTGGCTCTTTCATGACAGGTTGGTGGCATGGTGCCGTGACGTGGAGCGATTGTGGCTTCGATAAATTATCAATAGGTTCACACTCCTCGGATCTTAAACTTCTCTCCGGTCTTTGCTCGGAGCTGCAGTGCCCCATACTCGTGCCTGCACTCATTCTGATCATGATTGTTCTTGTCTCATTGTGAGGCCACGATGTATACTGTGGCGACACGTCAATCAAGGTTATTTTTGGGAGGCTCTCCTCCTGAAAGGGTCCTTCTTTCCCCTGCCAGTGCTTTATAGCATCCATATACCTATCCCCCGGCTACTAGTGATGCCCTGGAGCCTTAGCACCTGTCTCTAACACGACTTATATAAACGGTATCACTCAACGCAGTTGTCTTCACCTCATCCCCCCAACTTTGTTATCTCAATTACTCAAACCATGTCACACGTTGTTATTCGTGGAATCCCCTTTGTGACTCGTCTGCGTGCAGCCAAAGGTGGTGCCAAGGAGCTTCTTGAGCGCGACCGCGCCCGTGCACAGAAGTTCCTGGCTGGCAAGTCCCACCATGCCTTCGTGGCTGCCAAAGCCAAAGGCGCCAGCAGCACCAGCACAGACTCCAGCATCGATGTCACCGATTCAGGTGTCACTTACACCATGCAAGTCGGTGTTGGAACCCCAGCGACCGATTATACATTGTTGATCGACACTGGTTAGTGGAACACTAGTGACGTGAATACATTGGCACTCATTAACAATATTTCAGGTAGTTCGAATACTTGGGTTGGTGCAAACCTACCATACAAACCTACAAGCTCCAGTCACGACACTGGTAACACCGTAGTAAGCTAGCTGCTCTTAGTGGTATGATGCTGTTAATAGACTGGTCTGGAACTTAGAACGTCAGCTATGGTTCTGGAACTATGTCCGGAAAGGAATGTAAGGACGGCTTCTTTCGGCTATGATCGCACCAACTAAATGTGGCTCAGACACCGACACCGTGACCTTAGGGTCAAGCTTAGTTATCCAGAACCAAGGCATTGGCGTGGCTTCATCCGCGCAAGGGTTCGAGGGCGTCGATGGCATATTGGGGTAACATTTGGTCTGAGAAGTAATGACTCGTAGTGCTGATGAGTTTCCGCAGTGTTGGTCCCGTAGACCTTACACAGGGCACCGTGTCTAACACGCCGGATGTGCCTACGGTCACTGACAACTTATACGCTCAGGGGACAATCTCTTCCAATTTACTCGGTATCTCCTATGAGCCGTCCTCCACGTCTGATGTAGCCAATGGAGAACTCACATTCGGTGGGACTGATAGCACCAAGTTAGAAGGCATATTTCCTTTGGTTCTGACCTTGTCTGACGTTATGTCAGGTACACTGGCACACTCAATACCATTCCGCTTACCACCACCTCCCCGGCCTCAGCGGTAAATCACAGCCTTACCGAAATCGTATTGCTTACTAATCAATCCTGACGATCATTCATCTTAGTATTGGGGTATCAACCAGTCGGTATCGTACGGCACCAGCCAAACAATCTTGAATACGACTGCCGGCATTGTGGACACTGGCACCACCCTTCTTCTCCTTGCCACTGGTATGCACATGTCTGACTTTGATATTTGTCACTCACCGAAATGTGCAGAGGCCTTCCAGGCCTATCAGAAGGCAACTGGTGCCGTCGCAGACCCGTGAGTCCAGCTTGATGAGCCTGTGATTTCTGTCATCTTATGTGGATTATGTGGACCAGGACCACAGGTCTGCTAACCATCACGCAGCAACAATACGCTAATCTTAAAAGCTTGTACTTCAAGATAGGCGGTGTAAGTCTTGCTATCATACGATGAATCTCCGATTGATTATTGGAATAGGTCACGTACGACTTCACGCCTAATGCTCAAATCTGGCCACGTAACCTGAACAGCACCCTCGGAGGAAATGAGGGACAAATCTATCTGATTGTGTCTGACCTTGGTTCCTCTGTGGGGAGCGGGCTGGACTTCATAAGTACGTCCCATAATATCTTACTGGGATGTTGTTCTTACAACGCCATGCGCATTTCAGACGGATTTGGCTGGATTCAACGGTTTTACACTGCTTTCGATACCGGGAACAAGCAGCTCGGTCTCGCAACTACAGAATACACTAATGCTGATACCAACTGATGATGATTCCCACCAAGTCCCCATACCGTTTTCTGTCGCATAATTCTTTTGTTTTGAGGACCACACACTTTACGTTGCATACCCAATCTGTTAAAGTCTACTTTTTAAATAGTTTCAGGCATGTCCTAGTATTCGCTGTGCCTATTGACTGTACTAGAGAAAATCACACCCTTGTCATTAGCATGACGACAGTCAGATGTAACGCCAGATCTCAGAGGTTAAAATATACGGTGATTATGGCTCGTCGCATACAACATCATTATCGAATACTGGTGAGGGCCACTGCAGTGATTCGTTTTGTTGAGTCAATTTATATACTTCCAAAACACCCTTCACCCTAATTCAGAGCACTTGAGCTCTACAACATTTTCTCAAGCCCTAACATTGTACGTGATTCGGATTTCCTACATACACAATTGGTAATGCGATTTTAAAGTATTAATTAATTAATCACTGTCATGAAAATTGTGGGGGCGTGTGGGAACTTTGATTAATGAACTTCTGGGCGCTCTATGTTTGCTCTAGCGAACCCCCCCGTAGTACCACCGCCAACCTTAACTTTGACGCCTAGCTATATCATTCCTTGCACCTAAATCTCTCACCCCTGCCAAATTTCGCGATGTGCTTGACTTGCTTGACAGCTATCTTCATAATGATAGACCAGAGTTGCAAAATTCCAACTTTTGTTTCAAGTTGTTGGAAGATACCAAACATGCTAGAATTTTATGCTATGATTATAGCGGGCTACTTTTGTAAGTCATCATCATAACTTGCAGAGTATTATTACAACGACTGCCAACTGTCATCATCATGCACGGAATCCGTCGACGCATACAATATATCAATAATCAGATGCTGCGAAACGGCAGTAGGTTACCATGTCCACACGCAATATGATTGCGTCTCATTGTACATGGTTTGGTTCCGACAGTCAAATAAATGCTCCCCCTCAACCGCGTAATCAACGTCGGTATCTCTCGCGTGAGTCGTTTGACCTTGCAATTGATTCCAGCGAGTGGGAGGAATTAATTGCGTCTGAACCCGCATTATCACACCACGTCTTTGTACGCCAACAGCAGCTCAAGGATTTGAAGATGCACGATAACCCGACACTTATGTTTGGTGGTACAAGGACGTGGAACACACAGTCCCTCTACTGTGCATGCAACAACTTCAGACCGCACAACACATTTCTTAGATGGTCACGAGGACTCCACTGCCAGTCATACTACTGCATAACTTGAAGTGAAAGAGAAAATGCTCGAGGACAGTAACTTCCCTACTATATGTACACCGTTACTTGAAGTAATACTTCAGTTTTTCGACAGACTATCTATAATGTTGGAGAGGAACTTGAAAAGTGGACTACTATCTGCTCAGGTACAAAAAATGCTCGACATGATGTCATTCACACCACCATTAGTTGAAAAGTTTTTAAATAACAGCTAATAAATCCTTTCAGGTCTAAAAGTCGCCAGGATTTTTCAACCGTAGCCTATAAGCAGGAGGCACGCGTCCCTGGACATTTGACATGAATTTTTGATCCAGCAGCCGCTTCTACTAGTTGTAGTATTGGTCTTCCCAGCCGTCTCTTCCATCGACATCATCCAGCACTTATCTCCCTCACTTGTCGTTGGCTTATCGCTTGAATTCTGTAACTTTTCTTCTCGACTCCGCCTGCCAGAAAACGAGACCATGTCACAAGAGCGGCTGGCCCGTCGTGCTCAATCAACCTCACCCATGCATACCGCAACTAGTACCAGTCGATGCCAGAAGCAAAGCTCCATACAGACGAACAAATCAACCAGAATGTTGATGCCATAATAAATTTATCAACTTTCTTGTACACTGTTTATCGCTTGAACATCGTAGGCGTCAATGTTCTGGAAACGCTCCACTCGGCAGCAAAAAGGATAGCAAGGATAGCGTATACATAGCTATATATCGTCCATATTACGATATTATCACGATACCCCTTCTGATCTGAATACAATCCAAGGGGTTTAGTCTCGAATAAGTTGGAGGAAATCTGGTGCAGCACAGCCAATCATTCATACCGACGAACTCTCAAAGGTACTCCAGTACCATCCTCTCCAACAACTCGTGGACGGGGTAAAAGTCCCCTCACAATTTCGACTGGAGTATCCAGTCCATCCCGCATCTCAAACACGAAGTTCTTCACCAGAACCGATAAAACCGTCTGTATCGCACTGAATAACATTCAAAATGAGTGATTCGCCTCACTCACCTTGAATTCCATTATCGCAAAATCTTTTCCAAGACACGTCCTCGGGCCATCGACGAATGTCAGCAGATGCCTATGGCCTTGGACTTCCTTGGCCTTCCCACTGATGCCGTCTTCAGTCAGCCAACGTTCAGGCTTGAATTCCTTTGCCTGAGGTCCCCAGATAGCTGAAGAGCGATTGATCGCCGCAACTGATATTGTGATCAATGTACCTTTCGCTATAGATATACTGTCCGTCATGTTCCCGGACACTGTGCGCACGGGTTCGCTTAAAGGAATAACGTCATCTGCCGCTGCCTGTGGACCTAAAGTTATTGTGTCTGTTCATATGTAGAGATGCCCACTCACAAGACGAGTGAATTCCGGCACTGGAGGATGGAGTCGTAAAATTTCATGAACGACCGCATCCAAATATGGGAGGTTGACTTTTAATTGATCATATGTTGGATCAGCGCCAAACGCAATCAGTTCCCCTCTAAGCCTGGTTTGGACATCGGGGTGTCGCGATAGCTCGATCAGCGCCCACTGATAATCATATTAATAGTGTGCACAGAGCGTCATCGGACAGTGGGATTACCGTAAGACTGACTGTCGATGAAAAGTCAGCCAGTATGATAGCAGCGGACAAAGAGTTGACTCACTGGATGTCGTCTCATAACCCGCAAGAAGCAAGACCTTCATCTGCAGATTGTGAGTCCGTAATCATGACTGTGATACATTGTCTCCACGGACCTGAGCCATTACTTCCTCCTCCGACATATGAAGCTCGGCATCTTGAGCTTCGGATTTGACTGATCGCTGCGTCAATAAAGAGACTACAATATATCTCCCAAGAGCGTACTCAACAACCCGATGATGGAGTTTCCCTGGTCTCCCTCGCTCGTATTTACATCCTTCTCCCGGCGGCTGCGAATCAATAACTCGTTGGATATTTGTTCCATGGTCACGCTAAGTTTCTTGATCATATTCGTCCGCTTAGTGGGAATCTTGGTAATGATAGGAAATGATGATGCGAGCAGGATAAAAACTCGGTTCACTGCTGAAACCTGTTGGTTGCTTCCGAAAGTATCAAACACTTCAGTTACGCTGGCACGCTTTCCATCGAGCGCGCCAAAATCGTGGGAGAACCCAGCAATACCAACTGTGTCCAGACTTACGTTGTGTCATTTTGAGGTGCCAATGGCAAAATATTTTTGCGTACGATATATAATTCATCCTTTGAGTCATGTCGATTAGGAACGCCACTTGACAAGTCAAAAAAGTTACGCACCAGTTCTGGACCTCAATGATAGCGTCGCCATCTTTGCTCGATTCTATGGCAGTATCCCATCCAGCTTTGGCCTGTAAGGTATCAAGTTCAGAGATAGGCTACATTTCTCACATCGCAAAATCCTTACCTTGTATGCTGAGTCATAGAATACCGATGTGAGCTTTCGAATCGCTGCATTGCTGAATGCTGGCGTGAGGGCCTTCCGCTGCCTAATTCGCAGGGAGTTGATTAGTTGCTTGCGCAAGGACAGGAGCTGAAAGGCACCTCCTGTGGGTTTCGCCCTGAGACCATAGTAGCCCTTTGCCGACCTGACAAGAGATATGAAACAGACGAGGTGATATGATGACTTTAACATACTGATGACTCCAGAACCGCCAGTGAAAGGGGCGTCTGCACGTATGTCCATGTCTCTCGGGCATAGAAATGTGCTATAGCTCTTGGGTCACACAGCACGACTCTAGTTTGCCCGAGGACACTCGGAATCATATAGGCCACCCCATATTCTGTCGCCCAACATTCATACATTGCAGCACTATCATGAGATGAGGCGAGGTCGTATGAAACACCGTATATGAGGCTGGTACTAGGCGGACCTGGCAACTGAGTCGTCTTCAATCGCCAGCGAAGTGCCCTTAGGACTTTGACAAAAGCCCATAATGCAGTAAATGAACAAGCGACATTGAATGGGCCAACCGAACGGATGGTTGTCCAGAGACTTGATGGAGAGGGTACAGGGATGGTAGAGATGTTCATTGTTATGTTTGATTCAAAGTGGGATCCATGGGGGGATCATTTATACCCGTATCTGTGGCTGATGGCAGCTGCTTAGGCTACGAAGTTGAAAGGCACAGATGACTACTGTGCCGGATTGTTGCACGACTGCGGAAGTAGGTTTTCGTCATCTGAATTAAAAGTGCCGAGGACTGATCATGAGTTGCACGCAAGTCTCGGACACGCTCCGCAAAGTCAAACTGACTTAGGCGTTACAGAAGTACTCTACGCATTTGTTTCCGGGTCCACGTACTGTGAAAACCACTTGTTATATACGTTCTGCGCGCACTGCCAACGGTCACATGATGCTGCCCGTACCTAGAAAAATTTTCTGTCGAGTGTCAAGCTCGGACTCCATGGACACGAGTGGGCAGGCCAGTCAGCCTGCAAGTGAATAGAATGATGAATCTTGAGTGGGAGCCCAAGCTTAAAGTTCAAGTCATCCTAAATTGCAGCTGCAATGACTAGCCTAGTTATAGCTAGTACGGCACCAGACTCCTACCCATCGGCAGGTGTGTAAGAGAGCCCACGGCATCCAGCCACAAACCAAACACGACCACATGAAATTTCTCCGACGATATACCGAAACTTTTTGGGCTACTTACACACCCAGCCGACTGGCAAAACTTGCAAGTGGCGCGAGCTTTGGTTGTGTTGATTGCGTTACATTTTCACTGATCTGTACATGTGACTCGATATATGTGACAGCGTCAATCGTGTACCTCGTTATTTAATTTTTATTGAGGCTTGTGAGAACTCTGTCGGAAATTTCCTAGAAGCATTGCAATGATGTGACATTGCAATTGTCATTGAGATGTCACTTCTACGATATCATGTGGTGTTCTAATCGATAAGAATAACTGATAATTGTGACAATTATCTTGTTGATGTTGACATGTTATTCCCACGATTGTGCGCGCCGTTTGAATGCATTGGAATGCGACTCCAGCACATCTCCATCGATAACGTTGATGTCCATATTCCCTTCATATTCTTGTATTCACACTTACTTTTGAGTTTTATACACCTTCATGCCACCCAAACGGACCTCGATCTGTGAAACATGCCGCCAGAAATTCAAAAGTCGCGGACTTGCTGCCCATCAAAAAGCCTGCAGGAGGGATGCTACACGGATGCAGGAAGATCTTGAGAGACAGAATGCTCGAGCAGGTGAGTTTTCTATATTTTGTTCCAAAAACACTGAGTATAATTCCTCTTGACAGCTGCTCAAGCACACACTGAGCTGTTGAACCTGGCTCAATCTCGTCCAATCCTGCATCAATCACAACGACCAGGCGCGTCCCAAGGTCTGATTCATTTTTTCATAGATTCGTGTTTTATTTAACAATTTGTAGGCTTTCATGCGGCTCCTGCTGCTTGTGAACCTACATTTGACGACTTGGAGTATGCACATCTCGATGAACTTGGAGGTATGTCAATTCTTTACTGTCAATAAACCGGTCGGTCATCATAACATTATATAGGTCTATCAAATGATCATGTCCTTCCACCTGCAATACAGCAGGATGATATCAGGACAGAGTATCATCCACGTAGTGGCATCCCTACAAAGACTGATCACTTTGCCGATTTTCGCTGCAACACTGCTGCTCCCTCACTCGCACCTGAAAATACCACTCCCTGGGAACTGTTTTCCTCGCGTATTGACTTCGACTTTGCTGAACTGATTCTGAAAGCCAACCTCACGAAACTGCAGACAAACGAACTCATCGGTCTCATCCGTCGTGCTGCGCTTGAAAGATTCTCAGTCACCGACTATGACGGCATCTGTAAGCTGTGGGATGCTGCATCTTCACGCCATGCAAAAGTGAGCCTCTTCTGAGTACTGACTTATTACTATACCTCATTGACAATCAGTTTTCCAAGTACAGTTCAAAAAGGAAGTGATTTCGGTCCCACATAGGGACCAGGAGCACAACTTTGATGTCTGGTATACAGTATAGGACCGGTCGTTTACCCACCCCCATTCGTTTACCCACCTCAGGTAAAACTTTTGATTTCTTCATTTTTTTGTATCGACATATAGAAAGTAATTAAAGATGAGGCCTCAATGGATATTGCTATAGTATATGATGGATGTGCAATGTCTGCGATGTTGTGCACGACACAAATTAGTTGTTTTTTTCTTCCTCAGTGAATTCTATTCAGAGCAATAGTAGATCAATAAATTTTTTAAAGAAAAAGTGGCTGGTATGATACAAAGTATATACTTCAAACATCATTTTCACCTGCAACAGATTTGTGCAAGTCTCCTTTGTTCCTTCTACAGAGTGGATATATTGAACACAGGTAGTTTTTGAAGGTCTTATCTTAGCGAGTGTGTCACACGTAGCTGTCACGCTTCCCAACTCTAAACTCGTAAAGCAATATATTGTAATTTGTGTCACTAAAAACCATGGTAGGACGAGCAAAATCTCATACAAAAAAAAAGGCAGATTCTACGAGAAGAAAATGACATGATCATGGCTCGGGCAGTGGCTATTTACCAGGCTGAGCTTGCAAAGGAACCCACAGAGGACAAAAAAGGACGACGAACAGTTTGCCGTGAAGTCGAAAAGGAATATCTTGTGGAGACAGGAAGAGTCATCAAACTCAATGACAGCACACTTGCGAATCTGGCAAAAGGTGGTAGGAGGCTTAGTGACTTCAATGCAGAGAAAGGTTGGCTCACCCCAGAGGAGACGGAGAGAGTAATAGAGTATTCTGTCGAGACGGCACGGCGAGGATTCCCACTCAGCCACAAACGACTCAAGGAGCACGTTAATGAAATTCTTCACACTCGACTTGGTGACAAATTTCCCGAGACAGGTGTCGGCAAAAATTGGACAGATCGTTTCATCGAGAAGCATTCAAATAGGCTGGGCACCTACTATGCTCGAGGTCTTGACAGTGCCCGTGGCCGTGCTGTTAATCCAGCCACCAAAAATGCCTATTTCAGTCTTCTGCATGATACATTGTCAACAGGAGATAATGGCAAACCAATCGAGCCTCATTGCATTTGGGCATTTGACGAGTCTGGTTTCCAAGGAGCTGATGAGGGGAAGGAGCGAGTGATAGGAGCGAGTGGTGTCCATACCGTGTACGAGCAGCAAAGTGGGAGCAAGGAGCTGACAACTGTAATTGTCAGCATCTGTGCAGACGGAGAGACTGCACCACCATGTGTTATCTTCAAGGGAAAGGGTTATCGCACAAACTGGTGTCAAGAAAACCCTGCAAATGCATCGTAAGCACCCTCGGCTGTTAACCCTAATAATTCTACTAAAACGGTCCTTTAGCCTTGGATATTCAGCCAAAGGCTGGACTGATGGCGAGCTCGGAGTACTTTGGATCCAACACTTCGACGAACATACTCGAGACAAAGCCAATGGCTCTGCACGGCTTCTCCTTGTTGATGGTCACTCGTCTCACTACACACGTGCTTTCTTAGAATATGCACGCACACATAACATTCACGTCTTGTGTTACCCATCCCACAGCACCCACATCTACCAGGGTCTCGATGTTGTTGTATTCAGCAGACTGAAAGCTTGCTGGGCAGAGGAGAAAGCCCGGTGGCAAAGGGAACGCGGCGAAGAGCTTTCGAAGCAAATTTTTTTAGCTATCTATGGATATGCTCATAACCGTGCACTCACAACAGAACTCGTCAAAGCTGCATTCGAGAAGACAGGGGTCCACCTGTTCAACCCAAATGTTGTCACGGAGGATGTCATGGCACCAAGTCAGGAGACATCATGCCGTGGTCACCTGCCACTCATCCAAACAACACCAGTTCGCCTCGTGTCCCAATTAATTCGCAGGGCAACAGAAGTGTTATCTAGTCCAGCACGAACCGAGTCAGACTCGAACCAAGATTCATTAATTCCACAACCCTTACCTTTGACTCCGTCACATGCAGAGCAGTTTCCGTGGCATGAATCTGCACGAATGACAGTCAATAGCTTGGCTACAACATCCGCAGCATTCCTGTTTACCTTGAGTCCTGTCTGCTCGACATCTCGAGTACCTATGTACATGCCACAGATAGTATCACCGCTGCAGTACAAACGGTACAGAAAAATTTTAGACTGTCCTCCGAAAACCGAGGCGGAGCACGAGCTACAAGTTGCTTTGCGGGAGTCAGAGCAACGCGAGGAGGAAACCAAGCGCCAAATGATTGGCTTACAGGCAGCATCTGTCCTACAGATCCAATACTGTGATCGAGTACGTGGTCAGCTTGCAGCACAAGAAGAAAAAGCAGGGAGGAAGAAGGGTACAAGGCTCATTGGTGATGGCTTACCTCATATGCTCACTGGTGATGTCTTCGTGGCACAGGTTATCACACACGAGAATGCGATGGAGGCAGAAGCTAGAGATAAAGAGATGAGGGCCAAGAGAAGGGCAGAACGTTCTGAAGAACTCGCACATTGGAAGAGAGAGGAGATAGAGCGGAAAGAACGAAACAAAGCAACAAGAGCAAATTTCGAGGCACAGAAGGTTGAGTGGGAGGCAGAGCGAGATTTGGCGAAGTTGGAGAAACGGAGGCCACGGTGGAACAAACCAAAGATGGGAGAGATTGAGAAACCTGTGTCGAGGCCAGAGCGAGTTCAGCCAGAGGTTTATGACAGCGAGCAAGAAGATGATGATGGAGAAGAAGAAGGTTGACGAGCGTGTGTTTTTGTTTAATCTCGCATCAATGTCGCATCATCTTATCATTGCCTTATTGAATTACAAATTTACGGCGCGCTGTGTGATGTGACATCAAAAATTACTAAAACGAGGTGGGTAAAGGACTTGTGAAGTCAAAGATAAGGTTGTTTTCAATGATTTTGCTGCGACACACCAGCATCGTCACCGATAGCTCTAAATTTCGAATCACAGTATTTACATGTATGTTAGAGAATTACTGTCTATTACAATTTTCCAAAAAGAAAGCCAGTGTAAAGTGACATGCATTTCAATTTGTTGTGGGTAAACGACCGGTCCTATACTGTAGGCCGCTCTGGGATTGGGCATGTGACTTGTTGAAAGACCCTCGCCTTGGTCCGCATTTTGTGTTCGATGCTCAACGGTTGTACAAATTTGACGGACAAGACTTTGTACGTTTCTTTGACGAGCCATGGACAGCTAATGCCTTTTGGGATTGTCAAGTATGTATGTGCTACTAAATTTGAATGTTCTAACAATGTAAATGCATGTTTCATAGTCATCCTTGCCGAAGGATGAAGGAAAGCCCTTTGCTTTCATTATATATGCTGATAAGGCAAAGCTCTCCTCATTTGGTCGTCAAAAGGCATATCCCGTCATTGCACGATGTGCGAATTTACCTGTGGGAATATGCAATGGTGAAGGTTTCGGCGGCGGTCGCCTTGTAGGCTGGCTTCCGATTGTATGAGAAATTATTCGATTTGCTGTTGGCTTCTATGCTTATGACTTTTTGTAGGTCGAAGAAGACAGAAAGTATTCCGGGACTCAGTCCTTTGTCAATTTCAAGAATGTCATCTGGCATGAATCATTCAAGCGTCTTCTCAAATCAATTGCGCTGCTCTCGAAAACCGGTTGTTGGGTCATGTGTTGGGATAACATCAAGTGTCTCTTTTACCCGCTTATTCTCATTTTATCAGCTGACTACGAGGAGCAGTAGGTGTATTGCCTTGTCATTATAGTTTTCTAATGGTTATTCTACAGATGTGTTATGGCATTGATACGCGGAACCAAGTGCAAATGTCCTTGTCCCGTTTGTCTCGTTCCTAGAGAAGAGCTTGGGAATGTACTGACATCGTACCCACTGCGAACAAGCGCGTCTGTTCAAGCGACAATCACAGAGGCTCGAAGTTTCAGTCGACAAGAAGACAAAGAAAAGTTATTAATGTCTCAAGGCCTCCGAGACGTAGACGTAAGTTCCTTTCGCTGTATTCTCATTCTCAACTCTAATTGATTCCTTTTAGAATGCATTTTCAGATGTTGCTCACACAGACATCCATTCTGCAGTCTCATTTGACCGCTTACATGTAAATAATGAAGGTAATTTTTCTGACCATTTGTGGACTCAGTTTCAGAAACGCATCAAATCAGTTGGTCGGCAGATACAGTCTGAAATCGATGTACAGTACATTTTTCAACTTCGGGTACAGCAGCTACTGACTTAACAACTGGAATAGCTTTGACTCAATGCCTCGTTGGCGCAACATCAATAATTTTAAGCATGTCATGGACATATCATTTTCTGACGGCTCGAAGTATGAAGATATCTCTAAGGTAAGGTGTTTCATTGTCTCTCACTTGTACTGATTCTGATGGTTCTGTAGCTTATCATATTTGCCGCACATGACGTCATTGACCGAGGCACTCACACACTCCCTTATCTGCTCCTTCGATGCATCCGTGAATACGTGAACATCGACATGTATGCTGCTCTTGAAGTGCACACATCGGAAACCATTGCTGCGGGCTGTCTGGCCATAACGGAGTTCACACAACTATTGGAGGTCAGTTTCTTGTTTGAGTTGTGTTCAAGTTTTACTGACAATCCAAATTATAAGCGATATAGCGCAAAAGATGACTCAGGAAAGAATTGGGCATACCCGAAACGGCATGCATATGCCCACCTGTTCGATGATATTGAAGCAAAGGGTGCTACACAGAATACTAACACCAAGCCAAATGAGAAGTGTCATGGCCCAATCAGACAGATTTATCTTCGGGGGACGAACTTCAAAAATATTGCTGAACAGGTGTGTACTCTCATTTATTCGTGAAGCGGGACAGAATTGCATTGATCTTACACAGGTACTTCGCCTCGACCATTGCTTCCTCATTGCGCATTCAATTCGTTTGGATATTGAGGATTATGATGACCTCATTGTGTCTCAAAAGGACCCTTCGTACTTGAGCGGTGCGGACAATGATGAAGACCTCGACAATGACTTGGACGTCACACTTCATGTTAAGTTGGGTGCAGCAGCAAAACGAGCAAACATTTGCGGCCTTGGAGCAAGAGCATGCAAGCGATAATGCATTCAATCGGTTTCGCATCAAGCTTGCAAACTTTCTGAGTGATTCCCTCCCTGCTCACGGAATACCGCTACCTGGCGGAAAACGAATCAAGTTCATGCCTGATGAAACTGTATGTCATTTTGTTATTTTCTGATTCACGACTAACACATAGAATGCAGGTAACCGAGCATCGCTTCGTAAAGGTCAACTATGAGTCCATTGTGGACTGGCGCACTGCTACAGACTATCTTCGATGTAGTCCCTCATTTCACAACTTCCCTCGATATGACTGTGTCATCCTTCAAACTCAAGCCGGAGTGATATTTGGGCGTTTACTGATGCTTTTCACTTGTGTCGTGGATGGTCAAACTCATCCAGTTGCTCTCGTTCATCCATATGATGCTCTGGTTGGACAACGCTCTCTCAAAGATAAACACTTTCAGTTCTGGCGTATTCGTCAAAGACCGAGGATCTCATCCAAATTTTTTTCAGTTCACTCAATCATCCGTGGCGCAGCACTTGCAGAAGATCATATCATCCAGGGTGATTACCTGGTTATTGACACAATTGACACTGACATGTTCTTGCGCATGAAGGTGCACAAGTCTGCCGGTCATGTGGAATGAAGAACTGGCATTGTCTTGTCTTATATCTCCATCATGCTCACTCTCTGCTCGCTTGACTCTCAATTCTTGTATCCCCCATCATGCTCGCCTTTCGCTCACCCATCACACTCACCTTTTGCTCGTTTGACTCTCAATCCTTCCACCTCAGTCATACTCACCTTCTTGGCTACCATCTCAGTCATGCTCACCTTTTGCTCGTTTGACTCTCAATCCTTCCTTCTCGGTCATGCTCACCTTCTTGGCTACCATCACAAAACATGCTCACCTTTTGCTCGTTCGACTCTCAATCCTTCCACCTCGGTCATACTCACCTTCTTGGCTACCATCTTGGTCATGCTCACCTTTTGCTTGTTCGACTCTCAATCCTTCCTTCTTGGCCATGCTCACCTTCTTGGCTACCATCACAAAACATGCTGAGACACTTTCCGGATTGGATATCACAGCCGCTGGCTGCTCACACTCGCCGTGAGGAAGCCCATGTGTTCATTGGTGTCAACATAAGGTAATGATTACACTCTCGGTTGTGCCATGTAAGTGAACCACGCATGATTTTACCTGTTATCATTGGATTGACTTAGTCTATTCAGGGCCTAATTACCTTGTCACCAACATGAGGCATCGCCTAATCCCTTATATCAGGCACCTCGAACAACTTTTTTTCGTTGCCTTTCCTTTCATCAAACTGCTCTGGTCATTTCTGCAATCACAATGCCACCATCGAGCACCATATCCCTCGCTGATCTCGAACAGGTATGCGTAGGCTCCATCACTGTTGCTTATGTCTGAATCTTCAAACTTTTATTTCAGGCATTGCGAGAAACACAGCTCGAGTTGCAAGAACTCAAGGACGTCAATAAGGAGTTGACGGAGGAGAACAAGATCCTCAAGGCAAACCAGCTGAAGCGGAAGAAGAAGGGTCAGAATGCCTCCGAGGAGCACATGGCCTTCGATGAAGAAATCCGCTTATGTGGTCGCAAATATGGTGCCTGCTACTGAAATGTTTGCACCAGACAGGCAACTTCTTCAGCCTCCCAATCCTGCATTTGCTCCACCTCTCAACAAATCATCACGCTATGAAACGCAGGCCTCAGCGGAGTCAGCCTTGCTCGCAGAGCTATTCAGTTTACTCCCATCGCACATCCACCCTCTGGTTGCGGATAATCACTTCGCGGATGTTGTAAGTAATGTCTTTATTTCATTGATTATTGCTGATAGTACTTTAGTTTGAGGATGCAATGAACAGTAGCCGTGCATCCGAAATCAAGAAACTGCGCTCCAAAGTTGGGCTTATCTTTGGTCTCTCTGAACAGTATTTCGCTGATATAGTGTATGACCGAGCAAGTGTACCTGAGATCCAGGGTCTCCTCGGTACCTCTACATCCCAGCGTATGCCCAAGCCTTTTCCACCCATCCTTTTCCCGAATCTCGTCGAAGATCCCTCGCTGAAAACGGTCTTTGGAAATTGGGAACCCTTCGGCAAGGTGTGTGATTGTGTCTCTTAATTTAATACTTATATTTATCATATAATATGTCTTACCCGTCGTGTTTTCAGGCTATCCGGATTCTGCTGTGGGGTGAGAACGGCTTGACTGCGCTACGAGCAGGAGGACCTCCGCGAAATGGTAATAGGTGGGAGGTGACATCTTTTACACCCGGTTTGTTGGCGTGGGTGGGTGTAGTTGTGAGTTTTTGTGTGTCGGAAGAGTCTTGCCTGATGTGTTTTTGTCAGGTTGTTTTTCTACTGAGTGCTGACAAGGAATTTCGCTATTCCAGCAAGGGCGAGATGACGAAGATCCAGTACAGCTATATGTTCACCTCATATAAGAAGATTCTTGTCAAGAACTGGAACACGGAGTACACACGCGACATTGTGAAGAAGCTGAATAATTATGTCTTCTCCAGAGGTTCGAGAACAACTAACTCAATGTCAGATGAAGAGGATTTCACTGCGGCTATGGATCGTGCCTTAGCAGGTGTGACTGAAGGCGAGGTGCGCACTGCGCAGCCTGAACCACTTACAGAGGACATTATGGATGAGACGGTTGCTGATGCCGAGGCTAACAGGGAGAGACCAAGACCTAGTAGTCCTCTTACATCTGAGCCCAATGATGAGGATGAAGTTAGTAACATTGTTACAGCACCTGCAGCTGCGAGAGGCCGTTGAGGAGGCAGAGTGTTACGACTTGGATGGTATCTGTTGGCGACGCTCAAACAGAGCTTGTGTCGTCAACGGTCTGTGGACTGTCCTTGGGCTAGCCCAAGGTTAGGGGTCGTACTTGGCGGGTCTTCGGCAAGTACGATTTAACGCCTATGTCCAAATCGGGTAGCTTATGTCACGCGGGTGCGAGACGATAAGCTATATCGGCCTAGGCTTACGACACCCGAAGGTTAATCGTAAGGATCGTCGTTAATTAGAAGGACAGAAGTCCGACTAGTTAACAGGGGCTTTGCTCGTCGACGAAGTCGATGAGTAAAGGTCGAGACTATAGGCTTATCCGCGATGAGCAGATAAGAAGATAGAATATAGACTGCTGGCGAGGCAGAAAGGATCACTCTGGTGAGAGTAGGAGGTCAAGAACCAAGTAGATTCAAGTTAAGGAATATGGTACATGGTAGCGAGTTTATATAGAGGACAGGAGACATATTAGTGGATGATAACTCATACTACCGGGAGAGGCAATCGATAAAGGGTATGACTATAACAGGAAGGCACATTCGGTTGAGGTAGAACGTGCTAGATAAGAAAGTGAGTCAAAGATCGAAATAAGAGGTGAAACGCACAGGAGCACGATCGTGCAGCTGCGGATCTAAGTATAAGTCGCATGTGCGACTGCGTACTGAGTCAGAGATCAAGAAAGGGAATAGGGTAAAGGGGATGCATCATGCATCATATCATAGGTTACCGTCCAGACGGTAAAGGCAAGGGGACTGTCCACAGGATCAGTCAGGTGGTGAAACGGAGCATGGGTATGCTTCGTCAGCGAAAGGATCCGGCCAGATGTACTGGCTTTGCTGAAGCGACAGGTAGAGGGCGAAAGGAAATGCGAGGATGACGAGGATGACAAGGGTAAGGTCGGGGTAAGGGTATGATGCGAGGGCCGATACGAGGAGGATTAGGAGAAAAATAGTAGGGGCCCAAGCAGTCTAGATGTTCTTGTAACACAGAGCAGCCAGACGTGTTGTATCTAACACTAGTACCCGTACTACCCGCAATGCTCGCACCACTACTTAGGCTTGACTACATATGTATAATATAAGACCAGATGAGACACGCTTGAGTGGATTATCTAGAAAGACTTGACCACAGCATTGAAGGAGTTTACTTTGGTTAATTTGAAGCTGAAGGTAAATTTGGAGGCTTGCGTGGATACGTGTTCTGAGATTGAGCTGGATAAACGGGGAATTACTGGGGAGCACATCATGACTCCTTTGAGGACTGCGTCGTGTCTTCGAAGTATTGATATGAAAGCTGTAGAGTGGTCCTCTAATAGAGTTGGGGTTCCCATATAATAAAGCCCTCGTAGTCTAATGGTTTTGATTACGGACCGTATCTAATGTTACTATAGAGTATATAGTCTAAGTCCCTAGTTCGAATCAACCTAAGTGCAAGTAATAAACAAGTGTATTAGTAAGATAATTAGATAATAGTAAATACATAGATAGTTGGTAAATCGTAGATAGTAGACAACATAGACAGTAGATAAATCATAGACAGTAGATAAAAATAAGCAATAGATAATAATAGATGGCGAGATCATGATAGGATAATGACGATGGCCAGCCAGGGTACATAAATGGAATTCCCACGGATTGTAAGTTTATTTTAATGCCATTATAATAATACAAAATTTAATGTTACAATGGGCATTGGCATGGTCATTGGCGCCACATTGCCATCGGCACCTGTCGGCATTTCAAAACGGGGCTTACATTACTTTCCCATTGCCACGGGTGGGTTGTCATTGCGGCATTAGAATGCATTACAAGGCATTAAAATGAAACTCAGAAATTTCCGACATCATTGTTGATGTTTGCCATGCTCGAAACGCATGTCAATTGGCAGCTGCTCATCTGTGTACTGTGCTGAATATAATGCTGTATACCAACACCCAAATCTGCAACTGATGAACCGTGAAATATGGCAAAAGCTGAACAATGTACTGCGGTGCTTCGAGGTCAACAACATGACCATCTCAGAGTTCATAGAACAACTTCTGCAAATATGTAGTACATGTTGTGGCAGTGTGGCAGATGCTACATGAAACACAACATGCGGAGGTACTAGCCAACAAAGTCGACCAAGCTCAGCATAGGAGGGGCGAAAGTCACCACCCCATTGGCTGACACAATGCGCCTCGTCAAAGGTAATGCTGAAAAGTTTGTTGACAAATTGTGGTGTCTTCCACAAGGTATTGAAGTGACGGTCCAACAATATTATCTCGGGGCTGATGATTACAACATGAAACTTCCAAGTGGCAATATCCTGTTTGATGTGTAAAGGTAAGTCAGAATATTCAAGTTCTGATTTATATCTCACCTTGAATGTTGCATCTGTTGCTGTTGTGGCAGAAAGATTCACCACAGGGATCTGGACTTGTTGTAACTCTGTGACATTTTTTTCTCCAAGAATGGTGAGTGGAGTGATCAGAATAGTGATGCCACTGTTGTTGAACAAGAGAGGTATCCAGAATGTGAGTGTTTTTCCAGACCCTGTAGGTGACAAAGTGATGATGTCTCTCTGTTTCAGCTGTGCTTGAGCAGACTGCACTTGCCAATTACAAGGTACGAAGCCAAAACATTCTTGGACCATGGTGCACATAGTGGCTATTGACGGTATGTCATAGTTTAGGGGGCGAAGCCATCACTGACGTGGCAGTTGTCATGAGTACCTTTAACAAACCACTATTCTTTCCTAAATCTTCCTAAACGCCAATACACAGTGCCTAAGTCAAACCCTAACCCTACCCCAAAAGCGTCTACCAGTTCAGAAATTCCTTTAGCGCCCACGACACGTGTCTTCGATGTGACTGATGAAGAAGACAAGTTCTTTGATTGTGAATAGATTAGATTAGATACGATAAGATAAGATATGGTCACGTGATACTTCTTTAATATTCTACAATGTTCTATGGTACGATTCCCCTTTCCTTTTTATGATTGGCTAGTAGTTGTATCTCAGTTTCAATCTCCGTTTCAATAGTTGTATATAGGTAGCACATCTTGGTCAATAGTTCTTTAGTTCAAACCTCTTGTATCTACAACTGTAGCAATCCAAGACGTCCTTGCTCATTATCCTCATTTGAGTCCTAGTCTCTGCCCTAGCGTTTATTCGTTATTGGGTTGTGACAGCAGTACTGCGCAAATGAAAGATAGCTGTGGCGGTTACGAAAAGGTTCAGCCGCACACGGGTACAATCAAAGGACTAGAACACTCCAGACTCAGCTAACGTCAGTAGCCGAGGACCGTATGTTCAAGTGTATGTTTATTTTCTTGTTATTTGTTATTCTATTTTATCACAGACTCTGTACACTACCTAGTATATAATATCGCGCATTTGTACGAAGTCCCCAGATTTCTTTCGATCAGAACTAGGCTTGTATCTGGTTAACATTGCAAAGGAACTCTTCAGTTATTGTTGTGCCGTCATCTAAAGTTTGAAAGGACTTCTACCTGCCATCATATATTTTTTAACCTTCAACAATCCTATCTTGACTCGTTTCCAAAAAAAAAAAAAAAAAAAAAAAAACCCTCGCTTCTTTTGTCACTACCACTGACTGGTTTGGCCCACCACGTCTTTGAACCGTGATGATAAAAAAACCCACCACATCCACAATGACATATCCGCTTTGCTCGCGCATGCGCGCTAGAGCTAGTTCGGTTTCTACCCCTGCAAGTGAAAAAAACAGACCGGTGAGAGATGTATTTGGACAGTTAGTTGTTGACCTACTATCTAGCGCCCACGCCCAAGGGAAAGCGGCGGGCCTGATGGCCCTGCCCAAACCTCTTGAAGAATCCCCCCTGACCTCGCTGGTGAGTTCTCGGAGGGCTCCGGAAAACAATGATTCCTCCGCACTGAAACCTGTCCACTCGTATAGCGACGTGGTCCGTGTGAGTAGCCCTGTTAAAGACCCTAAGGTCGAACAGGAGAGTACCTTAGCATTGAATACAGCTACAAACATTAATGTACGGGATCAAGGGGATACGGCCCTTGAAAAGATGGCTGAAAATATTACCTTCCGCACTGCAAATGAAAACAGTGGGATCACTAGTGAAAGTGATGACGGTGACGACCGTCCTTGGATCACGGTGGGCTGAAAGCACCTCCGTGGTGGTAATATTTATGAGCAGCAGGCCAAGACACCTGAAGGGCTCACCAGTGAACAGATTGAAACAGTAAATAAAGCCAAAAGCAAGCTCACTGAGAAAGAACGCCTCTCGATAGAGAGGTGAGAAATGAATGTCAGCAGGTGAGAGATTTCCCACCCCACAGTGGGATCAGACCCGAGAGGTGAAGGAACCTCGAAGGGGAAGGGCATGGATCCTGCCAATTGGGGGGCGCTGACAGATGACGAGGACATAAACCTTGAAGAGCAATGGGCAGCTCTAGAATCCTACCGTAAGGCTAAGGAAGTTGCTGAGAGATCGGATCACTATACATCCTTGGAAGAAAACGAGGGGAGCCGGCTGGGAGATGGGGTTCGAAACTCCTTGATGTTGCAGGACATCTTCGAGCAAGCTGCCAGAGAGCGGCGGGCTGTGGAGGCGGCCATTCAGAGAGCCGAAACCCGTCTCCACAAAGAATATGAAGAAAAATTGAAAGAAGCGCTTGCACGCCCCCAGTCGTTCACTAAGCGGACCAGAATCCAGGACCCGCCGGAGATGGTGGATGACCCTGTGAACAGACTGGTCAGTAAGGTTGTAAACCCGGAGACTAGCAAAAAAAGAACAGTGTCGTACACCTAAGGCAATGGAACCCGTGCATCAGGTTGCCCCAGACTCATATATCAGACAAGCACTAGGTCGATTAAAAAAAAATTGGGGACGGGACAGGGATTATGACTCACCATCCAGCTCAGACACTAGCTCATTAGACTCGTCCAGTTCATCTGAGGCGTCCAGTACGAGTGAGGACCGGGCTCCTCGAAAGGGTCGCACTAAAACCTCCAAAAAGTGTTCGAAGGGTAAACGAACCACCCTGAAACCAATAGCACCTACCACATATGATGGAGTGGTAGATTCACAGGCCTTCCATCGGTTCATAACCAAAGGAACGGCCTATGTTAACGATGGACAGGTTAAGCCTAAAAAGAGGGTGTTCGTGTTATCACACTTCCTGAAAGGAAAGGCCCATGAGTTCTATATACGAGAGGTATCGGGAGACCCCTACCAGTGGAGACTCAAGGAGTTTTTCACTGAAATGTTCAACTACTGCTTCCCTATCAACTTTCAAATGAAGCAGCAAGAGAAGCTGAAAAGGTGCTTTCAGAATGACAAGTCAGTATGGGACTATGTGTACGAACTCAATGAATTGTGGAATATGATCGGCAATGTCGAAGATCGAGACAGGGTGTCCCGGTTATGGACAGGTCTGTCGACCGAGATTCAATGCAAACTCTGGAAGAAAGAATTGAATCCAGAAGTATCTACCTTTAAGGAGGTCCAGGCGGCAGCTGAGATCATTGAAATCGCTCACTCAGTCCCTTTGGGAAGGGAAAAACGGTCCAACCAAAAGGACAGATCAACCACCATTGAGGTTTCCAGTGCCACGACAGTGGGGTGTGCGTCCAAGGGACGCAGGGATAAATCCTTCCCTTGAAGGAGACAGGACCGCTGTCCCTATCAACATGATAAGGCAAAGGAACCAAAGGGCCTGGGCAGACCAAAGAACACGGGCAGAACCCAGACAAACCACAGCATTAGTCCGGAGGAAAGGGAGCGCCATAGAACTGATGGCCGGTGTTTTATCTGTGGGGAAATCGGCCACATCTCATGACAGTGTTTGAAGAACACACACCTTAAATCGGACTCGCCAGGCAAACCACCAGGGATACCCAGCTTCAGGATACACATTGATCCCAGTGACGAGGAACGAATGCATCGATTGATGGAGGTATCAGAACCGCCGGATGATCTGTTTGTAGGGTCAGTAGGGCTTTACATGGAAGATGGGCTTCACCGGCCGTTAAGCGGTCCTGACAGCGAGTATCTTGAGGGTTGCAATGGCCTTGACGAAAGTGCCTCCATTCCTAGTCAAAGGTTCAGAGACCCGATTGGTCGTCGGGTGTTACGACTTGGATGGTATCTGTTGGTGACGCTCAAACAGAGCGTGTGTCGTCAACGGTCAAGGACGTCCTTGGGCTAGCCCAAGGTTAGGGGTCTTACTTGGCGAGGCTTCAGCAAGTAAGATTTGACGCCTATGTCCAAATCGGGTAGCTTATGTCAAGCGGGTGCGAGACGATAAGCTATATCGGCCTAGGCTTACGACACCTGAAGGTTAATCGTAAGATCGTCGTTAATTAGAAGGACAGAAGTCCGACTAGTTAACAGGGGCTTTGCTTGTCGACGAAGTCGATGAGTAAAGATCGAGACTATAGGCTTATCCGCGAGGAGCAGATAAGAAGATAGAATATAGACTGCTGGCGAGGCAGAAAGGATCACTCTGGTGAGAGTAGGAGGTCAAGAACCAAGTAGATTCAAGTTAGGGAATATAGTACATGGTAGCGAGTTTATATAGAGGACAGGAGAAGTATTAGTGGATGATAACTCGTACTACCAAGAGAAGCAATCGGTAAAGGGCATAACCATAAAAGGGAAGCACGTTCGCGTTGAGACACGGGCGAGGCAGAATGTGCTAGATAAGAAAGTGAGTCAAAGGTCGAAATAAGAAGTGAAACGCGCAGGAGCACGATCGTGCAACTGCAGAGCTAAATATAAGTAACATGTGTGACTGCGCACTGAGTCAGAGATCAAGAAAGGGAACTGGGCAAAGAGGATGCGTCGTGCATCATATCATAGGTTACCGTCCAGACGGTAAGGGTAAGGGGACTGTCCACAGGATCAGTCAGGTGGTGGAACGGAGCATGGATATGCTTCGTCAGTGAACAGATCCGGCCAGATGTACTGGCTCTGCTGAAGCGACAGATAGAGAGCGAAGGGGAATGCGAGGATGACGAGGATAACAAGGGTGAGGTCGGGGTAAGGGTATGATGCGAGGGCTGATACCAGAAGGATGAGGAGAAAAATGGTAGGGGCCCAAGCATCTAGATGTTCTTGTAACATCGGGTAGAAGACTTACTATGAGGTGTAAAATACCCGGGGGATGGGTGTAACCAATCTGAGACAACCTGGGATGACCCAGATCAATTCCATGTCTACCAGGTAGAGTTCGAATGATACTATGTAAGGGATTACCATCGCCCAAGCCCGCGGGTAGGCGCAATGACAATATCCTTGACCAACCTGGAAAGACCCGAATATAGGGTGGACCGGGCATACTGGATCCACCTAGGAAGGGAACAGTGGACTAAGAACTCTGTAGGCCAACTGGCACGGAAAGAACAAAGATGTACCGATAAAAGGCCTCCCATGGGATGGCCCATCGAGGAGCGCCTTGAATGGTGGCTGGAGGAGTACATGAGCCCACCCGAAGAGAGTTGGGGCCCAATGACCGCTACACGATTCTCCTGCAAACAGATCAGTGATCAGGAGTATGAGGTCAGAGACCAGGCACTGGCAATTGTGGGGTGGGTGTCCTGATCAACAGTGAGGACTTGGGACTGGCATCCTATATGATGGTATCAGTGTCAACTGCGGAGGGCTTCACTGCAGTTGCACCTGGAACGAGGCAGTGGTCTGTATGATGGGCTTTCCGCCCTTTTCACTGAGCCAGAGAAGGTTCGGCTGAGTGCACAGACTGAACTGGATGGTGCACTTGGCATAGACAAGCAGAACGAGACCTGGGATGATCCATCAGAGATCCTGGTGTGCGGGGTACAAGTACCTCGAGACACTTACCCTGCCCTACAGCGCAACACCTCAGTCACAAAGGACTTTCAGCGCACGATCCCTAAGCCGGTGGTGGTGGTGGTCCACGTAAATGGGCGGCCTGCCCAAGCACTGCTGGACACAGGATCACTGGCTGACTTCATATCATTAACCACGGTCGAGCAACTTAAGTGTAAACTCACCGTATTGGCAAAACCACTGACCATTCAATTGGCCGTGCAAGGCTCAAGATCCAAGGTTAATTATGGCACAGAGGTCCGATTTCAGTACCAAGGGACCGACTATCATTGATACTTTGATGTGATCAATCTACAGAATTATGACCTGATATTGGGGACCCCATTCTTATATCAGCATAGTGTTACCATTGGACTTAACGTACCTTGGGTCATACTTGGTAGTATTGAGCCCCTCCCGCTGAAGGGTAGCGGGGTCACCACACTTGAATCTAGGGCCATGGAGGTGCTGGAGGACAAGGTGGAGCAGACTAGGAGGTATTTGATTGAGTTAGTGAAACCACTGTGTGCAAAGGCCGCTGTCTTAATAACTGAGGGTCTTATATAAAGTCGTGTAAATGTAATGACACCACAATTATACTTTGGATAAGACTGCTTGCCAGTCCTCGATTAACATGGTCTACGACTTTTCCTATTTCGTGGTAGATAACGTGTGAGTTCTTGGGAGGCTCGCTAAACTAATCTTTTATTAAGATCAACCTAGCCGGAGCTTTACTTTTCTTTATTGAAACTCAAATCTCTTATCTAGGAATAAGCTTCTAGACATGTAATTCGGTTTCTGGAATGTATTTGCCTAGGAAATCTCCTTCTAGGCTCTGGACTTGGATACTGGAACTAGTGAGACGTGGTCTCAAATATACGAAATATGACCAAGATCACTTGGTCTATGGACACCTGACTGTGAGACAATGGTCTCAAATATACGATATATGTTCAAGATCACTTGAACAAAGGGGACTATAACTTGACCAAGATCGCTTGGTCTATGGGACAACTAGTGAGACGTGGTCTCAACAATATGATAGATGACTAAGATCGCTTAGTCAAAGGGCACAGAGCAATGAGACAAAGGGGTCTCAAAGACAATATATGTGACCAAGAACACTTGGTCTATAGCACTAAATAAGTTTCTAAGGTAAGAAACTTATAATCTCAAGGGAATTCTTTTCCCTGCACTTGTCTCACTTCAAAGGGACTAACTTTGCAAGTGAAATATCTGAGAGGCAGATTGTTACAAATGGGAGATCATCTTTTTTGGGGGGGAGAATGGGCTCTCCTTATATACATTTTGTGTGGGAAAGTAACCTAGGTTCACAAACAATAAAAAATAAGGAGGACCAATCAAAATATTGGGTCAAACCCAATAAAAGAATAAAATACAAGTGAAAGATGGAGCTATGACATCATTGTGGAGCAGAACATTCTGGAATGTGGAGTAATGACATCATAATGACATCAAGAGTGACATCATTGTGGAGCAAAAGATTCCAGAACCTTCCATGAGTGAGTCAGAGTGAGTCATTGTGGAGCAGAATATTCTAGAAGGAAATGACATCATGGATGATGTCATTGTGGAGTAGAATAATCTAGAGCTTGATGACATAATATCTTTCAACAGAATACCTGCAGGAGTATCTGTGGAGTCTTATGACATCATAATGACATCATACCCTATGGGTACAATTTTATGAAGTGTCAGGTGAGTCAAAGCATCCTAATGAAAAAGTAGAGTAAAGAAACACTAGAGAAAAGTAGGTAGCAAAAATAAGACAGTTGGCAGGAATTGAAATGCAGTCAAAATAATACAGTTGGCAGGAATTAAAACACGGTCTTTTTGGATAGGTTTTTTATAGGCTTTGTACTTTTCTCTATGGTTTTCTCTAGCCAAAGTGAATAAGCCAAAGGCAAGGTTATACCTTAACCTTCATTTCTCTTCTCACATCAACTAGGTCTAAATGTGATTCCCATCTCACATTAGACTTTTTCTGTCAAAACGTATTCAGATCATGAAACTTGGGGAAAACTGGAAATATGAACCATGGTTTGAAACCAAGGTATGGGTTGACTAGTCTGAGGACTAAGCTAACAGACTTTATCTTTTGAGGGTCACCTAGTATTCATGTCCATGCATGATTCCCACATCATGCAGGACACCACGGACACTAGCTTACCTCCACTACAGGCCATAAATCATACCATCCTGCTCATTGACGAAGGGAAGATCTATCCCTGGCGCCCATCGCACTGTCCTGAACTGATGAGACCACAATGGGCGGAAAAGCGCAGAGCTCACCTGGCCTCTGGTCGATGGGAGATGACGAGTGCCGGGAATACTGTTCCCATGCTCTTCATACGCAAACCTGGGATGGACCGGTTGCAGACGGTGATTGACCTTCATGAGCAAAATAAAAATACGCGTAAGCTGACCTCTCCTTTGCTGAACATGGATGGCATATTGCGCCAGGTGACGAGAAAACCATATTGGTCCCTGATGGATGGGCAGGACGCCTATGAACAAATCAGGGTGATACCGGAACATGTGCCGCGCATGGCCATGACTACCCCAGATGGAAACATGGTTAGTCACGTCTTGCAGCAAGGGGATTGCAATGCCCCCACAACTTACCAGGCAGTAATGAACTACCTCTTTGGGGAATACATTGGTATATTTATGGATGTCTACCTGGACGATATCATCATCTACTCGGACACCTTAGAAGAGCACACTGATCACGTACAAAAGATCGTAAGGATTTTGGAATGCAAGCAGCTGTTCTTAAGTGAGAAGAAGCTTAAGTTCTTGCAGCCGGAAATGAGAATACTGGGGCGCATGGTAAATAACAGCAGAATCCGCATGGACCCTGATAAAGTCGACCATGTGCTGAAATGGAAGCCACCTACCAACAGAGACCTCTGCTGGGGCTTCATAGGCGCCGTGTGGTATCTTGCAGATGATATCCATAAGGTCAGGATCCCTCTGGGTGTCCTATCGGTGGTGTGTGGGGACACGGTGCCCTTCCGCTGGGGTGACACGGAGCAGCAAGCCTTCGAGGAAGTTAAGTGATACATTGAGGTGTGCTCAACGCACAGTAGGGTTCCACTTACCTATGGCCCAGGACAAGAGCAGGTCTGGATGATGACCGACACCTGCCCAACGGGCATTGGTGGGGTCATAGTGCAGGGCAGCGAGTGGCAAGAGGCAAAGGTAGCAGCCTTCTATTCTGCCAAACTCAGTGCTGCGCAGCGGAATTATCCTGTCCATGAGCAGGAATTGTTAGCAGGGGTCGAGACCATGATCCAGCATAGGGATATCTTACAGGGGTGCCCTTTCAAGTGGCTGACAGACCACAAGAGCCTCATCCATATCTTGAATCAAAAGAACCTGTCTGGACAACAGGCACACTGGATGGAAAAGATCAGGGAGTTTGACTTCACCATGGAATATGTACCAGGGGCACATAATGTACTGCCTGACGCATTGTCCCGGATGTATGATTTTGATGCACCAGGCACTATCCAGGCAGTGAGTGAATATGCGGCGCATGATGATTATGCACCGCCCACCAACGTATCTGACCTGGTAAGCATGCCTGTCCTGGTTGGGGACGAGGCACGGGCCACCACTTCAAGGCATAGCTCTAGACTCGCGGCGCAGGTGGCTGGCGCACAGGCCGAGCCTGGACCGGCGGCACCAAAAAAGAGGGCCTCACCATCTGCTAACTGGGCTGCTGAGAAGGCCTGGGATAGGGCAACTTGGGATGCCCTGGAGGTAGTGGCGGATGCCCTGGACCGGCCTCTGGTGACAAAGGCCAAGCACCTCCCTCTGGTGCGGGCACGGCGACAACAGGTGGCACCAGCAGAGACCGGTCGACCTGAGATGAGTGCCGAGTTCGCATGGAGGATGTGGGACTGATTCATGTTGCGTGGTCCTCATCCGAGCACAGAAGACACTGCCACGAATGGAGGGGAGGAAACAGAACAACCTGCAAACTTCAGAGGAACAAACAGAGAGGGTCACTGACACGAACCCAGAAAGGCAGCAAATTCCTGTAACATACCCACATGAGATTGGCCTACTGGATGAAATGCGACACCAGTACAGCAAGGACACCATGTTTAAAAAGGTGTTGGAGTCTCCTAAAGATTATAGGAACTTTGAAATAAGGGACGGTCTGATCAGCATCAAACTGAAAGACCAAACAGCATTGTGCGTACCCGACATAAAAATTGGAGAAAGACGCCTCATAGAGACCCTGATTGACCAAGCACACTCATTATTAGCACACCTCGGGGCAGATAAAACACTGTTGTACCTGAGGGAGCACATCTGGTGGACGACTATGGTCCGAGACGTACAAGTGTTCTGCCGTTCCTGCCAAACATGTCAGTGCAGTAAACCTTCTAATCAAAGGCCCTATGGAATGCTGAACTCACTTTCAGTACCCTCTCAACCATGGGAGGCAATTGGTGTTGACTTCATGGGTCCACTACCTCCATCCAAGGATTGAAACGGGGAGTACGACTCAATCACTGTGATCATTGACCTGTTAACTGCAATGGTGCACTTAGTCCCGAGCAGAACAACATACACGGCCAAGGAAATTGCCAAACTCATGTTTGCCGAGGTCTATAAATATCACGGGATACCTAAAGCTATCATTAGCAATTGAGACGTCCTGTTCACCAGCAACTTTTGGACCCACCTGAACAAACTCATCGGGGTCCAGCTGAAAATGTCCAGCGCGTACCACCCACAGATGGATGGCGCCACTGAGTGGGCCAACCGAACAATAGGGCAAATGCTTAGGTCCTGCATAGGACTCAACCAGCGGGACTGGGTGTCTAGGCTACCTGCAATAGAGTTTGCTATTAATTTGGCCAAGTCCGAGTCAACGGACACCTCACCTTTCCTAGCCAATGGCCGAATGCCCAGGGCGATGGTATGGGAGACCGCTGGACCAGGCAAGTACCCAGGTGTGCGAGCCTTCGCCCAGAAAATGAAAACTGCTGTCATGGCGGCTCATGACGCAGTACTTGGGGCTCGGGTTAAGCAGACCTTTGACGCTAATAAACGTCGCCAAGCATGCCCACTAGTAAAGGACAACTTAGTGTATGTGTCAACAAAAAACATCTCCTTACCCAAGGGTACGTCCAGGAAGCTGGCACCCAAATTCATAGGACCTTATAAGATAATTGAGGACTATGGTAACAACTCCTACAAATTGGACTTACTGAACTGCCTTCGCCAATGGGGCGTCCACCCAGTGTTCCACTCTTTGTACCTAAGGATACACATCCCCAACGATGACCGGCTCTTCCCTGGGCGAATGGAAACCCAAATTGCCGAGTTTGAGGAAGCTGAACCCGAATGGGCGATCGACAAAGTACTGAACCACTCTGGCAAACGAGCCAACTCCACATTTCAAATCTCGTGGAAGTCAGGAGACATAACTTGGCTGCCGTATGATCGGGTTGCCGGGTTGGGTGTGCTGAAAGATTATTTCTTGGAGCTGGGCATCGAGGATGTCTCAGAACTAGAAGAGGGGACCGGGAATCTCGCAGCTGTAGATCCCCAGGTGTCTGTGGGACGCTTGGACCTCAACACCCCCAACCATATAAACCCTGTCGTCCACCCCTCTTCCAAATCCTCCTTTTCCTTCACCTCCGACGACTCTCTACTACTCCTCGCCTGCCAAATCACTCCATCCACCATGGCGCCCATCCTCTCTCACATCGGAGCCTGCTGTTACACCCTGCCAAATGGAATTGGTGATGGGGATCTGATGATAGTGCTGGACATGCTCCGTGCATACCTGGAGCACGATGCCCACTTGAGGTCAGGTACAGCCGCGGACCGTGCATCACCTGTCGGGTATGGAGACTTCTCTTTATCATTCAACATGCTCCAAAATACCAATGGACTCACCTCACATTTTGCGAAAGAGTCCACTGATGGACCTCGAATTAGTGGCCCCTCTCCCTCCATCACTGACCTTGTTGGTGAAGAGACACCACCTGCACCTCCTATCCGCTCTAGCGCCTCTCAGCCCCCTCCTGACGGCGGGCGCTGGCTTAACCCCTGGTGCGTTGAACTCATGGAGGAAGTGCTCTGGCAAAATATGGAAACCTCCAAGAGACAGCAGGAGCGGCGGGAATGCAGTATAGCCAAAAGACAAGTGACCAAAAGGGCTCGTCATGCGGCTAGGGGATCACCATCCACCTTTCAGATCATGGATACCAAGGAAGGACCTAGCAGTGGCACACGTACCTCGGCGCGTCACTCTCCCTCTACTCACATACCTATCACTCCAACCCAAACCCAAACAACCTGGCCACCCGGTCAGATGGAGGTAGATGAACCCAGGGACTCGGCGAAGGACAAGGATCATGGCGAAGGTGTGGGGAAGGGTAAGACCAAGAAGAAGTAAGGATGTCGACACATCCTGGAGGGGAGTATGTGGCAGCTACGAAAAGGTTCAGCCACACACGGGTATGATCGAAGGACTAGAATGCTCCAGACTCAGCTAACGTCAGTAGCCGAGGACCGTATGTTCAAGTGTATGTTTATTTTCTTGTTATTTGTTATTCTATTTTATCACGGACTCCATACACTACCTAGTATATAATATCACGCATTTGTATGAAGTCCCCAGATTTCTTTCGATCACAACTAGGCTTGTATCTGGTTAACATTGCAAAGGAACTCTTCAGTTATCGTTGTGCCATCATCTAAAGTTCGAAAGGACTTCTACCTGCCGTCACAATAGCCTCAATAAAAAAAATATTGCAGTACACGATTGACACCGTCACATATATCGAGTCACATGTACAGATCAGTGAAAATGTAATGCAATCAACACAACCAAAGCTCGCGCCACTTGCAAGTTTTGCCAGTCAGCTGGGTGTGTAAGTAGCCCAAAAGGTTTCGGTATATTGTCGGAGAAATTTCATGTGGTTGTGTTTGGTTTGTGGCTGGATGCCATGGGCTCTCTTACACACCCACCGATGGGTAGGAGTCTGGTATGGCACATAGCCTTCTGCGGAGATAAGCCGCAGTACTGTATGTATCCACGCTCATGGCTGGCAGGCCACTGTCTGAGGTCCTGAAAGCACGGGACAAAATGACCGTAGGGAAAACATTTTCATCGTCTGATTTGAATCTATGTCATGACGTAGTCGATAATATAGCGGGGCGGATCGTACATTAATGATTACTGGGTGACTCGAGTATGGCCATGTAGGTGGAAGAGTGGGAACATGGAGCCAGGAAGAGATGTCAACCGCCTTCCGGCAACTCGGCATTGTGTCACAGCTAGTCACACTCACGTGATGTTTGACGCTTGCTGAAGTCGACCTTATAGTTTTCCTTCATCGCAGATGACTATACAAAGGCTCATTTCATATGTGCCTCCTGGTTGGAAGGTGTGCAATTTTTTTGCTAGTCTAGTCGCTGCTAATGAGGATCGTGACAGCTGAAACACTGATCGCAATGTTTGATGTCTGGATCCATTCAAACCTTATTGAATGTGCTCTTGCGGAAGCGAAGGTCTCACTGCACTCCAGTGATTGTGAGCATCTCAACATGATGCATCTAAATTAGTTCTCTTTCCTCGCACTCGCACTTTGAATCCGCATATCAAATACTCGAGCTCGCTCTCTCTCTATGTTGTACTAACTTTAGCTCATGTTATATCATTTCATTCAACTAAAATTCAGAATCAGCGCATTTTTCAGTGGTTTTTATTGGAAGTACTATTTACAGTGATTGGCACCTATTGTTAACCTTCCCTGCCTTGCTCAGACCGGACATATGGAAGCTTTGCTATCTCTGTTTTGCTCAGGCCTGGAAGCCAGCTACCAGAAACGGTCATCAAAGCCCCGGTTCTAACGCTGTCTTGTCATACAAGCTTCAACATTATCCCGTCAAGGGCATCGATGTTATGTTTGCTCGCATGACTACAAGTAGTGGCTTTCATGATAGGCAAGTGATATGGTACGGGGAGCGGTTGTTGTTCTGACTAATTACCAATAGGTTCGCACTCCTTGGATCTCATACTTCTTCATAGCACCTCTGGTCTTTGCTCGATCTGGAGTGCTCCGCGTTCGTGCATGCACTCGTTCTCATGATGGTTGTTCTCGCCTTGTTGGCATTGTGGTTCTCTACCAAGCTACTATGAATACTATGATGACACGTCAATTGACAAGGTTATTTTTGGCAGGCTCTCCTTTTTCAAGGGTCCTTCTTTCCCCTACCAGTGCTTTATAGCATCCATACACCCATCCTCCTGCTACTAGTGATGCTCTGAAACCTCAGAACCTATCTTTAAACCGACTTATATAAACAGTGTCACTCAACGCAGTTATGGTCGCTTCATCTCCCAACTGTGTTTTCTCAGACTACTCAAACCATGTCACGCATCGTTATCCGTGGAATCCCCTTTTTGACTCGTCTGCGCGCAGCCAAAGGTGGTGCCAAGGAACTTCTTGAGCGCGACCGCGCCCGTGCACAGAAGTTCCTGGCCGGCAAGTCCCACCATTCCTTCTTGTCTGCCAAAGCCAAAGGCGCCAGGAGCACTGGCACAGACTCTAGCATCGATGTCACCGATTCAGGTGTCACTTACACCATGCAAGTCGGTGTTGGAACCCCAGCGACCGATTATACATTGTTGATCGACACTGGTTAGTGGAATACTGTGAATAAATTGGCACTTATTTACACGTCAACAATATTTCAGGTAGTTCGAATACCTGGGTTGGTGCAGACCTCCCATACAACCCCACAAGCTCCAGTCAGGACACCGGTAACTCCATAGTGAGCTATTTGCTCTTAGTATTATGGTGCTGTTAACTGACTGGTCTGGAACTTAGTATGTTAGTTATGGTTCTGGAACTATGTTTGGAGAGGAATGTAAGGACGGCTTCTTTCGGCGACAATAGCACCAACTGAATGTAGATCAGACACCGACACCGTGACCTTAGGGTCAACCTTAGTTATCCAGAACCAAGGCATCGGCGTGGCTTCATACGCGGAAGGGTTCGAGGGCGTCGATGGCATCCTGGGGTAATATTTGGTCCGAAAAGCAGTCATTCGTAGCGCTGATATCTTTGTAGTGTCGGTCCCGTAGATCTCACGCAAGGAACCGTGTCTAACACGACGGATGTGCCTACGGTCACCGACAACTTATACGCTCAGGGAACAATCTCTTCCAATTTACTCGGCATCTCCTATGCGCCGTCCCCCACGGCCAACGTAGCTAATGGAGAGCTCACATTCGGTGGGACTGATAGCACCAAGTTAGAAGGCATCTTTCCTTTGGTTCTGACCTTGTCTGACGTTATATGTCAGGTACACTGGCACACTCAATACTGTTCCGCTTACCACCACCTCCCCGGCCTCGTCGGTAAATCACAGCCTGACCGAAAACGTACTGCTTACTAATCTTGACGATCATTCTCAGTATTGGGGTATCAACCAGTCGGTATCATACGGCGCTAGCCAAACAATCTTGAATACGACTGCCGGCATTGTGGACACTGGCACTACCCTTCTTCTCCTTGCCACTGGTACGCACATATCCGACTTTAATATTTGTCACTCACCGAAATGTCCAGAGGCCTTCCAGGCTTATCAGGAGGCAACTGGCGCCGTCCAAGATTCGTGAGTTCAGCTCGATGAGCCTATTACGTTCTTTTATTTTATGCGGATCAGAACCACAGGTCTGCTAACCATCACGTCGCAACAATACGCTAATCTTCAAAGCTTGTACTTCAATATCGGCGGTGTAAGTTTTGCTCTCGTACGATGAATCTCTGATTAATTATTGGAATAGGTCACGTACGACTTCACGCCTAATGCTCAGATCTGGCCACGTAACCTGAACAGCATCCTCGGAGGAAATGAGGGACAAATTTATCTGATTGTGTCTGACCTTGGTTCCTCGTTTGGGAGCGGGCTTGACTTCATAAGTACGTCCCATAATGTCTTATTGGGGTGTGGTTCTTACAACGCCATGCGCATTCCAGACGGATTTGGCTGGATTCAACGGTTTTACACTGCTTTCGATACCGGGAACAAGCAGCTCGGTCTCGCAACTACAGAATACACTAATGCTGATACCAACTGATGAGGGACCCCACCAAGTCCCCATACCGTTTTCTGTTGCATAATTCTTTTGTTTTTAAGGACCACGCATTTTAGGCTGCATACACGATCTATGCAAGTTTGCCTGTAGATAGCTTCAAGCGTGTACTGGTATTCGCTACGGCTAGTAGTAACTGTGCTATAATGCCAAGTTCCAGAGATTGATGGTTATAGCCTGATTCAGAGCGTTTGAGCTTCGTGTAGACTCGAAACCATCCTGACCTATATCAATATCATGCGTACGTCCTGAATCCTTCTGGGCACCGTGTTTAGCATCATGATGGGCTTTTCCGCTTCAGTGGTGTTCAAAATTAAGAAAACGATGCACACGTTTCACTCTTTCTGAGGACTGAGATACTTAACTGCTGCTATTGTACGATAGAATTGGTATACATGGTAACTTGACTCAGAGATCCAGGGGTTATAGCGTACAGTAAGAGACCTACACATTAGAGTTTGAGGTTCAACCAACACGCACTTTGCTCATGAGGTCGGCGAGTGTGTCTGCAGCCATCTCGAGGGTTGATTTCTTGTCCGTTGCCAGTGGTGCAGGAATTTCTTGCGCTTCCTCAGCCTCCGGCAACTCTTCTTCCTCCTCTTCCTCTTCTTCCTCCTCCTCTTCTTCATCCTCTTCCATACGGATGAGCTTGCCGCCGTGAGCTTTCAGGTGTTCAGCAATGTCATCTAGATGTTCGTTATCTTCAACGTCATCATTGTCCTGCAAGTCTAGCCGTTTCAGCTTGGTCAACTTCGTCACGGCTTGGGCTAGGACCTCGTAGCTTTTGGCATCGAGGTTGTTGTTTTGCAGTCGTAGCTCCTGAAGATTCTGAAGGCTTTTTGTATTCGCATCGTTGAAAGCCTCTAGGAGTGGTGGTACTTCGCCTTCTCCGTTCGAGAGCATGCAGTCAGAGAGGTCTAGGAAGCGTAACTTTGGCCAGCTGGTTTTGACGGCCTCACCCCATGCACGAACAGCTTTCCGACCTTCTTCATCCATATCCACGTCTATGAATGCATTGTCCTGGAAATTGACAATCTGCAATTCAGAGCATGCGACAAGACCTCGCCCAAGGGCCTCAGCACCATCCATACGAATGCCATTCTGGGGCATTTGCACCTCTGTGAGTGTCTTGTGCGCCTCGAATGCCTTGGCCCATGCAATAGCTCCTGGATCCTCTAGCCGATTGCGGCCGCAGATGACAACCTCAAGATTTGATCGTGAGCCATCTGTTGGTGCAGACTTGCACACAGCTTCTGCAATCTTCTTGCCACCAGCGGGTCCGAGGCCATTGTTATTAAGGCGGAGGACGCGTATAGAGTGATTGGTTTCGAGGAAGGGTGTAAGGAAGGGTACAACACGCTCTCCAAACGCGTTATCGTTGAGGTTTATCTCTCGAAGGGAGGTCTTGTTTAAGAGTGGATCGAGAAGTGCTTGAATAGCAACAGGGATCTCCTCGATAGTACGTCCCGTGAAAATATCTGCCAAGTCTGCAAGCTGAACATAAGTCAGTGGGGGACGATCCTTGGATATCGTTTTCGAGGTTAATATCACATACTTGAATCACGTCCGCAGTCTCGAGGAATCGACCAAACTCTTTGGCAGCATCCACGCCGATTGAATTGCCTCCAAGGTGGATAGCTGTGAGTTTGGTAGGGTCGACGCCGGTGGTGAATGGGGTAACGTCAGAAGCTGTTTCGAGCTTCAACTGTTTGCCACGGATATCAAGAATCGTCTTAGACGCCGCCATAGTTAGCGATATGCAATCGATCGTGGTGGGCGTTGTTGAGTCAGTAGTAACACAAGGATAAATCGATAATCATTAATCCAAAAATGGAAGCACAACTTTATGGAAAGTCACGTGCTAAGTAAAGTATTTTCCTCCTGATCGAACACGGCGAGCACGGTGGAATTGACATTATCAGCAACGACGAGAAGCAACAAGGCAGACTAAATACTACATGCGCCCTACAAAAGCTTCTTTCTAAATCACACGGCCATGGCTCGGATGACTCCGATAAACGCATTCGACCCGCTCAGCATCAATCTTGAAAAACAAAAACGTGCACTCTGTGCACTTCTGCCTCCCGATTCCGTTCATATCCAACATATAACCGAGGCGAATACACCAGCCCATACTCTATCCACATTATCTCGCCTGCTGGCTGTTCCAGCTCTCACTCTGACAATCGCCGATCTGTTCAGACCTCTTTTGATTGATTTATGCGCCAGATGGCTTCACGACGATGACGATATTGAAGACAGGTTCATCGCGTTTTGTCTCATTATTGAGCTTCATGAGGAGCTATACCCGTGCGTTTTGGTATCGCACTTGTGTTTTTCGTCTTACGTCTGGTTATAGATGCTTATATGCTTTTTTGCAAAAACCATGTCTATCCAATGGACCACTTGCTTTCATAGCTGCGGCTCCTTCGGTTGCCGAAATTGAAACCACTCGTCTGCACCGCATGTTGCTCGCATATTATCGCCTTCTTCGCGCTAATCGTCTCCTGCCCAAGCATCTGCTATGGGACGGGTCGCTATTATCCAAACTACTCTTCCCGCCTCACCCTGATACAGGTGTACGATTGCTCGCTGCTCGGTGCTATGCATCGCATGTTGGTATGGCAGAAATCGAGCGCGAGAGGCTCATCACCCATGTTCTCGGCGAGTTTTGCGGCGTTGATTGTCCGATTTACTATGCCCAGACTATCGACGGAACTGTCATCGAGACCGATGGTTGGCTCGTGCCTACATTGGAAATAAAGCGTATTCATGACGCACGCGACGCTATTCTCGAAAGTTCGGATTTTTACTCTCTTGATGCAGAGGATGTATCGCAGCCTCTCTCAGAGGCAAACCTGAGGTCTGTGTTGCCTGCTATATCGTTGATATATGAGCCTAATGATTCTGCTAGTCCCTGGATTGCTAATATCCATGGTTTATTGATGCTCAAGTCATCTCCAACTGTGCCTTCCCCTTCAGACATCATTGCAACACCTTCCGCTATCGCTGCTCTACGTGAGATTGCAGCACACCTTTCTCTCCGCTTGCCCATCCTCCTATCTTCTCCACCTTCATCAGGAAAATCACTCTCCATATCCCATCTCGCTTCCTGCTTACATCCAGCGATGCCAGTCAGTGAGCTCATCGTAACCGTTCACCTAGCCGACACGTCCCTCGATCCTCGGGCCCTTCTTGGCTCCTACGTTTCTTCGCCAACACAACTGGGGACTTTTGAGTGGAAGGATGGTGTACTCGTGCGCGCACTACGCGAGGGGCGCTGGCTGGTGCTTTCTGACATAGATCGTGCTAGCATGGAAGTTCTAGCTCTGCTGAAACCGCTTATCGAGAGTATGGGCCTTGGGAATTGGATTGGACACCGCGCAGGTCTGGAGGTCCCCGGCAAGGGTCGCGTCGAGGCGCGTGAAGGTTTTGCGCTCTTTGCCACTCGATCGTTTGCTGTTGGGCACGGAAAGAAGGTGCCTCCCCCAACATTCTTTGGTTCCCATAAATGGCATGAAGTGATGGTGGACGCACCAGACGCAGAAGAGGTAAAATCTATTATAGAAAGCAAGTTCCCGAAGGTTGCGGGGGCTGCTGCAGCTCTTATCAAGCTATGGGATGATGTGCAAGCACTCGGCTCAACGTCATCTTCGCGTCCTGTTGGGCTACGTGAACTTCAGAAGTTTTGCCAGCGAGTTGAGCGCCTTCTGCCGTCCAGCCATACAGTGGATGTGAACATGGATACCGACATCCAGATACCACTCTCAACCATCTTCCCTAATCCTAGTCTTCGTGAAGAAATGTTTCTCGAGGCCCGTGATGTCTTTTTCGGTGCGGGCACTCTCACCGCGTCTGCGCGTGCACACTCTGTGCGAGTCTCCTCTGCCATTGGGGCGCACTTGGATCTGGATGCAGAGCGGCAGGAATGGTTGCTTCTAAAACACACATCGGATTTCGAAATTGAGAAAGATGTCAACGGAGATGTGCTCGCAGCACGCTGTGGACGCACACGTCTCCCCGCTCGTCCCATGAAGGGCATGAGCCTTGGTGCATCCGCACGACCCTTCGCGTTGCACAAGCCAGCTCTGTTACTCCTTTCGCGTATCAGCACTGCACTAGCGCTGTCCGAGCCCGTCCTGCTTACTGGTGAGACTGGTACGGGTAAGACGAGCGCAGTAACATACCTTGCATCATTATTGAGGCGTCCACTGATTTCCCTGAATCTCTCACACCAGACGGAAGCTTCGGATCTTCTGGGAGGCTTTCGCCCTGTCGATGCACGTGTCAGGGGGAGCGAGTTGATGGAACATTGGAGCGACTTATTCGGGAGAACGTTCAGCCGTAAGCGCAATGCTGGCTTCGAGGATGGTTTAAGGAAAGCTGTGAGGGAAGGGCGATGGAAGAGGGCTGTTGGCATGTGGAAGGAGAGTGGAAAGATGGCAAGGGAGAGAATCCGAGGCAAGGTTGAAGCAGATGTAGGGTATGCATTGAGCTTAACTGCATTTGCTCCATTTTTGATCCCACTTCTTAGGGAGAACGACTCTGACGCGCCGAGGAAACGAAGGAAAGTCGAGGCCGAAATGAAGGTCTCCGAAGCGGACTGGGAACGGTTTGATAGAGATGTGGATGAATTTGACCTTCAACATGCACAAGGGAAAGGCAAATTCACGTTTGATTTTGTGGAGGGTCCACTTGTGAAGGCTCTACGTGCTGGTGATTGGTACGTTGCAGTTAAGCTACACACGGTCACGCTTTTCACATGAATTCTAGGGTTCTCCTTGATGAGATTAACCTGGCAAGTCCCGAGACGCTGGAGTGTATCACAGGTCTCCTGCGCGGTCCAACAGCCTCGATCACACTTACTGAGCAAGGCTCCCTGTCTGCTGTTCCACGCCATCATGATTTCCGTCTTTTCGCATGCATGAATCCCGCTACCGACGTCGGCAAGAAAGACCTTCCGCCCACTATCCGCGCACGCTTCACAGAAATCGATGTCCCTCCCCCTGATGCAGATCGCGAGACTCTTCTCAGTATTGTTTCACAGTATATCGGAGCAAGTGCGGTTGGTGATAAAGGTGCTGTGATGGATGTTGCAGAGTTCTACATCTCTGTCAAGGGTGCAGAGCTTGCAGATGGCTCAAACAAGAAGCCACATTACAGTATGCGCACCTTGGCGAGAGCTTTGACGTTTGCTGCAGATATTGCAGGGATGTTCGGCTTGCGACGGGCACTTTGGGAGGGGATGTTGATGGCATTCACTATGGTGTTAGACGGGGGAAGCGCAGAAATTGTCACTGTCCTTGCGCAGAAGTATATCCTTGCTGGTGTCCGTAATCCTCGATCGTTGCTTGCCAGGGAACCGAGTTTTCCTCCTGGGCGGTCTATGGAAGAATTCGTCAAGTTTGGACCATTTTTTCTTGAGAAGGGACCACTCCCCGAGGATCCCATGGAGGAATATATTATGACACCATCAGTCGAGAAGAAGCTCATCGACCTCGCAAGAATCGTTTTAACTCGACGCTTTCCTGTGCTGATTGAGGGACCCACCTCAGCCGGCAAGACGAGTGCAGTGGAGTACCTCGCTCGCAGAACCGGTCACAATTTCATCCGTATCAACAACCATGAGCACACTGACGTGCAGGAATACCTCGGTTCATACGTTTCTGACCCTGCCACTGGAAAGCTCGTGTTTAAAGATGGCTTGCTGGTCCATGCTCTGCGACATGGACATTGGATTGTACTGGACGAGCTGAACTTGGCACCTACAGACGTATTGGAAGCTCTTAACCGGCTGCTAGATGACAATCGGGAACTTATCGTTCCGGAGACGCAAGAGATTATTCGCCCGCATCCACACTTCATGCTATTCGCAACGCAGAATCCTCCTGGCCTATATGCAGGGAGGAAGGTTTTATCCCGTGCCTTCCGAAACCGTTTCCTCGAGGTTCACTTCCAGGATGTGCCCCAAGCTGAGCTTGAAACTATTCTCTGCCAGCGTTGCCGTATCGCGCCTTCCTATGGCCAGAAAATTGTCAGCGTGTTCCGTGAATTGCAGAAACGTCGTCAGTCGAGTCGCGTTTTCGAGAGCAAGCAAGGTTTTGCAACTCTCCGTGATCTCTTCAGATGGGCCGGTCGTGATGCAGTGGGCTATCAAGAGTTGGCAGAGAATGGGTATATGCTACTTGCGGAACGTGCACGACGCGAGGACGACAAAGTTGTGGTGAAGGAGGTGATAGAGTCCATCATGAAGGTCCGCATCGACGAGCGGGCAATCTACAATATTCATTCCACAGTAGAGGATGCACAGACCTTTTTAGGATGCCCCATACCGTCAGACTCAAAGGTTGTCTGGACTAGTGCGATGCAACGGCTCTTCGTCCTGGTGTCGCGTGCTCTACGGTTCAACGAACCCGTGCTTTTGGTAGGAGAGACGGGTTCTGGGAAGACATCTGTCTGTCAGCTCTATACGGAAGCCATCTCCAAGCATTTGTACGCACTAAACTGCCACCAAAACACAGAAACTGCAGACCTCATCGGCGGCCTGCGGCCTGTACGCGACCGTGCCTCAGCCGAAGCTAACATTATCCGTGATGCTAATACCATCCTTGAGCGCGCGGGCATCGACGACATACCTTCTGATTCCCAACAACTCTTGTCCCGAATAAATACACTCCTGAAGACAGGCAAGGACTTGGACCCGTCGCTCCTGGGTTCCTTACGCGATATTCGGGAGAGCCTCAATCGGATCTGCTGTCTGTTTGAATGGCATGATGGGCCGTTAGTCCGCGCAATGCGTGAAGGACACGTTTTCCTTCTCGACGAGATTTCCCTTGCCGACGATTCTGTGCTAGAGCGTCTGAATAGCGTCCTGGAACCTGGTCGCACGATCGTGCTTGCAGAACGTGGCGGTATTGATGGTGATTACCCTGCTATACATGCTTCCAACGAGTTCAAGTTGCTTGCTACCATGAATCCGGGTGGTGACTATGGGAAGAAGGAGTTATCTCCTGCTCTACGAAACCGTTTTACGGAGATTTGGGTACCAGCCGTAACCAGTCAAGCGGATTTGCGGTTGATTGTTGACCAGTCATGGAAGCACGACACCATGAAGCCGTTTACGGGTCCGCTCTTGCAGTTTACTGACTGGCTTCGGGAAAGAGTTCATGACCCTGCTATTTGCTCCCTGCGAGATATATTGGTAGGTTTCCCTTTCGTTAGTGTCGGCCAATTGTGCTTATCGGTGTTTTTTTAGGCTTGGGTGACGTTTGCTAATGCTGCGTACTCTGGCAGTGTAGAATTGATCATGTCTCCAACAGAAATATTCGTATGTTGGCGTTCTCTGTTCAGGCAGTTTGGTTATTGACAATATTTCAGCATCATGCGGCCCATATGACTTTCCTCGACGGTTTTGGATCCTTGCCACAGCTAACTTCTTACTCGTCTGATGCGCTAAGTCAACTGAGGAATGATGCCATTGAGAAGCTGCAGATGCTTGTGCCATTCAAGGAAGCCAATACGGCATGTGCTTATGATGCATCAAACTTCGTGCAGCTTGGATCTTTTGCCATCCCTAAAGGCCCATTAAAATCGGTATTGCATAACTTCAATCTGGATGCGCCAACTGCTCGTGAGAACGCAATGCGAGTGGTCAGGGCATGTCAGGTCTCCAAGCCGGTCCTCCTAGAAGGCAGTCCAGGCGTCGGGAAAACCAGCCTCATTACTACTCTTGCCACGCTTTCAGGATATCACCTTTGTCGGATCAATTTGTCCGACCAAACGGATCTCATGGATCTCTTCGGTTCTGACCTTCCTGTTGAGAATGGCTCTCCAGGAGAATTCGCCTGGAAAGATGCCGAGTTCTTAACAGCTATGCAAGAAGGACATTGGGTTCTCCTCGATGAGATGAATCTCGCGCCCCAGGCTATTCTCGAGGGGCTTAATGCTGTTCTAGACCACCGAGGTACTGTATACATTCCCGAGCTTGGGAGATCCTTTGTTCGGCATCCCGCTTTCCGTGTTTTTGCAGCACAAAATCCACTCCAACAAGGAGGAGGTCGTAAAGGACTTCCAAAGTCCTTTCTGGACCGGTTCACGAAAGTTTATATTGAGGAGCTATCTCCTGAAGATCTTCTTCTTGTCTGCCGAGAGCGTTTCAGGGGTTGTGATGAGGACATGCTACGCGCCATGATCACATACAACAGCCGCCTGAATCAGGAAGTTGTACACAAGAGGACTTTTGGTCGCGACGGCAGTCCTTGGGAATTCAACCTTCGCGATGTTCTCCGCTGGGGGGAGCTATTGCAATCATCGCCAATTTCACAACATCCTCGAGATTTCCTGCGAGTCATCTACCTCAACAGGTTTAGGACTCTCGCTGATCGTAACTGCGCTCAACGATTGTTTGATGAAACCTTTTCTTCATCTAGCCCGACTATCCTTCACAATCCGCATCCTGTCATATCATCGTCACACTTCCGTGTCGGGCACTACCTCGTAGAGCGACGTAACAATACCCTTAGCGTTCGACCCAGGTGCCTACTACAAGCGCACCTTGCTACACTAGAAGCCATTGGGGCATGTCTCTCTAGGTCGTGGTTAGTCATTGTTACAGGACGACACGACAGCGGTAAGTCAGAGCTGATCCGTACTATTGCTGATCTTTCGGGGAACATCCTTCATGAGATAACCATCACGTGTTCCACTGATACTATGGATATCCTTGGAGGTTTCGAGCAAATGGATCATCGTGCGCGGGTACTTGCTCTCGTTCAAGACATCGTCAGTTTTGGAGAAAGTCGTTCTAGATGCCTGTCCAGTTGTGCCACCGATCACCAGACTTATCTTTCGCTTCGTCTCGGGTTATACTCATCACCCCCTCCCTCTTCCAACTCCCTCCTCCATTCTGCAGCACAAGTGCTATCCATCTTCGCTGACCAAAATTCTACGGATGAAGCACAGGCCTTGCTGTATCGCGTTCGGCAATTATCGTCCATGGTGACATCAAATGGCCAATTTGAATGGGTCGACGGACCTCTCGTACGTGCAATCAAGCTAGGACATTGGGTAGTTCTGGACGGCGCGAATCTTTGTAATCCTTCCGTCCTCGATCGACTGAACTCTCTTTGTGAACCTGGTGGAGTTCTCGTTCTCAGTGAGAGAGGATATGTCAATGGTACGGTACAAACTCTCAGACCGCATCCCAACTTTCGCATGTTTATGACATCTGACCCTCGATATGGCGAGCTATCGCGTGCGATGCGAAATCGTGGTATTGAGGTGTCATTGGCCGCTTCCTTCTCCACAGAAGACGAACTTCGCCTCCGACTTCATTGTCGACTTCCTACGACTGTCTTAGGCACAGGTCCTTCTTTCGCAGTAACATATGAGCTCGCACGCAGAGGAATCTACCACACTCATCGCGGGGAAGGTAGCAACTCTTGGCCGTCTGGGTTATTTGAAGAAGAGTCTTCTACATCTTCGTTGATTACTCTGGCACCGTTTCTTCAACCATCCAAACCAGACCTGCGCGCTATGATTCATTTCATACTAAGGACAATCTCTTTGAATGTATCTTCTTCGTTGCGGCGCTTTATGAAGTTGGCAATACCTCCGTGCTCATCACAGTCTATCTTGGACAGTGCCCTTTCCTCGGGGGCTTTCAAGCTCCTTTCTGAGTGGCGAAAATATCTCCTTGCTTCCCAAGTGACGAACGACGCTGTTACAGCTTCGGTTAGTGTTTACTACATATCTGTGCTAGGTCTAGTGCACGTCACACTGTTTGCATGTACTAAATACGTCTATTGGAATATAGCCAATGGACATTTTCATGGTCTGTCCGCCATGCAAGTTCTGCAGTCATGAAAACGGACACCACCCAATACACTTGATTCTCCTTCAAACTTTGAACTTGATCGCTGCAATATTCATCGACGACACTGAGCGAGCTGAGATGTCACAAGAACTGCACGGCATAGGTGCGAGCAAGATAACTTTACCAACACGTCAGCAACATCCAACATATTTACGACTGTTGGATGCTATTCGCGAAGTTCTGGAAGAGGTGCGGAGAGTGGCTGAGGAGGTTTTCAATCAAATCGTTGGAAAATCTCAAGTTCAGGTAAGATTTCAGTCCTCCATTCTCATGCTAATCGTTGTATTGAATGATCATCAGCTTATGGATCTTGAACTCATCCTCAAACTACTTGGTATTTCCAGGCAACTCCGACGATCAGGAACCGGCCCACATATCGATTACTCCTCAATACAGGCCTACTCTAGGTCAATTATAGCCGCGTTGCAATCACGGAGCCCAGTATTTGAACGTCTTGCAAGTATTTCCGCTGCATTGGATGTGACAGTTTCTCCTACCACTGGACTAGGCCTGACAGAAATCTGGACGCATTTGTTCGCACCAACGACTATCAAAGTCTCCCTTCCCGAGATCAGAAGTCTTGAGCATGCCGCTGGGCAATCACACGAAGGCTTGAATCAACACAGTATGGCTTCGTTATCTGCCCTCGGTACATTCTAATGAATCCCCAATAGTCCGCCGCAGGCAAATTCTAAATGTCTTGTCCCTTTATACACTTCCGCTCATGAGCACAGTATCCACTAACTTAGAGATGGAATTGGCACACACGGTGAAAGAAAAGGTTTAGTTCGATTATTGCTCCAGTGTGCACCGCTGAAGTGAAAATCCTAGCTTACGTTGAACTTCCACGGGAGCAGTGATTCTTACAAACGACATGCCAACCCTTCTCTCCTTATCTGCGAATTGCCCTTGTTGAGTGACATTCGCCAGGCATCATCATCTGTGAGTTGCGATTTGGTGCCGCCTTTGCAGGATATCCATGATGACATCTTATAGACCGTTTCTTCTGCCATGAAGCGCTTGATCGACGTGGCATGCGAGGAACCACGCGAGGATCTCATTCGCTTTACATCGTATCAGCATTTCATATGGGTACATGACGCAGGAGGGGGAGGTAAGGGCAGTATCACGTTCTTTACATGCGACTAAATTCTTTATCAGTTCCCACCCATCTATTGATTGCTTTGCAGACTCGTTGGCTCGCGAGTCTGTGGAATTCAAGCTTAACCCAGGCCGTGAGTGATCGTAACGTGGCTGCATATCCTGTGACTTACAAGATCCTGCCAGGAAATTCTCGATGGACCGGATATCCTCCTTTGTCCGACTCTTCTTCGGACCTCCATAGAACTGAAGTATAGAAATTTTGCTTCTATCCGTATCGTGTGCTTATCCACCACATAGCCAAGCGCGGAGCGTCTCGCTAACATCCCTCGAAGGGCACGAAGCTTCTGTTCATCGTCACCTACGACTGCTCTCTATGCAATGTGTTATTCGTGAGTCGCGGATACAACAATTGTCGGCATTCATGTACCAATGCATCTTATCCGTGAGTGAAGCGGCAGTCACTATCGCAATTCTTATCCAATCGTCCATCAGATTGCGTCATGCTTCGCTTCATCATTTGATGACATTGACTGGCAAGCCATGCTCGGATCTCCTGTCAGTAGCAGCGCCTTCCCCATGACGATGTTGTCTCTCCTCGAACACTCCAAACATGAGCCCTTGAAGGCAGCTATCCGTCTATTTTTACGCCCCAACCTCATACGGTTCGCAACCGACCACCAGTCACGAGACATAAATTCAGCTCGCTTGGGACACTGCTACATTTCTCTCAGCAGAGTAATTCTTAACCTATCCATTCCCGATCTTCCGGTAGACCCCGCAACCGTGATTCATCGTTTAGCGGAATATTCGCAAGAAGAGATTGATTTTCTGTCGACCCAGTCGTCTTTCCACAAAGCATGGGAACACCGAACCACTGGCAATATATTCAACTGTGACATACAATATCTCGATGTTTGTTCTGAAGCAGAACACAAAGATATGCCATTGGGTTCCTCAAACCTTCCACGACGACCTGATTGTAACCGCATTCACACATTTTGGTCTGAGGTTTCACAGTTTCAAAGTCAAGTCATCCAACCCAGCAAGGTCGACGATTTGACTGCCATTCTCGAAATCGGCGATGCTTCTTCTTTCGCGCGCGAATCCGTGATGCAGGAATCAATATCTGGGTTTTGTCGACGGATGGATGATCTTTACCGTGACTTTGGAGATATTGCAAAAATTATTCACCTTGCGCTCCTGCTCCTCCGTCTCGGAATCCGACTTGTTCGCTGTTCTGCGCAGCAACTGTCCTACGCACAACACGCTCAGCAGAACATACTTGCTGCTTCCCTGGTGACGTATCCGTCTCTTCGCAGTGCACAGCTGTTGCAGACGCAACTTCAACGGGGAGCTGCATCCGGAGCATCTCCCTCTGACCAGGTCCTACTGCATGTGTCAGCCATAGGCCTCTGTGCTGCCATATCCGGCCTCGCTCCCCATGCTGCTGCTGTCCATGAGGTGTATGAGCAAGCATTCAGGCTCTGGACCATGGACCGCACTCGCCAAAATGAGAAGGAACATGATGACTCGTCGCTATACAGACGTAGCACCCTTAATCACGATGCCTCCACGGAAGCTGAAGCCGAGCAGAAGGAGTTTTTGGAGCTGTTCCCGACATTTGAGGACGCACTCGCTAGTCCTAACGATATACCCAACAAGATTCACGACAAGCCCTCTGAGTTCTTTAGTGTTTCTGCAGCCGAAGCGCTGCTGGGGATGCATTTTGGACTCGCTGGAGTTGCTAGTATCAGCATCAGTGTTGGAGGTCCCAATACGAGGTTTGATTCATCTCGTCGGTCGGTTTTGAAGACGCTCCTCGACAATCGATATCCCACTCTCCCAGACACCCTTGACGATGAATCGTTGCACGAACAACTTTCTTTGATTCACGTTCATCTTCTCGCGCTGAAGTCTCAGGAGCACCCTACTGGCCAGCTGTTCGACTTCTACACTGACGCGAACTTAAGAGAGGCGAAGAAAGCCCTTGCGGCGGTGAACTCTCTTAGAACGCGGTTGATTGCGCTTGTCGAAGAATGGCCAGATCAGATGGTTTTGCAGCACCTGAAAGACCGTTGTGATGCGTACTTGGCCCTGGACATAAACAGTCCCATTGCCAAATTGTTGTCCGGCCTGGAGCAAATCATACTGCAGACAGATGACTGGGAAATGTACGCACACCGTGACAATAGCCTCAAGGCACATCGGCAAGAGTTCACAACGCTCGTTGTAGAATGGAGACGCTTGGAACTGTCGTGCTGGAAAGTGCTATTACAGTCTCAGTCTGACTCGTTCGTCAAAGGAGTTTCGGAATTTTGGTTCCGGCTGTATGATCTCACCGTGCGCGGCGCACTTAGTGCAGCTCACGAGGATGAGGGCGAAGCTCTCCAACAATATCTCAGACAGCTGCCATCGCTCCTGGACGACTTCGTGCATTCCAGCGCTCTAGGTCAATTCCAGGTCAGATTGGATCTCCTCGAGACTTTCAGGGTTATCGTCGTTCATATCGCGTCTACGTTGGATGGACAACAGCGCAATGCCCTCGAACGTGTCGGACTTGTCTTGACGTCCACTCGGAGATATTATCGATTATTTGCAGGCCAGTTAGCCAAATCTCTGACGGATCAAAGAGAATCACTTGAGAAAGATGTTCAGGCATTCATAAAGCTCGCCAGCTGGAAAGACATTAATGTTCAAGCCCTGAAGCAAAGTGCTCAGCGAACGCATCATCAACTCTACAAGCTGATCCGCAAATACCGGGAAATCTTGCGCCAGCCCATCGCTGAGCGCATATTGCCAACATTTGCTGGTGATGCAGAATGCACCCAGTCAATAGATGCTCTGGGTTACTCGGGAGATCTGCTCTCCGTGGCATGCACTCTGGAGCGCGGCGACTCTCCACAACCGAACGAAACCTATGTCACTCCTTCTCACCTGGCCAATCTGAACCAGACGCTCGAGAGATTCCATAGGCTCATGGACAGTCGTATTCGGGCTTTCTTGCGCCGACGTCTCCCTCATCATGTTGACCAATTTGCGGTCGAAATCATCCTTACCGCACGAGACCTGGCAGCAGAAGGTGTACCTCCAGATCTTTCCAAGGAGAAACGAGAAAAATACGTCAAGGGCCTGCTGGTTCGCAAAAGGAAGGCTTTGAGCGATCTCTTGAAGGAGCTCAAACGTGCCGGTCTCGCTGCCAATGTGAAACCAGAAGTGCTCGCCAAGCTCAGAGATGAATACTGGATACGAGTGCAACCGTCGATGCCTCCAGAAAGCTTAATACATGTCGAGAAGGGGGAGTATTACTTCGACCGCCTTCGTGGTGCTCTTTCGGCAGTCAGAGCCTTAGTTTCCGATCATCACTCGGACATAAGCACGCGTGATCTGCTTCGAGGTATTGCCTTTGTCGAGTCTGGTTATTCATTAGCTCTTGAGGCGAGGTCTTCGTAAGTCGACATATTCTTGATGATACCTTTTCTTACTGTGAGTGTCCAGGCTATCAACAGCTTTTCAGTATTTCATCGACATCAAACGATGCGCCGAGCGCCTTCAGACCCTCGTCGAAGCACCTCTACTTGTCACCAAAGGATTCTCCCCCACTCGTCTGATGCATCTATGTCAAGCACTCGGCAACGCCGTTCATGCTTTCGAAGAACTTCTCCAAGGAATTCGCCTTTTCATCGAAATTCAGGAGGACCAGGGCGTCGCACCATCAGTCATGGTTGAGGTCCAATCAGTTTATGCCAAGACACGACTTCTTCGTGACCGTACTTCGGAGGTTCTTCAGGGAAGTCAGAACACAATGCCTACGGTGCTACCTGGTGGTGAGTAGGTTCCTCACGGACATAGTCACAAACTGATTATTTGCCCAACAGTTGAACACGAAACTGTTAAAGAAGCTGATGAATATTTCCGTGCCATTCCCGCCTACCTCCAAAAGATGAAGACGATGGAACCACGACTTGGTTACATCTTGTCTCCTATCGAGCACTGGCTCCGTGATCAATACGTTTCTACAGATGCCGAGACAGCACCTGGAACTGTAGAATCATTAGGTGCGGATGTCATCATCGAGACGCTTTTGGTTGTAGTGCAGTCCCTCTTGAAAAGATGTCCAAATGGATCTAGCGATGAGTCTCCTGATGATGAAGCCCAGGATAATTTTATTCGAGAGGACTTGCGCACAATTTCAGGCTTCACTCGATCCTTGGACCTTGAAGTCCTCCTGGAACGGCTGAATGTCATGACGACCCATCTTTCCTCCCTTTCACAATCCGACATCCAGGCAAGTCTTCGACGCCTCCTCCCATTTCTCCAATGCTACATTTCTTTCGTGGGAGAACACCTCATGGTGCACAGTCAATGGACGAAGGCTCTCTTCAAGCTTGACTTCGTTGTTTCCTCTGTTATGCATACCCTCGCCAGGCAAGGCTTTTGTTTGCCCCCGGATGCAACTGATTCGGGTGATGTCGAAGGTGACACTGAGACCGCCGGGGGCGTGGGCTTAGGTGAGGGAACGGGAATGGAGAACGTAAGCAAGGAGATCGAGGATGAAAGCCAGGTTGAAGGCTTAAAAGGGGACGAAGGTGAAGCCCAAGATGAGCAGGTGCACGGAACTGATGATAACACCATTGAGATGAGCGAGGATATTGGTGGGGAGATGGAAGATGTGCCAGACGATGGAGAGCAGGACGGTAGTCAGGAAGATGATGGCGACGAGCAGGAGGAGCCGGATGAACAGCTGGGGAAACTTGATGCAGGTGATCCGAATGCAGTCGACGAAAAGTTGTGGGGCGACGAATCTGCGGAGTTAGATTCTGCTGATCAGGACCAGGTCCCCCAAGATCGCTCGGAGACGCAGCAAGAGGAATCAGAGATCGTAGCCAAGGAGCACACCCAATCAAAGAAAGATAGTGGAAAGGAGAAGGAGGAAAAGAAAGATGGAATGTCCGATGAAAAAGGTGAAGAGATTCAAGAAAGCGAAGAAAATAAGGGCGAAGAACCCGACGAAGATTTGGAGGCCCCAAACGCGAATGGCGCGCCCATGGACGAGTACATTCCCGATGCCAACACCCTGGATCTACCTGATGACATGACTCTGGAGCCCGATGAAGAAGGGGATCAAGGAGGACTCGACATGGGAGATGAAATGGACACGGAGCTAGACGAAGATGACCAATACGCCGACGACATGGAGGAAACGAATCAACCTAAGAAGGATGAGTCCCCGGAGGATGTACCAGAACCTCAATCGCAAGAACACCAACTGCCGGATCAGCCTCCCCAAGCTGCAGACGATGCAGACAATGTAGAAGAAGATGTCGAGGAAGGCGCTGTTGCTCAGCCAGATATTTTGCCTGGGAACGGAGACACTGGGAACAAGGACAATGAGTCGCAGGCCAATGATAGTGCACAACAAGGGCAGGCAGGTGACGCGTCTGGTGAAATGAGGGACGATGCCGCGGCAACTGAACAGAGCACCAACGAGACATCTGGGGAATCAAAGTACGCTCAATTGTCTATGCAGAAATCCGTATCTGACTTGTGACCAGACCAAGAGATGATGCTGAACCCTCAAGTCCATGGTCTCCTACCGATATTGACACAAAACCAGGTACATCAGCAGAGGGCACGCAGCATGGTGGAGCCTACGCCCGCCAACACACCGAACTCACTACGAACCCTATCCGCAATCTTGGTGATGCACTTGAAGAGGTACAACAGCGCTTCGAAGACATTCTGGGCGGTGGGGAGCCTTCCCCGCCTATTGCAGACCAAGCTGCCGAACAGGTCGAATATGCTGATGCGGACGAGGAGATGCAAGCTCTGGGTGCGGCAGGCGAGGAGCAGGTCGCGAAGCTGAATGATCTAAGGCTTGTTGATGAACAAACAGAGGCAGCTGCACTACCCATGGATATCGATACTCCCGGAACGGACGAGCTTGTGCGACCACAGCCATTGGCCTCGTTGCATACAGAGCCAGCGACTGAGGGTGCACGTCCAAACATAGAAGGCGCTATCACTCAATCGGAGATGCGCTCTGCCGCGGACCCCGAACATGTTTCCTCACGCCGTGATCCTTCGTCTTCACACGCAGATGTCGATGAAGAGATGGAACAATCCGGTCCAGACAGATCCTTTGAAAACATAGAGGTGGCCCTCCGGACCTGGCAGGATTCAGGCCATACCTGCGAAGATGCCGAGTCTCTTTGGCGGCTTTATACCTCCCTTACACACGACCTGTCTTACGCTCTTTGCGAACAACTGCGCCTCATACTTGCACCCACCCTGGCCACTCGTCTCAAAGGCGACTACCGGACAGGTAAAAGGCTCAACATGAAGAAGATCATCCCTTATATTGCCTCTGACTATACCAAGGACAAGATCTGGCTTCGGCGCACGCGCCCCAGCCAGCGCGAGTACCAGGTCCTTCTTGCACTTGACGACAGCCGCAGTATGGCAAGCTCTCGCAGCGTACATCTTGCTTATCAGACGCTTGCCCTCGTGAGCAATGCCATGGGAAAACTTGAGGTCGGCGACGTTGCAATTGCTAGGTTCGGCGAGGGCATGGAGCTACTTCATGGCTTCGACGAAGGACCATTTACAGATGCTGCCGGTGCAAAGACGCTCGGTGCGTTCAGATTTGAGCAGCGTGCAACGAACGTCCTGGATATGGTAGAGAGGAGCCTTGAAGTGCTAGAGAGCGCTCGGGAAAGAAGGGCCACTGGGTCAGCAAGTGCAGGTGAACTATGGCAGCTAGAGATCATCATTTCGGACGGTATCTGTCAGGATCACGAGCGTTTGCGGCAGGTGCTGAGACGGGCAGCAAGCCAACGCGTTATGATCGTGTTCATCATCATCGACTCGCTGCACTCGGCCTCCACTTCTGTGCAAGGGCAAACACAAGACGCTTCTGCTGTACAGAACTCAATCGTTTCGATGAATCAAGTCGCCTACACGATGGTCAACGGGCGCATGGAGCTTCAGGTGGAGAGGTATCTGGATTCTTTCCCATTTGATTACTATGTGGTGTTACGAAGTGTTGAAGCGTTGCCTGAAGTACTGTCAGATACGCTCAGACAGTTTTTCGAAAGGATCTCGGAAGAGTAGAATATATGCATATATCGTTGACCTAATATATATAAGTTCCATGTTCGAGTTGATATGATGCATCTATTGTGAGGCAGGAGTCCTCGTTGACTCACTCCTGCTGCTCTAGCCTCAGTAGGTGCCTACTCCTTCTTAATCTTCGTTTAGCAGACTTTGCTATGCATAGATATTTTGGCTTGTTAACCATCATGCATCCTAGAGTACCTGCCAGGCCGAAGTCATACAAGTCTGCCACCATGTTCACCGATAATCAGTTGACGAATACATGATCTCAAACCACACAGACAAGCTACCAGAATTTAAAAACTACTCGCCCATTCTAGCAGCTCTTCATTCGCCACATGGCAACGAGAATCTTGAGTGTCAGGCTGTTAGCCACAGGCTCAGCGGCCTAGTGCTGCCGTGGTCCGGTTCGGTCCGGTTCAGAGGCAGTTTGATGAGAACCGAGAACAGAACCAAGGTCCGGTTCTACCTTTATCGACGAACCTTGGACCGAACCTTTGCGAACGGTTCGCAGCGGTCAGGTTCGGTTTTTTTTCGGTTCGAACGCGAACCGGACCCAATTTTTTCTATAGCTGGCAAAAAAAAAAAATATAATCGAAGTACTTTGACCACGGCAGCACTACGAGCTCTGTATCCCTCCACAATACTAACAACAGCACCTTTTCCCGGCGATGATACACTCCGCTGAGTCACGCGAAGAGAAATATATCAATGTCATTGCACATGTACATACATGGGACGGAACGAGTTGTATCTAAGATGCTTGATGTATCAACGGCTAGTAGATTGGGGGACTCGTGAGGTGGGATGATATGTTGATGGTGCGGGAGTGATGCCTGCCTCAATGAGGTTGCCGAGTCCAAGGAGTCCTGGAGAGGCTGTATCTACATCAGTAAATTCACTAATTCCTTAATTAGCTTTCCCGCCGCTTGCCGTCAATTATTTTCCCACAAGAAGCAGTTAAGTCCTTGGCAAGGGCGGTAAAAACCACTTGCTGCAAGTTCAACAAGTAGATCCCTCTTGTTTTGCACTTATTTTTTACTTATTTCCACTTGCTCAAGCTTGTGCCCACTTGGTTCATGAAAAAAACGGTGGCAAATACTGCATTTATAGCGAGACAAGCAGACAAGTTAATTTAAAGTGAGAGCAAGTGACAGTCAAGTATTGGTAAGTAGCAGAAAGAAACATTAAAGAGCGGGATAGTGACGGTTAGCGATGGTTTAAAATGCGTGAAACTATTAGTAGTAGTAGTGGCGATGAGGGAAGGGCGACGAGGGAAAGACGACTCGGAGCAACGGGAAAATGAGCGAATTGGAGCAGCGTGGAGATAAGCTTTGAAGTGGCGACTTGAGCAGAGAGACGGCGACACAAGGGAGTAGTCCTAACATCATGACACTGCAGGAAGAGTCATAATACTACTAGTAGTCAGTTGTGAGACATGAAATGACAAAAAAAAGAACAGTACCACTGACAACTAGCAGATGTTACAAGAACATCTAGACGCTTGGGCCCCTACCATTTTTCTCCTAATACTCCTCGTATCAGCCCTCGCATCGTACCCTTACCCCGACCTCACCCTTGTCATCCTCGTCATCCTCGCATTCCCTCTTGCCCTCTACCTGTCGCTTCAGCAAAGCCAGTACATCTGGCCGGATCCTTTCGCTGACGAAGCATACCCATGCTCCGTTTCACCACCTGACTGATCCTGTGGACAGTCCCCTTGCCTTTACCGTCTGGACGGTAACCTATGATATGATGCATGATGCATCCCCTTTACCCTATTCCCTTTCTTGATCTCTGACTCAGTACGCAGTCGCACATGCGACTTATACTTAGATCCGCAGCTGCACGATCGTGCTCCTGTGCGTTTCACCTCTTATTTCGATCTTTGACTCACTTTCTTATCTAGCACGTTCTACCTCAACCGAACGTGCCTTCCTGTTATAGTCATACCCTTTATCGATTGCCTCTCCCGGTAGTACGAGTTATCACCCACTAATACGTCTCCTGTCCTCTATATAAACTCGCTACCATGTACCATATTCCTTAACTTGAATCTACTTGGTTCTTGACCTCCTACTCTCACCAGAGTGATCCTTTCTGCCTCGCCAGCAGTCTATATTCTATCTTCTTATCTGCTCATCGCGGATAAGCCTATAGTCTCGACCTTTACTCATCGACTTCGTCGACGAGCAAAGCCCCTGTTAACTAGTCGGACTTCTGTCCTTCTAATTAACGACGATCCTTACAATTAACCTTTGGGTGTCGTAAGCCTAGGCCGATATAGCTTATCGTCTCGCACCCGCGTGACATAAGCTACCCGATTTGGACATAGGCGTTAAATCGTACTTGCCGAAGACCCGCCAAGTACGACCCCTAACCTTGGGCTAGCCCAAGGACGTCCACAGACCATTGATGACACAAGCTCTGTTTGAGCGTCGCCAACAGATACCATCCAAGTCGTAACAGCAGATGAGCATGCGCTCATCTTCTGATTCCTCGTCCACCTTTCGTGCACCATGCCTCTTTGTGCCAAGGTTCTGAGCTCTCTCCCACATCTTCCTAATGACCAAGTCTCCTGCATGAGTGATGGATATCACATATGACCTAGTGGGCTCACCCCAGTTGACATCCGAAAATGCCAAAAGAGTACTACTTTCATTGCCTGACGACTTGTTGTGCTTCTGGGGGGCCTTGGAAGCTCTTCCTCAACCGTTGATTTCAATGTAACTCAGTAGAAAGCCCTCATTGGCAAAAAGTGTGATTGCGTGTTCCATCTAAAATAAAGAATGAGTCAACTGTATAAAGATATGGTGGAGATACCTGCCACCAAAGTGGTGAGGGCAAGCGCCCCTTTCGCGTGTCCCAATGTAGTGAATCCTGGCACAATGGCAAGAGCACCAGAAATAGCACAGTGATGTTGCGCAAGCACCTGCATGATAAGGTCAGATTGAAATGGTTCCATGTGCTTACTACCATCCTCCTTAATTGTCCCATACAAGAATGCACTCTTGATAAGTAGGCATGCAGAAAATTGCTGGCGGTAACCACTGAAGGGCCTGTTAAATATCTGGTTTCAGGGCTCAGATATGAATGGGGCTTAAAGGCACTCATCTCCACTGGCCATACTCTGTTCAGAGGTCTCCGAGAGCTTTGCAGCCTTTGCTATGGGGCGAGCACAGGGACGTTTAGGCTTCGGTGCATCAACACGCGCAGCAGCTTGGTCCATTGCCATCTGTTCCTGGAGAGTTGCTATACACTGATGCCCTTTTTGTATAGCTTGTTCACTTCGCCTGGTTTGCCTCCAGTTCATGCTGTCGGTCAGCCATCATTTGAGCTTTGGTACGTCTCTTTGCACGACCTTCGGCCTCGAGCACGATGCGTCCTGGATGCTGAGTTGCATTTTTAGGATGGGTTCCCATACACTGCGAAGCTGGCTGAGACATTTGTTCGATGGACGATTCGAAGACTAAAGGTATTGGAGGGTAGTGGTGATGAGTTGAACGTGAGTCTTGTCACTCTTTTGAAAATTTCTGGCCTAGAAAGCTGACTCTGAATACGACATTGACCCTAATGTACTCTTGGCTAGTGCTACCAATACAAGTACTACCACTAGTTATATTACAGATTTCGGTCTGCCGACTTTGGGAGCCTTCAAGTGGTTTTGTTTTAGTCCGACAAATGAAAATTCACCACAACCATTTCGGTGTAACATCAACGTTTACCAGAACTTTTGGTATAATATTGATGTTCACTAAGGCGAGTTGGCCAAATTTTGACCTTGACAATGGCACTAATCTGGGGGATATTGTTTAGGTTTGGTATCGGCGCTAAACTTCACAGCCCAGGCACTACACTTCCTTGTATCCTGTGTTACAACTACCCCGTACTATGCCTCAAGCTGCTGGTCACCGTGCTCACAACCTCTTTTGGTTTGAGTGTCCAGCTCCAAATTGCACGCGCTGGTTCAAAAATCGCTCAGGTCTCACACAACATATGAATGCATACCACCCCATAAACAATGTCACACCAGCTCCAGGACCATGCCCTCAAGATGTCCCTCTACCACCCCAGCCATTACCTCCCCCTCGAGAATTTGTGTCGCCCCCTCCTGATTTTGACCCCCCACCCCAGTCATCACCTCCGAGGTATCCCAGCCACAGACCAACAGTCGATGACAAGGGAGATGAAGAGACTGTGAGACCAACAGTTGATGACGAGGGAGATGAAGAGGCTGAATTCACAGATCCCAGTGGGTGATACTATTGCCGAAAGATGCACCTGATTGCGTCCAAGATGTTGGTTTAGATGACGAGATTAGAGTTTTAGATCTTAGCGGTAGTAGTATATCGGCAATGTTATGTTGCTTGCAATCAACTTGCAGTGCTTGTTTTGGCTTGATCTTGCTTGTCGTTCTTGCGCTGCTTGTTGCCGATTGAAAACCATGTGCTTCCTTAATTCAACTTATCAAATAAAAAGCCAAGTGAATATATTTAGCTAAGTCAAAATTAAGTGCGGCAAGCGGCAGGGAAAGCTAATTAAGGAATTAGTGAATTTACTGATGCTATATAGGATGGTAAAAAAAAGTAAGTTGCCCAACCAGAGTTGAGTCTAGATGCGCAACGTACCTAAAGCATAGTGAGACATCATTGAAACAAGGAGTTCTGGAGGATGTCCAATTGCTCCCAACTCTGCTTCCGAGCTGCGACAAATATCCATCATCAAGTCGCGGCCTTCATAAGACGAGGTAAGAACTTCAGAGAACCGTGAACCTGGAGGGTGCTGGTAACAGTGGAAGGTGCGGACATCAACATAGACGATGTGGCGTGTGATTTTGGGCACTGGTAGCGATGGAAGGTGCATAGACATGGGTGACGTGGTGTGTGATGGGTTGGGCATGATGGATGCTGGTTGGGGAGTTAGGAATGAAAGTTTGAAATCATGGAGGTGCACTCACCAAGGTTAAACAATACAACTTTGTCTCTATATGCCCCACCGTCGTATCCGCCCACAATGAAGAGGCAGCTTCCAACCTGCGTAGAGGTATGCGAACTGGGACCGATGTGTGTAACCGACTGGGCGCAAATTCAGCGCTTCTGTGTGAAGTGCGATTGCCTGATGCAAGTCTTCGTCAGCACTGTTTGAACAGTACATGTCATGACTTACCTTGTCAATGAGCCTCTGCATTTGTCGGAAACAAGTAAGTATCGAAGCTCGAGAATCCGTGAGGCCAAGGCGGGTCAAAACACGCTTCGACAATGTGGCAGAACTTCTTGTGGTTCGGGGAAGGTTCGAACCAACATAGAACCGTTCGGGCAAATGGTGGACCGCGAACCTCACTCAGGTCCGGTCCGCCCCAATTCATGGACCACGGACCGAACCACGGCAGCACTAACAGGCTCAAGGTTTATCGCAACTTTCCAGGGACCTGCCCACCTGCCCTTCATTCCGCTTATACTTATCTACTATATCTAAGCACGCATAACCGCCGGTGCTGTGTTGTGCGTGTCTCCCTTTCAGCGCGTCCGGTTCGATGAACAAACTGCATTTGAGCCATTCACTTTCTACATTACCGGAATATTACAAATGGCGCTGTGCGTTTTGTCAGTGTCGTCCGCTCTAAATCCAACAGCTCACTGGAGGTTCGAATGATGATACGATGAGTGAGAGATTGGGATGACCCTAAGAAGTGTCGTCGACAGTGTTGCCAGCAGGTGATGACAAATGGTAATAACCAACTGAATACGCCCCTGCATGTTCAACCAATTTTGTGCCATCTGACAGCAATAACTATTCTGCCAAATCGACCAGAACCAGGGCATAAAAGTTGTTCATCGTCCCACAGTGTTTCCTCATCCTCAAAGATATCATTCGAGAACCCCCTCAGAAAATTCTACGTCACTCGCACAGAAAATGCGTTTATCGTTCCTCGCCGCTGTTGTTCTTGCTTTCATATCCATAACATCGGCATCATCTGAGTCTGACAGTGTGTGTCGCAGATACGGAGACCTCTGCTGGACAAGTCGAGATTGCTGTAGTGGGTTTGAATGTATACCCGACGTGAGTATGAGCAGATCGGTCTGCAACCAAGAATCAATCCTATGACTCACCTACGCGCCTTAGGATGCAAAAATCAATCTCTGCACACCGGGGGTCATTTAAGCCGAGCGGCATATCGCAACAGCGAGTCATACTTCTGATTTCGCTTTGGTATCATGGTTGATGTGGAATATCTACTTCAAGTTGTTTTTAGACAACCTAGTACGGTCATACTGCTAAGCAAAGTAGCTGTTTGAATTTATCTGGAATTGATCGACCATGCCTAAGCTTGAGTTCGAGAGCCCGTTGAAACGGATGATCATTGCTATTGATGATTAATATTTAGGGAGGCCTTACGAAGATGGAACGCACTGCGCTGAATCTGTTCGTCTAACGTTGACCTCAAAGGCTGTTCATGGATCTCTCTCTTGATGGAGCCAACTAAACGCCGATCATGATTCGTGACAGACATATTATTTTCTGGTATGCAGTCAAAGTCCATGGTCGTATGGCCGGCGGGGACCATCAGCGAACCTGTGAACAGATGAGATCGGTATTCAAGTTGTTGAACATCGCAATAATAAACGTAAAACTGCCAACCACTCTCACATCGGATTTTTTGCACTGGCAGTGTCGAGGAAACACCGATTTGCAGACACACGACCTGGTACAAGTATAGGTCGTCAAGAGGGTTCAAATTGATGTTGGAGAGCAGACCCATGGTTCTTCCAAGGCACAGTTTTTAGGAACACTTTGTTTCATCTTCCATGGGCCTATGCGATTCAGCAAATTTGAGTGTGAAGGGAGCCTTTTGGTAACGAGTCGGAATATTGACGAGTCAGTATTTTGGCGTAGGCATGTTCGTGAGCTAAATTGCAAAGAGCATTGGTGTCCGGACTTCGAACGTGGCGAGCGGAAGAGACACCACGAAGTAGGACAATCTAATTGAATTCAAAAAAAAAAGACATGTGCTCTGGCAAAAGCTCTGCACTACTATAGGTGGGAGCTTGCGGAGGACATCACCTTGCTTGCAAGATCGTCTACATGCACAAATAACGGGAAATCCCGAATGATTCTCTTTTGTCACCAGTGACCACTTGTTTCATATATGATTAGAATGATCAGCTACAGGGTCCTAGCATCTGGGACCCAACCTATCACAGAAGGGTCAACATCTCCAGGTTGAAGCTGAGTAAAAGTAGTCAACGAATGAGCTCACCAAGGTAGAAAACAGCAAGAAATTTGACCAAGCAATATTAGTGAAGGACACAGTGAATTCAGAATATCTGGTACTACAATGCCCAACACACTAGCGAACACCTAGTAGAAATTTTGATAAGTCTCGCACCTAGGCCCAAACCTTCAGCTACTCGATCGTGCCCACACCTTCCGCTGATAATCTAGTAAAATAGGTACAAAATCCCAGAGGCCAAATTCGGGCCAATAGGTATCTACCATATGAATCTGTGTATTTTCACAGCACTGTGAGAGGTACAAATGAGTTTGGCGGAGACAACGTTTTGGATGAGTATAGAAGTGCCATTTTCGCCAACGTCGAGGAAAATAATACTCCGAAATGGGATATGGAAGCAAAACAAGCAAAGTGAACAGAGATTGGTGGTAGGGAGATGAAAGGCAGGGAAGGAACAGAGACATACCTGCCATTGCAGAAAACCGCTCAATCGCTTCACACCACTCGTGCGGATGAAAATGTCGAGCGGCGGGCTGCCCCCAAGCGAAGTCATGAGGTTGTCCTCGATAGTTTGTTCTGTAATCAATCTGCATGTATTGATTAGCATGAAACATGTGGCGGGAGAAGTCACAAATTTAAATAAACGGCCCAGCAAAGATCTGTGCTCACGAAGAATCAAAGTTCTCTTTATCGAGGGCCTGCTGTACGACAGATTGTACCGCTAATGTCATCTCATGCCGCGAGGCGTACGGTGCACAGACATTCAATATTGCTCTGTTGGAGTATGTTCAGGATAGAAGGCGAGGGTAGAGGGGACATACCTGTTATTCTGACGCGTCATTCCCTCCGCTTTATCAATGGCGGCTTGAACATGGATAGGTAGTAGCTCACGATGGCCGAGGACATTGAGGCGTACGCCATATTGGCTTAAGAGAGCACTGAAGAGTAATCACATGCAGTAACGTCAGGCAATCAAGCACTTCGACTGCAATGTATTTAATTAAAATCTCACCCATTCTGTGCAATCTCCACGAGTCTCTCTTCTGCTAGTTTCATGAGTGCATCGACCTCGTCAGGTGGCCTATTGAAGTTTTCGATCGCAAAGGCGTAGACCGTGACGCAGCGTATGTCAAGACGCAGGCATATCTCTAATATCTGTGACCAATCTCAGGAAATCTCTACGACCGAAGCAGCATCAAGGGGTGTACCTGCTTAAGTGTATGAAACCCGTCTGAATGACCCTCGACCGCGTGACGGCCAGTGAGACGTGCAAAGCGGCGGTTACCATCCATTTCGAAGGCTATATGACGTGGAATAGGGCCCGCAGAAAGAACACGGAGAAGCAGAATCACGAGTTGGGTCTTGATGAAGGCGAGCAAGGATGATGTCCAGCCCCAAATCCCGGGCCATGTCATTGTGGATTTCGAACGTGGTCGTTGAAGGTAGTAATAAATGAGCACAGCCACATACATTCAGGTTCTTTGCTATCGAAGACTATTTACGTGGCCTGTGCGATAAGTTCCCTTTTGACTTCCTCTAGATCTTCGTCGTTGTCTTGCGCAATGTCACGCATACACGATATCGATACATTAGCCACGCCCGACGAGCGACGCGGTTTACTCTCGAATGTTGACAACGCTGTCCAACCTGATGTCGAGCAGCAACCCATTTCTCCTGCCCCCTCACACAAACGCAAGCGTTTTGCTGGATTCGGTGTTCTCCTCTCGCTTATTCTCTCTGCCACCCTATTTGAACTCTGGCCCCGTACTCGACATGACACGAGAACCGAGAGGGATGCATTGTACTCGAATGGAACGCACGAGTTCAAGAAGACAGTGCTTATGGTTTCGATCGATGGTCTTCGTGCGGATTATTTAGACCGTGGACTCACACCGCATTTGTTAGATATCAGTCGGGAAGGTATAAGGGCAAAGTATATGAAGCCTATTTTCCCCGTGCGCATTCCCTTTCGGTTCTTTGCTCTAATACTAAACATTTCCCTCTGCAGACTCTGACGTTCCCGTGAGTCATAAATTTGTTGAAGTAATTGATACATTTGAATAACGTTTGTTCCAGAAATCACTGGGCACTAATGTAAATATCACCCGCATTGCTCGGCATGAACTCACACTACATTTAGGACTGGCCTCTACGCCGAGTCGCACGGCATCATTGCGAATGTTTGTCCTTCATCACTTTCTTAAACTGTCTGACATTCTCACATCGGCCATGTAGAACTTCTGGGACCCCGTTTTCCAAGACACATTCCACTATGCTCGTGTTGAATCCGCGCAGAACCCGAGCTGGTGGCTCGGTGAACCTGTTAGTATCCACAGACATTTTCTTTGTATGCACGCTTAATACGTTCTCTCTCACCTCTTGTAACTTTGCATACCTGTCTCGTCATTTGACTGACACGCATCGGTCTCCCCTCCCTCTGCATTTCCTGCCGTTCGTACAACTTAGATGTGGGAAACTGCCGAACGTGCAGGTATCATCACCGCAAACCTCATGTGGTCAGTTTTCCCCTCTGTATCATACTTTGCTTTTTATTCACTCGACCAGGCCTGGTCCTTGGTCTACGACCTCGGGTGTGAACTCTACATATTTTCTACCTTGGGAGGTGAGAATGTGGTCTTAAACTCGAAAAAGGTTGTAATGTGATCTGAAGTTGAATGCAGAATAATTATGCTCTCGAGAAGAAACTTTCCAATCTCTTAGAGTGGATTGACCTCCCGCTGGAAGAGCGGCCGCAACTTATTCTTGGTGTGTTCTTGCATTTCTTTCTTTCTCTGCTTCTGGACCAACGAGCTTCTTTTGCTCAAAGCTGGGCAGTATAGTTTATTCTGCTCGTCGTTTCGTCCTCTTCAATTCCATCATTCTTCCCTGTGGCATGCTGACGTTATTGTTCATCAATAGGGTACGAACCGACACTAGACCAAGCAGGGCATGCAACAGGGCCAATGTCTGAGGCTGTTAATGTAAGCATTATGTTAATCATATTGGTTGATGTGCTTATTTCGTTTTCCAAACTTGCTACTTCCTGAAGATGACTCTCGCAGCTATCGATCTTTTCGCCCGGAACCTAACCCAAGCACTAGGCGAGCGCAACCTCACGCATATCGTCAATATCATCTTCGTCAGTGACCATGGGATGATGGATACCAGCCACCCAACTTGGATATATATCGACGAGATTGTTGGTGAGCCGTGGAAAGGTGTTACCAAGGTGGACGGTAAGTAATTCCATTATATAGTCTGTTGCTTCCCGAAATGTTTTAGACTAAGTGGTGGATTGCTTACTCTGCTCAGGTTGGCCATCCATGGGCTTACGCTTCGCTCCTGGCACGAACGTGACCGAGGCCCTTGAGCGTCTGTGCGAGTACACACTTACCCATCCAGATCAGTTCGATGTGTTTACGACCGAGAGCTTCTCGACCGACGCTGGCACCTCCTTGGTAGACCTCAATGCATTCAACTACGGTGAGATGTCTGCAGGCACAGTAGAGCCTATGCCCGAACGATACCATTTCTCCCACAATTACCGCATCGCCCCTGTGTGGATTGTCCCGCGCGTAGGCTACGCGCTGACTGACCGCACAGACGGCGAAGATGGAATGTCAACTGGAGTGAGTTTACCTTACCGCATCCCATGTCGCCTGATTTCTGTGCTGTATGTCGTTGAGCTAACGCATTGCGCTTTCCTAGAACCACGGCTATGACAATGAGGACCCGTCGATGCGTGCCATTTTTGTCGCACACGGGCCTTTCTCGCAGGGTGCGAAAGCTGCTGTGGTCGCACGAGGAGAGCACGATGGAACAGGAGAATACGTGATGCCAGGGTTCCAGAATGTCGAGATTTACAACCTCGTGATGCGATTGCTGGGCTTCGACGCTACAGATACAGCTAAGACCAATGGAACCGCTGGGTTCTGGGATCCGTTTGTCTTGCCAGATGTTTAAACTTCATACATATTGAAGTCGAGCTGCTTTAGATACTTCGAGAGCCATCATTACCCACGTTACTGAATGTGATACCTTCCTAGATGTGCTGCATATGCATCATATTTGCCACCCTCCCTAGCTAATTTAACCGATTAATGGAATGATTTGACGCGATAGGATTACAATCAGGTATAAGATCTACGCCATAATGAATTGGGGCCAAAGCAATACAAGGGAAAAAGGCATAGAGTTCATATATACACCACTCCCTACTCAAAGCCAGCACAAACCATTAATGTGCTTCCGCATCAAACACTATCTGATGCCATATGCTGGCCAGTAGCACTAGGCACGTACGCAGCTCGCGGGATACCCGTCTCAACACACCACTCCCTACTCAGAGCCAGCACAAATCATCAATTCGCTTCCGCATCAAACACCATGTGATTGCTTCCGATGCCCATATGCTGGCCGGTAGCACTAGGCACGTACGCAGCTTGTGGGACACCGGTCTCATCCAGTCCTTCCGCAGCCTCGATGATCTCATACAGACGCGATGCAACTTCGGGTGGAGGCACACGCCCTCCGAGAATATCGCGTGCAGGCACAGGCGATCCGTAAAATTCGCGGTTAGCGTCTTTCCGCTCTATAAGAACGGTTCCCTCCAGCGAGAGACCAGCAAAAAGACCTGTTGCACGCATCAGTACATCATGTTTAACAATCACATTACTATCAAATAAAATGTAAACGATGAAGATAGAAGACATCTCACCCTTTGATTTCGAGTATGAGAACATGGGTGCAGGATGAGCCAAGGTGGCCTGGACGCTCCCGCCAGTGCCAATGGGTCCTGCTGCGGCGCTAATGTTGCCGCCGATGGTGACGTTTCCGCCTATGCTGAATGCCTTGACTGCGTCCTCGCTGTTCAGTACGATCACAAAATCTGTAATGTCCGCGCCGATTTGGAGGCCCCAACCGAGTCCACCGGTTGCTATGCACGAGGGTGCAGACCATGATCCGTCCGGGAGTCGTGCGATGACGAGGCCAGAGCCAGCTTTCCCGCTGAACATGAATCCAGCCTTGAGCACTTGGAATACGGCAAGACCTGAGCGCATTGTTCAGTGAGAGGTGGTGGGGTGAGCTACGAGTAGATGATGTCACCTCTTGCACGCTGCAGAACGGCAGTGGGTATTGAGTTGAGTGCAGACTCAGGATGATTGGGGTTAGCTGTGGGCAGCAAAGCACTCAGCAAGTGATGTTGTCGATGTCATCGGAAGGAGTGTGCGCACCGAGGAAGCTCTCAAGGATCTTTGCTGCCTTCTCAGCTTCTCCTGGCAGGGTGAATCCTTGCACGAAGTCTCTTGAGCCACTCGCCACGCGCGAGGAGCCCTCCCTGACGAGAGCCGTGGCCTGAATGCCTGCCTTCTGTGCGCCCTTCTTGAATTTGTCTAGCATGGACATGATGGAAAATTAAGAAAGATATCAGGTGCTGTCGTGAACGGTGATCACCAGCCTGCGCCAGTTGAGGCAAGGCACTACGCCATTTTACGTAACGAACACACGCTTACGCGCTCATCGACTCATAGTACTGTCAGTCGTTACGTTGCATTGCGATTTGCAACAAGTCAAATTAATGCAGGGTATATGGGTATTGTTGTGCTACCATTAATAAAAAGGTGTCCATAATAGTGCAAGAATAGATTACCGCCACACGTCGTTGAGGGTTGTAATGCCAGACATGGACGTAGTAAACTCATTATTGGGATCAGACTCCCAAGTGACATTACCATTGTCGACAATAATGTACTTGTATTGGATTTGCGTGTTCGCCGGAAGAGTGACGGCCGCTAGAACTTGATGTTAGTACATGTTGTACTTGAAAAAGATCAGACGCACTGCTCCAGATTGGGTAGTAAGCTGATGACATGAGAATAGCATTAGTGGTGCTCCAGTCAGTCAGAGCACCGACAGAGCCAGTCAAGTATATGTTCTCTGTTGGCAACATAATTGAATAAACTTGGTCATGTTCGCTGCATCAATCAACTTACGTCCCACGGCAGTAGTAGCATTGACGTTAAAAACAACTGGAACAGTTGGGGCCTTGCTAGTAGAGCATGTTGGGGAGACTGGGAGATCCTTGGCACCCCAACTCGCAGATGTTATACCAGCCCTTGCATTAAACGCAGTCAACGCAGATGCATAGCTCCACGTGAGATCCACAGCGCTGGTCGGTGTGCCGTCGCTCCTGGTGTACTGCTCAGCCAGTCCTCCGCCTGAGGGCGTGTACTTCGCAGCCATACCGACGAAACCATCTGCAAAATTCCTGATCGCTGTCGTGAGGGTGCTATAAGTTGGAGTCAAGGAACTGTAAGTCCCTGGCTTGATGCCTGCGTCGAACTGTTGGAAGAAGGGGAAAGAGACATCTGTGACTGTCAGCGAGCCCTCGTTGCTCCACACAATAAGGGCGTCGTAGAGCTGTTCAGCAACTGCAAAGGATGCCAAGTACCACGGCTACGAACAGTTGAGAAATAAGATAAAGAGTAAGATAAAGACCTTACATTACCACCCTGGTACACGTCCTCAGGGTACCGTCCAGTTGCAACAGCCTGGTCAGCACGTATGCCAGCGTTGATGTCATATATCTCACGGAAAGAGTCGACATAGACCTTGAGGTTGGACAAAGCAATATCGGAACAGGGCTGGAAAGTAACACCATCGCAGCCAGCTTCAACGTCAAAGACATGAATGGATGTCAACACCGTGTTCGCATCTCTGCCAGAGCGGCCGCCTCCGGTGTTGGCGGTCATGAACCCAGGCGATGGGTTCCAAAATGACTATTGAGATACTCGCTTTGAGACAATTACTACGTAAAAGATTCAATGTACACACCTGGAGGAAGCAGAGAATGTTGTTGGCCTGGGTATTATATTCACTGACAACTGAAGTTTGGCCGATCGCGGTGGCAAGAGCAGAACCCTGACGAAGTGCACGGTGTTGAACAGCGCTAGTAAAGAATGAAGAGGAATCAACTTCCTCCCACAGGTCAAAACTTGACCGTTGTATGAGTCTCGAGACAAGAGTGCTTGAGTTATGCAGAGCTCACGTCGTCTGGTTCCAGTTGTTCATGATATAGTCTAGGTCGAGTTTGATGATGGACCAAAGGGAGTCAGTGACGTATGTCTCATTCTGGTTGGCAATAAGCCAAGTTGCATAGGTGATCATGGAGATTGAACGCAGCGCAGGTCCATCTGTTTTCCCGTTAGCGATAACAGGCCACTACGCATTTATCATACATACCACGCTGGGGGCGGCCCCACGCTCCAGTGAATTCAGTCTCGTCGATGTTGAACTTGGGCTCGCCTAAGCCACCAGTGGAAACAGTTCCACTTGGGTTGGCAACCTGCTGTATGTTTGCTTCGGCAGCAACGAAGTTGTCGATGTGCGCACGCAAGGTGGTGTCTTGCCCAGAGGTGTACTGATCAATGAGCATTTTGAAGACGAGCGAAGAGTCTCGGACCCATGTGTACAGGTAGTCTGGGTTAGTAGTGCTAGGACTGGCGATGACCACGCCGGGCTGCACGAATCTCGGTTAGCAGTTTCAATACTTGGTATCTTCAGAACTCACATAAGCTCCAGACGACTTAGCACCGTTGGGGCCGATGTTTGCAAGTACACCAGCTTTGGCAATGGGGGACTCAGTACTCGTATACAAGTCCACCGTACTTGACTGGGCAAACGCTGACGCGCATGCAAGCCCGAGCGTAGAGGCCAACTTGAGAGAGCGCCACATGATGACCTGGGGCAAAATGTTCTGCAAAAAATTGCAAACATCGTCTTTATAGTTCCAATACGGAGTGTACGTCACGGTATACATTGCCATATGCCAGGCCTGAGTGCACGCATGGGCAAGAAGCGAAGAACGCAAATTGAGCAATTGATCCTGGTTACGTCGAAGAAGGTCGCGGCTAACTTTAGTAACTTGATCAAATTTGTCGACCACCCACAACTTACGGTTGAATGTGCCTCCCATCGTCGTTTGGATTCAGGTTCCTACATGCAGCTACGGTGTGAAGACTAAATTGCACTGTCTACGTTCTGTCTCTTTCTGTCTCGTCTGCCACCGCCAGGGACTCGGAAACCAGCTCGGAACCGCAAAGACATAGACAATCTCGACAACAATCACATCACTTGGAATTGCAGAACTGAATGATCTCACATTCCATTTCTGCGATTCCAGCTGGTGGGTTTCTGGACCTTCCACAGCTTTGAGCACTCAGCACACAACGCTCGACGATCAGGGACTTGGCATAGCAGTCAGTCTCATAGTTAGAAGAACCGACTATTGTCTGCGCTTTTGAGGCACAAGTCAGAGTACCAGCTTCGCAGTGTTTCGATCGCGAGGTGTTTCCGTGTCGCAGCGGTGTCCACATTCCCCAAGCCAACGAAGACCCTCCCCATATTGGAAGAAGTCACAACTAGCATTCTTACAAGAGGAGGCGGATCTGAAGACATTTCTGTTCATCGTCCCTGGCGGCCCTTCGAGCCGTGGAACGAATCTGTTGGTGTACAGCAATCTCCTCCGCCTCAAGCACTCCTTGTCCTCTAAAGCGGGGCCTAACAAGGGCTTTCGTAGTTCAATATTTGCAATCTTCAGCAAAAGGATATATGTTCATCGGAGAGCATTGTGTTTTTCTGAGTATCATGATCAGAAGTTTAGCAATGAGTTCGGAACAGGTTTCGCATTAGAATACCAGAAGCGCAACCTTTGCGGTAACACTGGCCAAATCAAGTGGTAAGCTACAGAGTAAACGATAGAATGAGGGTACTCTTGAAAGATGCTATAGATCGATTTAATAGCTGACAACCAAAGTCGGGAAAGGATGTGAGAACGTACGCTAAAAGACCACTGTTCACGAAGTAACTGCCCATCGGTTGAACCGAGTTCTCCATCTGTACACTTTAAGGGGTCACGAAGCGTTGTACACATGTAGGCCGTTCGTTCAAGGCGCAGGAAAACCACAGAGGATGACCTATGTTGCACCACGACAGTGAGCTCGTTATAGGTGTCCTTGAATGGGAAGTGGCTCCTGGTTAAATGATACTGCCTGGGGCAGCCTGGCTATTATATATTCGGACTTTTCCGAGCAAGGTGCCAAGCAGCCAAACACGCTTGTTTCTGCAGGATGTCATCATATACCTAGTTCCGTTAGCCAAGAACCCTCACTTATCGCTTGTCGTCGTGTTTCCTCCCATTCTCAAGAGGCCTGCATTATGATGCCCCGCGTGTCCTTTATCTTCTTGCTGCTTTTTTTTGTGATTCAGGTCTATGCGCACCCATTAAGCTTCCTCCGCAAATTCTCTGTGACCTCCCAAGAGGGCGGTTGGTTGTGGGGTTGGGTTTGGGGCGCTGAAAGCACCGTTTCTGTGGTGGATCGGACACCGACTCTAACCTTCCATTCAAGGCCTGCGTCTTTTGGCCAGGAACTCAAGGAGTCACTCTTAGGATATGTCATTCCATTGTCTTCATTCACGACTTCATGCCCTGGCAACGATACCTCACTGCTAGACCGTGATTCGAATTCGGGCTGCCCAAAGCGATGCATAGGTGGTCCCCACCAACCGGATCCAAGCGAGTCTTGGATTGCCCTAGTGCAACGAGGCCATTGCTCCTTCGTAGACAAAGTGAATATGTTCGTCTAGAATGCTTGACCCGATTATCTAATTCACATCAGGTCCGGGAAGCCCAGAGACTGGGTGCCAGGGGCGTTGTCGTCGGAGGCGAAGATCCCGACATTAGCGGCCAACCAGACATACTCGTCAGTATGTATAGTACAGGTGCGCTCTTTTCCTCGTGCAACCATCGAACCGCTGATGAATTGTTCTAGGCGATGCTTCTGATGTTGAAATTGTTTCTACCTACATCACATGGTCGGATTACAAGGAACTATCTCTGTTAATACACTCGTCTACGACCTCTCATGCTGGCTTAAAAACGCTTTCACTTATGATCACTACTCAATACTCGCCTTGGGAATGGTATTCGTGAGTTTCGATGTATCTCTCGCTGTTCGCTGCTGAAAGTCAGGCCTTTAGCCCAATATTAACATTCATAGTTATCCTAATACTCCCCTCTTGTCTCACATTCGTCACACTCCTCATCCATCGTATCCGCATGGCTCGTGCAGCTCAACGTGATCGTGCTCCGGAAAACATCGTCAAAGGTTTTCCATGGCGGGTCTGGAATGGCACTGCATGGGAGAAACACGAAGGAATTACGACACATGGAAGCCATTCAACCGGGTCACACGACAGTGATCTAGAGTCAGGTCCTTCAGATCAAAACGCATCGTCGCCCTCCACATCTCATGAAGCACTAGATCATGCGCCGATACCATGGTGTGAGACGCAGGTGGAATGTGCTATCTGTTTATCGGAATTTGTCAAAGGAGATCGCGTCCGGGAGTTGCCGTGTCATCACATTTTCCATCTGGAGGAAGTTGATTCATGGTTGATCAACCGGAAGAAATTGGTGAGTTATTGTGTCATAAAGTCATTTGGAGCATGGCAGTTCTTACTTGTTCGCAGTGTCCTGTCTGCAAAGCAGATGTCACTCAGCCCTGGCATCTTTCTCAAGCAAATAAGACACGTGCTGCACCTACTAATGCACAAAGTTCTGATTCTGATGCAATATCTTCGTCCGTTGTTACGGCTCCCATTACGGAACTGACACCCCTACTTCGAGACCGCAGCGGGAGCACCGGCTCATGACATGAAATGACAATGATTGTGTTGAATTTTTTTTTTTGTTGTTGTATGATATATGATAAGGCGGCCTCTCGGGTTCTCTTCTAGTTTGCTCTGCGCATCGCGCACTGCGATGTACCGTATTTTCAATTGTAGTACCATGTGCTCACCAATAATACCGATGTACTCTGTAACTCGAGGCGATAACGTAAGCACTGCTCTTAAGCTTGTGGTTTGTGGCTGTGCAATGTGGTTTTTGCAACTCGTCCGATGGCCGCCAATTAATCTCATTTGCGCCCAGGGGACAAAAGATAAGGTACGTATGGATGCGCTTTGTTATACCTTGAAGCTGCAAAACAGGAACATCTATATATACAGGACAAGCTCCGAACTCATCAAGCCTCAGTATATATGGGGTTTTCTCTTATTGTTGTCATTTTTGCACTTTGATCAACATGTTAATTCCATTCCCTTTAGTAAGTCTGTTTGCACGAGCCAAGAGAGTTCATAATCTTTAGAACATGAGCACATGGCTCCAAAGCTAATTCCACCAGTGGTAATTTTTGCGTTGGTTTCTACCAGACCGGGGCTAGGCCGGTTTCGGATTTAACCATTGTGCGCGATTCAAGGACCTGGATTATTCGCAACTGAAGAGTCGCGTTTCATGAGCCTATTTGTCTCGCTTGGTCGCTACTTGTGTCGTTATTGGAGAGATCGTGGACAGCGAACCCTCCTGTTGACTCGTATAACTTGGATACCGTTGCATTCTATATTCCTTAACAAACATAACCGCTTTATCTTGCTATCTGAATGGCCAAGACTTCCCGCATCCCCTTTAACTTCGGTGAGTATATTTCAGACAAATTAGCGCTTGCATGAGTGCCAACAGTGGCACAGGCAGTGACGCAGAGGAGCAGTCTCCTTACATACCAGCTAAGGAGAAGAAAATCCATTTACAGTCGTCAACAGCCTGTCGCTACTATGTGACTGGAAGCTGTCGGCGTGCTTCAACATGCCGTTTTGTACATCTGCAACCAGAGAGTGTACCGCAAGGTATGATGTCTCTAGTATTTTCTTCGTCTCCCATGGGCTTACATTGCAGCAATTCCGCCAATAAGAGTATGCTTATTCTGACGAACATGTCGTGCACAAGGAATTGTGTCACTACTATGCCGCTGGATATTGTCAATATGGTTCAGCATGCCATTTTGCGCATTCGCTACAGGAGAGTGTGCCACAAGGTACGGTGTCTCTGGTGTCTGCTTCGTCTCCCACGTGCTTATATGCAGGGAATCTCGCCATTAGAGTATGCTTACCCTGCCGGACACGATGTGCATACGAGAACACAACATAAGAGCTGGGACCAAGACATCGGTCCTAGTCATGGATACCCAGCGTGCGCTATATACACGGTAACCCCGCGTGTGGAACCATACAGCTTCGACATGAGGGACGTTTTTGATGATTACAGCGATATCTCTTTGTCGGACTCCACCTCGTCTGATCAAAGTTTGAACGCCTCATTCCAAGTCATGACTATCGAAGAACCCGCCTCTTCAGAATATCAATATGTTCCTTCTGCGTTTTCACAATTGTCACCAAGCTTGCAATACCCGAACAATACGAGCACATGCTGGGGCAATGTAGCATACCCTGGTTACAATCGAGGATACACTCCGACCAATTTGAAACCTCGAGCCGCCACCCGCAGGAAACCAGAGCAGGCGAAGGAGAAACAAATCCAGTATAGGAGTGAGTTTTTCCGATATTCACTTTTCGCCATCGTTGGATGCTCACTCACTACAATAAAACAGCGAAACCTTGCAAATTTTTCTCAACACGCAAAACCTGTCCTAACGGAAATAGATGCATGTTGTGCGTGTTCTCTACATGATATATATTTTCGACTTAAGCAGTCACAGTTTTCATGACTTGGAGAAAAGTAAACGGGCAAAGAAAGCCGATAATCAGGCCCGCAGCACAGGGCCATCACACCTGCCTCCGAAACCGCGTTCACTTAAGGAAGAGTTCAAGGCTCGCGATTATTATCCTATTACCTGGCGAGTGATTGGTGGTGGTGTAATGATGGGTGGATATCTCTATAGCCAGTAGCAGTCATTTTATTGACACATCTCTCACAGGACTACCTTGCAAGGCGCCCGCAGCGGGCTACTGCTCCGACGGTGAGAATTGCAAACTGGCTCACGAGACTGAAGTCTGGAATACTGGTAGGGTTCTGATCTTGTGCCTCTCGCTGAATTAATCACTGAAGAGCGCGGCTCGATCAGAAAATAGTGTTGAGACACAAACATCGGCAACATCTGTGGCAGCCCCATCCTCTGCAAAACCATCGATAGTTTCAAGTGATGAATCAAAACACAGGACGGTATGCACCGACTGCCCTGGTTCATCTTTTGTCATCCACGATACCGACGGAGGCACATCTGGTAGCACAGATGATGCAGAAAAATCTACGTCTGCTGTAAATTCAAACAACGCTATACCCTCTCAACATCGACGTACCAGATCGATATCTATGCCGACACCGCCATCAGTTCTCAGAGCTCCTCATGTGAGTGTTGTCTGCACACTTGACAAATCCAACTAACGTACCTCGAAAGATTTTTGCAGAGTTGTGATCACAAATTTTGGAATGATAACAATTGTCGTTGCCCGACTTTATGAGTCTAAGAATATTCACGTGGATGGGAGTGATCGGCTTTGAGCTTGGCACCTAATTTTCGAGGGCTTATGATTGGTTTATGAATCTTGTAGCATATATGTATCGTTAAGGATGAAATGGACACACTGGACCTTATGACATTGCGAGGTTATGGATGTGAGGGCTCTGAAGCTCGGCGCTCAGTATCAGATCGTGTGAGATCCTCTTCCAAACATTTTATCGCTCAGATCCCGTCTGTTTGGAAGGTATTTTTTCTAGGCATCTTTCTCTGGCATAAGTCCTATAAAAATTGGTGTCTTGAATGATTGTAACAAGCGGGGGTATTGATACGAAAGTGGTACGTCTGCAAGGAGAATGAGTGTGTTGCAATTGCAAATATTCGTGCGCATGGCGGACGTGTGGAATTCTTGGCTTTCTGAGTACTAGTCTAATTATTCTCAGAGGTTTGGCGTCTATGTATATAAGCATGTAATGTATGTAATCAAATCGAGTGAGGTTTGAACATATAGCTGATGTGATGGTCCGTGGCCTGGTCGGAAGTTATACTCAGCCAACTACTTCGACTTGGTTTTACCGTCCTCAAGTATCTGGCGTGACTCCCGCACGTACTGTTCGGATTCCTCCCTCGAGAATCTGTTCAGGCATTAGGTAAAATAGTCATGGAAAGCTGTACAATTCACATACCCAAGCTTTCGTCCTTTGACATGCATGTCTGGTTCTCGGAGGGCGAAAGGGTTTACGTCAGTCTCAATATTCAGGTTGGCAAAACTGTGGTTGACGAAACGGTGCGTAGGATTCATCAGGACCGCACAGCGTACATGACGTCAAGTAGCTTGGCATCAGGGCCTAGACGCCAATAGTCCTTGGCAATCTCCGGAGCAGGGATATTATTCCACTCAGGTAGACGTCCAGATTCCATGTCCTCAATGCAACGAGTACTGAATTTGGTTAGTAGCTGGTGCTTCTAGACGAAATAAAGCTTGTCCTTACTAGGTTAAGACGGCCTCCTCCTCCAAGTACTGCAACAAATCGGTGACATGTGCGGGGCGATATTATGTAGGATAAGACTAACAGTGCGAGTTAATAATATGTTTGTGCTCCCGACCAATTCGATGCCACGTACAAAACAAGTTGAAATACACGCCCTGTGCCCCTAAAATCAGGCCTCGGAAAAATAATGAAGGTTTTCGCAAGGTCATAAAGGTCCTATACAATAACGCCTAGTCAGTTGAGTTCAACTTCACAAGACGTAAAATTACATTAAATGCATTCTTTCATTCTCGGCTTCCTGCAGTAATGTATGTATCCAACCAGAGTCTCGACGCTATCAAATAATTAAGAATGTGATCATCAGAAATGAAGTCTGACTGACCATGAGACGCAAGCTGGTAAGATGGCGGAGCATCGCCGCGACCATTCCGGGTACTCCGGCAATTGTCTCCAAGAAAAGGATGCGCTAAATGACGGTGATGAAACGACGGAAATAACACTTGATGATGGATATACTCACACTTAACCACGCCTTGTCATCCAGGATATATCCGCCCTTCCTGAGTTCTTCGAGCGACATCTCCCTACCAGCGGGGATCGGCTTGTGTTTGTAACCAGACACTACGTCAAATCCCCATCTGATGATGTACATGAATACTTGCACATAACAAAAAGAATGTCTCACCTTGTGAACTTGACAAGATAATATGCAATTTTGTCAGGTATTGTTTTCGCTTCCGCTTGGAGAACCTGGCAGCTTGCGTTTAATACGAAGCGTGGTCAGGGAGGAAATGCAGGAAGTACCTCGACTGCTTTGAGTTCCTCCTGGGAGTATACAGGGTGAAATAAAACCCAATCGCCTCGGACGATAGTGGGTGGCGATGTGCTAACATCAGGAGCGGTCAGACCCTGCTTGGATGCGGCCGAATCTTCTGCGAAAGGATTGCCTATGCGTCAGTAACTAGAAACAATAATAGATGGATAAGGCTCACTGAAATGTAAGCCCTCCGTTCCCGTAACCGATTCTTCATTGATTTTCTTCCCTGTCAACGAGTTATTGTTTGGCTGACCACTATGAATGAGCGCTCTTGTTGCAAACGTAGGACCTAATTTAGGGGCTAGGCTCAATCCAGAGTGAAGGATGCCAATGCGGCAGGCAGGACCAGCACGAACAAGGGCGGTCCTCAGCATGCTCGACATAGATAAGAGTGTAGGTGTGGCGATTTGTAGGAAATGCGGTTTATATGCGCATTGTAGGAGGGCGCAAGTCGGTCTCTTATGCTAGTTGAGTTCCCGTATGCATCCGACTAGCATCCGATACAGTCCATGACCGGCACTAAGAAGACCCAAAAGGTATACATCATGCAGTGCTCCGTGTTTTAAGCTTACTAGTGGAGCATCAGACTCGCGGCTCCCATCATATACCGACAATATACAAAAATGGAAAACCCACCCAACACAATGCAAAGCATCCTACCAGAGGGAGACTCACTGATTTTCTGACGAGTCAAGCATTTTTGTTTCGTGTAGGACGCACGGAAGCGGGCAGGACTCAGACAGAGTCTTGGTGCATTGTCACGGTTCAGTAAAAGAATGAACGTAGTCTGTGGCAATACGATTAGGTAAGCAAAACAACGTCCTGCCTTCGTATCCACGCCCGATACCGCGGTCATTTACGTCTTGAAACACTCGACCAACATGGCCAGCTCGCGTTCAATAACTTACACTTTCGTCAATACGGAGACTTGACATCCTCGCTCGCCCATGTTTGCTTGAACTGGTCCCAACCAGATCGTCACTGCCGCTGTTCCAGCACCTCAGGCTGGCGCTTTTCGTACTCTTGTATCCAATCGTCTGGTGCATGATGATTTGACACTATCCGAGTCACGTTCGACTGCTACAGCAAGCATCCGATATAACTTCTAAGTCGCTGTCAACATCCAGTTCAAGTACACCCCATCGCTGCCGACCATTAGTCTCAGACTGGGACTCAATCCAGTCTCATCGAAAATGCCTTGCCGACACCAAATGGCATATCATATAGGGCACAGTCACGGTAAAGCTAGTGGCTTCCGACCTGGTCGCAATGATGACTCGGAGTCTTTCAAATTGCTAGAATTTTATTTCAGCTTTCAGGGTCGTGGAAACCTGGGGAATCAGTGGGGATCCGACATGGTCCGAGTCGTATAATAGAATCGGCCCATTTTAGGCGATTCTGATTTTTCGCGATAGTATACATAGGCTGACTATATTCAATCGGACCAAAATTGTGACAGTACTATGCCTGCAGGCACTCTGACTCAGTACTCATCATACACGTCAGTGTACAGACCAGAATAACAACCTTCGCATAGAATATTTATAGAGGCACACAGCTTGCACACAGCTTTTCAGTATATTTGCGAACTGAGCCTTATAATTAGCGCCCAAGAGATTCTTCTCGTCAAGCTTCAAGCTTCAAGTCCAGACTCCACCGAATTGTGAGATTTGTCCCATCACAGGTCCTGGCTACAGTTCAGACAGTTGTATTCTGCATGATAGATCTAACATAATAGTCGAAAAGAGTGTTGGGCTGTTTTGCTCGGTGACGAATGTTGCGCCATTGCATTAAATATAACAAGGTGGTCCCCACGCAGTTCCCAACGGCTCCCAGGTAATATTGCAGCACTGCTTAGAGCAAAGTCAATCACCTGACTAGGATATATAACCAAATCCGTAATAGAAACGGGCTAGGAACTTGGTGAGAATGTGAACTTACTATGTATAAAGCTCGACTGACCCAAGCAATACATCCGGAATATAATACATAGAGTACAAGTGTGTGGAAGAGAGCCGTGCGCAGCAGGTTGACCCTGTAAATAATCGGTCCCAGCCATGCTAGAAAGTGACCCCGTGATCCAACCATGGGTCTGTCACCAGACGAACCGGATGGAAGTGTTTTAACCCAATGAGTGGGCACTTTAGCGGTTGCAGAGGTTGGAGGGAAAGCACAATAAAATCCTAAGTATATCGTCAACAGGGAAATCATAGGAACCATGGTTCAAATCTCACTCTAACCGAGAGTGGGTTTGTTGCAAAGCTTCCGACTGCGACATCTTCGATATATCGCAGTTCGCCATCCCAGTCCAAACAATCAATGCCCTCCCCGAGCGGGAGGTTGCGATATGAGTGATGAGGGGCGGAGTATGTCAGCTTGCCTTCTCCTAATATTTGTTTGGACGTTCTTTGTTCTTTCGAGGTCTTGACAACTACTTGGCGAAGTAAGTAGACGCGAACGGTAATTTCTCCTGAGAGGAGCACGGGAAGGCTGTGATCAGGTGCAGATTTTCCAATGAATAGGGCTAATGAACTCGATGGAGCACGCAATTGGAGGTGGAACGGTATGGTCTCAGATAATGGATAGACCTGCACTGAAGGAATAAAGAGCTACCACAGCAGTCAGGACTATGAGCAAACCAAGATTCGAAAGGCTTACAAGACATTGTACCGGCGTGAGATTGGAACTCTGTGTTGCATTCATGGTGGAGAGTCCTTGATACCATTCTTCGGGGGAACTCTTCAGCGTGGTCATGAACGGTACATCGCTCGGAAGCATGGGTGTGTGCGGGCGAGAACGTGGACGATAGCATACGGATACCACAAGGCTGTAAATTGTCTAATTAGAAAGTTTAAATCTTAAACGCTGCTACTCATGCCCACGTATCACTAGAGGGAAAAGAAGATAAGAATCGTCGAGGTCTTGAGACTACGACGCTAAGCGTGTAGGAGCACGTCGCATATTTGTCCTCGAATGAGGGAGGTAAAGGTTGTGGTTGACCTTCATCCATGAAAGTAGAAGGAAAGAATATTGTGAAAGGTAGGGTCATAGGACAAGGCTCGGTGGATGAAGAACTCCACAAAGAATAAGAATCGAATGCAACTGATATAGGGACGAGCCCGGCTGCCACTGATGGTTGAAGACGAAGGTGACCCTCGAGCTGATATTGGGGGAAATAAGACAAAACGGCTACTTTGAGGAAAGATTCAACCTCTACCTTCAAGGTGACTTCTGTGAGGCCTCCTGAACTTCGCAAAGATATATGACCTTCAACGCGTCCATTTTTGCCGTAGACGGGCGTTATGCTCCCCAGTTGCTGATCTCTTAAAACAAGTGTGATATTGTCTGTTATCCTACGAAAGACTCCGTTCCGAGCTTGCCGCAGAGCCCATCGTCGAGTCTCCTCAACCGTTTGTTCCCCTGGGAGAAGCTCTGTCGAGTATGACGGTGTTGGTAAGGAAGGAGTATATGAAGGGGGAATAGACTCCATTTTGATCTCGAGGTATGAGGTCTTTCAAGTCGTGACATGCCTAGGTCAATAGTAGTGTTTATAACAACGCTTTCAGCGTTGGCGTACACGCATCTTCTGATCAAGTCATCCACATGCTACAGAGTCCGCAGTCTTGTAAAGATATAGTTGTAGGTAGGCTGTACATGCGGATGCAGACTGGCACCTGCAGCTGCTAATAACGGTGATGAGATTTGGCCATAACGGCATTCCGAGCGGGATGTGAACCGCTCGATGTTTCGAACGGCCCACGCCAATCAATCCCGTAAACGCACTTTGCATGTTCATGCTCCGCTTGAATTTTGCCCGCATCTCCCAAGATAGCAAATGCGGAGAGTACCTGGACGGCGGCTGCTCGCTGGCAAAGAGTGAATTTAAAATTAAAAGAGGAAAGAACATCTTGACGGCAGATCAGTGCAACCTCGCAGTACCAGACTCGGAATATTTGAATAAATACACAAGAGGGTGACGATGCAAGTCCTCTATCATAAGCAGGCCGGGTCGAGAATGAAAGTATTTGCAGTATTCAGGCTTATGGTTGAAGACTTTGCTTCATTCTCGTTCGGTACACGTAAAGTTCTACTCCTATTTGTGCCGGTGCCATGCCAATCTCAGCCTGTTCCCTGTCTTTTATACATATACATATACATATTCATGTCATAAGAGTAGTACTATAAGGAGGAAAATACGATCTAGTCTAGGGGACCCCCAGTGTCCCCGACGCATCTCTGGGCGCGCGAATGCCCTGATGTGAGGCGTACCCCCATCAGTCCGCCGTTCCCGCCGGCCGTTTTAGACGCGCCGCCTTCGAAGATGAGATGACTTTCATAAACAGGATCAATGTATGTGTGCTAGCGGGTTGCATAATATATAACGTGTACTCGGCCGCTTTCGCGGGCGCTGTTCCCTGTCTATTGGTCACCGAGTGTGATTGTCGTGCTGCTGTATTGTGCAAAAGTTCAGAAATGTATCACGTAGCTTAAGTTATTGTCTTTACCTTCAATATTCACTTCAGCATATCCCACGACCGGAAAACGACGACAAAAGAGTGGACGGTACACGAGATTGATGGTAAGAGAAGATGAATAGGTGGTAGTCGGAAGCTTGGTGCCTGCCAAAGTGTACTTCAGTACTGAATTGATCGGCGAGCAATGAAAAGAGGTTTACACTGTCGCACAAGCAACATCATGTCGACGATCGACATCAAGCAATGACACAAAATATACCAGGTAGCTCTGGTTTGTGTTCATGGTCAACGGGGAGTCCGTCGGAATTCCCTGAGAAACCATCATTCGATGGGCAAAACTGCGAGGCGATGGATGCGAATGCGTCCATAGTATGAATAACAGTAAGTGGGTTTCACGAAGAGCGAAGAACAAAGTTGGAGTGGTCTGTGAGACTCAAAAGCGTATTGGATGGTAGTGGTTGGTGGTTAGCTTTCTAAAGTCACCAGACGAATGACCAATGCCATATTGTGGATCTGAATGCTTAATAAGAGTCCACAATTCTTCGATTTGTGGACCAGCGCAGCTCGATTCGGCAATTGCATCCTTGAAATAGCGGAGCTATCCGTTCGTGTCGAGATATCGGAATCTTCGCGTGTCAAGGGTCTAGATATTGGAAGCGTTTAGTAGTCTCGACTCTTGAGTTGAATGGTGAACAACACACGCATCAACTGGGTCAATAATAATGTCAGTCGTGGTGAGTCCGAGGCCTTGGACGCGCCCACTGTTAGTAATGGTCCCGTCTCGACTGCTACATCCGTTATGCAGATAATGCAGACTTTGGCAATATTGAATGCCACGGCACAAATCTGGACTCCTCACATCGAGCGATATTCAGTCTTCAAAATAATTCAAAAACGCCTTCATTGCCCACAAAGCAGGGAAAATTGACCGTACTCCAGGAACAATAACCGCATTGACCAAGTCACCAACGAACTACGTGTTGTGCCATCAGCCATAGCACTGCAAAAGCAGAAACACGACTCGCTGTCCAGATGTGCTGCCAGCCCATCGGTGAGCAGTTCTACTTAGTGATTGCAGAATCTTTCATGAGCTTTAGACTATTGAGATTGCAAAGTGCATGAGGTAAGCAATGGGGTTGACTCATGGATGCAAAGCAAACCACTCATAGTACTACAGTACTCACCGATCGTAAATTACAGCGAAGATCGTCGCAGCAATCACTGTCTCTAGCGCAGGTCCCGAATTAAGGAGAGTATGCAGTGACAAACATACATGCTGCCAAAGCAGTGGTAACGAAGACGAGAAAGGAGAAATGCATGGTTTATGCGATTTGATGCGAGCTTTGTTGAAGGGGCTCTGAACTACTCTAAGGTGGACAGGGCTTCTATGGGCAAAACTTGTAAATTGATTTGACACATTGGTTGCGCCTGGATGGCAGCTGCAGAACTTCAAGGCGGATGATTTGGAGTCAACCGTGACGGATAAATCTACACCGTGACTTTCTGTGACATTTGTGACTGCACGAACTAGTGGTTAGTATCACGTGTTGATCTCAGCAAGTGTCTCCTTGCTCGCCCATCTCCATGCTCTCTCATCTCCTTGGCACTTGCCCGCCTGCTGCCCATTTCTTTTGTTAGCTGCTCACTTACCTTTTCCGTCTCGCACTATCTCTTATCCTGATATCACCTTCGACACCATACGCTATAGAAGCTTCTTGTGTTCTGCACCGCAACGTCGATCCTCCAGTACGACTTAGCTAATCATCACGGTACATATTTAGTTTCCCCTCGTCTTGTCGACGCACCTCAGTATTGTCTTGATACACTACTGAGGTATGCATAGTCTCTAGCCTCGCGCACGTCTTGTACTGATGCACCTTAGCTCGTTCCTCGCTAGGTACCACTAATATTAGTATTGTCTTGATACACTACTGAGCTCGTTCCTCGCTAGTGTATATCTTTCACGCCCACCAGCCTTCTGTTCTTTTCCCGCTCCCTTCTTGGTGATAACTGCCAAGATGTCTTCGTTACGATAAGCAAACGTTGACACAGCAACCTTCATACTCCGCTTGCAGGTACCGATGAGCCTGCGTGTGCTAATGTTTAGCCCAGAGATGTCCTCCATAGCTAGGGAATTAAGCGCAGCTCAACGCGCTATAATAGGAGCCCGGACAACCCCGAACTACCATTTTGGTAGTACTGTGCCCTTCAAGTTCCACCATTCGGACGCGCTGAAATTGCCATTAGGTCCTTACTGTGTTCTTTTGGCTAGGCGCCATCACACGTTCTCCATGTCCCCGCAGGCAACGCGATAAAGTGCCCATACTTGGCGGACCAGGGATATAGTGCTTCTTATGAGCAGACAAATTATTTTGAGACAAAGGGCATAACTCGCGCCTCACTTCGGACCCTGCAGCATCGATAGCAGTCCTTCCGTGTCTTTTACTCCTCTTCAGCCACTTACCATTTAGATATGACACCCGGTATATATATTACTTCGTTCGAGTGACTTCCATCTGGACCGCGTGAACATTCCCACTGTTCTACCATCTTGATAGTAATGGAGGCCAACAATGACTACGATTTCTCTCTCCCAATGGCGTCGTTGCTTCGGGTTGGCACGTCCAAAGCTCATGGAGCTGCAGAGCACAGTCAAGGCGGCGTCCGGCTCACAAGTGGTGAGCTGGACAAGCAAGAATACGTGTATTTCTTAATGATGCTGTGGCACGTCTACGCGTAAGCTTCGTTCAAGTCACCCTGTATACTGTGTGTTGACTCACACTCAGTGAACTCGAGCGGGGTCTAGAGGCGCACGCGTCATACCCAACGCTACAACCGACATATAACCCTACGTTGCTTGCTCGCACTCCAAGTCTCTCCCAAGATATATCATATTTGCTTGGGGTCCCTGAAGCAGAATGGCAGACGCACCCATCGCATAGCTCTCTGATGGCGTCACCTCCTAAGCCTTTTGTGGAATATACCACGCGCCTCCGGGAGCTTTCTGAGTCTTCAGATCCTACATGTTTACTCGCACACGCTTACGTCCGCTATCTTGGTGATATGAGCGGTGGCCAATTCATACGACGACGTATAGCCAAAGCATACGATCTAGACACAGATCGAGGAGATGGAATACGATTTTACGATTTCAAGAAATTGGACAGTAGTGAATCTGCGAACATGGGGGATCTCAAGAAAATCAAGGAGTGGTACAGAGATGGAATGAACGCTGGTATTGGTGATGATTCCACATTGAAAGGTTCACACATTGTCTTTGAGTCTCTCCGTTTTCTGAATTTGGATCCACTAGCGGCTGTATTGGAAGAGGCCAACAAGGCCTTCAAGCTGAATGCTAGTATCTTCGATCTATTGTCAGGGGAGGGGCAAGTCCAGGAACCACAGCAGTCGGCTGTCTCTGCGCCGAAACCGGCTAAGGCACTACTATCTGGCCCATTATTAGTTTCCTTCAGTGGCCTCCTTTCAGTGGCAATGACTGTGGGCCTGGCTCATGTCATCTACATGGGCGCTAGCCACACCAGTGGCAATTGTGTGCTCAGGGGAGCCGAGTATTGGTTACGAAACATTCTGTCGATTGCATAATGATTTTGAAACGTATTCTATTTCTGATAGGATGGGTTGTTTTGGAACGAGCATTCCAAACTTCAAGTTGTAGCATATATTGTACAGTTCATCACAAGACAGGCTTGCGTGTATTATATAACGACACTTTCATGAAATGCATATGGACTTTCTGAGATGTGAACATTGCTATTGAATGTTACGAATACAAACAATGAACAGAAGTAGCCAGCTACTATTAGTGTCCTGCAGTGCTAAATCTATTAGGCTACATATAGTTCGTCTGGCATAGGTCATCGACTTCTTGCAAATGCGTCCTTTCCATAGTCCTCCTCGAAATCGACGGTCGAGGCACGCATCGGTTGCATAACGAGACTCGCCGAACTCTGGGAGTCATGCAACTGCGCATAGGGACCGCTCTTAAAACCGCCCACAGAAGCAGCTCCACTATTCTGTTGAGCAGCTTTCTTGGCGGCCTTCTTTGCCATCCGCTTGCGGCGACAGCAACAACACCACACGCAATAACTTATGAGGATAATCAATAACACCAGGCCTCCGACAAGGATATAAGGCCAACGACTTAGAACCAATTCTTCGTATGCTTGCTTTTTCTCCGCGGCACTCTCGGGTGAGTGTTGTTCCTGTGATGCAGGAAGCAGTGCGTATTGAGGGGAGTTGATCGTGTTTTGCCCATTCAGCCGGACCTGAATAAAGTCGTTGACGGCAGATTCGACATTCGTGAGGGGAAGCAATTGGACGTAGGGATTATTAGAATTTGAGCCGCCGGTGATGAACTTTCCATAATTAATCAGGGTGTATGTGTTCCGCACTGCAAATGTGTCAAACAAGTATTGTTCACAACAGGTCGACAACTTACGGAAAGCCATTCCCAAAATCATATCATACTCTCCAAGAAGACTGAATGCAGATGTAACTGGTTGAAACTGTTTGGAAGGTCCACATTTAGAAAGCTTCCTGTTACGCAGAACTATTACATACCGTTCCCAGGCAAGCGGGGTTTCCATTTGAGAAGGTCACTCCAAAATCACTCGACGATACGTCGAGTGGATGAATAGGGTATGAAACGCCCCCAAAATTGAAGGTAACATTAATAAGTTGCCCGCAAGGGACTAGCCAAGCCTGATCTGCAACTGACCATTCGGCGCCCTGTACACGCCCATAGATGGCATCCGACACCGTTCGGGGCACTTGAGGCAGAGTGAAGCCAGAGTCTAAAACTCCCACTATTGTGCCATCAGGAGCTTTCGGGGCAATCGATGAATATTTTATGGGCTGTCCATCAGGCCCAATAATGCCATTATTCTTGTCTGTTACAATCTGCCAATGCTGGTCGATATTAGTCACTCTGTAAACCTTCTCAATCGACAAATGTGGCATGTTCGTGATGTTCTCGAATCCTGGAACGATTTCTCCGATGGTGAACTGGCCAGTGATATTACTCCCTGGGTCACCTTTGCGGCTGAGCATCATGGTTATGTAGTCATTTGAAGACGATGACGATTGTTCGAAAATTCTGTTGATTGGGTTATTCCCCGAGTTTCCGTTGAGTTTCTTGTATATCGAAGAACCAGAATTTGGGCCAAGGCCGATGAGACCGTCGTAGCCTTCCGCGTGAATATTTGTAGAGAAAGATGATACATTCGTGACAAGGACTGTACTGAATGTCAGGAAACGAGCGGTAATTGAAGAAAGGATACTGACGGAATGCCTGGTCGTTGACCGATTGCCCAGCAAGTTCAAAAGGTGCGGTATAGATGTCGCCTGGCTATGGACGTAATGAATCATGAGAGCTATAACTTTGAGCGACTGACCAGCAGCTGTTCCAACGGCGTATGAGAGTTTCAGAGAGTTGCCTGTGTCTGTTGCTCCAGGTACTGTGCCGGTCACCCATAGATCAGAGCTGTAAACAGGCAAATAAACAAATACCCGCAACTATGAAATTTGTAGATGATGATTACCTTCCTGTATCCAGCATCACAGATATGTTTTGACCACCGAGCGTGATATTTGTGTAGTAGAAGGAGTTTTGCGTGTTTCCGACAGGTACTATGCCATTGGAAGACGATTGACGAGGGAAATGGGTGGTCGGGTTGTTAGCAACGTGGACATCGAAAGGGATTCGGAGAGCAAGGACAGAAATCGTCGAACACAACGAAGAAATAAAGGAAAGTGTGATGAAGGAGTGTTTCATGATGCTACCAAAGCGTTAATATTATGCCTGCACGGCGTGGAGGATGGAGACGAGAAGTATGAAAGACTTGATAAAATTAAATTCTTGTGGGATCAAATTGAATGCACATGTCAACGACCTTCTCTTCTCACCATCAACTACTATCAGATCAGCATGTTCTGAAATCGCCTTGGAAATGCCCTGATCATCTACTGCATTGTACTCTTATGAAGTTCATAATTGTGAGTGACGACCACCCTATCTGCCCTGGTGCTGAGCGACTCTGCATTATCAGGCAGTACATATGTTGTCAAGTGAACCATACTAGCGCTTGGTCTTTCCATAAACGAATGAAGTCCTTAGTAGGAGCTAGTCTCTCCCTGTAATGCGGTAACTTATAACAAGAAGCATGAATGAAATGGTGAGCCTCAAGCACTGCAGGCATGTGGATTCTGAACGCCCGTTCGATCAATTTAGGCAGTGCTGCAAACGTAAAACATGCAGCCAACCCTCATATAACCCTGGGCCTGGACGGCTCAACATCTCCGTTTATTTCTTCTTTTCTCGAGTGCTTTTCTGTGTTATGTCGCCTTTGCAATTTTTCTCCCTTTATTTTTTGGCTATCCTGAACATCGCAAATGGGGTTCACCTCGAACTGCGTGGTGGAATTTCTAGGTCCAAGCATCATAGAAGGACAAGCATCACTGGCCTCCAAAGCACTCTGGAAGATAACCAGAATATCCAGTACATGACAAACATCACCTTGAATGGACAGTTGTTCGGTGTTTTGGTCGATACCGGCAGGAAAGTCAACTACCCGTGATGATTTTACAACCCAAAATCCTGACATTGCTATTGCCTTTAGCTCAGATCTCTTTGTAACCTCTCAGGCTCCTGGTGCTGTTGACGAGCACTTCCAGGCTGAAATTGGCTATGCCTCTGGAGGTGCTGCTGGTGAGTCGTTTTTTGGACAATATTAATGGAACGCCATTGCTCATTTCCGTTGCCTCAAGGGGAAGTCTTTTCAGCCACGATGGAGTTCGCCGGGTATCAGATTGACGCACAATATTTCAGTGCGTTATGGATCCTTCTCCCCTATCATATCTGCTAACCAGTACAAAGTATATGCAAACTCGACGGGTGGATTTACGCAAACTCTTGATGGGCTTATGGGGCTTGGGCCATACACGGGCTCTGTGATTAGATACGTCGGTGGAACAGCGGCCGCAGACCCTCCTCTCGATCGAATCTTCCGCTCTGACGACGCCATATCGAACTTTATCGCTATTCTTCTCGACCGCTCTGACGACCCCGATGAACCTTATCCAGGCGACCTCACCATCGGAGAAGTCTTGTCTGGATATGAAGATATTCAGACACAACCTCAACACCCAGTTACGTCGGGCATGGTCCCTGGGAACCAGCATTGGATGACATTACTTGACGAGAATGGGATCATCGGTCCAGATGGCAAACCTATTACCATCAAGTCCCAGGTCACAAACACATCTTATCCCAATAACGCAACTGTCGTCTTTGACACAGGTTTCACGTTTCCACAAGTTCCTTCGTAAGTTCCTTGTGGAAAATCTTCATCTAATCTCATACGTCGTGACAGGTACGTTGCCGAGGCGCTCTACGGGAACGTTCCCGGTGCCTCTTTAACGTATATGGCGGGTGTAGGAGACATCTGGGCATTACCCTGCGATCAAGAACTTAATGCCACGTTTTTGTTTGCTGGAATCAAATTTCCTATCCACCCGCTTGATCTCAGCTTTGATGTGGGCAACAACCAGTGTGTTGGAGCTGTGAGTCTGTGAACCCTTGACTCTTGCCAGCTTTATAATGATCTTAACAAGTTCCAACCATTCTCGTACGATGATACAGTAGATGGCATGGTGACGTACGATATGGTCCTCGGCATGGCCTTTTGTGAGTCTGGATACCTACTATTCCAGGACATCAGGCCCTAAATCTCAACAGTGCGCAATGCATATCTCCTGATTGATTTCGGCTCCTTTGTCGATGGGGCACCTCCTGGCACCAATGCCCCATACATACAATTGTTGCCAATCACTAATGCTAGTGATGCCTCTGTGGATTTTGCACAAGTACGCTTGGGTAACGGCTCAAGTGTCGATGAACTCACGGCGCTGACTTCACATTCTTCCACGACCAAAACTACGACCACCACGACTACCACGACCACCACATCAAACACCAAGCTGCCACTATGGGCGATTGGTGTTATTTTCGGCGTTGTTATTTTGGTTTTGCTTCTGGGCATCTGCGTATACTATTGCCGCCGCCGCCGCCGCTCGCAACATGTTTCTTCCACGCAAGCCTGCATGGGTTCCTTACGCACCCCAGAGCTACCGTCCGTTGTACGACCCCTCGCCGCAGGCAGCGTATGATATGCATTTGGCGTCTAACGCGAACCCAGCTCGCGCTCCTGAATACAAAAGTGCATGGGATGCACACTACTGAGTGTACCTGGCTTGGACCTTGCCCATTTTCTGTGATCTCATATTGGTTACTGTTCTGGGTCGACACTACTTATCGCCGCATGACATACTTTATTTGTGAAAACTGACATGGACAATTGACTGACAAGTCACCTACTTTTATGAATCAAAATCCATGCATTGAATGCCTCTCATGGTAGCGGGCATACTAAACTTACACTGTGACTCTGAGAGAGTAACCAGAATGACTCGAATCACGAATGATTCTAGTCTCATGTAGGCAGACCACAATGCTTACTAGTAGGTGTTCCTTCTATCTATCAACAGTCTAGCCTAGTAAGGATTGCTTGGTAGCTGTCATGTAGTTGTTATCTTTTCTGCCATCTATAATATTCTGTCTTCCTGGCTAGGTGAGGTGCAGCACCTTTCGACTGCTCCGAAAGTGGATCTCACCGTACCAAAAATTGTCTTACTACATCTAAATCGCTGTTGACAAGAACGTAGACATTCATGGCGCCAACAATCCATTACTATTGTCCATGCCAGTCTGTAGAGTCAATTCAGACGCCTCCGCCTCCGCATATGGCGTCCTCCTCTGCTAGTTTCCACCCTTTGCATAGCTTGTTCTTTTGCGAGGAATGTGACGCTGTTCGGTGCAATCGTTGCGTTTCGGTCGAAGTCAGTGGCTACTATTGTCCAAATTGCCTTTTCGAAGTCCCAAGCGCAAGCGTTCGCGCGGAAAAGAACAGGTAAGGCGTTCTCGTCCTCCTGTTATGCCTGTCGCTCACAAGTAACAGATGTGCTCGAAATTGTTTTTCATGTCCTATATGCCGGTCAACCTTGCAAGTAGTCGCGTCTGACCCACCTGATGGCGGCGATGGTCGGCCTTCCGTCTCTCTCAGTAACGTTGGAGAGCCTCCCTTCTTTCTCTATTGTAACCACTGTAGATGGGACTCTGCCTGAAGTCGGGATAACATTCGAAAAACCAACTGGACTCGCTGGTGCGTTGTACCCCCCCTACACATCAGTATACATCTAATCATCTATCTGATAGCGCAGCTCCAAAAATTTGAAGACTCTGCGCCCGAATCCCTGGAGTTCGAGCGATTGAAAGAGCATTTTGAACCTTTCCTCCGTACATCATCTCTTTCTTCTTTGTCTCATATTCCGAGTACTTCTTCTCATCATCTTCCCACTTCGTCTGCTACAGCCGCTGCTTCCGCCGCGCTTGCGCGTGATGTTCCCGGTGTTGCGAAGTACAACAATCTTGCTCGCAGTCGTGTGGGCCGGGACAGAACGGCAAACAAAGACGAAATGTCAGAGTACAAAAGTCGAATGGAGATCGGTGTCCTTGGTCAGATAGGGTCTGAAGGAGATGGTTCGGATGTCGAGGCACTTCGGCGCATGGAAAGCGTGGAGGAAATCGCGTCACTTGAGCAAAGATGGGGAAACAGCTGGACCACCTCGCTCAGAACAAGGTATGTACATTTTGGGCATGTGTAGGGGAAGATACTAAACTTAGAGTGCGCTTATCAGCGATCTACGACCTCTCCGGATTCCACTCCATTCCAAAGTCTCGAAGCGATGCCCAACTTGCAGGCACATTCTCATCAAACCTGAGCAGAAAGCGCAATCTGTACGATACAAAATCAAGCTTGTAGCGGCTAATTATCTGCCAGCGATGACTGTGGCCCTTCCGCACACTCAAGTGGCTGATACCACGAGGCGTCCGCAGGCTAAGGTACCCAGTGCCTTGGATGACAGGAATACTGGTGCTATGATGGCGGGAAGATCGTACCCCTTCCATCTCGCTCTGACAAATCCACTCTACGATCCCATACAAGTTCGACTTTCGGTGCAGCGAATGCATGTCACTGCAGTAACTAACAGTACTGCACCGGAGAAGGCTCGCAGGACACCCTTCGCAGTATCCCTGCCAACCTCTTCATTCCCTGTCGCTGCATTCGCTGAAGCATGGGAATATGACGACGACGACGATATGTTTGGGCTTGAAGACGATGAGCTTGGTTTGGAGATGGGTCGAACCCGAGACAAAGATGGCAAAGGAAAAGTCAAGACTGTAGGAGTTTTGGAAAAGAGGGCCAATGTTACGGTTGTTGGGGGTGAGGTTGTTATCGGGAAAGAGGCTCGAGGCCACGTAAAGGTACGTGCTTACAGAAGTGCCAGTGAACCATCTCATATTTAATTCCTTACAGTTTAATATGCTTGTTTCTTACACCTATCGATCCGATGACCCGCTTCCTTCGGAGGATGGTGCCGGGACGCCTTCCCGCACAGTTGCGAAGACACCGGAAGTGAAGACATTCACCTTCTATACTGTCGTTGATCTTGGTCCCATTCTTCCTAGGGAAGAGAAGCTGGATCCAGATATATGATGCTACGCCCTCATGCACCTGTATTGCTGCCACGCATAGCTTATGCCATTTTTACCTCTACCCCAACATCACAATGGTGCAAGGCAAGTAATCTTCCGCGAAATTGATCAATCGATCTAAGTATGGGTACCTGTGCTTGCATTGGTCCGACTGCGCTCTCAGATCGGTGAGTTTGAGACTCGCCCCGTCTACAATGAATACTGCGGATGGTCAGGATTTAAACTTGAGTTTGGGGCCAAATTAGCTCGGATGGTTTTGATTCGCGTCAATCTACAGCAAGATGATATAAATGGTTCCTGATTACAATCGATTTAGAAAATTTGCGACATATACAACCGGCTGGTCAGAAGAAAAAATTGTGCTAGTCAGAATTCAAAGAACATAGAAAACCAGTGTCAACGTAAGAGTTCAAACATGCAGGAGACTTGCAAGGACAGTCGGTGTCTTAAACTTCGAAACGCCTGAATTTTTGAATGCCGGTGGCACAGCTTAATTCAACATATACGTGGGAGTCATCACTTGATGCAGATGCACGCTTCATAATTAGCAGAACTGAGTCAACTAGACAACGATATTTACAAGATTGCGGTGCCGGACTGTGCAATAATGGTGACTCCTCCTGAATCAGTCAGAAGATGCGTATACGTATTCGCTGAAACTGGTACTGCTATAAACACCATTGACCGAGGCATGAAAGAAAATCAACACCCCACACCCCCAGATCAGAATGGAGTCTATTCCCCCTTCGTATACTCCTTCCCCACCTTCGCCGTCATACTCTCCGTCCCCACCATCACCGTCATACTCGACAGAGCTTCTTCCAGGGGAACAAACAGTCGAGGGGACTCGACGCCTATCTCTGCAAGCTCAGAATACCGGAGTCTTTCGTAGGATAACAGACAACATCACACTTGTTTTGAGAGATCAGCAGCCAGGGAGCATAACACCCGTTTACGGCAGACATGGGCTTGTTCGAGGTCACATATCTTTGCGAAGCACAGAAGGCCTCACCGAGGTTACTTTGAAGGTAGAGGTCACCCCTTTCTTCAAAGTAGCGTTATCTTACCTCCCTCAATAGCTCGAGGGTCACCTTCGTCTTGAAACATCAGGTGCAACCATCACTACATCGGTAGCATTCGATTCGTATTCTTTGTGGAGTTCTTCGTCTGCCGAGCCTTGTCCTATGACCCTCCCGTTTACAATATTCTTTCCTTCTACTTTCATGGATAAATGCAAACCGCAGCCTTTACCCCCCTCATTCGAGGACAAATATGCGACGTGCTCCTACATGCTTAGCGTCGTAGTTTCAAGACCTCGACGATTCTTATCTTCTTTCCGTTCTAGTGACTCGTGAGTATGAGTAGCGACGTTTAAATTTCACGTTTCCTGATTCGACAATTTACAGCCTTGTGGTACCCATATGCTATCATCCACGTTCTCGCCCACACACGCCCATGCTTTCGAGGGACGTGCCGTTCATGACCACGGTGAAGAGTTCCCCCGAAGAATGGCATCAAGTACTCTCCACCATGAATGCAACAAAGAATTCCAAGCTCACGCCGGTACAATGTCTTGTAAGTCTCTCAAATCTTGGTTTGCTCATAGTCCTGACTGCTGTGGTAGCTCTTTATACCTTCAGCACAGGTTTATCCGTTATCTGAGACCATACCGTTCCACCTCCAATTGCGTGCCCCATCGAGTTCATTAGCCCCATTCATTGAAAAATCTGCACCTGATCACAGCCTTCCTGTGTCCTCCTCAGGGGAAGTCACCATCCGTGTGTACTTACTTCGACAAGTGATTGTCAAAGTATTTGAAGAACAAAAATTGTCCAATCGAATAATAGGAGAAGGCAAATTGACGTACTCTGCCCCTCTACCTGACAACCATCACTCATATCGCAACGCCCCGCTTGAGGAGGGCATTGACTGTTTGGACTGGGATGGCGAACTGCGATGTACTGAAGATGTCACAGTCGGAAGCTTCGCAACAAACCCGCTCTCGGTTAGAGTGAGTTCTGAATCATGGTTCCTATGATTTCCCTGTTGACGATATGCCTAGGATTTTATTGTGCTTTCCCTCGAGCCTCTGCGACCAGTAAAGTGTCCGCTTCTTGCGGTAAAACACTTTCATCCGGTTCGTCTGGTGACAGACCCATGGTCGGATCACGGAGTGACTTGGTAGCATTTTTTGGGCCAGTTATTTAAGTGTCAAACTCTTTCGCATACTCTACTATATCCCGGATCTAGAGCTTTTATACATACGATGTCGTGTCTAACTTCCTAGCCCATTTACTAATCATGGTGATTGGTTCCCATAGGATTGGGAACCACTTCGGGACCGTCTTACTACCATGGCGCGTCATTTGTCACCTATCAAAATAGCATGAGACTACTCTCTTATACCATGCGGAATATTGTACCCTACGTACCTCGGGCTTCGGCCAATACTTCCAAAAATAGAATTTTATTACGTACTGCTATGCCGTCCGACCCAGATCACTGAACCACTGCACGACGAATCCAGGCAACTCGCCGCATCAATGCAGGGCTTCAAGGCAATGCCCCTGGGCCTGAAGGTCGGGAGCCTGACCCGGAATTTACTAAAGATACGCGCCCCGTCGACTACTGATCCATCTGCGTTTGGGAGCAGCTTCATGGATGGCAGCCGATTCAGAGGCCTCCGAGGGTGAGCTTTTCCTTCAGTGTGGGGAAAGGGTCTTTTCTGAGCCGAGTCGGATGTCAGACCCGTCACGTCCCCGTGCGTAAGCGCCCGCCGGCTGTGCCTAAGATACGTCAATAGGTCCGCCAAGGTTTACTAATCACCATCATTTGATCCATTGTAGTATGCGTTGTTCACGCGTTCCTTTACTTACGTTGACCAAGCATAGCAAGAAACACAGGATGGTGTTGTTACGGCGCTCTCACCGGCCACCGCATCTATCCTGATCCTGTCGGACTCATCGTTCTTTCTCATAACCGCTAAATGGCGTTCAGGCCATTTCCGGATCCACGTTGCATCCGAAAATGATGGAACTGCCAACACCACCGGTTTAATTGTGACATGGGTACTATAAAGCTGTTGTCAATCATGGGCGTCCATCCGTTCAGTCTCCAAGCGTCCCACATCTCTTCCGCAAGCATGGAATCACTTTCCGTTCAGCATCTGTTGCCAGAGTACACACCATCAAAGCCTGCACCTGACTACTCTTCCAAACCACTTCCCGGCGAGAAGTGCATACAAAGATCACCTCGCTTGATCCAACGGGGGGACAATGCGTCGTTTACTTATCGGGAAAAAGAGATGACCCTCAAACTGATGGACTGTCGTGAAGAGGACCGCCATCCATCCTATGGTCTGGGGAGTACCATTCGAGGAGAAGTTTCACTTGATCATCGCCGGAGAGTTGTAGCTGTTACAGCGAAGGTATATAGGATCTATTGTATTCGGTGTTTCACTACGTTTTCTAATACCACCCATTAGCTTGAAGGTCGTGTTTACCTTCCAGGACAACCTTCTAAGGGGGTTACTATTATTTCAAAGGAGCGGACCTTATGGGAGAGCTCCACTCTAAATGGACAAACTTGTCCCAGCATCATGCCATTATCAATGTCTTTCCCGACCTCCTATCGAGAGCGTGGACAAGATCGTACTTTCCGTTTGCCGCCGTCCTTTGAGCTATCGCAACCGCAACGCGTGGCTATAGTCTATACACTGCAGATCATTGTCACAAAATCGAGAAACGTTCCGATGATTGGAAAAAAACTTTCGAGGCAAGTGCACAGCAGATTCAGATCCATCTCGCAACTAAAACCATCATCATCAGGGAGATATACATGAGCATTCACATCAAGTACCGCCCCCGAGTACGACCATCAAGGCCAGTGCCAGACTCCTTTAGCGAGGTGAAACAATCTCCTGAGGATTGGATGGAGGACGTTTGGATCACGAAACCGACTGTTGGTACAGGAAACGAAGCGTTTTTAGCACGTTGTCATGTAGGTGGTTGTCCTCGCGATCAAACCATTCATAAACTGATGTTAATTCATTTCAAGTTATTTATTCCTTCGGTCCGCGTTTTCACTGCTTCGGAAAAGATACCTTTCCATTTGCGGCTAGAGACTTCGCCACTCTTCCTGCACAATCTTGCCAAGATCTTCCTTCCTCGCCAAAATCCCTCGGAAATAAAAGAAATTTTAAACATATCTATAGTACGGCAGACTACCGTCAACATTCAAGGCACGTCGTTCAGTCACGACCAAATTCTTGGTCGCGGACGGATGGTGCCGCAATCATCATCCACCTCCAAGGTCGCAATCTCAGAATCAGAAGAGCCTGTAACATGGAGTTGGAATGGCGAACTTCGGTGTGAAGTTCCCGTCTTGAACACTGGTTTCAATACCGGCCAGATTAGCACTACGGTGAGCTAGTGTCTTTTTAAACAGTTTGAAATTGGACTCATGAAGTGATTCCAGGACTACATTGTGCTGTCTTTACTAACTCCGCCTGGTCAACTGAGATCTGACCATTCACTTCAACGCGTTATCCCCATACGACTCGCTACAGAACCATGGGTCGATCGTTCATGAACCTATTTTTCTCCATCGCATTGTGTTCTGACTATTGCACTGTATATATATTCACAGCCATATCATCTACTGTATTCTTATCGCTTTTTATTATATCTACAACTTCTTGTTATAATACTAACTTATAACTTTTATATGTTTGGTACCCCGTGCCAAGATCATACAGGCTATGCAACTTTCAGTGGCACTTTATGTTGATAATTCTATCCATGGAACAGTTTAATTCTGCGGAGTGTATCAAATGGTTCCCGTTACTGGACAAATGTACTGAATTCTGTCTCGTGTTCCCCCAATGTTTCAAACCTGGCCTGGGTTCAAGTTCACTCATCATCTTTGGATTTACAAGACTCAGGTTGTCGGACCTGAGACTTCATACGAACTATAAACATCAGGCAGCACCGCTACTAGTAGATGTGTTGACCAACCGGCGGTGTCCAATTTCGAAAGCTCCACTCAGCACGTGGTCTTACCGTGACATTGCATCAGCGCAAATGACATAGCTTGTTCGCGGCGTAGTGCTAGTACTGCTTGTAGGCTTTTGGAGCTGGCAACTCCTTTATCATGATGCTGCGCTCAGTTTTACGCTCTTCCAAACACCACAATGACTGTCTCAGACAAAGTCTACTCACTAACTCACTCTCAGAAGACGCTTACTGCAGCGCTCGCAGCTTCCCCGGCATCATCACCTGGACAACTCGTGAAAACACTCTATGCAGAGCACCACAAGAAGCCCGTATCCTCCACAGGTTATTTGGAGCTATTCATGGGTGTGCTGCACCGCGGGTCTGCGAATGAGACACGGCAGATTCCACTTGAACCTACACAAGCGGATCTCGACCGCGCAGCCGAGTGCGGGAATTTTGGCAGTAGGCCAAGTGATCTATTCTTAAAGGTGATTCAAGCGTGACAGACGTGTAATATTGACTCATTGCATAAAAAGATCTACTGTGACGTGCTTGCTGCGCTCGATACAAATCCTTGGGCTGGTGTGGTTTCGCCCCCCTTGTTGGGTTCTAGAGGCGTCGTGAACCTGAGCATCATTTCTGTGTAATTACACGGTTTCTTATTTTCTTGTTTGTCTTTCTGCTAATGCGTCGAGCAGCATTCCGGATATTATTCAGCATCACTATGACTGTATCGTCCGTGCTGAGTCAGAAGTATTTTAGCAACGAACTTTTGGCAAGCATCCAAGTCCGCTAGCAAAATATGCGATGCCTTTCTCGAACTCTCGCGCAGAGCGATGAAAAGGGGTAAGAAGGTTGTGGTGAAGATGATGTACGACCGTGCAAATCTCAAGATGCTCACGGAAAGCCACCTTCTTGTCGACGACGCAGAAATGACCAGTGATGAAGTAAAGCTCCCCAAGAGGAGCGACATGCCGGGAATCGACTTCGAATTAGTGAATTTTCATCAGTGAGTGTTTTCGGTTGTCTCTTATAAGCAAATTACTTATATGATGCAAAGACCTGTTTTTGGTACATTCCATTGCAAGTTCATGATCGTAGATCGCAAAATGGCGCTCCTGAACTCGAATAATATTCAAGACCGTCCTAACGTGGAGATGATGATCCACTTGGAGGGCCCGATTGTTGACAGTTTGTATGATACTGCTCTGATCAGTTGGTTCAGGCCCATGCGCC